CCTGACCGCCTTGAATCACAGGTACCTCGCGCATCCCCGCAGCCATCGATCTCTCAACCTAGTCGCGTACCCTCGCCAGTCTCGTCCGCTCGTGAGCGTCTCCAGCAGCGCCTCGAGCGTGAGTCCGATCCGATGTTCGCGGTGCCGTCGAAGCTCTCCTGTCCGTGTTCCTTGCGAAGAGCCAGAGCCCACCGTGGATCGTAAGGGCAGGCAAGGCCGTGAAGAAGTCCCTACCAGCTCCCGTCGCCTCGTCTCCACGACACGGGGTCCCCTTCGTCTACTTCCGCAAGCCCTGCTCCAGCTGTGACATCATCGCGGCCCACTTCCGGCCGATCCCTGAAGGAGGCTCTCCAGCAGCGCGTGCAGAACGAGGAAGACCTAGAGATCAAGGAGTCGCTGAACAGCCTCTTCACGAAGCTCTACGGAACCCCCAAGGCGGCGCCTCAGCCTTCCACTGAGTCTGCCACACCTAGCGCGACCACCAGCGCGAAGTTCGAGGATCGCGCAATCAACGAAAGGACACAATCCAATTTTTCGGAGGTAGGAACCCCGCTATACATTCGTTCATACCATGATACTGACGTAGCCACAGGCATCTGCTACCGGAGTACCGAGCCACGACGGCGCCGACCTCCACCGCAACTCGGCGCTCCCACCCTCTGCCGCCGCCAAGATCCTCGCGCTTCACCGCTCGCGTCGAGCACGGCGCACCTCGCTCGGCGCCATCCAGGAGATCGAGGACGCGCTGCACACGCTCCAGGCATCTTTCGCCTTCCCCACACAGCTCGACTTCTCTCCCTCCGCTGACTCTGAGAACCAGAAGCAGCTCGGCGCGCAGAACGGGCTGATGTATACGTCGAACAACCGCGCGGTGCACTCGTACGAGCACGCGCTGAACGCGCTGCTCGAGCGCCTCGATGCGGTGGACAGTCGAGGCGACCTGGAGGTGCGCGGAAGGAGGAAGGACGTCGTGAGGGAGGTGGAGAACGCGTTGAAGGAAGTCGAGCGGAGGGTGGAGGAGAGCAGGGAGCGGAGTCGCGAGAGGGAGGGCGCGCGGACCCCCTTGGCGGAGGCTCCTGCGGCTCAGGAGCCGGAGCCTGTGCCCGCTGTCGACCCGTCCTCGCAAGCCGACGCTGTTCTTGCCGCCGGACACAATGTCCCCGCGGCCGCGCCAGTCGCTGTGGCGAGCACTCAAACGGAGGACGTGCCATCACCTGCTGTCGACCCCACGCCTGTCACCCATAACGATGCTCAGGAGTCCGCCAATGACACGACCCACACATCCGACGACGTGCCTGAGAACCTTGCTGCTCCTGAGACCCTCAGCAACCCGTCTTCGTTCTCTCAAGCTCCGGCATCCCATCCATCCCCTCGTACCGTCGCCAACCTCTCGTATGCTGCGTCCACTCTAGATCTCCCGGTCGCGTCTGTTCTGTCCTCGCCCGCGGCTTCCTCTGTCGAGAGGCCTGTGCCCGAAGCTGCCTCTGAGGCGTCTCAAGAGCAAGACGCAACTCCTGTCATTGAACCGACCTCGCCACAGCCCGAGAATGTCGCCGCCAGCACCGAAGCGCACTCCTCCCTCGTCAACACGCCCTCGGACTCTAACACATCCGTGGTACCCATTGCGGCTTCAGCCGCTCCTCATCCTGCTGCACTAGACTCCACACATGCAGGTAGCGTACCTGAGGAAGACGAGGCCGAGACGTCCTCCGCCGCTGGCTCCGCTTCTTCCGAGAGCGGCGCTTACCTCCTGTCGTCGCACCCGCTCCAAGACCCTCCCCGCAGATCGCCGTTCGAGTCCCTAGACCGCGAGGAGCCGCAGATCGTGACACTCGCTGAGGCCGAGCCTGAGGTGGACAACAGCTCGGAGTGGTCTGAAGTCGAGGCGTGAGTCTCGCTGACAGCGTACTTTGGGTCGATGGTCACTGTGGTTTTGTACTGTGATACTAATGTCTGGACGGCTCGGACACTGCATTATCAGGTACCTTATTGCTTGCTTATTGGGATAGACGTGTACAGTAGCTCTCTTTGCTTGTTATGTATCATGACATTTGAGAGAATCTTACATACCACACTGCACTGCAAGTACGGTGCTTGCATTATGACCGTTGAGAATTGAATCAATATAAGGACGCGATATACAATATGAGCAACTTCGCAGCCCACTCTAGTGGACAGACACAACTTAGGAAACATTTCAGCCTGATACCAGCATGACAGCGAAAACAAGAAACGAACAGCAACCACCAAGCAACATTCATCAGCATTACACCCTAGTCAATGGCCACAGCCTCAGGGTCCCACTACATGCTAATGCTACACATGCCCAGGCTCAGTCAGCCTTCTTGCTCGACACGTTCCCGTTGGCCTTGTTGAACTCGGTCGCGAGTCTGTCGTACTCCCGCGCGTTCTGCTCGGCCTGCTTCTTTACAATGTCTGCATTGCTGGTCAATACATAATTTTTGGGCGGTAAGTTGGATGGACTCACTGTAGTCCTTGACCTTCTCCTCACTCGCGGCAAGCTTCTTCTTGAGCTCCTCGACTTGCTTTGCTTGGTCCTGTGTGGCAATTTGGCCGCGGGACGACTTGGCAGTCTGCGGCGCGGTCATTATGATAGAGCCAGCAGCATAGTATCCAAGGGGACGTACCTCCTGCTTCAGCTTGGCGTACTCCTCTTGCGAGTGGATGAGGTCGAGGAGGAGGTAGAAGGTACGAGTGAGGACGAGCGAAAGGAAGAGCGTGAAGCCAGTCAAGTATGTGTTGCGCTGCGCGCTGGGCACGGCACTGAATTCAGCATTGCTAGCATGGCAGTTTGGAGGGACGAGACTTACTAGAATTTACGCGCAGCGAAATTCGTCTCCGAGCGAACGTCCTGCACACCCGACCCGCTGGTCTTCGCCATGTCCGACTCCGCGGATACCCTGATCATGCGCTGGAACGCGTCCAGGAATAGTACACCCACGAATCTGGATCCGCGTACGCGTTCGTCTTCAAATCAGGTCGTCTGACGAACGAAAATGGACGTACATGAATGAGATTTTGATTCCGTATGCAAGTTTCGCGACGATTGGGCTTTCTGAGAGGAATCGGAAGAAACGTTTCCTGATGCCGTAGGGCAGCGGTGCGACCAGAACACAGAAGGTCACCATCTCCGCCGCGAGGAGCATGAACGTGAGCGAATAGCTGTACGCTGCCTGTTAGAATAATTCACTCTGTCAGTATTGTGGTTCAGGACATACTAGATCGTCATTTTGAGTGGTAACTGTGGGTGGATGAGAGACTGGTGGTCGTGAAGAGGTCGTGGCGGTTTAAAGCGAACAACTGCAGCTGTGCCGCACCGCTCAGGCCACGTCTCCGCCGCAGTGCGACGTCATCCTGCCCAGTCCGCCCTGGGCGCGCGCCGGTCCGCCGGCCGGCCACTTCCCTTTCTTGTCTCCGGACCGGCCGATCTCCGTAGAAGCACGTGCCGCGACGCGTGTGCGTAATGGGACGCGCGGCAAAAGCAGAAACCTCGCAAGACAAAAGGTGAGCGTACGCGTCCTCCTCCTTTCCATCCACTACGTATTCGACGTTGCAGCTATGGCTCCGCTCGCCGTAAAGATCAAGCATGCCGGGAAGGTGCACGATATGCAGCTCGATCCCGACCAGTCTCCAGCCATATTCAAGGACGCAGTTTACCAAGTGACCGGCGTTCCGCCAGACCGTATGAAGGTTATGATCAAGGGAGGCGTGCTCAAGGTTCGTGTGCCTTTGATTTTGGACTATGCTTCAGCTGATGCTTAATTGGTGGTAGGATGACACAGACTGGAGGAAAGTCGGTCCGAAAGAGGTGAGTAGTGGTCCTTTCATGGAGCATTGCTAGTCGACTTCGTCATATTGAACTTAGCATTCGTTTCATGTAGGGCCAGACATTCATGGTCATTGGTGCAGCAGGGGAGCTACCAAAGCCTCCAGAAAAGCCGATCGTATTTCTGGAAGGTGTGTTACAATTTACATTTCGCAAGGCCGACGCGCTCGGAGATGCCATCACCCCTCTCCAACCTCCCCCTCTGCAATCGAAAATGCTGACGAGATCATCTTGCCTTAGACATGGACGACTCGGCTCTCGCAGAAGCTGTAAGCCGCACTTCATTCGGCATGATCAACATCATGAATGACCCGCCCTCCTACCTTAGCTCGCACTACCCGTCGGTCTCAAGAATCTCGGGAACACATGTTACATGAACTCGACTCTTCAGGCACTCCGTGCCATCCCCGAACTACAGACGGCATTACAGAGCGCTCCGCCACCCGGTCTCCCTTCTGCCCTGAGCGGCCTGTACCAACAAATGTCGCGTACCACGGACAGTGTTGTCCCGAGTACCTTCCTGACCGCGCTGCGACAGGCGTTCCCGCAATTCGCCGAACAAAGTCGGAGCGGCAAGGGAACTGGCGGATTCGCGATGTACGCACAACAGGGTAGGTCCGCAGTATCGGTCCCGCAACGAGCATTCGAAGCTGAGCGCTGCGTTTGACAGATGCCGAGGAGTGCTGGGTGCAGTTAACGAACTCTCTGAGGGACGTGCCTGTCCCCGGACCGTCGTCAGACGGGTCTTCGCTCCCTCGTAAGTTCGTTGACCAGTACATGACCGGTGAAGTGCGCCGAGAGTGAGTTCTGCTGTTTCGGACCATGTACCTGCCTCTGACAAGTGCGACGCAGACTGAAATGCGACGAGGCACCGGACGAGCCGCCATCCGTCTCGTTCGAGAAAGCTCTCAAGATCGAGTGCAACATTTCAATCACGACGAACTACATGCTCCAGGGTGTCAAGGACGTACGTGATTTTGCAACGATTTGCATATCGCTAGCTTATACTGGACCCGCAGTCTCTAAACCAGAAGATCGAGAAGAACTCGCCAACATTAGGACGGGATGCCCAATACACCGCCACCTCCCGTCTCTCTCGCCTACCGTCCTATCTCACTGTCCATATGGTGCGCTTCGCGTGGCGGACAGATATCGGGAAGAAGACGAAGATCATGGTGAGCGCCACCACGCCGCTCGCTGACGTCCCAACTGACGGTCCCCTGATCCCCCTTGACAGCGTAGGGTGAAGTTCCCAACGGACTTTGACGTGCTCGACCTGGTCACGGACGAGCTGAAGGCGAAGATGCTGCCGCTCGTGACCAGGTTCCGTGAGATCGAGGGCGAGCGCTCTGAGCGGCGCAACATCCGCAAGAAGACCGCCCTCCGTGTGGCGAGGGAGCAGAAGGCACTCGCGTCAGGCAGCGCTCCCGCAGAAGGTAAATACATGGCTTCGACCCTGCCGCATTGACTAACGCAAATCATGTAGCTTCCTCTTCTTCCGAGCCCACGGAGAGTGAGCCCGCCGCGATGGAGATCGACCTGGAAGACGAGTCAGTGTACCGGGAGCGGGAGAAGACGCAGCTTGAGGCGCTGGTAAATCCAGACCTCCAAGCAGATGTCGGCTGCAGCTTGACCGGCCAGTACGAGCTCGTCGGTACGTCGGTTATATCTCCTCTGCCTTGCTCCTCATCGTAACGCGTCCGTATCGTAGCGATTGTGACCCACAAAGGCGCTGCGGCCGACTCCGGGCACTACATGGGCTTCGTCAAGAAGAGCGCCGTCCAGAACCAGATTTCTCGAGCGACGCGTCCGGCTCTACGTCCAATGCGGTAGTGGGCGTGCCGGCGCAGGAGGACGAAGACTGGTACAAGTTCGACGACGACAAGGTGTCGATCTTCCCGAAGGAGAAGCTCGACACTCGGCGGCGGAGGCGAAGACTCGTCGGCGTACGTGCTGCTGTACAAGACGAAGCCGCTCGCATGAACGGTTGGGGAGGCTAGTGGTGTGGACTGTGTGCCAGCGGAAGCAGTGCGAAGTGTTTGTTGTACGGTAATGTAACGCCAGGGTCGCTTTGGTAATTTGACGGCACTGAGAAAGGAGGGACAAGCTCTTCGAGACATCAACATGAGCGCCAGGCCGCGCCGTCTTCCTCGCCACGGTACGGGACCTGTGCAGCTTGTGCGTCAGCGGCCATTTGTGTCGCTCCCTCATTGCTCTGCCAGCTGCTGACCAAGCTAGGCTTCGCGTCGCTGCTGCAGTGCAGATTACAGATGTTGATCGAGGCTTGATCGTGATCGTGCGTAACGTCGTTCCCAAATCTATGATCCGCCGGCCCACCGCAGTGGAGATGTTCATGCACGGTGCTACCCACCTTCGACTCGGTCGAGACCGCGTGGCTCACGGCTATGTGTTTCCTTCAGGCGGCCTTTCCCCACAGCATGGTGTGTTTTGTTCGTGTGATGGTTTGCGACCCAGTCGTAGAGGCCACAGCCCGCACATTCAGGTTTTAGATTTGGCAGGCTATTCCGAGCGCTGTGCATGTGGAAGTGAAGCTATGTGACATTACGCCTTCGCGTCGGCCACGAAGGAGACCTGACCCTGCACGCTTTAAGTATGGGATAACATGATGTGGCTCACGCAATCCAGTGCCAATGCTTGGTAAGCTTCTACTCACACCCAGACCACAGTCGCAAGACGGGACGTATATAACGCCATGACTTCATCCAAGTACTCCAGTACAACCTCACCTACGTCTACCAGCCGCTCCCCAGCCTGTGTATGTCCTATACCATGTCTACCAAGCTAAGCCGCGCTTCATACACCGTCGCCCTCGTCGGCGCGACCGGCGGCCTTGGTGGGTCTGCTAAAGAGTTCATCCATGCCAGAGCCATGCCGAACTAATGATATATCGTTCCTCTAGGCAAGGAGGTCGCCAACGTCTTCCTCACCCCTACAAGCCCTTCTCTCGCGCGTCGTCGTCACAGCGCGGGACACTACTACCGCGGACGCCAAAGCTCTGGCCGAGAAGGGGCTGAGCTCGTCCAGATCAACCCCGTTGACCCCGTCGCGTCTTTGGGCAGAGCGTTCGAGGCGTCGACGCCGTTGTAAGTCTTGTTGGCAAGGCGCCGAATGAGTTCAGGGATGCTGTCGGAGAGCCGCAATCAAGAGTGGTGCGAAGGTGTACTTCCCTACGGAATATGGCTCGTAAGTTGTCTTACTCTCGTTGTGACGAGCGCGGTATTGAGTATCCTGTACACATCCAGTGACCACCGTATCAACGACTTCCCCGGATGGGATGACCCTGACTGGTTGTTCAAAGGACAGCACGCTCGCAAGTACCGCCAGCTCGGAGCCGCAAGACAAAGTTGTTTCGCTGTACAACGGGCTATTCCTGGAGATCCTCATCGGACCGTGGCGTACGTCCTATCCCCTTGCCTTCCCAGCTATTTGACTGGCTCACCGTGTATCACAATATAGTCGGCTTCGACACTGCCAACCTGACCTACACCTCTGTCGGCTCGCCCGACGCGAAGACCGCCACCACCGCGAAGGCGGACATCGGGCGCGCTCTTGCGGAGCTCACGCTCCTCTCGCTGAACCCCGAGACGGCCGCGAGCGTCCCGGACGACGTGCACATCGCGGGCAGCAACGTGAGCTACCGGCAGGTCCGCGACGTCGTGCAGAAGATCCGCGACGAGCTTGGCGTGGAGCCGAAGGGGGAGATCAAGGTCCAGGGCACGGATTTGGCTGCGTTCAGGGAGAAGCTGCGGAAGGAGCAGCTCGAGAAGCCGAAGAGCGGGCCTATCGACCATATCAAGTGAGTGGTAGCATCCCTGTGACGGGATTTCGGATTGCTGACTTGCTCTAGGATCCTCATCGGTGAGGGGAAGATGGACTTCTCGCAGAATGACGACGAGCTGGTTAACCCTGGCGAAAGCATCTGGAAGTGGAAGACTGTCGAGGACATCGTTCGCGAGAAAGACGGCAAGGTGTAAACTGTCACCATGATCCTCTCGCAGAACAAAGCAGTGTGTACGAGTATTGAGCAGGAATTTGAAAGAATACATTGAGTGTTCTGAATGCACGTGCTAGTCACGTCACTACCAACATCGTTCGAGGACGCCGGACGGGACTACCATGGTTGCAATGGCTAACAAAATACATAATGATCTATGATTTGAACAGACAAACGACCTTCAAACATGAAACTCTGAAAGGTAGGTATCAATAACTTGATCACGAGAGAACAAATCGTTCCTAGATTGACCCAATTCGCCCATCTCATGTGGGTATCACAGTGACACTCTGCCAGATCTCCATCATAATAGACGCAGCATGAGGATGTTTACCACTGACGACCTTCATCATCATCTCTGACACTTGATCTGACCCCTTGAGTTCGTCCCAGTATCGTTTCAGCAACTGCAATTCCATGTCTTTCACTTGCTCATGCCTGCATTGGCCACAACAGCAATGTTGAGCGCACTGTAACGGGTGTGAGTGCTTGATGAACTTACTGCGAAGTGAATTGGGAAAAGATCTCTTTGATAACATTGTCTTTCGATAGCTGGGACTTCAGTTCCTCGAACGCCATATTCTTGAGATCCGCCATGTCAAGCTAGTGATGAGGATTGGGTCAATGAGCCGAATTTTGGCAACCACACCGAACATACCCTGTGTGCAAGGCGGTACATCGACCTGCAAGAGCATGGTGCGGGGCGTTGCGGGTTGCCGACCTGGTAATTCGCTATGAAGTGCTTTCGTGCATCTTCACCGTTGCTTGCCAAAGGCGCGAAGACCACGACGCCAGTGTATAGATAAAACAGAAACGCTTCCCATCTATAATGAAATCAGAGTGCGGTCGATGTCAAGTTTTGATGCTTACGTAGAGGCGGCGACATCGCTGATAATGGCGGTAGGTCGCGTCTGCAGTTGTCCGGGAATGATACCTGCCACGCCTTCTTCGCCTACATCTTCGAAGTCACTGTCACCATCGAGGTCGGGATGAGCCGCAGGTTGATAGCTCGATGCCCCGCTAACAAATGCACTGGGAACGCCCTTGTGTCCACTGAACACCTCCCACTGACAGAGCGCCGGGGCATCAGAGGCATCATCCAACCCTAATTATAGAGGTAACGGGTGAGATTCGATATATCATGCGACAGCGACAATATGAATGGCCTACATTGTTCAAGGCGAGACACTTCACCTGTAAGGCGTGTTTGTCGAATAACAGTGTACGTGGTCTCACAAGTCGTCCGACTCCAGTGGCATTCCGGCCCGCAAAGACAATGAACTTGATTTTATCCGGCTGACCTCCAGTTATCAGGTCGTGCAACACCCCAAAGCCTTCGCAGCCATCGGAGAAGGCATGACCGGCTCGCGCGCGGATAGTGGCTGTGATGACGAGCCCGTTCTCCTGTCGCAGATGACGGAAACGGTAGTTCCAGTGCTGCGTCTTCAAGAGGGATTAGGCCGACCACCAGACACCCTACTAGAGTACTTATCCGGCGGGTGGAACATATACGTCGCGGTATGTTCAAAGTATCGGTGGCCACCTGGCATTGACTCGCCAATGAAGGAGCATGAAATGGGCCGCGGATATCCGCGTGGTCCTACGTCGAGGCGACAAGAAATGGTACAGTCCTGGCCATCGCTTTGTGAAGGCCAGCACTCGATACGCCAGCCCGGTCCAAACGTAGCTGTGACGTAGGGCTGCGCTACTGGGTATCCTCTCTGAGCAAAGAATTCCTCGAGGTTGTCGATGTGAAATTGCACTCTAATGTCGTGGTTGTACTCGACATGGGCTAGAGCAACTTCCATAGGTGTCTCTTTGGGTAGATGCGAGCTAGACCAGCAATTTTTGTCGATTGTTGATGAGGGATGGTACCGTGCCACAGGGAGGAGCTGGAGAAGGTTACCGTCTCCAACAAAGGAAACTTGCGCGCGCGAGGCGTTACACGTTGGCGTTATGAATCGTGGGTGGCGATCAAAATCAGTACAGTTCAGGTCCTTGCGTAGCCAGATTTGTGCTGGACTGCTGGATGTCAGTACAGAGTTCGTGCGCCTAGACTGATCATGAGGCTCGCTGTGATCAACTGCCAGACAGCTGTAGTACCATGAACGGCTTGTAGTAGGTCACCGAACTCTGCGACGATGTACAATGAGAGCACCACAAGATCTGCCGGGGACACAGTACTCGGAGCAGCTGATAAATCGATAAGGCTGAAGCTGAAGCTGAAGGAGGAGGACAAGAGGAGAAGCAGCAAGGATTGATATTGACCGCAGGCTGGGCCGCCGGCCCGCCGCCGTTTTCAAGCACAAGCGCTGAAGCTTGAAGCTTGAAGCGCCGAACTCCAGCTCGGACCTCCAGCACTATCGACACTCGGATACTCTATGACAACCAGCACTTGACTACGCTTGGGCCGTATTGTCTTAGCTAGGTCTTGTCTGTAAAGGCGGCGTTGCTACACGCCAGTGATGGTCCGCTGATGCAGCTGTTGCATTTAGTAATGACGCAGTCAGATCCTAGCGTCAGTCCGAACACCGCTTTCATTTGGGCTACCATTGGGCCACCATCCTTCGATTCGAGCTCGCGGTCATATCGTGTCCCCGGGCTAGTCAAAACTGTAAGACACTCACTTTCCAAACGCCATCATCTTCCACGCTAACTGGGCTACCCTCTCTCCTAGAAGAGGCAGTGGCGCACTACCGACTCGAGTCTCGAACCATGGTGCTTCCCGCAGAAATCCACGACGAGATCGTAGATCAGCTCTCTGGAGAGACGGGTGCGCTCAAGGCTTGTGCGTTGACGTGTCACCAGTGGGCCAGACGTGCACAGAGCAACCTGTTCCGGACGATCACCATCCTCACCCACGTGGAGCATGGTCGCGTCCTGGACATGCTCGAGGAACATCCCAGACTCGGACAGCTCGTACGGGTGCTCACATTCAGTAAGCCGAAACCGGACCCCGCGTCGCTCGACGGCGCGTGGCCGGACCTGCTCCTGATGATGGACCGTGTGGAGGAGCTCAACATCGGTTCGGTGGACCTATTCACGAGAGGTTTCTTCGACATCAACAAGGGTGTGAGGACGTATTTCTCTCGGATCCGGATCCTACGCCTCCTCGGCACACACAACTTCCAGTGTAACGACTTCCTACGCCTCCTTGCAGCATGCCGGTCGCTGTCTGAGCTACACCTATCAGACCAGATACAGATCACGCCACCTCCCGATGACGGTGCGATGCAACGTCTGGGTATACCGCCCGCGACGAAATCGACTCTGCATGGCTTAACCGTCCCCTCAGCATCGGGCAGCGTCACCTCTTGTCTGCTGTACCACTTCCCATTGCACATGTCTTTGCGCAGACTACAGCCGATAGTTAACGACGTGGCACCCTCCTGCAGCAACAACGACTCGGACATCCTCCGGGTGGCTGCGCCCGTGCTCGAGGAGCTGGTTCTGCGCCTGACGTTCCACGGGCCGCTGTACGTCATCCTGCAGTCACCCGTGCCGTTCCTGCAGCTCCGGCGTCTACACCTGAAGGACGCGGGGCTCGAGGCCAAGTTCGTCGCGTACGAATACCCTACGTGGATGTTGACAGCCTTGACACACATCTCGCGGTGGGAGATGCGCGCCAACCTCCGCGAGATCGTGCTCAGTCTGCCCATGCCGGGAACTAGTGTTGGACCGTTCGTGCGGAGGGACCGCGACGTAGAGCCACCGGCTTTATCCTTCCCGTTCCCGTGGGTGCAACTCGACATCACGATGGCCAAGCTGGCGCAGGACAACGAGAAGCTGGCGTTCACCGTGAATATCCGCGACCCGTCGTGCAAGAAAACGCAGGCCGTGCCTTTGACGGACCCGTCCTTTGGGCGATACAGGCTGCGGGAGTCTCGGATGCAGGAAGTACGCCCGCAGGCGTTGACGGTATTGGTGGGACCTCATTGGAATGCACTTCGGAGCTTCGGAGGCGAACTCAGCGACAGGCCATTTGCGTTCTAGAGCAGGTTCGTATAGGGCATTCAGTACGCTATGTCGTGGAGTGTGTCCAGATCAGGGAACTAGAGTCGTTCGGTCCGTTCTGGTACTTACCACAAGTCTACATTGAATGTTGCAACCCCAACGGCTGAGATCGTCATTGCTAGCACATGCGAGGACTGAGATCTGAGACTCCACTCACGAGTCACATTGCCGTCCAGTGACAGTCATCCTCCCTGTAGTAGTATTGATTATCACCAAAGAACCAGTGGCTGCTCACCGGACCAATGACCGGACTCCACTCAACCTAGAGACCCAACGTCGAGGCCCATCTGCTTTCGTCGTCAATTGTAAGACAGGTTGCGCCCCGTCTCACGAGCATTCTTCCCCAATCGTCATAGCTATTTTCGTCTGCTCCGGCGTACAGTAGCGGGCTGTCCTCCGGGTGTGCGCGGGTATGCTGGGAGTCGAGACGACGAGGCCAGACTCGGCCTGTCAGCTAGTGCAGGCGTGATGATTCCTTGCGAGCTACGTCGTTGCGAGATCGTGTGGACTTTGTGGTTCGGAAGATCATAGCCGTGCTCGCTGTGTGAGCGAACCGCGCTGTCAGGGCGAAGTCAGGGCTACCGAGCCTCTGGTTCGGGCGGTTAGAAGGGTAGCATAGGTGCCCGGTCTTCTACGGAGTGTCACGAAGCCTGTGGGATGGTTCCGGAGTGAGCTAGGTCAGAGCGGAGACCCTTCGTACGAGCTACTGAGAGGGCTGGGCGTCGTTACGCGCTAGGTTGCAGGCCAAAGGTCCTCGGACATGGAGCTCATACTCGGTTGATAGTCCCACTGAGTCCTTGTTCTCCGGAGGGAATGAGTTATTGGAGAGTCAAAGGCAACGTTGCCGGGATAGTGCATGTAATCGAATGGAACAGTAGATGAGGGATCCGCCATGGACTCGGAGTGCCAAGGTGATGTATGTGTATAGCTCGGCAGAGCGATACACAACGAATGCGAGGTAGTGCAGTATACCTGAATCGTGTAGCTCACCGCCGGAAAGTGTGTCTTCAGTCGGTATGCTTCATCAATTGAGCAAGCACATACTCAGGCTATCCACTGCCAGAAGTAGCGCGACCTGTATGACAAAGGGCCAGATATCACATGCGTCCGACGTGAGCTTTGCTATGCACTACATAGTAAGCACCTTTGGTTGACTAAGACCGGTTGGGACAGGTTGGGGCCAGTGGCCGATAAAAGACACCTCCCAGCTGCGGCTTGATAAAGCAGAATTTGAATCATGGTTATGGAACCCGCGTAAATCCACGGCTGCGTCTATACGACAGCTTCAACTCCCTTGGCTCACCTGATTGGGCTCGACGTGAGACCGTCTGTCGGTCTTGCCAGGGAGGATTGTGGTTCATGCCATACAAGAGCGGTCACTGGGCGGCCTGTTCTTTCGCATCGCGTGTTGCAGCGCTGGTAAGTGGTTTGTAGTCAACGAGATTGGGAAGAGAAGTGGCTGAGAACAAACGCTTGCCCGGGATATGTCAATGATCGAGATCTGGGCGATTTCGATCACTTGCCCCGGTCCCGCGAAGTGAAGTGCGAGATTTGAGTGGGTACGAAGCCCACCTACTGAATGGGTAAGTATTCCAGTGAGTAGATCTGTGTCTATTTTCACGGTGACTCCCTCGACGGCCGTCGTGCGACGGGCTTCACAACGAATATGTGCAAACGGCGATAGAGAGATCGTGACGCGGGGTCCGATCGTCCGGAGGCTCGGGGACTCCGGGGGCACTTGCGTCCCGGAAAACGCACTGACCAATCGAGCTATATAGTCGCACGCGTTCGCCATGTCCTCCCCCTCGTCTGCACCTTCTCACCCCCTCTGCACGCCGCCGTCGACGATGACCACCATCCATAGTCTGGACAGCATCCCGCAGGAAGTCCTCGAGCATATCGCGTATTACACCGCCACCGTCAACTTCCTCGGTCCGCCCTCCGCGCTCGTTCCTCTTCTCTCCACGAATCGCCGCATCTATGCCGCCCTCGCTCTCGACAGAAATCCCCACATCTGGGCACGCATTTTCTCGTACAAGTTCGACCTAGCCGCAGCAGTGCGTCGGTACGGTCCCGAGCGCACCACCCCGCTTGCGATCGCACAAGAACTCAAGAAGCGATGTATGGTCCTGCGCCGATTACGGGCTAAGACAGATACATTGGCTCCGATCTGGGAGCTTAGCTCGGGGCACTCGAGGCAGCTTAGTGAACTGCTATGGACGGCCTACCTCATGATGCTCGAGAATGACGGAAGGAACGAGCGCCAGCTCAGAGAATACGCCCGGATGGACGGCTGGCTGCGGACGTACCTGCTCGGCGAGAATGGCGCGTCGCTCGTGCGGTCTACCGTCAAACGCGACGAATGGCCAGTGGGGAACGATGAGCGAATATCGTTGGCCTTGTGGTTGTTCTGGATGCTCCTCAGGCCCGGTGCGTCCGCTACCCTGTTGCAACGAGTATCAGACGTCTTACGCATTGTCACGCAGAGGAGTACATGATGGACGAAGCAGCCTTCCACAGCGCAAATAGCGTCTTGAAGCTCATCGCGCTCGGTGCACATCACTACAGCCTCTGCACACCATCCTGGGTCAATTTCCACCCGAGCCTCAACCCGAAGGACGGCTCTGTACTGACGCACTACGGCATGCCCTTACGCCTAGCCCCGCCCGCGCCCGCATCTCCCGCCATCCTCGCCTACCTCACCCTCGTCAACCAGCTCAGCGTCGCATGGGACACCATCAGCTACATGAAGCCGCCTGACCCGACGCTCCCAGCGGTCCTGGGCGCGACCAGCACGGAGTGGGAAGCGGAGTGGTCGCGTGCGCTGGCGGGTGTCGCCGCGCCGGGCTCGCAGGAGTGCGTGTTCGTGCCGGGCAGCTTGGACGGGTTCTGGGAGGGGCTGTTCACGTACACGGAGTTCACCGCGTACGCGGCCCTGCTCTCGGGCGCGTCCCCCGCTGTGCTGGAGCGCAGCCTCGTCGCGCAGCACCCGCAGCTGTGGAAGCTCCGCGAGCACCATCTGTACTACGAGGACGAGGACGGTCCGGCGGGGACGCGAGGAAGCGATCCGCTTGTCCCGGGCAGTCCGCTGCTTGCGTATCTGCCGGTAGGCGCGGAGGTGCACGAGGGCCCGAATGGGCTGGAGGTGCGGACGCCTGGACGGGCACCGGTAGTGTACGAGACGTGGTCGCGGATCCCGGAAAAGCAGCGCGGCGAGCGGAGGCTATGCGACGTCATCATCACCGGCGAAGGGCACTCTGCGTGGGGCCAGTTCAGTCTGCTGGGGCGCGTGCGGCCGTGCGACGGGTTTTTGTGTCTGTCGAAGAACTATGTGAGTGGACTATCGCTGTTGAGTTGGTGATGGTCTAACAGGGATTCAGGTGGATGGGGATCGTGGACGATGGCTTTACAGATCGTACCTTGTCGGGAACGAACACGGAAACTTGAGCGGGCGATGGCGCGATACCCTGAGCCCGGCGGAGGTGCTGGGGTATGAAGGCTGCTTCATGATGAGTCGACGACGGTGAGGACCGCTATCTACTATGAATGATCTCCACTCCTTCCTGCTTGCACGTTGTCGTTCTCGGTCACTTGACTGTTGCCACTGATACCCAGCGTGCTTTGCGTACATTCTGCATCTGCTCTCTGTCGTGCCCTGCGGCCGTGTTGTACTAACCTCATAACGTGTGGCCTTACTTACTCGACATGATCGTCACTTGTTGCTTCTTCGGCGGCTGAGAGCGTCAGAAGATGTTCTACATACTATGAACAGTGGGATGCTGGAGTCGTTGCTACATTTCAAGCGCTGCTGCTGCACCGTACTTCGCGTGTTACTGACTCGGAGTTGGATCTCCATACCCACTCGTCGTCTCGCTCGGCGAGACTCTCCAATCCTGCTTTATGGGATTCGCGTTCAGGCTTGGTGACACTAGATCCAATGTGAGCAGCACATTGTCCGTTCTCATGAATTCGCAGTATTGGCTTCAGGTAGTGTACATACATTGAACTGATGGACAGCTCGACCCTAATAATTATGTCGTGGCTGGACGGGATGTAAACAGACCGACCACACGGACCGGTGCCGGGCCGCCTAGTATAGGGTGGCTGAGATCCTGGCCTGATACGCTGCTTGACTCAAACTTGAACGTTCCATACACCCCCGCGCGCGAGCGGTCCACCGTTTGTACAACAGCCGTAATCAACAACTCAAAATACCTTCACACTTACGGCTCCTCATATTCACGTCGCCATACTCATAGGGTGCGAGTGCCCAGATGTCCGATCTCCAGCCTAGCGTCGGTCATCTTGATTCTGTCCATGATCCCGACTGATGCGTTCACTTAGCGTTTTCCCCCTTCTCCTGACGTCTCACACGCACAAACCACGCAATGGAGTGCCGATGAACAGAGCGATGAGGAATCCAGCCCCAAGGAATGGGGCGACGAGGACTTCGGCGTCGGAAAACAGAGATTCATACTCTGGTGGCAGTGGCGGGACGCCCGTTTTGAGGGCACCCTGCCCCTAGCCCTCTCCGCTCGCATCCCGCTCGAGATCTTCGAGTTCGTCATTGACGCGATCGAGGATCAGTCCACACTGCCCGTTGTGGCGCTGGTCTGCGCAATGTGGTATCCGCGTGCGATGCACAACCTCTACTACGCCGTTGAGATTCGCAGCCGCACCAGCTTCAACAGGCTGTACAAGCAGTGCTACGCGTCACCACGCGTCAAGCAGTGGCTCGCGAACACATGCCAGCTACGGGCTTACGGAAGTACTCGCTACATGGGCTTCCTTCAAGCACTACCGTCTGCGCTCGCTGGCCTGATGCCTCGCGTACGCCTCCTTGACATCCGGTTCGGAAGGCTTTCTTTCATCCACACGGGTTTTTTCTTCGCCTTGTCGGATTTCAAGTCTGTCAAATCGTTGACGCTTCGATTCTGCGAACTGAACAACATCTCGCAGCTGCGGCGGATTGTGTCTGCCTTCCCCGAGCTTACAGACCTCACGATTATAGATGTTGAGATCCGATCTCCGCAAGATGCTGCCAGTTACGCGGGAGCCTCACTATTCCAGTCGCCATCTCACATTCGTCTTCGATACCTTAACATCGGAGACCTCTTGCACCACGAAGAAGTCATGGTGATTTTCCTCAACTGGATGGCGCGCTCAGGCCTCTGCAAGTCACTTGCGGGCCTGAAATTTCACACTTCCCATCCCTCCATGACAGTGATACCCCTTAACAAACTCCTCGAAGCGGCAGGGGCATCGTTGACTCGTTACCGCAGACACACCTTGACAATTATAACCGTAAGAGTCCTTCATCTTGCTTGGAGACTCGAGTCGCCCCTGCATCGGGAAATTTGGTTGAACATCATAATCGTTCGCCGCAGTTGCGCGGATTATAACTACAGAGGGCAGAGGTTATGAGTAGTACTTACGCGGTTTAATCAATGTGGTACCGTTATGTTTGAGCCACAATCGTCGATAATCATCGGCGAACGGGCTACAAGCGCTCATAATCACCTCGACCTAGTTTAGTAGCGGCGATGCTCCTTGCTATCGTCGTTGTAGACGACAGCCTTGCGATGATATTTTCGCCGTGGTCTGATTGTCAATACCAGCAAGCATTGTGATTTCTGTATCAGTGTGGGAGGGTGTCTCGAGCATACTTGTGCATGGAATACATTCGTGATGAAGATCTAAGCACATCCTACAGTTCACGCATTCGAAGACACCATAGCATCATGATTGCTCGTCGGCATTGTGTCCAATGTTTGACGTTTACAGCTCGCGCATGTGAGCGCGTAGCTCTGCTGGGATGTTGCGCCATATCTGGCGAGCGTCGGCCTTTCGATCGCCAAGTGTTTCTTGCTGTTGTGCGCGCTCTTCGTCTCCGATGTCGTCCTCTCCATCCACACCACTCCTCGCTACTTTCGTCGTCTTCATCCTCATCCTCGTCCTCATCCTCGTCCCGGGCACCTTCAGCATCCCCTGCACGGGTCTTCATATGCGCGGCCACCTTCCTTGCGCATATCGCTTTCCGCATCTTGGGTCCTGGGACCAGCGCGGTCAGGACACGGGACTCGGTTGTTGTCGGGCTCCGTGCGCGAGAGTCTCAGCTCCTTTGCCTGTACGGTACCATCTTCATCATCACCATTCGCGCCGTCGTAGTCTTCTCGAACACGCTTCCGAGCTTGATGCGCTGCAAGCCGTGCTTGAAACTCGGCATTCTTGCGCCGGACGCGGAGCAGCTCTTGTTGCTGCGCCATCAGCAGCTCACGGAGCTGCTGATGTTCCTACCACGAGAGTAAGTATCGGTCAATCATAATATTATGGCTTACTGCTTGTCACTGGTTTTCACTCTCCGAGTCCTGTCGTTGCACCCCGCCCTCGAGCCTCACTCTCCCGCCGTTGCACCGCCCGCCCTCGGGCTTCACTCTCTCGCTGCCCTGGGAGGCGAATCATTGAAATGCAGCGTCGGCGATCGTCGCGGAACCGGTCGCCCAGAGCTAGTACCAGGCCTGCGAGGCGAGAACGAACAAGAGTTGCCGCAGCGAGAAAAAGCACGAGCTTGCAGTGGTGCCATTTGCGCAGCCCGAGGCTCTTGTGAGTTGCCAGTGGGCTGAAACTTGCCGGCATCTTGTTTCTTTTCCCCCCTTGCCATTCGTCTTCGCTGCTGTTGCCTTGGGTAGCTTCGTCGCCTCGGTCGGCTTCTTGTGCGTGCGGCTGGTCATTCTAGTACAGAGGTCTCAGTCCCAAGAGGTCCCGGTTGGATCAGGAAGCTGCCGACTCCCAAGACGGCTCAAGAGTGTGTCAGAATCAGAGGCTGCGAGTCCGTCGGAGTCGACGTACGCGCAGAGTTGCGCTCAGCGCGAGTGCGAGTCGATGTATGCGCGATAGGCGGTGAGCACGCGTGAGCAAAACTGACATGATATATTGCGTGACATGTCTCTCCTCTTGAAGACTCTTTAGTGTAGATGTCAGTAGCACTTGTATTTTAGCGCTCCAAATATACTTCGTGCGCGCGCGTTCGAATCCCGGCCTGAGTCTAAGCGTCCGAGTGCCCTTTCAGTGTTTCAGTCAGTCGAGTAGGGACTGGCAAGAGTCAGAGTAACCAGTAGTGAAATAACGCAAGAGCGAGGGGGAGGACAGGCGGGGGAGGGAAACGTTTTGTAGTACGCAGGAGGTACTGTACCATAATCGACTGTGTACAGCTGGATGCGAAAGTATGCGGTTATATCGTGATTGTTTTCTGCTGCGCGGGTGATTATGACGCGCGCCGCGCGTGATTGTAATCGCTCATCGCAACCGTGCCGCTTTTATAACCGCTTCTTACTACCCCGCCAAGATTTTCGCAGTTGCGCCGTTTATAACCGCCTATGGCCGCTCACGAAACGGCACCCAAATTTTCCGATGTGATGCACGTGCACAATGTAGGTGTTCACGGCAATCTGTTGCAAAACAACACCCTGCGATCCTGGGACTTCACACTGCAAACCATCGAGCACATGGCCAAAGACACGGGCCGAGCACGGTGTGGACCGAAGTAACGGACGAGTTGCACGGCATCTTTTCCACTATCCGAAGCCATCAGCTCGAGCACATCAAGGTCCGTGTTAGATTATTCTTCGATGACAACTTTCTCGCACATAAGGAGTCCAGTCTCATCCTGGAGAAGCTCGATCTGCGGGACCTGCACGAGGTCATGAGTGGGCCATACTTCGACACATTGAAGGATGTCGAGGTGGAATTCTTTCGAGACGTCCATCATGATGTGAATGTGGACATCCGTCAGAAGCTTAAACGCATTTTCCGTGGCATATTACAGCCATGGTCTGCCCGTGGCGTAGTCACCGTCACCTGGGTGCGCGCTGAATATGATTGACATCATGAGTGAGCCAGTTTGCACACACACGTGTCCGTCTAACACTTGTGTCCTGTTCAGCCTTCAGCAACCCCAGGAGTCCCTATGGCGGCAACGATGCATCGTCACCGCCCGTATGGAGCGCGGGTCGATGCGGGATCGGAATCCGTCGGTCACAAGCAGTCGTCTGGCACGCCCAACTTTGGTGTGCTGAAGGGAGCTTGTCATGGGTGCATGATGCATGAACGTATTCATTATTTGCTGTGACAGATAACTCATCAGATCTCAGACCTGATACATGTGTAGCTACGGTCGGTCCACCGAATTGCTAGTACGAAACACGGTTACGGTGCAACTGCCTCCCCTCAACAAGTCGTATCCAAGGTATGTATCCCGGAGGCTACTAGTGCTGCTTCTCCGGGATGCCACTCATGTGGGAGTTGAGCGCGATCTTATTCCATGGGGACCTGGTGAAGTTCACTCTGCGTGGGAACAGGTCAGCCCGGTGGGGCGCCTGCGTTCTGTCACTGTGCGATGGGTTCGTTCAAGGTTCGTTACTGGTAGTGCGACTTGAAGGAGTACGTTGGGAGTACGTGAGTGATTTTGTCTGTGTCCCGACTTGGGTGGTCGACTGACGGCGATGGGTAGATGGACAGGAATCGTTGCCTATGACTTTATAAATCGTATCTCGTCGCATTCGAATCTGGAAAACTGAGCGGGAAATGTAGTGCGATACGAGGGCTTGTTTCAGGAGAAGTCGGCGACAGTGAGGATTACTATCTGTTATGTTCAACCTCCACTCCTGCTTGGTCGCGAATATTCAACTTTTTTCTTAGCCGGCACTTTTCCGCGCTCAGGCTGCATTCGCTCGCTATCTTGATTTGCGGCCAGTGGCATCTCGTGATGTACCTTACGTGACATAAGTAATTGTTCCTTGCTCTCTTCTCAGTCGAGAGCGTTAGAAGTTCATGAATGCTGCAGACGTTGCTAGGGCAATTGCTATACTCTATTGTTACTGAGCTGCTTCCGATAGACGTTCAGTATCTTCCTGCATCAGTCTCTCGGCGGGGCTGGTATTCCCTTGTAGGGTACAAAGCACTTGGAGGTAATGATACCGCATCCGAGGTGAGCAGCGCACTGTCCATTCTCACGAACGCTGACCTGTGTCATCCGCAGGCAACGATCCCGGCGATCCCTCAGTCAGTGCGTCTCACAACATGTCCCTTGATTAAAGATAGACAATTGGTCCCTCCGCTTACGCCGCAGGTCATGCGCGCCCTCTGTTCCTGGCAGATTCCATGCGTATTCGGGTGTCATAGCGCTATGAATACCCTACCGTGTCCGTCTGTAGGATGACACCATACGGGTGTCCCCCTACATAACGGAGTCGATGGTCCATCCGCGGACGAGCCCTCTGACCTCGATAGCTCATCCTCGTCTCAGGCTCTCCGGTTTCGACTAGCAAATGCCGTCGCTGCGGTCCGCCTTGCTATGGGCCATACTCGGTGCGCTCGCTGCCGCGGCGCCTGCGGAATATACGCACAGGGTGAAGGAGACGGTGCACCCGCCCCGGGGTTGGAACGCCCTGCGCCCTGCGCCGCCCGCGCACACGATCGAGCTCCGCATCGGCCTGCCACAGCCCAAGTTCGCTGAGCTGGAGGAGCACCTGTACGCTGTGAGGTGCGTCTCGAGTGTCTGCTAGGCATGCATGCGCGAGCGAAGGTGCTGACCGGAATGTTGATCGCGTGATATAGTGATCCGTCGAGTGAGAGGTACGGAGAGCACTTGTCGAAGGAGGACGTGGAAGCGCTCGTTGCGCCTCATCCTGAGAGTGTGCAGTTGGTCGAGGATTGGCTTGCGTCGCACGGTCTCTTGAGTGATGCGTTGTCGCGGTCGCCCGCTGGCGACTGGGTCACCGTCAGGGTGCCTGTCTCGTTGGCGGAGATAATGTTGGACACTGTAAGCTATGGCTCCGTCTTCAAGCATGTCTGATAATGCTCACATGTCGCCTAGACGTACCATGTGTGGACGCACGCCGCTAGCGGCGATTCGCTCGTCCGCACGACGTCGTACAGCCTTCCGGAGCACCTGCATGACCACATCGAGGTCGTCCAGCCCACCACCATGTTCTCCCGCTTCACTCCGATGCGGACCACTTACCGCTCCTTCCGCGCAAACACCGCTATCCCCCAGTCAGACGGCGCCACGATCGCCGTGCCCAGCGCTTCCGGGGGACAAGTCGCCGCAAGTTGCAACGGGACCATCACCCCGGAGTGCTTGCTAGAGCTGTACAACGCGACGGGGTACACGCCGCAGGTGCCCGGGGAGAACAAGATCGCTGTGACGGGCTACCTAGAGCAGTACGCGAACTACGCGGATTACTATCAGTTTTTGGGAGAGGAGGTGCCGTATGCTGCTAACAACACGTTCTCGGTGGTCTATATCAATGGTGAGAGCAGTCCGTGGTCGATCTTTTGCTGTAACTGAGCCATCACTGCGTTCGTAGGTGGACTTAATAACCAGACACCAGCTGATGCTGGGATTGAAGCGAACTTGGGTAGGAAATGTATTGACGCTTTGAAATCTGCGACTAAACTGGAAGGTCCCAGATACACAATATGCGTTCAGCCTTACGTACCCGACGCCGGGAACGTTCTACACGACTGGTGGGAGCCCGCCTTTCATACCGGACGATCTCGAGCCTACGGATACAAATGAACCATACATGCAGGCGAGTGGCTGGTTCTAGGTACTCGTGCAAAGTCTTTGGGACCTGACGCGTTTGCAGTGGCTCGGATACGTGCTCTCTGCAGAGGACCTGCCACAGTCGATCTCCACCAGCTACGGAGACGACGAGCAGACCGGTACGATGCTTTTCCAGTGATGGTGTGACTGTACTTCATAGGGTTTTGCAGTTCCGTACAGCTATGCGACACGCGTCTGCGCGGAGTTCGCGCAGCTTGGTGTGTATGCGACGTTGACCTCCGTGTGGACACGATCGCTGACCTAAGACATCTTAGGTGCCCGAGGGGTCTCTATCATGTTCAGCTCCGGAGACGGGGGTGTCGGCGACGGTGACCCGGACCCGGCTACCCAGGAGTGCTACAGCAACGATGGTCGCAACGTGACGATGTTCATACCCGAATTCCCAGCTAGTTGCCCATAGTGAGAAGATTATTATGCTGACCACAGTGTGTACTAACAGATGCTTGTCAGCGTCACCGCTGTGGGAGCGACTTCGGAGGTGCCGGAGATCGCGGCGTGGTTCTCTGGTGGGGGATTTAGCAACTATGTGCGTTGGTCTTTGCTGCCACTGATCTTCGGGGCGCGCTGAATCGCCTGTTCAGTTCGCTCGACCATCCTACCAGGACACTGCGGTGACGAAGTACCTCGGCGAGCTGGCTCCCGGGACGTATGCGGGTCTGTATAACGCGTGAGTAGTGCTGGTGATGATAGCTCGCACATAGACTGATGTCTCGCTCTCCGAAGGTCTGGCCGAGTGCGTCGTCCTCTCCACAACATCTGAACATTTGCACTGATGGCTAAACAGGCCTACCCCGACGTCTCTGCTGAGGGCGTCAATTTCACCATTGTATGGGATGCGGAAACTGGCCTCGTCGACGGGACTTCGTGCTCCTCGCCCACGTTCACAGCATTCGTGTCCCTGCTCAATGACGCGCGCATCGCCAGCGGGAAGTCCCCACTTGGCTTCCTCAACCCATTGATTTATTCGCTCAACGCACAGACGACAACGGGTTTCAACGATATCACTGTCGGTAACAACCCGGGGTGTGGCACAGAGGGCTTCAACGTGAGGTTTACTATTTTGTGATGTCAGTGAAGGGTTTACTCATAAAATTGTGACTAGACAACGATAGGATGGGATCCTGTTACTGGTTGGGGCACGCCCAACTTTGGTGTTCTGAAGGAACTTGTCCTGGGTGCGTGACGTTCGGAATTTTCGAACGCGCTGTGGTGGGCAGTAGAAAATATGGTGTACTACTGGCAGTTAGCACTCCGGGTCGATTGACCACTACTCACTAGTAGGAGATGTGTGCGTGGTGTGTGCGTGGTAGTCCAGAGCTCAAGTTGTCGGGAGTCTTTCGTTCAAAGCCAGGGTCAGTGAGTGACCGTACAGGACATCCCGGGCTATCCCGGGCCGGTCTGTCGTCCGATCGACGGTTCTTGGCATGATGTCACTGCCACAAATGGCAGGCGGCGGCTTTGGATCCTAACAAGGCCAAACACCTCCCTTCCTCCGAGTCGTCCGAGTCAAGTCAGGACGCATTCGACCCGCTCATAATTCTCATCTTGCTCGTTATACATCGACACAGAATGATGTGCACGGATATATGGATCAGCCCAAACAGGCTATGTAGTCTGGGAGGTGCCCAGGAGACGTCAGCGACGAGGCTGCCTGGAGTGTGCTAGAACGTTCGGCCGCCTGCCGGATTTGTCTCCACCGACGGACGTCGACAGTGATGAACGCTCTCGAACTCTCGCCGCCCCCGCCACACCGCACCACTCTCGAACCGCCCCGAAGTGCCGTCCTAGCCGCTGAGGTCAGTATAATATCCTCTCCCCATCCCCGTCTCTCTATACTCACACATTCGCACACCCCGTTCACGACTTTGCACGACACACATCTACGAAATCATGTTCGGCTACAACCCCTACGGCGCATACTCCAGCCCCTACAGCTACGCACGCGCAAGTCCCTCCTACTCCTCGGCCGACGCCGACTACCTCCGCGCCCTCGCCCAGGAGCGCACGGCCCAGGAACAGCTGCTCGCCGCCCGTCGTGCCCAGGAAGAGGCCCGCCAACGCGCAGAACGCACGCGCCTCGCCCGGCAGGGCTACGGTCTCCCGTCGCAGTACAACCCGATCTATGACGACCTCGACGACTACGAGGAGCACGACTCTTACGATGGCGGCTTTCCGCCCTACGGCGGGTTCGGCGGCTATAGCCCGAGTGTCCGCCAGCGCAGGGCGATGACGGAGCAGGAGCGCCAGCGAGCGCTGCAGAGGGAGTTGGAGAGGAGGGAGCGCGAACGCGAGCGGGAGTTGGAAAGGCTGAGAATGAAGGAGGAAAAGAGGCAGTTGGAGGAGGAGAGACGGAGGCTTATGGAGGAGGAGCGAAGGCAGCGCATACGCGCGGAGGAGTTGAGGCGGAGGGAGCAGGAGTACGGCCGCCAGCAGCGCGCGAGTCAGTTCGACCCCCTCTTCGGTCCCTATGGCTGGATGCCAGATGAAGACGAGATGGTGAGTAGTGCCACCCGAACCGATCGTTCTTGCCTAATGACGATGTGTACAGACCTCGCCCCAAAGCAATCGGCGATCACGTACCGTCGCACCTACCCGCCGGCGTGGGATGGCCCCGCAGGGCACTCCTGCTACGCAATTACATCCCAAGCCTGACAGTTACGCGTCGCGCGCATCGTCCGTTCCGCCGCGCTCAGCGGTTCCCCCGAGCCCCATCAGGCCGACCGCTTCCTACAACGGAGCCACCGGCCACTTCAAAGTCCCCATCCGCACGCCGTCGCCGAAGGCGCAACCCCCCCAGGCGACGCCCGAGCAACACGTCGCAGCGCACAAGATCCAAGAGGCCTACCGCACGCACGCCGCGCGCACCGCCGCGCTCCGCACGATCGACGAGTACCGCACCAAGTTCACGCAGCTCAAGGCGGGCTTCCGCTTCCCATCTAGCTTGGACTTCGCCTTGGCACCGGGCGCGCACGACCACGTCTCCGTGCCGCCCGACCCCGCGGCCCTGTCCGCGCTCGTCCTTGCAGACGGCGCGAGCGTCGAGGAGGGCAGGAGCCGCCGCCCGCAGCTCGCGTACACGTCGCGGAACGCGGTGGTGCACGGGTACCTCGAGGAGCTGAGCCAGCTGTTGGGCAGGCTGGACGCGGTGGAGAGTGGCGGGGATAGGGAGGTGAGGGAGCGGAGGAAGACGCTCGTGAGGGAGGTCGAGGCGGAGGCGGAGAGGGTCGAGGCGGTTGTTGGGGAGGTGTGGGCGAGGTGGCAGGCGAAGGATAGGGAGAGGGAGGGAGGGCAATGGGTGGGGGAGACAGTGAAGGTCGCGCCGGGGACGTACCAAGCGACGGCGGAGCGGCCGACGGAGCAGCAGCAGCAGGAGAAGGTGATGGACGTGGTCGAGCAGTCTGACGAGCATGCTCAGCCGGAGGCGTCTCTCGATCAACAACCGCCCGCGCAGCCGACGCAGACAGAAGAGACGGTCCCCATCGCGCCTGGCGTGTACGAGGCCGTCACGGAGCTGCCGTCCGCCGAGCAGCAAGACGAGAAGCGGATGGACATCGAGCGGGACCCCGATCAGGATGCGCTGCCCGAGGCGCACCTCGCCCTGGACGAGACTCCCGCGCAGACGGAGGAGACGGTGCCGGTAATCCCCGGTGTGTACGAAGCGAAGGCGGACCCGCCGACGGACGCGCAGCGGGAGGAGAAACGGAGGGACGTCGAGCGGAACCCGGACCTGCACGCGGGCGCGGAGGCGAGCCTCGACATCGTCCCGCACGTGGAGCCCTTGCATGCGGAGGAGTCGGTCATGCTCGTGCCCGCCGAGTGCAGTAGCGCGGGGGAGTCGTCGGGCTCGGGAGACGAGGGCGGACGGATCGACGTCGACCGGGTGCGCGCGGAGGAGAGCGGCAACAGTATGCTGGTCGAGCTGAGTGAGTCCGCCCCGTCGATGTCCTCCGTGGCGGACGACGCGCTTGCTGAGCCGATGGAGTTGGATGCTGACGCGCTGGGTGTCGTAGAGAGTGCGCCAACGCCGGAGGTCGAGATCCCTGACGCGGAGCCGGAGAACGAGGGCGGGTACGAGAGCGATAACGAGGACATTGGTGTGGGGAAGGAGAGCCTGGGTGTGCCGGGCGAAGTTGAGTCGCCGCCAACGCCAGAGGTCGACATCAAAGACGCAGATGAGGAGGACAAGGAGGCTATCTCGTCCCAGCGGCCGCCTTCAAGCGCAGAGCCTACACCCGCCCCCCGGTGCACATTCATCCACAGTTCTCTGCCGTCGTCGAGCAGCCACCGACACCTACGTCGCCGCCTGCTGAACACCTGGAACCCGAGGTCGCGCATATCGAGCGGCGCCTCACGACGGAGGGCGAGCCTTCGATGCCGGTTGCTGGCCTTCACAACCGCCCCGCGACTCCGACGCTCAGCCCGTCGCGCGGCGATGCGGAGAGCGAGGAGGAGGGCCCGGGGACGCCGCCGATGGACCCCGCGCCGCATATCCTTGTGACGCCAGCGGAGGAACACCAGGGCGCGCGGGGCGAGCTCCGGCTGAAGGAGGAAGAGTCGCGTCCGGAGATTGGGCAGAAGGTGGACGCTGAGGCGGCGCTTGAGTTGAGGATGGCGAGGGAGCGGGAGCTGTTCTGATTTGTATCAATGGACTGGGCGGGTGTCTTGACTCCTGTTCTGTTGTTGACATCATTTGTACAGTAGCATCGTGAAGTATTGACAGAACGCAGTTTTGTGTGTAATTACCGATTGCCTTGCCTCATGCCAGCGTATGTCGTCGCGTCGGCCGTCGCCCGCATGCCCGCAATCAAACCGACGGTGCGCAATCAAACGATCATGCCCTGAGTTAGACATGTCTCACGGGAGTTGAGCTTGAACTTGAAGGTGAATACTGACATATTGAGTAATTCAATTCACTTCAAAGCTCGGCAGGCCTCCCTCTGCCTCCCTGTCTGACGGGTCGGGTTCATGCAGGTTCTCCGCTCTTGTCGGGTTGTGGCCGAGGTCAAGGTCAGATCGCAATCGGGCCTCGCCGATCACTGCGAATCACTGCGGCGACTCTCACCAACTTCTTTTTGTTGTGACTAAGAACCGTGGCATGTGGCTGTGTTCAATCATGGTCGTCTCCTTTATCATGCCGCACGCTGGCGCGCTGGGCATCCCCGCTTCTTGTCCACCTCCATAGATCAGCCTCACCGTAGCCTTCCGCCCGACATGTCCGGCAAGGTTGTTATCGTCACTGGTTGCTCGAAGGGCGGCATTGGCTTCGCGCTGTGAGTGCCGTTCTGTCGTATCGTCAAAGCCCCCTGTTGACACGGTTATGCATCCAGATGTGAAGAGTTTGCGGCACAGGGCTGCAAAGTCTATGCCACGGCGCGCAGGGTCGAGGCCATGGAAGGCTTCAAGGACCCGAATATCTCCACGCTGAAGCTGGACGTCACGTCAGACGAGGACGTGGCAGAGGTCGTGAAGACGGTGCTTGAGCGGGAGGGGAGCATCGACATTGTTGTTAACAACGCTGGGGCCCCGTGCTCAGGTGGGTAGCATACGACTTTGGTACCATCGCCTGGCTGACGTGCACTAGGTCCTCTCGTGGAGATACCCCTTGACCGAGCACAGAAGACATTCGACACCAACCTCTTTTCCGTCCTGCGCCTCTCGCAAGCCGTCTTTCCGCACATGAAATCCAAGCGCAGCGGGACGATAGTCAACATCGGCTCTATCACTGGCGACACGTACGCTTCCTCTCCTCTCACGCCCCGGCGCGTCCCTGACTCTCGCTCCCGCACAGACCATCGCCCTGGGGCGGGATCTACGGCGCGACGAAGGCCGCGCTCGTCCGCCTCTCCGAGATCCTCTACATGGAAGTCGCGCCCTTCAACATCCACGTCGTGCACATCTCCCCGGGCGGCGTCAAGAGCAACGTCGGCGTCAACGCTCTCAGCTCGCTCGTCCTCCGCGAGGACAGCGCCTACAAGCCCTTCTTCGACTCGATGGTCACGCGCATCGGACGAGCACAGGGCCCGTCGTCGCTCCCCGCTGACCAGTTCGCGAAGCAGGTAGTGTCGGCGGTCGTGAAGCCGAACCCGCCCAGATACATGACCCTCGGCAGGGGCGCCTGGGCGAGCGCGCTCATGCAGTGGCTCCCGCGGTCGGTCGTGTGCTGGCTGATGTGGAGGATTGTGGTGGGCAAGTCGAAGACAGCGTGACTGTAGCAGCATGCTTATTATTTATCACTGTATGTGGGTTTGCCTCGCTTATATCGCACGGGTGTTGTAAGCTGACTGTCGATCACAACAGTTCATTATACATTGTTCATTGTTCACTCGGGATTGTAGGCCTTCGGTGTCGTCTTCATACGCCATACGGGCTTGTGCTTTACCAAGACTGGTGCATGGCTCGTGGATCCTGCTCGCCGGGAGATCAGCGTACGTGGTATCAAGCTTCCGCGCAGACGCTCGCCGGCTTCATCTGCACTGCAAATCGTCAAGCCTCTGTCCTTAACTCTATCATAAACATAGAGAAGTCTGAGCGCGCAGTGCTGTTGATCAAGCCTATCTTTGCTGTGTCAATTCCGAACGACTGAGGTCTGCCACTGCAGATCTCGATCTCTGCGTAGGATCAGCCATAGAGCCGTTGCCGTCACTGATCCAAACTCGAATCCCACTCTCCCGACTCGAAGTCGGCTTGCGTGCGCGCGATCTCCTGGAAAAGCGCACGACTCACGGATGGGATGTATGTATACCGTCTCACGCACTCACAAAAACGGGGCGCCGCCACGCATGCAAGCGCATCGTATCGTATCGGAGCGACGTTCTATGAACCACTAATGCGACAATACCTGCATATATGCGCGTTCCGTTTCTTCTCCCAGGCCTACATCGCGAAGCGTACGACGTATCGCACACTATTGGCACTGCCATCGCCGCAAAATCTGGCGCAAGAGACACGTATCTGCTGATATAAGTCTCGCAGAGCGTCACACGTTTTGGCAGACACGGTGGTCATGAGTCTCAGTGGTTCGCCTCTCGACTCGTGGGGGTTAAACTTGAGCTTCACAGGCCCTGTCAACGGAAGGAATGCCTCGGTGCGACAGTTGATACCAAATGTGTCCGCATGTGTCCATCCACATCGTGTCCCTTCGTGGTCGTCAGGTATGTTTTCATCGTAGCTCTCTCTATTATTACAATTCCTGATTAGAGTGTCCGTTCCAGATTCCGTGACGTTCACACAGAGTCTGTCGGTCACCATAGGCAGCTCACGACTTCCTGAGCGTTCGATGTCATCGTTGGCATTGAGTTCAGGCCTACGTCGTTAGAGGCGCCGTACGTAAGTACCAATCGGCGGCACGCTGGCGTACTATACATGGTTGCAATAAGTACATGTAGCGACCTCGTCGCCTTAACATCACGCAACAGTTCCGCTGGAAATGTCTACGTGGATTACCTCGCGCAGATTCTACGACGTCCACTTCCAACGGTTCGTCCGACCCTGGCCGTGCACGAAGCTGCCGTCGGGCGTCTCAGCTGAACAAGACACAAGGGTCTGCACACGTATTGCCACCATGATAAGGTGCCTTTCCTTCCTTCACCCACGATCTCCCATGACGCATGTCCCAAGATAGACTTTCGAAGCTAGCACCGGGCCTTCCCCTGATGGTGCGCCGAAGAGCCCCTGCCGCGGATGGAAAAATAGACTCAGGCGCCAACTGGCCGGCTGCTCGCGCACGGAGAAGCCATATCGAGCACGATCTGCGCATTTAGAGCGTGTCCAAGGGCTCACAACGTCTTCGAGAACGAAGGGGTTACTCGATATGGAGATCCGACTCGACCTTCCGCCGGCGAGCGCGGCGGCTTCACGCAGCGATCTTGAGACACGCTGTGGGCTGCCCCATGCCATTGACCGTTTGCAGCTCCTTGTGGGAGGATTGTGTCCATGCCGCTCGCGTAAACATGCGTCGTCCGAGTCTGCGTTCTCTCTGCGTAGAACGGATATAAGCATGGACTGCAGGCCGTGGACGCCAACAAGATCGCTAGCTCACTCACCAGTACAATCAACTCAAAGGCACTAACAACTGCGTTCAGCACCCTTCTCCTAAACATGCCCGGACTCACCAACTACCCGCCCTTCCCCGACAACGTCCCGACTCACCCGCTCCTCGTCGTTGACTACGAGCTCCTCAAGGCTGGCGACGAGGAGGAGATCAACACGTTCTGGACGGCTGCCACCACTCTCGGCTTCTGGTAGTAAGCACCGGTTCGGGCCGCCTTCTCCAGAACAACGAACTGAATCACGTATGTCATAGCATGAAGAACCACGGTGCTGATGAGCTAGTCAGTGAGATGTTCGACATGGGCGAAGAGACGATGGACCTCCCCTTCGAGGAGAAGATGAAGTTCGAGCAAGGCGATGACGGCATGTCCTTCGGGTAGGTGCTCTGCGTATCGCTCTTCCCCAGCCCACTCAGACATTCTCCGCCAGCTACAAAGCCCCAGGAGCCAACGCCACGGACGAGACCGGCGCACGCGACACCGTCGAGTTCATCAACATCTCCCAGGACGACGCCCTCGCCTTCCCCACGCCCGTGCACCGCACGTACCCCTCGACGGCCACCGCGCGCATGGAGCACACGATCCGGCCGTTCATCCAGCACTCCGTCGCGGTGAACCGCACGCTGATGGAGATCCTCGGCAAGCGGCTCGGCTTCAGGGAGGGCACGCTCGCGCAGCTGCACGGGCTGGACGAGACGAGCGGGAGCGAGGCGCGGTGCATCCGGAATCCGCCCCGGCCGGGCGGGATCTCGGAAGAGAAGGCGGCGCTGGGTGCGCACACCGACTTTGGCTCGATGGTGCGTTGTTGTTCTTAGCTGCTCGAGAGGAAGGCGATCTGACGCGGATATTCCTGCGCACAGACATTCCTGCACAACCGACTCGGCGGATTGCAGGTGATGCCCCCGGGTTCGGACAGGTGGCAGTACATCAAGGTACCTCTCCCCGCGTCTTCCGGATCCGCGTAGGGCTGACGATCCTCCCAGCCGATCCCAGGACACGCCGTGTGCAATCTCGGTGACGCGATGTACATCTTCAGCGGCGGCATCCTGAAGTCGAACTTCCACCGCGTCGTGTAAGCTGGTTCCTCAATCGTTTCCACTCGCGTAGATCTCACTGACCGGCTGCGTACAGACCTGCTCCAGGCGCCCAAGCGGTGCTCCCGCGCTGGTCCCTTGCGATGTTCACGCGTCCTGGCGACTCCGTCGTCCTTCGCGCCCTCACCGAAGAGAGCTCTATGGTTGCGGACGCGGTTGCGAGTGCCCCTGAAAGGAGCATCTTCGGCAGTGACCAGACATCGAAGGAGTGGTTTGCGCGGCGGATTAAGTACCAGCGCACAAAGAACCAGAAGGTCGGTTCCGTTCGATGTTCGCTGCGTTGTACCTCGCTGACGCAGGCGTGCCGTGTGCAGGGTCCCCAGACTTGGCGGCAGAGCCGTGGTACGGAGCACCGTCCTGATGCCGCTTGACCAGGGATGCATAAGTCGGTCGTTCTATATAATATCCCGGTACCGTAGATGTTCAATGCAGTTTATTTGATGTCGCGCTGTAGTATATGAGGGCCACGCATTGAACCTTGTTACCGCAGTTGCACGCCCGGGAACAACTGTTGTATCCTTCACATTCAATTTACATTGCATCATAACGTTGCGACAGTGGACAGAAACTCAGAGAGGTCGCTCAAGGAACGATCACGGATACGTCACACTTGCCAAATTGGGGTAGGCGACCTGAAGTCGTTCAGTAGCGGCTCTTGATTCAATAGCAACTGGGAGTGGATGTCGAACCACGACCATGTCTGACAATGAGTTCATTTTCTTTTATCCTCACCCCGACGTCGAAGGCAGCGTCGTCGTAAACGCTCCCGATACAGTCCGCGTCCAAACCCTGTTGGATCAGGTCGCACAAAAGGCACCGGGCATCATCCACCACATCGGCACAGCCGTTCAGAAGCTCTACGTCGTATGTACACTCAAGTTATGTGTTGCACTCCAGGCGGTTGGTCTCATTCCCCGTAGCCTTCCAATTTGTCCATTAGCCCCGAGGACACGCTGTTCTCTCGCACTCAAGAATGGCTTCGGCTACACCGTCATGACAAGCACACCCAATCCTGGGTGAAAGTTAGCACATGCTTCCCTAATGGGCCATCTCCCGACATGGTGCATTTTCTCATTGTCACTAACGAAGGTGAGCCCATCGCGTAGACAGCATCGCTATCCTGCTCACGCCTCCTTTAGTCCTAGAGAGTTTAGACGGTCAGAACAAGATAGCTGCACGTACGTCGGCATTTCAAGTTTACTGTGCGTTTTTGTTCATACCCGCGCATCCTAATCAAGGTCACGGTCAAAAGCTGGACGAACTGTGGAGGAAGGCTTGGGGCAAACCATGGTCTCGTTATGTGGCGTCGATCACCTTAGCCGAACTAGGGCAGCCTCTGATTTCACCCGATGACGATGTCGACGATACTATGTCTATCGATGAGGAGGAGGCTGCGAACGCCACCTTGAAATACACCTGCTTCGGGGATATCTCTCCAATCATACATGTCCTTCATGCCAAACCACGGCTGGACGTCCTAGTTGAACGAGAAGAATACGTTCAGCTGCGAAACGCCCTGGAATGCTCTCAGGCTACGTTTGTAACGGTGTTAGGCCACACAGGTACTGGTGCGTGAAAGCTTTTGTGGAGTCAACTTGCAACAATAAATCAGTCGTCACAGGCAAGAGTGTCTTTCTGCTCTACCTGCTTCTCCACCGCCTCGAGCAGCGACTTCCGACGGCGATTCAATTCAGAACAACCGAGCTATACGTTTTTGAAGATACTCAAGCGTACATGGTCCGTCCTGAGTCTATCGAGGAACTACAACTACCCGGGTTCTGGATTCTTGTCGACTCCAATGCAGACGTCGTCGCTCCATCTGACTGTCTCTGTTCATGTGGCGCAGCGCGCCTCGTTCATGCTGCATCTCCGAATGCGAAGAGGTGGGAGGAATGGACCAAGGGGGAGTATAATATCGAGAGCATTGTTTCGCGTTTACCGACCTTGACCGAAATTGGGATGATAATGTGAGTGACCGCACTCCTGACAGGTTGGTTGCGAGGATGTTGACCTGCTTATATCATAGCAAGGTGCACGGGCTGGAAGTGGCTAGAACATATGACATCGTCAACCAGTGGGGTCCATCCATCCGAACGATCCGGAAACTACTCAGTGGTGGGGCTAGCGCGATAGCCATGGCACATTCGGACGCTATCCGGGCGGCGCGCCAAATATGCGAAAATTCTTCCGTACTACGTTCCATGCGCCTCGACAACGACCACCACGCCGAACTTCACAGCATCGCTTCTTCGATCTTATTCATTTACCCTATCGGTCCATGTTTGTGGGCGTACCGCGTGCCTACCTCCTACCTTTCCGACATCCTTGATGCTGCGCGCCAGGAGCTCAGTACCGCCAAGGCGATCGAGCTCTTCGAGTTTTTCAGCTTGCATCCTCTGACGAGGTCGGCCTCAGGGTGGCGCTTCGAGAAAGAGATGCACGCGTACTTGTGTAGCGGGTCCGAACCACTCCGACTCGTTCGGGGCGAGCACAAGTCGACCATGACGCCGTCAACAACGTTACTCATCGGTACAGCGAACAGGCTCAATAATGTCAAGGGAGCCTCAAGCTCGAGCTTTTACTGGTTCCCCTCCGTAACCACTTTCCCCGGCGTCGATGGTGTCCTTGTTGATGATCACAATGTCTACGTCGTTCAAGCGACCATGGCCGCCGATCAGGAACTTCCCGCGAAGGGGTTGAAGAAGATCTGGGCTGCATTCGACGCCAATATCAAGTACAAACGTACTTGGCACTACGTTGTCGTTACGGACCGCACGAAGGGAGCTACTCAGCATGCGAGCGATCTTCTCCGCACGATGGAGAACTTTACTCTGGGGCCGAAAGGGAATTGTGTAGTACTCAAGTGTTGGAGTTGCGTGTTGAGTCCAGCGGAGTTGTAGAAGGCCGCGGATCGCCAGACCAAGTGCTGTTTAGTCGAATCTTCCTTGAGGAGACTGAGGCCAAGCGCGGTTTCTGTGCAAGATCTGAGCTATCGACATTCCGGAGACTCACAGAGGACTCGGAGACGCGATGTACATCTTCAGCGGCGGCTTCCTCAAGTATAACCTCCACCGCGTCGTGTAAGCTGATTCCTCAGGCATCTCCACTCGCGTAGATCTCACTGACCGGCTGCGTACAGACCTGCCCTAGTAGGCACACAAGTGGTGCTCTGCGCTGGTCCCTTGCAATGTTCACGCGTCCTGGCGACTCTATTGTCCTTCGCGCCTTCATCGAAGAGAGCCCCATGGTTGCGCGCAGTTGCGGATGTTCCTGACAAGAGCGTCTTCGGCAGTGACCAGACATCGAAGGAGTGGTTTGCGCGGCGGATTGAGTACCAGCGTACAAAGAACCAGAAGGTCGGTTTGGTTCGACATTCGCTGCGTTGTACCTCGCTGACGCTGGCGTGCGATGCACAGGGACCCGAGACTTGGCGACAGAGCCGTGGTACGGAGCACTGTCCTGATGCTGCTTGACCAGGAATGAGCAGTTCAGTTGTTTCTATTCAGGAATGCCCCCCGCCTTGTAATTACGTACTGTAGATGTTCCCTGTAGTTTATCTGCTCTCACGCGCTGCAGTATATTAGGGCCACGCAATGAACCTTGTTACCACAGTTGCATGGCCGAAGACAACTGCTGTCTCCTTCGCATTGTATAACACAAAACCCTTATCTACGCAGACACAGACAATAAGCAAGCCCTTCTGTGTGTCCTTCAACGTCGACCATCACCATGAGTTGAAACGGTATGTCATTGCATGAGCTTGTGATAACATATAAGCTACATCAGCATGGGCAGAGGCTAAGGAAACGTCTAGTCTCAGTCCATTGCTCCTAGCATACATCCATAGCATCATCACCTGCAACACTGTGCGCGAGGCACTGTCAATATCGACCACAAGGACTTATTCAAGTACACGCGATGCTGATAGTGCGTCTTGACCTCGTTTGAGGACCACTGAGTGTATGTAGCGACTATCCGTGAGCATCCTCAGGAGGTCACGCCTGCTTGCTATTAGACCCTTCGCCCGCGCAATCTTCCAGCACTTGTACACTGCCCTCCGGGACTTGAGTGTACGGTGCACTGCGACCCGCTCGGCTGGGGGATTGCCCACTCGTTGGACCTTGTTCGCTATGGTAGGAATGCGGAGGGGAGCATCTACTGCTGCACTCTTGTCAACCTGGCGCGGATGGGCATCTTCGTCTGTACCTGTTGTGAACGTTCAGCTTGGATGTGTCTATGAAGGATTAATGCGTCTTGCATACGTTTGCGCTTCTGAGTCGCTGGCAGTGTACTGTCCCCAGTCTGCAGACTTGGTACAGCTGCCACAGTTATCTCGTCTTTCATTTCCGAGTCAGTAACGTACTCTTCTACTATCATTGCTGCATTGGCGGTCTCTGATGCCTCACTGCTTGTTATGAGAGGGGTGAATGAGCTCCAAGTGTCCGAGCCCAGTGGATTGATACTCCGAGTTAACATTTCCGAGTCCTCGATCGTCGATTGAGGTGCCAGTGTCCAGGCCGACTCGGAAGTCTCCGTCACCATCAAAGCCGTCCCCGACTTCTGTCACGTAGGACGATACATTCTCCGCAACGCTGGTGCGCACGACGAAGGTGGTGGCGCACCAGCTGGATACTACCGTTGTGCTTGTCTGACCCAGAGGTTGCGAACCCGTGGCTCGCTTGCTGGTGGGGACCTGCGTGGCCTCACACACAGCGAGTGCGGAGCTCGAGTCTGGAACCGGATGTCGTCACGATGAGAGACAGATGCCTCCACCATGGTGTCTCGAGCTGGGGACCTCGAACGCAGGGGTCTTGCGTTTAAATACCCTGTGCGCCGCATAGGACGTATCTCCAGCCTTGCTTCTAGCCTCCTCAAACCGCGCTCGGCACGTCATGCGCACATGTGTGCGTGCGCCGCTCACGAATTGTTAGCGTCTTACAACTTCTCGAGATAGTGGGTGTGCGTATACACATGATGGGGCCTTCTGTGATGTCCTTGTTCGGCTGTCACTGGTGAATACATACCTGTCTTCAAGTTGGTTGTTCCACTGGCAGCTGTGAACACGCGGTGTCCATGGCAATTATCTGTGCGCAGTATTGTCGTCTTCGCGTACTGGGTTCAACAATATGGAAGCCGGCAGCAGGAAGAATAAGAAGAGCATACCATTGAAGCACAGCATCGTGGATGACCAGGATACTGCTCACCGTGGCTCGAAATCCTGCCAAATACATAAACGGTAAGCCTCTATGCGTATCCGCACTATCCATATTCTTCCGCTTGTATGTCCCAATTATTCTTCCTCCTCCGCAGTTCGATACTGAAACCTTCAATCAGCGCGCAGAGGAACATCATGCCAAGGAAAATTTACCTGCATCGGAACCGCCACACAAGCCTTCGCTTCCTTATGACCTGGCACTGGCACTCTCTGCACCTGATCGCGTCTGACGCCTGAGGCGTTGTCCGTCAGCCCTGCGACTGACGACTCATGCCTTTCCCTGCCAGTGTTCGACCGACGTGCCTTGAATATGTAGTCAGTAGTCAGTACATGTGGTGACACGTCACTACGAAACTCACAAGGTTTGCGCCGACAACCGTGTCTATGGCCCTCTCCTGGACACGCGGCCTTAGCCCAGATGTTGCTGAACGATGGTTCTAATGTTTAACGAGGTGTTCGCGGTGACTACATGCGATCACTGACCTTTACGCTTGGGTGGAGCCTCTCGCTTTGAGGCCCGGCTTCTTGACCGTGCTTCCTCCTTCACCGGCGTAGTGGCGTCTGCAGTGGCACATCGAAAGTGCTCTCTCCTTTTGAACTCCCATCCCGTTCATCCGCAGTAGTATAGTCCCCCGATGAGCCCGTCCTTGCACACTAGCGGACACTTCGTCCGAGTCTACTAGTACTGCTCCATGCGAAGTTGAAGCCGTAGCGGAAGGGTTCCCGTAGCTGTCGGACTCGACAGGCGACTCTGGTATGTCCAAGTCATCGAGGCGCACTGTGACCCACTTGCCGTTCCTCACGTCCAAAGTATCGACGAAGTCTACAGGTCGGAATCGGAGTAGACGACCGGCGGGGGCGATCTCGGTCGACTCCATTCGATCTTTCGCAATCGGGGGAGGATCTGCTGCACGAACGGATATCCGTTGATCTCTCGGGTGTGGCACTAGTCGGAGGCATGGCCTGTTTCTCTCGACTCGCAGACAGTGCGTTGGGCATGTCTTGTTCACTAGATTCAACTCGAGTCCTAGACGTCTGTCTTGTGTCGGGGCTTGTCGCACTTGGTAGGTCGATGAGGAGGTTGCAATGACTCGGAGGAAATGGCTGAGAATCGTCGTATAGCCAACGATGCTTCGGTGAGCTATGATGATATAGAGCAAGTTAATACACAACAATGGCGAGTAGCGACCTGGCCTTTGTCTTATCGCGTGCACCGTGACGGCGAGCTCCGGGACATCACAGCCTGTAGTGCATGTATGCGGAAGGCTTCGCGCGCGAGTTCCATTGTCGAACAGAAGGCTTGCCATGCACAATGTCTCACTGCTATATGGCATTCGTACGAGAAGCCGGTCCTTTATGGCGATTGTTATGCCTGCTTGTTGTGCTATACAAGGTTGTAGCCTGCAGTAGCGCTTGTTACTGATTATGAGATCTCGCCGTGCAACTTGCCAATTAGCGCTGCAACATGCTCTCTTGTCATTCTTGTCCCAGTCGGTGGAAGCTTCCCGTGTGACGCCTGATGCTGTACATGTTGTTGAACTGGAGGAGAATTAACGTTTTTGATATTTAGCACCCTTCACTAATACGAGCGGAAGCATACTAGTTACCATGATCATCTACAGTACGTACAAGGCATCACAGGCAAGGTCCTAGACAACATATACAGAGAGCCACATTTCATCGAACACTCATCGTTTTCAGGCAGCATCAGGACGATGCTCCGTACCACGGCTCTGTCGCCAAATCTCGGGCCCTGCACACGGCACGCCCGCGTAAGTGGGCATAATACTGCTAGCATCGAACGTAGCCCACCTTCTGGTTCTTGGTACGCTGGTTTCTGATCCGCCGCGCGAACCACTCCTTGGACGTCTGGCCGCTGCCGAAGACGCTCCTGTCGGGGCACTCGCGACCGCGTCCGCGACCACGGGGCTCTCCTCGGTGAGGGCGCGGAGACGACGGAGTCGCCAGGACGCGTGAACATCGCCAGGACCAGCGCGGGAGCACCGCTTGCGCGCCTGGGGCAGGGCTGCACGTAGTTGGTCAGTGAGAATGGGTTGGGGAGAAGACGGCTTACACGACGCGGTGGAGGTTCGACTTGAGGATGCCGCCGCTGAAGATGTACATCGCGTCTCCGAGGTTGCACACGGCGTGTCCTGGGATCGGCTGGGAGGATCGTCAGCCCCACGCGGATCCGGAAGACGCGGGGAGAGGTACCTTGATGTACTGCCACCTGTCCGAACCCGGGGGCATCACCTGCATCCGCCGAGTCGGTTGTGCAGGAACGTCTGTGGCAGGAACGTCGCGTCAGCTGCCTTCCCTCGGCAGCTAGGAAACAACCCACCATCGAGCCAAAGTCGGTGTGCGCACCCAGCGCCGCCTTCTCTTCCGAGATCCCGCCCGGCCGGGGCGGATTCCGGATGCACCGCGTCTCGCTCCCGCTCGTCTCGTCCAGCCGGTGCAGCTGCGCGAGCGTGCCCTCCTGAGCCGAGCCGCTTGCCGAGGATCTCCATCAGCGTGCGGTTCACCGCGGCGGAGTGCTGGATGAACGGCCGGATCGTGTGCTCCATGCGCGCGGTGACCGTCGAGGGGTACGTGCGGTGCACGGGCGTGGGGAAGGCGAGGGCGTCGTCCTGGGAGATGTTGATGAACTCGACGGTGTCGCGTGCGCCGGTCTCGTCCGTGGCGTTGGCTCCTGGGGCTTTGTAGCTGGCGGGAGTATCAGAGTGGGCGGGGAACAGCGATACGCAGAGTACCTACCCGAAGGACATGCCGTCATCGCCTTGCTCGAACTTCATCTTCTCCTCGAAGGGGAGGTCCATCGTCTCTTCGCCCATGTCGAACATCTCACTGACTAGCTCATCAGCACCGTGGTTCTTCATGCTATGGCCGCGTGATTCAGTTCATTGTTCTGGAGAAGGCGGCCCGAACCGGTGCTTACTACCAGAAGCCGAGAGTGGTAGCAGCCGTCCAGAATTTGTCAATCTCCTCGTCGTCGCCAGCCTTGAGGAGCTCGTAGTCCACGACGAGGAGCGGGTGAGTCGGGACGTTGTCGGGGAAGGGCGGGTAGTTGGTGAGTCCGGGCATGTTTAGGAGAGGGGTGCTGAACGGAGTTGTTAGTGCCTTTGGGTTGATTGTACTGGTGAGTGAGCTAGCGATCTTGTTGGCGTCCACGGCCTGCAGTCCGTGCTTATATCCCTTCTACGTGCAGAGAACGCAGACTCGGAGAAAACATGTTTACGCCATCCCCATAGGCTCAATCCTCCGAGACGATGCCTCACCGCTCAGCTCAAGATCGCTCTACGAAGCCGCTGGACTCGCCGGCCGAAGCTCGCGTCGGGTCCCCATAGCAGGTCACCCACGTTCTCGAAGTCGTCGTGTGCCCATTGGGATACGCCGTGAATGCGTGGTCGTGCTCCATATGGTTTCTCTGAAGCGAGCAGCTGGCGCATCGGCGCCTGAGTCTATCTTCACCTGCTCGGCCGGGATAGATCGGCATGCCAGCAGGGCAGGGCCCGGTGCGTGCTTCGAACTTCGAATTGAAGCCTGTCTTGGGTCATGCGTCAGTAGAGCGTGGGTGAAGGAAGGGCGAGTACCTTATCATGGTGAGGAGAGCCGTTCGCAGATCCTCGCGTTCCGTTCGGCTGGGTGACGCCCGCCGGCGCGAGCTTCGCGCAGCGCGAGGGACTGACGAGTGAGACTTGCGTGATCTGTGCGAGTGAGCTGGCCGCGGACACGGGCCTCCGAGTTGGTGTGGACGCTACATGACTCGACGCAAAGCCGACGAACACCGAGCGTCGACATATGTGCATGCACCGCAGTGCGCTGCCAACTGGCATTTGCGTAGGGCGCCCCCGACGCCGCAGGACTGAACTCAATGCCAAGTTTCTACGCATCGGACGCCCAGGAAGTCGTCAATCACCCACGGCCACCGAGTCACACCAGCTCCGCCTGCACGAACGCTCCTACACTTCCGGAATCAGCACAGAAGAGAGCCGCGGTGAGTGCAACACTGACGTACCAGTAGTAGTATTGAAGGAGCACGCTGCCTGTGGGGCGTCATACGGTCGCATCAGCTGCGTGGAGTGTCATACCCACCCGACCCTGGACAAGCTCGTTCCAATCAAACTCGAACCCCACGCACGCTACAGTAGTGGTAGGCACCCATGACCACCGCGCCTGCCGAAATCCACAGCTTGTCCATATGCTACGGTCGTCTGCCTCTAATACCTCCATACTCACTCCGATAGCGCATCCTGCTCGCCGCAGTGTCAACAGAGCGCGCGATACGCTGCACGCTTCGCGATGTCGACCTGGGAGGGGAAAACGCAGCGTGTACAAGTGCCGCGGGCCGGACTGGCTCAGTCACACCCCGGGATGCAAGTGGTCCGACTAGCCGGGTTTGCGCTCAGGCGCGCCCCGCTTTGGCGTTGGCGTCGACCTGTGCCATCCATGACCGGCGGAAGGGCGCCCAAGGACATGGTGCATTACAGGCGCAACTGGAAGTGTGGGTCAGGCGACGACCTTGTGGCTGAAGCTCACGGAGAGATCGAGATCTTCCCGATGTTGTAAAGAGGCGCCCGTTCGACGATTGGACGAACGCAAGGTGGCCAAATTAATCTCACTGGCAGTACAAACCTGTTCTTGCTGTTGTCCTACCGAGCACGCAGTGGATACACTTCCCGCACACGGTCTACGTACGCATCCGTAGGCTAATTGACGGAAAGTGTCTCACAGTACTCAAATAATGTAGGACACAAATAAACCTCAGCCGTCCCTGCCAGAATCGCTCGCGACTCCAAGCTTCCCAAAACGAGCGGGCCTGACCATTTTTCTCCTCAACTCGCTCGTCCATCAGGCCGCAGACACGCTGGGAGCCCGCTCGCGCCATGTACAAGTGCGCTTCAAGGCCCACGGCGCGCGTGACTCCCGGCGACATTCGAAGGGGGCGCCTGAGGCGACCTTTCCTCGGGACGGCGCGTCTCATGGGCCTCTACGTACCTTACCGCGGCTCCTTGACGAGCCGCCCGGATGGCGAGGGCGCGCGTGACGGGTTGACGCGAGCGATGCATTGATGAACGTCCGAACTGAGGCCTACATACTGAGGCGCGCGTCGTCAATCCGGCTTTCAAATTCATACAGCCATAACCGGTTCCCATACCTCCGGGGCCCCGCTCGGTACAGCAGCAAGCGGTGGGGCACATCGCGAGGAGCTGGCCACTTGAACTTCGGCTGCGGTCACGGTGGCGGTGCTGTCGGGGTCGGCGTTGTCGGGAGCTATGTAGCTGCAGCGAAGAGCGGTGCACTCCGCGACCGGGCAGCTTTCCCGACGACGCCTCGAGGACGGCGGGCGTGTCGCCAACGTTGGGACGGTACATATGTATCCACTTGGCAGAATGCAACCACTTCCGGGTTCGCGCATCCCGGACACGTCGGTCGGGACTCGGCGGTCGCCGACGCGTCGCGTCCCGTGACCGCGTCCCGGTCTCCGTCGCAGCGCGCAATCCCTGGCGGGAGATCTGAACATACGGACGTACTTACCGCCGGCGAGGATGATGCGGACGACGACGTGGCTCCGCCCGACGGCTGCCATCTCTGGTGACGGTTGCCCCGAAACACTCGCTCCCATCTTCGGCGTGCACGGTCGCCGTCTCCTCGAATCTCCTCCGCCCGTTTTGGCAGGCGTAGTGAGTCGGTCGTCGCGTCGCGGCAGCAGGTGAGCCCCGTCCAAGTCGGACTCGCGTCACGCAGGGTCGCGCGCGTCCACTCATGTTCAAATCTCAACGACTTGGACCTTTGGCTGATAGGCGTACGTATGCCTGGCGCGCGCCAGGCATGCGTGCACGTAGATCTGGTGGCGTTGAGAGCGACTTACTCGAGGCCGCCGGGCTGCTTCCCGCAAGTGGGCCGGGCCCCAATATCATATAGCTCACCGCCACGTCCACGGTTCGACGACACGTTGCCCGAGCAGCTGCTCGCCCTGCCAATAGACTGCGGGCCCGATAGGCTATCGACGCGGGCTTCGCGGCGCCCGAGAGCCTGTCCAGACACGACGTGGGCCGCGTCCACCGTCCGGTGGCCCTCTGGAGGTGTCTGCAGGTGGGGTGCGGGCGGATGCGATCCCCGCGGACGTTTGCGTTTAGGCTTTACGTTGGCGATGCGCGGTCCGCCATCAATATCTCAATGTCGCACCCAAACGCGATCGGAACGAGACAGCGAGCGTTCTGTTCGTCTGCGGAGGCGCCATGCCAATGCCAGGTAACCACGGACGAGCATGCCGGGAGACAGGGTGATGGCAGTTCGCCGAGGGCGAGTGGCCGCGCAAACGTGCGTACCGAAGCAGGCGCGTTCAGCTCGAGCTTATACAGACCCACAGCAGCTCCTGCGGGCGCAGGGTGCGCAGGGATCCAGGCCCAGGATCGATGGGCGACTGACTTATCTGGCGCACCCCATTTGGAGGGCCGTCGATCCGGGGGCGCGTCCGAAAATACCGCCGCATGGGCCTGCCCATTGGTGGTGATGGGCATTCGGCCGCGCCCGACTGCCGGTACGTACGGTACGCGGTCGCTGGGCTGCGGCAAGTGCGCTCGCCGCGGTGCCTGGCGCGCTGGACGCTCATTGGTGGCGGTGCGCACGTGACGGGCGCCCGCGACCTGGGGGCGGTGACGGAGGGGCTGCGATTGGCTGGGTGCGGACGGTCGCGGGGCTGTTGCCTAGTTGGGCGCGGCGGATGGACTCGAGCGCGGCGCGTGGGCCGGAATCGGCGATGGGACGCGGTGCCGGGCAGCACCCGCGGGCAGGGCCTCGGCCGGGGAGGCCCACCGCCACGGCGTGTCACCGTCTGCCTGCACGCCGCCCGCGATCCATCCGCGCGGTCCATGCCGTCAGCACGCCCACCGTTCTGACTCAGACTTCTGCCGCCGTTTTCCGCCTCCCTATATATACACAACCTCCAGACGACGCGCAGCCCACGCCCCCGCGCTCGCGTCCGACCCTGCACGCTGCCCGCACCACTGCCATGTCCACGTTCCCCCGCCAGCTCGCGTCGACCGGCGCGCCCTCGTCGTCAAAGCTTCCGTCGCCGCACGACGCCGCCCTCCCCTGGACGCCCGATCCCGCGCCGATCGAGCTGTACATGCCCAGGCACCCGCCAAGGCCCGCCAGGACAAGTTCGTCGAGTCCGTCGCGCAGCGCAAGGAGCGCGTCGAGTTCCTCCGCCGCCGCGAGTGGACGCGCCGCATCGCAGAGTGGATCGACAGCGCCGCGGGCGCAGACGCCAAGGTGCGCGCCCCCCACCGCGCCGTCATGCGTGACGCCTCCGCAGACGCTCACACCCCCCAGGCGCTCCCCCCGATCACGTACTCGTGGGTCGACATCCTCGCAGCCGCAGACGCCGACGAGACTACGAGGACGCGCCGCCACCCGCGCAGCCCGCGCCCTACCGCTACCCCTCCCACCCCCACGACGAGCCGGAGAGCATGGAGCCCTACATCATCTATACCGCCTCCCCTCGCTCGCACCCCGCCCCGGCCCTGCCCTCGAGCTACACCCCGCCCCCGGCCTACCCAGCGCGCCCGCCCGCGCTCAACATGCAGGGCGCCCCGATGAGACAGCGCTCGGCCGCCGAGCTCCGCTCCCGCCACTCTTCGCTCTCGTCCATATCCGAGGAAGAGGAGCCCGCGCCGGCGCCCTGCTTTTAGAGAGAGGATCCCCCGATGCGTATCCACACCTCGGGCCCTTGCATACGGTGGCGCCAGCCACCAACGATCCATCGCGGTCCCCGGCCCCGCGCATGAAGGAAGGAAGGACGTCCGGATCCCCACCCGCAATTCCGCGCACACGCCGGTTGTAAAATAGCACGCGGAGCCGTGGCCTCCTGCACCTTATATATCCCCGCCTGCTACCGTACCGCCCCCTCTTGTATTTCTATACCCTACCTTACGCTAGTTGTTAGTTGCCCCCTCTCAGATCTCAACCCTGCCCCATTGGCGACGATGGACGGACGGCTCCCTCCTGTTGTTGCGGTCGCCTCGCTCAGGGCGATCGCTGGTAGCAGTAGCTGTACATGCATATCCTTATCGTAAGCTTGCTCGCTCGGAATCGAACGCGCTCAGCGCTGCTTCGGCACTCGATGGAACCCTGTTGCGTAGAGCCTGCGAGAACAGCCATGGACGTGCATAGTTCGATTTAACGCTGTATGTACCGAAGGTGTGGGCATGCAGCATCGCCCGACACAGTCACATCACGGTACCAGACTCAACCAAGAATTGCATAAGAGACAGAAACGAAGCATCAGCAGCAGCAGCAGCACAACTGCTATAGGTATGAACACGAACCACCACGAAACGAAGAGTCGCTGGTATACTATGCAAGGTATCAGTCCAGTCCCATCCCCGGCACCCAGCACTCCCCCCAATTACCCGCCCTCCCCTTCCCCCCACGCCCGCCTACGCAGGCGACTTGGGCGGGAGCGGCGGCAGGGGCGGGATCGCGGGCACGGACGGCTGCTGCCCCTGGCGCGGGCGCGCGGCCTTCCGCCGCGCGGCCTCCTGCTCCTGCGCCTCGCGCTCCGCCTGCAGGCTCGTCATCGCGTGCAGCTGCTGCGCGATGAAGTCCGACGTGCCTGGCCTGCCCGCGTGGACGAGGACGCGGGTGCGTAACGATCAGGAAGGGCGGAAGGACGGAAGGGGTGCGGTGGGTAGCCCGGGGCAGGGGACAGGGGAGAAAGGCGAGCGGGAGAGGCAAACGCGGTTAGTGCGGGCGGGCGGACGCGCGGGGCGCGGGGAGGGGACGTACCGCATGCGGAGGATCCGCAGGATGGTCTCGCCGTTGTTGACCTCCTTCTCCTCCTGCTTCTCCTTCTTGCGCTTCTTGATCGTCCCGAGGTTGCGCTGCTGGTACACCGACTTGGCGCGCTTCTTCACCGCCGGCGACGCGCGCAGGCTCTGCTGCATCATCCGCACGCACTCCTCCATCAGCGCGTCCCTGTGCGGGAGGTGTGTGTCAGCGCAGGCGGGTAGAGAGCGGAGGCACGCACGTATGCCAGTCGTAGTAGAGCCGGATGGACAGCACGTCGCGGTACTTCTGGTTCTGGAGCGACTCGATCGGCACGGGCCCCTCTCCGCCCGCGTAGAAGTAATCTCGCAAAAACTGCGCGGACCGTGTCAGCCCCACCCACGCCGCGGTGCCCCGCCTACACGCACCTTGAGCCACTTGAACACGATGTCGACCTCCTTGTCCGTCAGCGGCTTCATGTCGCTCGAGATGTCCGACAGCGGCGGGATGAGCAGGCCCTGATCACGTTCAGGATCTCCTTCCACACGCGCGTCATCACCATCTCCTTCGTGCTCTCGCTCAGGTACGTGTTGAACGTCGGCAGGATCGCGTCGAGGTAGTCGAACAGCGGCGCGATCGCCTGCTCGATCTCCACGTCCGTCAGCGCCTCCGGCCGGATGCGCGGCTTCTCCGACTGCGGCAGCGGGATCATGACCTCCGCGCTGTTCTGCCCGAGCGCCTGCCCGAACAGCGCGGTGACGTTCCCCAGCGCCCGGTTGTAGTCGATGCTCCCGCTCGTGGACTTGACGAGCGTCTTGAGCACCACCTTCGACAGGCATTGCTGGATGAACGGCGTGACCTGCGGCCCGGACGTTCACAGCGTGCCTAGCGTGAGAGTGGGAACGAACTGACCTTGTCAATGAAGACGCGGACCATGTCGCTCTCCGCACGTTTGAGTGACCGGAAGGCACGCCCGAAGTAGAACTGCAGGTCGTCCTTCTCGCCCTCCATGCTGATACGAAGCAATATCCGCCCTTGGCTGTCGAGATCCATCCACTGGTCGTGCGTGAGGAAGTCGCCGTATCGCCGCGGGTCCAGGCAGATGTATGCTCGGCCGACAGTGTCGTGCTTGCCAACTAGAGCACGGTCACGGACACTAACCATCAGCCAGAGTGGTTTCTCTACTGAGATGTCGAACGTCTCGTCCCCTGGAAAGGTTATTTCAGTGACCGATTAGCGAGTGGGAAGCAAGAGAACGGCGCACATCGAGGGCTTAGCGACTCGTAGATAGTACGTGTCTTAGCTAGGCGGTGTCCCTGCTCATCACTCAGAGTGATGAAGGTGTCCAGCTTCGACGACGGACTCGTGTCCAGAGGTATGAGCCCCTCCGCGATGCAGATCTTCACGGTGAACAAGAATCGGTCATTCCGCTCTACCTTCTCTGGTACAGGGGGTGCCTGCTGCAAGGCCTCCGTCTTCTTGTCCGCCTGCATCTGCGCGTACATCTGGTCCAGCAGCCGCCGTGCGGCCTCGACGTTGTTCAACTTGACGCACGACTCGGGCTGGAACGTGAACATCTCGACCTTCTTCTCGCCGACGGCCGCCAGCTGCCTGGCCTTCTCTAGCCACGCGGACGACTTCTGTGGCTGAAGGTAGTCGGTCGGTCGTGGGAACATCTCCGTCATGAAGAGCTCCTCCACGCTTCGACAGTACTGCTCAATCGCCTTGCTGATGGTCTACGCAGATAGGTCAGCCAGAAAACGTCAAGGCGGAGCGCCCTGTTCCCTATCTCACCTTAGACAAGCTCGTGAAGAACCTCGCCTCCTGGTATTCATCCTCCCATTCCAGTTCCTCCAGGAACGTGATAGGGCTCCGCAAAGAATCGAACAGATCAATGATAGAAGAACTGTGCCCCTCCGTACCTTCTGGTTGGAACTGTCACAGCGTAGTCAGTTATGCTCAGTTGCGAACATTCCTTGCACCACATAACATACTTTGTCCGCCGCGATCGCCTACAGCGAGATGTGGGTAAGCATATATAAGTAGAACGGGATGGGAAAATCCTCACAGCTTGGACCCACTGGGTTGTCTTGTTGTCCATATTGACTAGCCATTGCTGTACGTATGGCTGGAAGTACCCTCCCAGGTCGAACTGGATATCTCCACTGCAGAATGTTCAATGCCACAGTCCACAACTGGCTTCTGAATTCGAGTGTACTCACTTTGGCACGAAAGCATTGAACATGGCCATCAGGGTCTTCGCACGTCGATAAAGCGCGAAAACGTCCTGAATCGGGACATCAGGTGTTGGCCCGTTCATAGAGTCTTCGAATAGTCGTTTCCGCGAGTCGTCCAGGTCTATGAGGAAGTGCGGCACCTGGACCTCGACCACTAACGACACGATGTCCAGTCGACTGCGGCAAAACGTCAGGCCATTCCGCACAGACGAAGGCAGCAAGCACGCACGCGTACCCAAGTATAGGCTCAGGGAACCGCTTGTCCAGCAGCTTCGCGGCCTTCTCGATCTCGTCTGTCATGAGCAGATGCGGGAGCGCCTTGTTCACCCCTGGTGCTGCGAGGAACTCCTGCCGTTTCTGGCCGTAGTAGCGAGCAGCTACGGTGCGCACTTGTTCCTGGACATCAGCGACCCGGGCGGCCACGTCGACGTCGTACTTCTCGAGCAGCCCGCTCGCGCGAACTACCTCGAGGATGTGAATGAAGGGCGCTACCTCAGACTGCTTCAGGTTCGGGATGGCTTCCATGGCATGGTAGAGGGAGGATAAGAATATGCTGAAGAGGCTGCCGTACACCTGTGCTAGGTAATCGCGCTGGCATGAAGGTCGGTCAATACACCAGTCAGATAGGTATGTGAGCCAAGGGGCCTTACATCTTGCATCGGCCACTTCTCCAGCTCGACCTCGCTCAGGACTTTCTGTATGTTCTGCAGCGCCTCGGGGATGCACTCCAGCGGCACCTCATTCCGCTCATAAAACTGCCTCACGAGATCCAGGAAGCACGTCACACGATACGGCTGGCCTATCCGCCACCGCAGCGCGACCTCGTTGATCAGCTCGATGTGTGGTGAGGAGAGTATTCCTAGCGAAACCTCGTCGTCATCACCTACTGTCGGACTGAGCATCGCCTCCAGATCCGCGATGAGACAGTGCTCCAGCAGCCGCTTGTAGTACTTCCGTGGGTTCGGAGGGATGAAGGTGAAGTGGTGCCCGACGGGAATGTCGTCGTCGCCATCGACCTCCTCCTCGATGTTACCGAAGTCGTCGGCGGTGATACTATTCGCATGGTGCAGTGAATGTCTACTGCTGATGGATGCGTTCCGTTGTGACGTGCCCGCGGCATAGAATGAGTCCGGCCTGGTAGACCGTTGTGAGTACATGGATCCGGGGCGCCCATTCGGGCCAGCGGAGAGGGGAGGTTCTGTGGATGGGCCCTTGGCGATCTCGGGGTTGACCTGTACCATAACAAGCATGAGCTGGGATAGGTGAGACGTTTCGAGCGTTCGCCAATATTGCCACGCTGCTTCACTCTCGAAGTCGTCGCGGCGGCCAGGGAAAGCAGCACCAGCATTGATGTTCTTGAGACAAGTCTGATAGTCTGTCAGCACAGGAGCTCAGCGGGACCAAAGGCTAGGCGGATACCTTCAAGTCTGTGAGAGCAGCCTGATAGAGGGTAAACCGAATGTGCAAGAATGCATGAGCGGATGGCTTGCCTTCGGAGTACAGTACTTTCCAAGTTCTTGCATCTCCTGTTGTATTGAAGACTCCGGTAGCTTGAACAACTGGGCGGCAGTCAAGAGCAAGGGCATGTCAGAGATGTGCTGGCTGACTCGCTTCGGGGACACCATGGAGTCGCGTGTTGAAGACGAATCGTAACCAGAGTCGCTGGGAGCTTGTGATGGTGCGAGCTTCTCTGCATACATGTCTAGCCGAGCCGTCAATTCTGGCGGTACGTGGCTGATTTGTCGTAAGCATTCCCGAAGCAGGCGAATGAAGTAAGCGATGTGGTTGTTCAGCTCAAGCTTCCAGCCATCGCCGGCCAAGGAAGGTTCCTTCTTCAGGACATTCGTGGCGTTCGTTGCAAACATGAGGATTAGCTCCTCGATCTTGCGATTCTCCTTCATTTGTCGTTTGAAGGTCTCGTCCTGCACTCGCCCATAAAAGACCGCCATAGTTCTCCGCGTGAGCTGTTCAGAGTATCTGGGGAGAGCTCAGATTGACGTCGTTGAGTCATCAAGACTATCACGCACGCTGGGTCCTTGCCCATTGCAATATTCTGCAGCTTCTGCTCCAGCACCTTCAGCAGATCCTTCGGAAACCTCACGGACTTGGGTCCATCTCGCAAGTCCTTGAAGAGATCACCAATGGAGAAGATGGAGTTGTGGAGGGCGCCCTGTATTCGGGCAGAGTAATCTGACGACTTGGATTCCTCCTCGGCATGGGTCTCGACGGGCTTGGGCTGTAGCTGATAGCTCAGATACCTGCAGGAACATTAATGAGATCTAACGTAGTGTTCATCGGGACTTACGCGACACGGAATATGTAGCTATAGCGAGTGGAGATGGTTAACGTTTGGTCTGCACTGCGGCAGCACGACGCACTTCATTAAGTCCTCGTCGGACACACGGAACTTCGACACCCTCCGTTCATGATGCACTGAACCGGCGTGGCTACGTCTTGACATGGTATGGGATCCGAAGCTTGAAGTCGTCTTCGTGCAGGGCAATACAGCCTGAGCCTATGAATCACGCGTTCTGATCTCGAGGCTTCGATGTCAGATTCAGAGTATAGCAAAGCAGCGGTGAGCGCGAGCGTGCGCCAATCAAGCCCCCACCAGCAGGAAGAATCGCGGAGGCTGAGGAGGAAGGTAGTCGTGCAGGTCAGGAAAGGCGAGTTGCGGCAGGTCGCCGTCCGTTCACGGAGTTGCAAATGACAGGCAAGACTAAGGACTTGTGCTCGCGTGGCAGACGCGCCCCGGCGCCCTGTTTGCGGCACAGTTTGGGCTCACCGCCACCAAGCGGGTGTTTGTGCCCGACTGTCATGAATCGTACGTGTTTGCATACTTCTCTCCGTGAATCAACCTGCTAACGGAATCTAATTTGAAGGTCTTTGGGGTGCCGTTGGAGAGTTACAGTATCACGACTTCGGAAGTACAATCCGTCATACGATGTGCTTTCATGAAGGCCACAAGTTAAATTCACTGTAAGCTTCAGGCTCAAGCTAGCAGTCCTTCCTGAACACAGCATCAACATAATAGATGATCTTCGCAGCTATTGAGCGATGCCCGGGCTCACACGGCACTGATTTGTGCGCGGTTGGGGAAGCTATTTGTTCGTGCCAAAGGATGAGAAGACTCGGAGCTATGCACTGCACATCCTCGGTGAGATTACCTCAGTTTCGCCCTGTGCTCGCCTTGGGCTGTTTCTTTCTCGTCACAGCGAAGTAACCTGTACTGTAGCTGCGCATTGAGTCCAGAGACGCATTCAGTCTGCTCTCGTCTTCATGAAGATGGACACCTCGCGATCTCTGATCGGCGTGCAGGCAAGTCGTCCGACTGGATATTTGACTGATTATTCACCAATACAGATTACAAGTCAGACACCGCGTATTTCAAGCTCCTCTGCGACGAGAACGGCTGCCTTCTCTCCGATCACGACGGCAGTCGAGTATGTATTCTATACATCAGGTTAATTAAGGCCACGAATACAACGAGTCCACTACACTCACTGCAGAGACATTGGCCGGCGCAATGGACAAGTCTATAGGCTATCAGCGTCCATTCCCCTGGGCGCCAAGCTTGCTCACCTGCCACCATGAGCCCTTCTACTCCATAGACCCTCAGGCGGGAATCTACTACTCCGCCGTCACTGCGCGCCTTCATCGCACAGGTCCCCATCTGGATTACTGCGCAGTCAGTGAACGACAAACAACACCGAAGAACAGTCCACCAACCGAATGCCAGGTCGTCGAGACGTACTTCCGCAAGAACTCGTCTATCGCCGCATCATCCTCCTTCGTATACACGATATCCGGCGCGATGACATCTACGGGCGGCCTGTCTTGCCGACAAACTGCGTCGCTGTCCTCGTGGAATTGAGGGTGGGCAGGTGCGTACTCTCCGCGGTACAAGGGCATGCGCCGCATTATCTCCCTGCCGCGCTTGTATGCCCAGCGCAGAAGCACGACGTCCTCTTGGCTACATCGATGGGGGTTGAGTGAGACGAACGTAAGTGGATGGCGGTTGGGACGCGCTCACCGACTGAAGTACTTTGGGTCGAAGTCCGGAGCAGCGTTCACGTTGTCAGCGGATGTGATGTGGACGTAGCCAATGGATGCGGGATAGTCGAGGAAGTAATCCGCTGAGCAGTACTTTCTTGCTGGTACTGTAGATGGGTCTCCGACGAACCTGGAAGACTCAAATTTGGGTATGGCAGCGCACAAACGAAGCAACCACGTACATCGAAAGAGCTCCCAGCCAGAAAACTGGTTTATCAGGTGAGTTCGCATAGTAGTCCTCCCATCGCTGTCGGAACTCAGGGCCAATGTCGTCCAACTCTTTCTCAGAGGGTCGTATCTTGATGCCTGCGTCGACACCGCTTGGGAAAATATCAAGCACCGTTCCTTGGAGTCACACAGGTACGCACTTATGCGCCATCAAGCCATTACCACTCTCTAGCCACTGTGCAGACCACTCTACCCGAATAAGTGAGCTACTCGGAGGTCAGTCGGCGGCGCATCCAGTATGTGGACTCACTCTCAAGTTCCTTCGGTTCACTGCGGATGATCCCGTCCAGTGTGTCTGCTTCCTCGCCTACTAGATACGGCGTGAAGCAGACGTCGTGGTCTGTCAAGCAAGTTTGTCAGATTTCCGTGCGTCATTTGGACATATGAACGGGCCTTGATAGTTCTCGCCGACACCAGGTAAGTCGACGACAGGCGCGATCCCGAGTGATCGCATGAGACGATCAGCACCGATACCTGACCTCTCCAGAATTGCTGGGGACCCAAACGCTCCCGCGGAAAGGACGATCATCAGGGAAGCCTTGGCTACGCGGACCTCACCCAGCTCGAGCTCAGGGTGCACCCTGATGTTCGGGACGTATTCTACTCCTGCTGCACGTTTCCCGCTGCATACTCGGTCAATTCGTCGAGGAGTTCCGCGAGCGTGGGCGTATACGCACTCGAAGATGACTCTCCTAACGTGAAAGCCGGTCATGATGATGAGGTTTTTGTTGTGCGCCTGGTTGTAGATGTAGTGATGAGCTACGTCTGACCTTGTTCCCTTCTCAGCGTCGATCCACCTGCATTCAGGTGGTGATCAGCAAGACAGCCTCGGGGGTTGTGTGCTGTTGTGTGTGCTTACTTCTGCCACCTCTGCACATTTACACATGGTGAGTGGTAGCAACGTCACGGATTTTCCGTTCTGCTTACCGCATACGCATTGCATTCGCCTAGGTCGTTCGGGTCGTCGGTCACTCTGCGGGTTCTGTCGTACCGACTGGCTACGTCGAGGAATTGCTGCCCGAGGTTCGTGAAGTGTCCTCCGTACGATACCTTCAAAGGCCCTTCGTAACCATGTGTCTCCTTTCCCGACGTGACCTGGTACGTCTCGCACTGGTGATACCGACAATTTCAATGTGCGCGCTTCACTCGCTTCACCTCTGGCCCGCGCTCACGCACCTTCTTGAATAGTGGGAGCAGGTCCTTCGAACCCCACCCTGGATTCCCATGTACCGTCTCCCAGTCATCGTAGTCCGACGCCGCCGCACGCGCATACATCGCGACTACACAAGCCTCAACTATTTCAGCTCAACTACCAGACACGTCCACTCACAATTCACACTCGAACCGCCGCCCAAGCACTGCGCACACGGAACGACGGGTCTCCTCCCGCCCAGAAATTCGCTCTCCTTCCCTTCGTAGAGCTTGATGGTGCGACTGCCGGGGAGGAGATGCGTGAGATATCGTGCCGGCTGGGTGTGTGCGAGGTCTTCGTGCGTAGGAGGGCCCGCTTCGAGGACTAGGATGCGCAGGGAGGGGTCTGCGGCTGCTAGGCGGCCTGCGACGACGCACCCGGCGGTGCCACCTGCAGGAACAACAGGGAGTCAGTCCAATCTAGTTCCTTGTGCGCGATTAGACACTCTACTTGCCTCCCGCTACAATAATGTCTACTTCTAGAGGTGTGTCTTCGTGCTTGCTGTTTGCCATACTGACCTAACCCCGAGAGCAGGTAGAGCCTGTCCAACCCAATGGCAGTCGCATCTATCTATGGCCCTGGCGGCTGGCGTGCAGGGTCCTTATCGCTCGTGTTCCCATGCAATGCTGAATCCTGTGGGTCAGCTGCTACGAACCAGTACGCCGGTGACAGAGAAGGTAAATTGTGCTCTATCAGCGTGAGTGTACACAATCGCACCGACACTTTTGCACGATAGCGTTGAGGCAGAACGATGCCGTTACCAGTCCCACCCACTAGTACTCGCAGCGTGCTGCGATCCTGACTACATCTACTCTACAATCTACTCTACATCTACTCTACAAGAGGCGTCGATAATTTTCACACGGCAGACAATTGGACGAGACAAAGATGACATCTCATTGGCTGAGAGACGAACACCGAGCGCTGCCCGACCTCTTGAGTCTGACGCGGCGCCCTCAGCCACTGTGCGTTCCTCCTCTGCAAGCTCGGAGGCCCTCGCTCCACACGTTCTGCACAGCGGACACTTTTTCCATATCCATGCAGATGGCTTGAATTTACTTATGCCGCTACACTGCCGTCCTTTGCCCGCCTTCGCCACAATAACTCGGCACAAATGGCAGCTATACCACCGCCTGTCAAGACTCCATGGAGTGCGCGTCGGCGTGAGGATCGTCAAGCGCAGGAGATGATGAGCCCGACTAGGGATTGAAGTATTGAAGGCCAAGGGTATGCCAGTCATATTCTCACACTGTACTATCCTCTTAGTGAGCGCTTGAGCGACCGGATGACAGGACACACAAGCAGGCTAGGTCGTCCGAGATGCAGGCTCCCGCATACAGATTAGAGGGAAGTAGCCAGAATGTACGTCTTTCTTCCCAGTGGTCTGAAGCACCGGAGTTGACCTTCCTCAGGGTGCAGTCACCGTGGTGACATTGAACGCGATGCGCACGCCGAGCGCGAGCACGCCGGGCGAATGCCCAGCACGCAGACACGGCCGACGAACACGCGTGGAGCCAGTGGACAGGCGGGCGAGCTGGTGCGCAGGTGAGCACACGTGGACGGGCAATTGGATGTGCAAGCAAGTGGATGGGCGGGAGAGCGGGCGGGAGAGCGGGCGGGCGGGAGAGCGGGCGGGCGGGTGGCAGGCGACAGCGCACACGTCCACTGCCGCCCGTGAGCGCGGTGGGCGAACATCCAGTGCACGCAGACGCGGCCGACGAACGCGTACGCAGGCATGCGAGCGGGTAGACAAGTGGGCCACGACATGCACAGCGAGGGCGAGGGCGAGGGGCTGGCGGGCGTGACGTGCAGCAACACAAACTTGAACAGCACGGGCACAAGACGCACAATGACCACGAGCATGCAGGGCCAATGCCCTGCGTGCAGACACAGCCGATGAACGGATGGCATGCGCGAGAGCTAAAGAAGGGCATCGGGGAAAGGTGAGTGCAGACGCACGCGAGCGAGCGCGCTGACTGCAGTCACAGGGCGCGGCGACGTGAAGCACGGTAGGTGACGGCGCGCACGTCAGAGCGCACCGGGCGAATGCACGTCACGCAAACACGACCGATGAATGGACCACCCGCGTGTGAGTGAAGAATGCGTAAGGGCAAGTAGACAGTGGGCGCACGGCAACACCACCGACCACTAGCACGCAGGGCAGAGGTCCCCTGTGCATGCGTGGCCGATGAGCGGACCACAGGTGCGAGCATAGCGGCGAGGAGGATGGGTGGAGGGTGAGTACGGAATCGAGTGGGTGTGGACGCGAGCGAGCAGATGGTGGGCAGACCCCACGTGCTGAGAAAAAGACCAGCAATGGCAACGTTGTTGGGCAGGCCGGCGCACACGCAACACACCGACCGCGAGCGTGGAGGGCGAATGCCCAGTACGCAGACACGGCCGATGAACGCGCACGCAGGCAGACGAGTGGGCGGGCGAGCGGTCACACAATCGGTCGGGCGAGTGGGCACACGACCGGAAGACGACACACACATGGCGACCGCGAGCTCGCAGGGCGAATGACGAGCACGCAAACCCCGCCGACGAAGGGACCGCGCGCGCGCGAGCGAAGGGCAGGGCCGGGTCATGCGCAATACGCCGACTGCGGGCACACAGGGCCAGTGTCCCGCATGCCAACGCAGCCGACGAGAGCGCAGTGGGTACGGGCATAGCGGCGAGCAGGCGGGAGCGCGTGAGGATGGCGTCTGAGGAGCAAAGACGGAGGACAGGGAGGACGGCGGGTGCAGGCAACAAGCCCAAACCCGCGCAGATACCACCGAGGTAAGTCAACCAGTGGTCCACCGCCGACACCGGCGGTGAACCCGGGCAGGGTATGGGTATGCAGATCGCGGGTCGCGAGTGCGGTATGCGCCCTGCTGACGGAATATGGGGTGTAGCGCCTACTGCACGTGATCGGAGTAGCTACATAGTTCGCATGTACGTAGCAGGTCTTCACGCGTTCGAACGGGGTATACTCGATATACCAGAAGTCCCCGCTGCTCTCGACTTGACGCGCGTCCTCGTCTTCAGGGGATTTCTACACCTGCACACTCGCGGTGCTACCCGTGCCCATCCTGGCCCCGTTCACTAGCACTAGCCATAGGTTGGGCAACAGACGACTTGATCATAAATGTGCTACGGAATTCGTATTTACATTTATGTTTATTGCAAGCAGAAAAATGCTCAATGAGGTCACGAAGCCGACTCCCGAAGGGAGGCGGCTGAGTGGCCTTTGCGTAGTGACTCACTACAGCGTATACATCTTCGCGCACAGCAGTACTGGCATAGGACTGTTGTGTATCATAGCTGTGAAGACTCCGAGTCCACGCGCGGCCGAGGGAGCATGCAATCATTGATAACCTCCAGTCCGTAGCGGAGCACGGGTTTCCGCTAGTCTGACTGTCAAGCGGTGCAGATACCTCGCTCATACCGTTTCATACCTAAAGCAAGCACTAACTATGCTGAATCCGTCAGGAAGCGTCCGACTACTTCAAAGTACCTCTCGGGCTCCTCGAATGCTGGAAGGTGGGAGCTATACGCGAACTGCACCCACTTGACCTGCTTCACCTTCAGGAAGAACGGCATCAGCGCCATGTCTTGCGCCGAATCGTCGTACGCATTGATCAGGAGCGTAGACGCAGTGATGTTCTGCACTTCGTCTACGATGGACCATGACTTGAGCGTGCCGCTGACGTTGAACTCCGATGGGCCAATCCTGTTGCCAACAGCTTCAGCAATGTCGAGCCCATTGAGAGGTTACACTCACATGATGCCGTACACAGTGGGATCCTCGTCCGTGGCAGCGAAGGACGTGACGAGCTCTTGCGGCCAAGGATCGACAGTGCAAATATGCTTCATCTGGAAGACGTGCATCGCGGCCTTGTACTCCTCCGTATACCGCCTCCCCTCGCGCTCCCCGCGCTCGATTACCTCCCTGACGTCGTCCTGTAGACGCTTAAGCAGCTGCTTCGTGCCGGTTTCCCAAAGTTTCATCGACGCGCCGCCGTTCGCGATCACGGCGTGCTTCATCCCGACGGGATGGCGCACGGCGGCATAGTGCCCCGCAAGCATCGCGCCCCACGAATTCCCCAGGAGGTCGAAGTCGCCCTGGATGCCCAAGTGCGCGAGCAGGTTGTCAAGCTCGTCCATGAACAGTTCCATGGTCCAGAACCCGGCTCGCTTGTCCCGCAGATGGGTCGACTGCCCGATGCCGACTTGGTCGTAGAACACGACGGGGATGCCATAGAGCGCGTGAAGTTGCCCGTGCGGGAGCATGTAATGGTGCGACATGCCGGGCCCGCCGTGCAAGATGACGAGCGGGCGGTGACCACTGTTTGGGAGATCCCCGACGACTTTGTACCAGGTGGTATAGGTCTCGTTTTGGTAAGGGAAGCGTGCTGTGCCCTCCATGCCATCTAGGCTGACAGACGACATAGTCGACCGAACAATACGGATGGGCTCACCTGGGATGTGCGTATATATACACACGCCAGAGTTGACTCGTGCGCGTGAGCACTGAAGCTAGAAGTACTGCGGTCGCTCAGGCTTACATATCAATTGACGATTATAACCCACGCTCAAGTTGTGGTCGGCAGTAGGCTAAGCCCTACTATGCATGGTCGCATCCCCGAGTTGGGATCGATTGATCCCCCCGCTCAGCTGTTGATCATGCATAGTAGGAATCGCTGTGCATGTGTAATGCCGAGCTGAAGGACATTTCGGTACAGATCGCTGTAAATAGGTAACAGGGTAAGTTAGTAGGGCGCCATGACGCGATGTTGAAGATATTGATATATATCGATCCCGGTGCTACTAAGGCGGCCAGGTTACTAGCAGGATTCCGTACTTTCTGAGATCTACATACGTATTCGAAGCGCATACCTCTCGGTGCGGTGTACACTATACATTTCCTTCGCAGCCTAGGTACCGTTTAGAAGGACTGAGAGGGCAGCATCTCAGATGAGTCGATCCAAGACGCGCGCCCCACGTGCCCGTCTAAATAAGGCAACTGTTGATGTTCGTGTCGCGCGACGCGCGAGGGGTTCTTCCCAGTCGCTTTCGCGATTTCTCACCGCGACTTGCATGCTGGGAGACCCTTACGCTTGATTATAGGCGAGTTGATTACGGACATCTCTCCCGATGACAAACCTACCAGAGCCTAAATTTGCTGGTGTTGTGACGCTAAGTGCGTCTTCCGTGATCGACGCTCCCATCGAGAAAGTATGGGATGTCTTGTGCAATTTCCAGAGCTACGGCGAATGGTGAGTTTCTCCCGTACATTGATAATATCGCGCATTGCTTACAACGAATTAAGGAATGAATTTGTGTAGGCTCCATGCACCTAGACGCGCCGCACCAGGCTCTAACGTCCTCGCAGGCATGCGCAGATCATCGTTGACGGCAAGACCAAGGAACCACTACCAGACCAGACCGCTCGCGAGAATGCATATCTCTTGATGGAGGTCCACATACCACCTTCTTCCGATTTCACACGTTCTCCGACGTCGCAACCACTGGAGATAATCACTACTGTCGATCACACCAACCACCGCATCGCATGGGCCAACTGCATGCCCAAGTGGCTAGTGAATGCCGAGCGCTGGCAAGCACTCAGTGTGGTCGAGGACGGGAAGACCTTGTATGAGACGCGCGAGGACATGAGTGGCATCGGCGCATACTTCATCAAGTGGTTCATGTATGGCAGTTTGATGAAGGGGTTCCAGGCGGTCGCGGATGGACTGAAGAAGAGGGCAGAGCAACTGCAGCGGTGATGTTCTAGCTGACGTCTTCTAGATACGATTGCATTTCAAGTTCCCACTCTATATCCTTACGCTCGAGGACTGGCTGCTTCAACTCGCTTTCCTCAATGCTACGTGATACCGTTATACCCTCCGAGACTTGGGCTAGAACTGTAGAAGTGGCACGCCCCGGGTAGCACTGGCACGGGTATGATATCGCGCGACTTGTAGGATGCAACCCGCTTCCTCTACTCCAAGACTCGGCACAAGCACTGGCTGCGCAAGGATGTATTACTTACGTGGTGGACTGGTGACGGTGAGGGTCAGTAGCTTCGCGGTACAGTATAGGCGACGTGTTGTATAGTTGCATATATCATTCCGTTCGGTAGGCACGTGCCCGCGCTAGTGGCAATCATCCCGAACTTGGAACTGCAGGAGCCTCCTTGACATGATGGATACCATATATTCCGCACTTCGGATCCGTGGGCGTTCTCAACCGTCTACTTCAACTCCCTCTTCGACCGCCAGACAGCCACGGGAGTCGTTGCGCTCCGCAGGACCGTCCTCCTCCCACCAAGCCTCTGCGACCCGACGCCACACCGCCTCCAGCTCGTCCGCTCATCCCACTAGCAATGCTTTTGCAGCCCGACCCGCCCAACGAAAGCGCGAATCTGTCCCGCGCAGACCACCCGACGGAGGCATCGCGCTCTCCGAGCACTCCACGCCCACGGTGCGCAACAGCTACTGGTTCTGCTCCGACTTCATGACCGGCGCGGGCATGGTCGTCCTTCAGCCCGCGACGGGCAAGGTCCTCTTGCTGTACGATCCCCGAGGCAACGGCTGGTTCCTCCCGAAGGGCCGCAAAGACGTGGGCGAGAGCCTCGAGCAGACGGCGCTCAGAGAGGCGTACGAGGAGGTGCGCCGATGTGTTGTCGTCGCGCGTTGATCGACCGGTGCTAAAGGGTGCGTGCATATACTCACTTCTGTCGTCCGTGGTCCGTTTTCTGTTGGAGCAGTCTGGCTACCAAGTCGATTTTCTGCCACTGTACCTACCAACGAACGCGCCCATTCCCCCGGCTGAGCGTGTGCACGGCACTCTCCCATCTACGGAGCCATTCTATATCTCGACTCACGCATGGGGGCCCCGGAATCGACAACTCCCCGAGGGCCAGGTCTGGGCCGGGGACCGTGGCGGGGAATACCTCACATTCTGGTACATCGGGCAGATATCTGCGGATGCTGTGAGTCGCACTGGTTGCAGTGACTCCCGGCGCTCATGCATCATGGTCTGCGTGGATGATCGTAGGTGCATCAGGCGGACACGGGCATGCCGGACGAGAAGGAGTACCAGAGCCACCTGCTCGAGGTCGACGACGCATCTGAGAGGCTGTGCCAGTGTGGGCTGGACCAATATGCGGTGATGTTGCGCATGGCGTATAAACTGTGGTTGCAGACGAAGGCACACATGGAGCAGATGGCTGCTGCTGCTGCTGAGCAACAAGAGACGAGAACGGAGGTCGAGTAATCGCGTATGGTTCGGGGCATCTACAAAAAAGGTCATACCGGTAATTTGCTCGTCCAAGGGGAACATGGCTCATATCAGTGTACCCAGGATCGCATGAACATCCAGTATACCTCGTTGTCACAGGAAGGTGTTAAGCTCGGGAGTGTCGTGCTCTCGGGCGCGATTTATGAGGGCGGGGTATATCCGTTGCTTCCGGGATGGGGGAGGCGTGTGTGGCGTGGGGTATAGGATACCGGGCGATGGGGCGTGCTGGTGAGGGTTATGGCTTCTAGCTGGCCGTCCTTGTCTTCATCGGTCCACTGGCTACTTTCCTCGTTCGCATCCCACGTCCTCGATCTCGTATTGTGTTCTCTTTGTTCTTTAGTCGATATGCTCGTTTTGTGGTCTCATTCTCGCTCTTTAGTCGCTATGCTTGTTGTGCTCGTTCATCAGTCGCTTTGCTCGTTCTGCAGTGGTCTCACTCCTGTTCTGCAAGTCCCTGGCCAAATCCAATATCCTCCGAGTTGTTGTGACTTTGTCGATCCATCTATAATTAGCGAACACGCGGCGTCTCCACCGCGTCGACATTTCGGCTTCGTGTTGGCTCCAAACGCCGCGACCGTGTACCGTCCGTGCACGTGACCGCGCAATGAGGGTTTCTGCTTCAAGATCTGCATGAAAAGAACATACATTATACTCCGTATCGTGAACTGTGAACCGCAGCTTGTGCATCACGAGTGTGTTTGCTAGTGGTATCGATGCTGTCTCAGTCCCTGGCACTATTTCCGTCCGAAAGATTCTCGATGGCCTCAGTTGGTCAGTATTGACCAACCCGGGGAGCCACTCCCAGCTCCAGATGAGGGGCAAGAGGCGGACTGTGCTTGCAGTTGTCTAGATTCGGAGGGGAGAGGACTATGGTAGGGAAATTGAAGTCGTGCGAAGTCCATTGAGTACAGTCAGTCTCCGTTGCTGGCTAAAAGGAGATTTAAAAGGGTAGCGTAGTCCTTCATTCACATTCACTCGCATGTCCATGTCAGAGTGCGGAGCGCTGAGCACACGAGATTAATGTAAAGATCGATTATGGACCAACTAAGGACTGACAGTAACATGGACAGGCGCGCCTACGTAGCTAAGCAGAGACAGGTGTTAATACAGTGGACTGCACATGAGTTCTTATTCCGGTCCGGAGCGAAGGCGAAAGAAGAGAGAAACGGAAGAGCAGCCGGCAGCTCAAAGGTCAGGTTTAACTCAGTCATACATCTGCGAAGAGCGAAGGTCCAAGGGGAGACAGGATGAAGAACACGCCTCGCGGAGGACGCATGTCCCCACACTGCTCGCGTCGAGCGAGCGCGTCAAGTGGAGATTGTGGCAGAAACACTCGAGAGTGTGCAGAGGGAAGGAGAGGGAAGGGAACGTTTCGTCGTTGATTAGATCCGTTTATTCGCATGCAGCCGTTACCGCGTCGTTGTCCGTAGATGTTTTCGGTCTGAACACCGTGCTGAATTACTACAGCGCGCGCCCCGGTGGCGAGTACATGCCCGAATGCGTGCTCGCAGTGTCTTTGAACGGATCAACGTTGTCCGCGAGGGACCGCCTCCGCCCGCCATACCCGCTGCTACCTCCAATCACCACGGAGTCGCGGAACGGGTCGACAGAGTCGGCAACGCTCCGTCCACGAGGTGGACCAGGGTTGTCCGCGTTGCCCATGTAGTAGAAGCTCGAGGAAGCCTTCGAAGAGCGGTTCGAGTCGAAGTTTGTCGGGCCGGGCACGGAGCTTACCACGGACATCGCGGGCGGGCTGAAGAGCGGGTAGGCGTCGCTCGCGGTGAGTGACATGAGGGGCACAGCTATGGAGGGCGAGCGTGCGTTCATCCCCGCCGACGACGTGCTGTTTCGCAGGGGCGAGCGCTGCTGCTGGAACGTCGTCCACGAGCGCGGCGTCGTGTCGCCCAGCCCGAATCCTCCTCCTCCTGCGTCTCCCACGCCCTGGTCGAAGGGCGGGATCTGCGGCGGGCGCGACATGTTCTGGATGATCGTGCGTGCCGAGTAGACGCTCGGCGCGGGGCTCACGTGCTGGATCATACCTGGGCCACGGAACGCGTCCGCGGCAGTGCGCACGGACTCGATTGCCGTGCTTCGGTCGAATGGGTCCGGACCCCACCCCAGCACGCTCCCTTGTGAGCTGAAGTACTTCTTCAGCGGGCGCGAGGCGGTGGCGCGTGAGCGCTGGGCACGCCGGCGCAGGAAGAAGAGAACGGCGATGATCAGAACGAGGAGCCCGAGAGTGCTGCCTACGGCAGCACCGGCGATGACCCCGCGTTTGGAGGCGGCACTGGAAAGGGGTGAGGTAATGGCGGAGACGCGGCATGCAGGGACACGTACCTTTGGCTGTTTGTTCCCGCGGCGTTCATCGTGCCGCTGCTCGAGTTGGTGTTGTTGCTGGCTCCGACCGAAGAGCTGGGTGATGGCAAGGCATCTGCAGAGGACGTGCTGCCTATCCCATCAGGCCCCGGGATGGTGCCTAATAGAGTGGGTGTAAGGGTGGACGAGACGATCGCGCCAGCCGAAGTAGCGATTGCTCCAGAATCATCGTCGCTATCGATGCCATTGTCAGTCACTAGTGCGCAGCGCAGGCATACCACAAATTCCAGCGCAAAGCGGAGGGTCACTGGAAACAGCAAACAAGGGCTCCGTTTCGTGCGTGCACAGGGGCTGCTCAGCATTTGCGGTAGCCGCTCCAGCTTGGAGAGGGCTCGATAATTGCCTGTCGACCGAATACCGTGCTGGCATCCTGCTGACTGTCCTCACTTCTCCCAGCAGCGGGCACCTATACCACATGAGCCCCTGCGCGAGCAATCTTCACTGTAGAAAGCCTGTCCTAGCTTTCTGGCAGGACTGGCAGGATGCAGGACCGTTTGACGCGGCACGACGTGTGGCCCATAATTCGTGACCCACCGCTTGGCGGTGCAATCTATAGCATATGGGTATGTAGTAAACACACACCTGGTTGTCGGGTTCGCGGCATCAGACGAGGCAGCTTCTACGGTCTGTACGTCTGCAGCAGAGTCGGCGGAGTCGGACGATGATGGCGCGGCGATGAATGGGGTGGGGGCAGAGGATGCGGACGAATATGTTACAGACGGTGCGGCAGCGAAGGCAGCAGACGACGCGGAAGAAGCAGGGTCGCTTGACGGAGGGGGCGCGACAGAAGAATACGACACGCTTGACGGAGGGGGCGCGACAGAAGAATACGACACACTTGCGTCGGTGGATGGTTGCGCGGAAGGGCTGCTGACACTGCGGCGCGCACGCTTGTCAGTGAACGACGTGGATCAGGACAGAATCACTCACGCATACGACGCGCTGGACGTCGGAGAGGTCGAGCCGGACGCCATAGATGTCGAGGCGGACACCGTAGATATTGAGGCAGACGCTGAAGACGACTGAGAAACACTGGAGGACGAGCCGCCTACGATGGTGACCCTCGGACTGCTGCTGCTAGTGGACCACGGATAGACGGTAACCGTAGTTGTGCAGACCACAGGCTGGCCAGAAGTGGATGACGGGGTGACCGAAGATTGAAAATAGACTGGATTTGAAGAGGTCGCTGCGGAAGTGGACTGAGAGAGACTGGCGGAGCCCCCTGCCGACTGGGGGTCGGCCATGTCTGCGGGCTACGCGAAGCTGGCGACAGGGTGGACGATGGCACTCTGTGAGCCCTAAGAGAATCGCTCTCCAGGAGCTAGCAGCTGCGGTAGGCGCAGAAATAAAGGCGGGGGCAGCGGTAATAAACGGAGGAGAGAAGGAAGGAGAAGGGTATCGGGCAGCCGCTGCGCATGGAGACTCCTGCTCACTGCTGGCGGTGCTGCATGATGAGAATGTCAGTCACAACTCGACTGCCCAGGACACCTGAGATCGGCTGCCACTCTGATCGCATCTCGCTGTGGCGGTTCCCATGCCGACTTCCTATCACTCATAGTCATACACTTTCCTCTTGTCCCCGCCCGCCGCACACAACCTTGACCACAGGCGACCAACGCGACCCACCTCCCTGACATATCGACTTTCGTCACGCACAGCTACGAGGTACATAAGTATGTACTTACAGCGAGGCAATGACGTTGATCGACGAACGTCCGAATTTGAATGCGAATTTGACTACTACTCCGCCATGTGCTCGCGCCCCATGCTCATGCGTCTCTTCTCTTCCTACATGTGAGTTGTGGTGGGAAGGCACGCTGCGGTACAAAAGCAGGTCTGCTACCTGGAAGCAAACAACCTGTTGTTCACTCCTGGTTTTTGTTCGTACGCCGGGCGAACAAACCCCCACTCCGGGTTCGAGGACGCTAGGTATCCGGAAGCCATCTCACTGACCGTAGGCAATGTTCGTTACGACTACCTCCATTGTTGTGGCGGGTACCCGCCTGGCGTACACGCAGCGAGTTATGTAGCACTATGACTACCGTCCATACTGGTACCCAGTCGACTTCAAGATACACTGCCTTGGTCGGCTCGGATGCAGAATTTCGTACGAGCACAACATCCATTCAGGAGCCTACAATTACACTACTTAGATGACTGCAATTACATACGATGCACCTACCTATCAATGCACACAACAAGTATACCTGCGTTACGGCTACAGTATTGTCGCTAATAATGCCAGTTCAAGCAAACCGCCGCCCCGTCCGATCAGTCCACATCCGCGTCCCACCAACTGTCCCAGTCCGTACGCACATTCCTCGTGCAAGCTCTTGCGTGCTCCTCACCGGATGGAACACGCGCTCATCATGCTCGATGAACGTTGAGTTCCCGCCGTTTCCCCCACACGTCCCAGACCTTTAATTTACTTTCCTCCGGAACGGCGAGTACGATCCTCTGCCCATTCGGGCTGAGGATGCTGCCCGCCACGTTCGCCTTCGCACCCACCATAGTCGCGACGCGGCGGAACGACGGGAAAGCGTGGACTAGGACAGAGTTGGCGATTCTTGAAGGAACATGCTCGTCAGGGCACGTATTGGGGTCGATGGGGGTCGACAGCGAGTGCCCAGGTACTGTCTTCCCGGGCCCATGGGTGCTGAGGAGTTCTTTGCAATGTGGGGAAAAGTGAAGAGAGGTGATCTGAGCATCGAGCTCGAGTCGATCGGGGTGATTCGACGATACGGAACCGTTCACGTTCCAGATCCGCACTGTCCCGGTGCCGTCGAGCGCGGAGTCGCCTGTCGCCAGTGTCTTCGGCTGCCATGGGCACCAGGCGAGAGCCTGAAGTAGCAACGTCAGCGACATCCACTTCGTGATTGACAGATTACATACCGTGATGACCCCAACGTGCTGGATTTTCTTCTCCTTGTATCATCTCGCCGACCTCCAAGGGCGCGATTCCCTGGCGAGGGTCCCAGATGTGTACTTGGCCGCTCTCGTCTCCGCTCGCCAAGAACTTCCCGTCGATGTTCCACGATAGGCTGCTAATTTTCGCCTGGTGGCGCATGGTCTTCTTGACCTGTTCCCTCATTTTCGTCGTGTCGGATACGCGCGTGTCGAACTGGCGTATAGAGCCGCGCTCACCGCCGACGGTCAGAATCGGGCCGTTCCACTGCATCGCGGTAGTAGACTTCGTGGTCCACTTCGAGACCATTTTCTTAGCTGCGAGATCCCACAGCTGGATGTGTCCGTTGGCGCTGCACACAGCGACGAGGTTCGGGTAGTCCTTTCCGCCACACTCCACGAGACGTAAATTCCCCTGGTCTTCGCGGAACTTGCACAGCTGTCCGATGGCCTCATTGGCCGAGAGGTTCTTGTAGTGCACGCGACTACCGCGCCCGAATAGGAGGAGGTTATTCACTGACCAACTGACAGGACACACGCGGGCCCCCCAGTCTTCTTCGGCGACGGAGAAGTCTACGACGATTTTGTCGCCCCGCATGTTAGTGATGGCGGATTCGGGGACGGGGGGAGGCGTGGGCGGCGCCTCCGAAACGGAGTGGCTACGTGATAGCCCGATGGCGCTCTCCATTGTCATCGTTGAGCAGACCGACGATGCTCGGGAGAATGAGCGCTCCGAGAACGAAGCACTAGAGCTGAGGCGTGGGCGGCGCGAACTCGGGGTGGAGGAGGTGAGAAGAAGTCGAACTCTTCTCGATCGACAGCGTGGAGATCCCTGTCCAACTATGAGTCGGTCAGCATGTATCTTCGAATACGATGAAAGGATCAACAGAGTATCGTGCAGTACCTAGGTCTTGCAGCGGGGCACCTGGCCTCACGCATATAGCCATGACCCGGTCCACAGGAAAGTAGCGTGCTCGGGTGGAGACATCGGAAAGTCGCTTAAAGCCGGCTGTCGATGAGCCCTAAGGGCGAACGCATGGTTTCAAGAACGTCTAGGATACGGCCACCTCCATCACTTCCATCACGAGAGGGATGAAATGACCAGACAGACAGTAGCCAAAGGACATATCTTCCAATCGCTGATATGCCTGCCATAGACATGGAGGCAGTCCCTGAGGTGCGGCTCGCGGCTGTGTCACGCAGGGACAGTAGACGCCCTCGCCCCCCTCCCGAAACAGCCGTGATATTGAGTAGAGGTGCCAAAGCGTCAAGACACTGGTAACGCGCTGCGAAAGAATGGAGAGATTTGAAAAGGTGGATGGGCGTCTTGCCGAGTCCGTAGCGCGTCGGACCACTGGAAGTGGCCAGAGAGTGGTCGTCTGACACGTAGGACACGGTGAAGAAAGGAGTACACTCAACCCCCTCGCAGATACGGTGTTTTGTACTCGCTTCGCGTTGGATTGGTTGCCCTAACGAGAATCATCGATGAAGACTTACTTCTTGAGTCGTCGCGCTCCTCCGCGGTCGGTGAAACAGTTGAGACAGACGGGGGTTCGCCCCCAGCCTGAAACGTTTTCTGTCTTCGGCCACATCGTCATCCAGAGAACTCAGAGTTCTTTTGCGCTGCTGAGAGCGCGTCACAATGCCTTCATCGAACGGATTTACATCCGCACTGCTGCTGCTGCAGCGCCACCACAGAGACGTGAGCCATCTCGGATTGAAACACTGTTGTAACTCTGGACTCACCTCTCTCCCGATGAACTTGGCAAAGGGAAGGACATGGTGGTGGTCAAGAGTAGAGTGAGATGAGAGTGTGATTGTGATAAATGAAAGGTAGGGCGCCCGAACCGACGTGAAATGTGAAGAGGGTGGTAAGGTCGGCCACACGGTTAAGTAACAGATCGTAACTAATTACTTATTTCGGGGGCGCGTTATTGACGGTTGTTGACGCGCCTGTGAATGTTGACACCACACGTGACCGTGGCTCGAAGCAAGTGTGGCTGCCTGACCCAAGGGCCTGGGCCCTGCATACAGCCAGTGAAGGCTCCGGATCGATATCATTAACGTACTCAAAGGTACTTTGGTACAGTGACGTGACTCTATAGACGGCTCAGCACGGTACATATAATGGAAGCATCTTACATAGCAACTTCTCATCGGTTCCAAAGCGCAAGGCAAATATCTGGGTTTTGGATGGCGGCGGACCCTCTTGGAAGTAAAGCGTGGAAACGACAGTACTCTCACGACACTTCAGCGACGTTTCGTTGCTTCATAAGTCACCCGGCATACACATGTCCAAGATCGTTTCCGAATCGCACTTCACATGCTGGTAGCTACTGGCCATGCATGTAGGTGGCCAACTTGTGATTGTCCAGATTCGTCAATATTGACCCAAGAGTCTAAAATTAGGCAGGTCAGAAATTGGTCAAATTGGTCACTGGTGTCGCAGTTACTATCTCTGTCGAGGAGCCGCATCTGGTCTGTTCCGCCTGTCGCGGCCGTGAGATCTCGAAGTTGGCAATGCAAGAGCCTACCCACCGCACTTGAGCTTGAGCGATACCTCCTTTCCATCCTTTATCTGCACTGCGCCAGCTTGAGCGACTGCGAGACGGGCCGAACTTCGTGCTGGTGTCCCCGAGGCGGAGTGCTCTGCAGTCAACATGGCCTCGAAGGCGAAAACCATGGCAAGACAGCGTTGTTCGAGTATGCTTTGCCTCCGAGGCTCATCTGGAACCACATTGACAAACGGTGCAACACCGGCGATCTCGAGGAAGAGACGCTCGCTAGGCGACCTCATGAAGCGACCTATTGCAGGGTCGAACGTCGCAGAGAGGAGTCGGGGAGAGGGCGATCCATCCATCTCATTTCCGTGGAACTTTCAGGTGGTCCTAATAGTAAGTAGCTGTGAAATGCATCGGCTGAACAGCCACATAGCACCAAGTTCATGTGGATGAGAGGTACGTCTCGCGAGTGTCTTCCAGACCGTGGTCTACATATATGGTCATTGGTAGTCTCAACGGCTTGCCGGCAAGCTGGGCTGCCCAACTTGCCGTGAGTGAAAGGGCGAAGTTAGTTCGCTTAGCCCCTCCACTCCGGGCCTGGCCTCTCCCAGTCACGAGAAGAAGTCTAGTCTGTCAGTCGGGACAAAGGCGCGGCCACTGCAAGACGTTGACCACAACGCCGATGCGCGAACGGGAATCTTCTGCTTCGGACCGAGGAAAGCCTTTGTGCATAACAAAGCTGTTGTAGTCGAGGTTTCTTCGCCGCAGGGGGATCCGGGTATCACTACGCCATGGGGCTTCAAGGTAGGAACTCTTCGCCCCTCTTTGATTAACAGCATGTTCACATCCTCCTCTGAGCAGCACAACATCCATGTGGACGAGAAGTATGGCTTCAAACCGCAATCATAGCTTCTTACCTGACCAGTATCTCAGCTTTAACGGTCTCCCGTCAGGATGGACAAGGCCAGACGAAGCACGGAGAATCAACACGCTGCTGGACATGGCTCCTGAGGCAGATGCAGCTATCAGCGTGCCGTGGAACTTCAAAGTACGTGGACGTGATACATCGACGGGTCTCAGTGCATGCTCACGCTGTGCTCTATTGCCAGCATTGCTTCCACGTATCCGCTGGGTACGACAGTCTGCGCCTCGGGATCCTGTGCTGTGCTGATGATGATGTGACAGTTTGAACGGGATCCCGACGGGACTACCACCGACATTTTTCGAACGTCTCGGCGAGCTGGGCTTCACTGAGGGCGAAATCGCTGCCATTCGTAAGTACAGTTCCATTTTCGCCGCGTCCGTGCTGGCGTGGCGCCTGCATGAAACAGTCGCTCAGTCACCCTTGCTGTGCAGGTGCGGCGTCCTAAGGACACTTTTCCCCACTGACGGACGGTTTGCGGACGGTCAGGTACCCTCGTTTTTGTCTTGGAATCGGACCTGGTAGTCCTTGTATTTCTATAACTTATTTGCCCGCGTATCTGTCAAGTGTTTACCGGTCTCTCATCCCGTATCTATGCCATGTATCCTATCCTGTCTTGCTGATCTCGATCTGCGAATGCATAGCCATATTGTTTCGTCTGATCAATTGGTCGTCACTGGAAGATGCGACCACGTGGGATGCGTTTCATAGGCGCGTATTAAGCGCGCTATAGACTTTCTAATGACTAAGTGGTTGTGTGGTCAATATATTTGTAACTCCGAAAGATCTACTACACGCTGCTTATTCTGGATTCAACTTCCGCACAGCAAATTGAAACGACCGGCCCCATGAAACCTATCCGGTAAACGACTTGCATGCGCTCGCTCACGCATCGACGTCGACGACGTCCACGATGGCCACAGCCTCAGCAGCCGCCAGCAGAACCAGTCTCGGTTCTCGACTTGAAGGTGTTCAAGTTTGCCTCGAGCTCGAAACCACCACCCTTGCCGCCTAAGGATCCGTACCACCTGTACAATCCTTCACTGCCCTCCTTAAATCATTCCTTATCCCCGGATTCGGCCTCATCGCAACCGCAGACGCCTCTTTCAGCGCAGTACGCGACTCTTATGCGAAGCCCATCGCCGTCGTCTTCGTCGTACACCCCCAGTCGCCCTACGGCGTCGCCGCGCCTCGTCTACCGTCCTTTCTCCAGAGACTGCAACTCCTGCGGGCTTCCGGCAGGGTTTGCGCAAGCTGTCTAGCTTTGGGAGGCGACCAAGACCCCCAAGACTCCCGACCGGAATCATGCAGACCTCCAGGCCCCGGAGCCTGTGGAGGACCCCTCCATTTCGTTGCCCTGGAACTTCCAGGTACGCAACACAGCGTCGTCTGCCAGTGCCACTGTCTGACGTTCCGTGTATTCGCAGCATAATGTACATGTGGACGAGCAGTGCGTATTTACACTTCGAGGTATCCTCTCTACTGAGTCTGTCGCAGCTGTAATGGGCTACCACCCACATGGTCCACACGACTCACGGAGATAGGTCTGAGCGACGAGGAAATTCGGCAATACAGCACGTCGAACAGAGGCTCGTTCAAGGCGCGCGCAGTCTATTTATTCGCTGGCCGTGAATCGGGATGCAATTCCTGTCAACGGGAATCCGCCATCGGTGTGGCGGGGGCTGTCGGGGGCGTCGAGTTCTCAGACATCCCTTTCTTCAGTTACTTCAGCGTCACGAACACCCCAGCGCATCGTTACACGCGCGATCTCGTCAACGTCCGACCTGCCTCTGGGCGACGCAGACCACCGTGCTCAGCAGCGGCGCGTTGGACCGCCGCCTGCACGTCCTCCCCCTGTGCCGATGCAGTCAGAGCCGACAATCACCTCCAGCTCGACTCCCAGCTTCCCATATACAAAGGACACGCGGCCACAGACGCCACCTCGGCGAGCCTATCATATCGCCAATAGTTCCTTGTCGTCAACATCGTCTCCTCCACCGGCGTATGCGTCTCCTCCAAAAGAGGCGCCAGTATACAAGGGCAAGGAAGGATTGTCAGCTTTCGAGCTACAAGCTGATTCTCCTTCAATCCCTGCAATAGCAGTATCCATGGCAGCGTCGTCATCTTCACCAGCGCTTGCCTCACCGCCGAGGCTATCTCTTCAGAAAGACAGTCTAGGAGACCTCTCAAGTTGGTCTGAGTCACTCTTTTCTATCATCCCGGCCACAGCCGTGACACCTACTCCCGCCCCTGCCCCTTTCCCGCCTCGACTACGACGCCTCCTAGAACCGTCTTTCCAAAGTCACCGCCGACCACTGCCACGAGCCCGTCTAACACTGCTGGTCGTGTTGCTACCCGGTCACCTGTCCCTACTCGACTCAGAGGCAAGTCGCATTCGCGATCTCCTTCCTCACAGCGAAACCTGCCTCCGCAAAAACCTTTACCCTACATGACCTTCCTGCGAGGGCAACTTTGTCACCGGAGTCGACGGAAGGCACGCCCATTCCTTCTGCAGGGTCAAGTCCCCTGTGGGCGGAGGTCATGGAGATGGTGCGTCCCACTGGTGAGGATGGACCTAGCTCCAGTGCGGGTGACTCCTCACAATCAAGACCTACCCCGCCTTTGACGTCCACAACCGCAAGCTCCTCACCCTATATGCGGACGCCGGAGCACGATATGTTGCAGAAGGATACGCTGCAGATTCCGCTCACACCGACTGGATTCTCTGACGAAGGGATGAGCGATAGCGGACACACGTATGAGAGTGAGGACGGCGCACTCCAAGTACGCTCACGCGATAAGGAGAACCGAGACTCCGACCTGTCGACAGTGACTGTAGTGCCCGCGACATCGTGAGCGCGTCCATTGTGCGGAGCGCACGAGGCAACTACGTCACTTCGCCTGTGAAGGGCAGTAGGGAGGGACAGTCGACGCCAGTCGCAACGACGCCTACGGACACCGCGGAAGATGAACCTAGTCGACGGTCGCCGTCCCCAGTCAGCTTGGTGTCTTCAAGTGAGTCAAGCGCATCCACGACTGCGTTCGGTTCAGGGTCCGCCTCTGGATCGGCTTATGCGAAGAGCAGTCCTGCTCCTTCGCCGAGGGTGGCAACATTTGCATCTGCGGATCAGGGTTTGGAGAAGCCTGATGGGCGGAAGAGCAAGCTACCTTCATTGGACCTTGGGCTTGATACCGACATCGACCTGAAAGCCCTCCGTCGGCCCACTATCCTCATTGACGATATCATGGCCACCGGCGCATTATCGGAGGCCACGTTCGCACAGTCACTAGCCCATCCTTCACCAGCCACGCCGGCACCACGCTATCCAGGCTGGGTAACGGAAGTAGTTGCTCCGCTCTCCGGCTTCATTGACGAAGCCTTAGACCCACGAACACTGTTCGGCGATCTACGAGAGATTGGAGAAGGCGAGAGCGGAAGCGTGTATGCCGCACGGCTTCTGACACCTTCTGGGAGCCAAAGAAGCGACGACGCGCACTCATCGGACGTAGAGTTTGTCGCCATCAAGAATGTACCGCTGGTTCCGAATGGCTCGCCCAAGTTGGTCGATCTTCAGCGGGAACTCAGCCTCATGCGCCGAGTGCGTCATCAGAACGTGTTGAGCATGGAAGGAGTGTTTGTGGACATCGTCGAGGACGCGCTCTGGATCAGAATGGAGCTTATGGAGCGCAGCTTGGCGGACGTACTCTTGCTTGTTGACGAGGGTATCGTGATAGAGGAAAAGCCGATTGCTTTGCTCGTGAGCGATGTGAGTACCTTCACGGCTTGACTACGATGGAATACTCACTCATCATGGCTCAGGTGCTGCATGGATTAAGTTATTTGCAGAGGCTCGGTATAGCCCATCGTGATTTGAGGTCCGACAACCTCCTAGTCAACAGTGCGGGGTTGCAAAGATCGGTTAGTGGTTGAGTTTGCCTGTCTTCGCAGTGTGCTTACGAGTATTTAGCTGATTTTTCAAGCGCTGTGCGAGTCTCGAAGGAGGAGCCGTCACGATCTGACAATGTCGGTGTGATCTATTGGCAGGTACGTGTCGCGGAGAGTGATACAATGGTTACAGGCTGACAATGGAGCGACCATCATCAGGCACCTGAGGTCAGAACGTAAGTGTCACGGTTCACCATTGGATTGCAGCATATTGATATGACTTTCCATATACCAGTCCTCCGTACAACGCGCTGAAGGTCGATGTCTGGTCGTTGGGTGCGACCGTCTGGGAGATGGCACAGGCAGAGCCTCCATTCTCCGATATCGACGACCCGCGGCTGATTCCTCATCGATGGCCCTCGCTTCACCAAGCCGAAATATATTCACGATCTTTCCACGATTTCTTGCATCTCTGCTCACAACCTAGTTCATTACGACCAGACCCGAACGAGTTGTTGAAGGTACGTGTTGAAGCACCTGATAACTGCACTTTGCTCAGACCACGTCCCAGACTCCATTTATCCGCAATGCCAGTGGCAGGCCAACGATCCTCAAGATATTGTCTGAATGCAGAGCGATGAGGACCGTGCGTCGCGGAGACATAGCTCAGGCTCAAATGGGACAGTATCGGTGTCATAATCTATATTCTATTATACCCTCGTGCATTCGCTGTCATCATTCATCGGACACGTAGTGTTATCCTATACAGTGCATCTACATTTCTCACCATGCTTTGCATCGCACTTTTCTATCTGCAATGTCACGCTGACACTGTGTGTCCTTACAATGAGAGTAGAATGCAGTTGGAATTTGACTGGCAGCATGACACAAGAGTACAGTATGACATCTATACATCAACTTTGCCGGCCACAGCTTCCACAGCATCCTTCAGATTGTGTGCTTCGCGAACAACGCTATCATTATCATCCTCCGCGCACTCGGTGATGAATGTGGTAGTCTCAGCGACAAGGCCTGAACAAGTGTGAGACACTGTCGATTTATCCGCTGAAGCTTCACGTACCTAACAATTTTCCGCCGTGCGCCTTCCAGAGTCCAGTGCTGCAGGACAGGCTGAACAGTCGCAATGATGCCTCCTCCGATCGGGTGTGCATCAGTATGTCGATGTTCATTGCCTTCAGTAAAGCATCGTCGTTCACTACTTCCATAGCGGCGACCAGGCAGTCGAGGAGCGCTGTTCGGCCCTCGGGCGCGCGCAGTTGGACGCAGACTGGGATTTGCTTGACGAGAGCAGCAACTAATGACGTGTCTTTCTTCACGCCAGAATGCTCCGGGAGTAAGTCAGCGTGAGGGTCATCTCAATATGCGCCGGTACTAACCTCCTTCGTCGAACGCCAGTGTCTTGGATATCACTATGAGAGTGGCGGTCCATGAGTCTGGGTGACGCGTAACACTGGTGGAGTGATCGCTAAGGAGCTTGAGGAATGGACTCCAGATGAACGACATATAGGCACCATCAAGGTCTATAAACATCCTGGCATGAGAATGACCTTAAATTATAGCTGGGAACTGACCTTGAAATAGTCCAGTAGAGCGGCATAGATATGACAGAAAGTAACTCCTCGACATGGTCGGCTAGTAAGGCAAGCGAATACCAACGTAAGCACCTTCCAGCCAGACGAAGTGATCGTGAGACTTACATCCTTGAACAGTGAATGCCCAGTCCGAGAGCTTGCGGAAAAGAGGTCGGAATGCCGTCTCGTTGAGCTTGACAACTAGCTCAAGGAATGATGTCACTACTGCGGATTCGATCTACGTCGTCCTCAGTGAGAAACGTGGATGAAGATGTCCCACTTTTAACCACACACCTCTGGACGGTTCTCTTCTGTGATGAGACCAAATGCTGTTGGAATGTGTTGAACAACGTCCGTAGGTACTCGAGGACTATGGGGCGCTCTGCTGCCCGAAGGCTTCGTTTCAAAAGGATAAAGAAACCAGCGTATTTGCCCCTGACGAACTACAAGACCCAATGAGCAGATGACTCCGAGTGATGATTCGGCTACTCACGTCAGACCACTCAATTCCGATGTCGACGCCCAGACTTCGAGAGGGCTGGTAACAACATCTTCGACGGCAAACGCTTCGCCATGGTCTTCGTGATAGGAGTTAAGTAGCTCGACTCCGCATGCGATGCATCCTCGCATGTCCGTAAGTAGGTCCCGACAACTTGTAGAACTCGGTTTCGCCCCAAAATGTAGGGACCGCAGTCAGCAGACTCTGAAGAACGTCTAAAGCTCCCAATGTAGAGTCATGTTCATCAGCTACCTCGTGATCAGCATACCAAAATAGATCACCAGTAGTATACATACTTGATGCGGCGTCGGGATGAAGGACTTGAGTACACTCCTGAACGATTCGCTTGAGATGGGGTATTATGCGTGGACCTAAATGGGAACTACGACCGAGTCAGCGTCGCTTGGGTAAGAGCATGTCGCAACTTACCACATCGGTAGGAGCACCGCAAATGCCGCAGACGTAGTTGCTTTTGCGCGTACACGGGCAAGTACAAGCGGTATGAGAGTAGCCAACAAGTTGAGCTCGCCAGATTGCGCAGTACTAGGATGCCTCCCAAGGATTGTAAAGCCGCGACTACAAGGGATTCCCCCGACCTTCCGGATAGGATATCACGGATAGCCTCGATGACGTCCTGCATTATCTGTGTCAAGCCTCGACGTGTTTGATCTGCTATGTCTCTGACTCGGTCTTTCAGGAGATCCAGAACACCCAGTTGTATCTGGTGCGTTAAAGTTAGCCTTCGCTCTTTCGATACCTGTGAAACTCGCCTGAGAATCCGGTGACTGTAATATCTTCACCACACCACCCAGGAAGTCGGTTGCTGCCATGATCTTCAGTGTTCCCGCCATAGTCCTACGCGCAGCACGTGCGATGTCTTCCCATCGACGTGTGCGTCGGCCAAGACCGACACCTTCAACAACATGGAGAGAAGTTCTGACGGTGTCTGGCCTTCTGAGCTCTGCAGCTTGCCTGATGTCGTTGCTGATGTTGTTGCCAATAGGTCTTCAAGGGCGTGGGAGCAGTAAATCAGAAGAGCGAGGGCACGTTGTATAGATGCGGTACGATATTGTCGTCGTCATCTCTAGAGAAACCTCAGTATATTGAACTGAGAGTCAACGCAGAATCCTCACGTAGTAAATGCAAGGAAGCACAATTCCGAGCTGTCAGTGACCCCTCTTTTGACGAGACGTTCAGCTTCGCGAGCGACTTCGACTAGCAGCTAAAGGAGGATCTGAACGTTAGCAGAGTCAACACTTGAAGATGCTGGACTGACCTCCATCTTCCTCGTTATACTATAATTCTGGAACGTGGCGATGGGCAGAGAAAGCGAAGTACGGGCATCACGGATGTCCTGCCGAACAACGCGTTTGGAGACCTTATCGACTAGTAGCATGCAGACAGGAGCCAAGAATTCGTCTGGACCGAGGATATCGACGAGATGAGAATAGAATCTAGTGATCGGTCAGTCGCTCGCAAAAATCCACTATGATAGAGATACGCACTTCGCCCGACGGTGGCGAGGGATGTGGTTCGATGCATCAGTGAATATAAGCAAGAAGTCGCGGGAAGCCGTGTACAGATCCAAACGAAGGTCGTTGCTGCTTCGCAGTGACGCGACCATTACCGGAACAATACTGTCTATGGTCTGTGGGTGAGACTATCAGCAAGGTCAGTCATCGCACATCCTAAGAGCACTCACCTTCTGCACAACGCGGAAGCTGTACGTATCGTCGCGATGGAACACGTTCGACCCATGAATGTGAAGACTGGCATGACGTTGTGTAGAATGGCATCGGGCGGAGACGCGCCATAGCAGCGATCAAGAGGAGAGCTTGGTGGAACGTCTGTGGATTATCGGCAGCTGACAACGTAGCATGAGCTTTCCGCGAGACATTGGCTGAATGATGTAATTACCTCTGATCAACTCAATGAGGATGTCGACACGTATACTACCGGCTTGCACATTGCCCTACCACATCGTCAGTCCCTGCTCAACGCCATGAAACTACCAGGATCTTACCGGCATATTGGTCACTGAACTCTCCAGGCAGTCATGAGAAGTTGTTCGAGATACGTTTTATCAGCGGGAACGGCCGAGGAATCGTGACAACTCTGGTCAGGGTCTCCAACAGATTAGTGACGAGGTCTGAGGAGCCCGGCAGGCTCTTTGAGCCGAGAACCTCCGCCATTAGTGTCAATGACTGTCCTTTGTTGTCAGTAGCACGGGCAGCTGGTCTACGAGGATAATGAGTTTTATATACGAGGGTGGTCTGAGGTCATGCTTACGGGTCCATTCTGGCTCTCTTCTGTGCACGTTCGGCAGCGTCAACCACAGCGGGCTGGAGGAGGACAAGTAGGCGCGTGATAATCGGAACATCGTCTAAGATGCTAGCCAAGAGCAACTTGCAATCGGACACCTGCTACGAAAGTGAATCAATGCTTTCCATTGCACGACGGCACCCTTACCGCACTACCGGACTGTCCGGCTATATCTAGCAGAAGCTGACAAAGTTGTTCTCGCCGATTACGGACAGCCGACTTCGAACCAGTTGCTGGACATTGCGGATGATGGCTACCCTTGCAGCCTTCAGATTGCCTGCAAAGGAGCGTCAGCGGGTTACAAGAGCACGCGGGAGAAGAAGGCCTTACGGTTGAGGAGACAAGTGCGTAGACACTTTTCAAAGATGGACCACGTCGACTTGCTGGTGTCGTTGAGTTCAGTGACTGCCGAAGAGTCGAAGGAGGATGTCGTGAGTATGAGGAACTCCTCGGTATCGTTGTCTATGCCTTCCGTTGCGATTGACACTGCTTCCGATAGGTGTTCGAGCGTAGGCTTCAGCGCCTGGCACTTGCTATCACTGGCGGTTGTCTCGAGACTTTGCAGAAGCGACAGCTTCGCGTTCGACATCGGACAGGCATTAACATGCGACAGCAGGTAGAACACAATGCGATGTTTGTAACTAAGGGTGCAAGAGATGTCAGCTGCCTCGTGAGCCATATCTACTCCGGGCACGCACCTCGCGACTTTCTTCCCCTCACCCTTGACGACGCTGAGGTGCTCCTGGTGGAACTCTCGGAGATATGCAGGGTCATGCCTCATATGCTCGCCAACTGATCCCAGCGCAGCGACATACTTGCCGAAGTCTGTCCACTCCGCATATTGAAGGAGATTAGACGTGGGTCCGTAGATAGCGTCATAGGCGTATATCGCAGAAGGCTCATTCTCCACAAGCCTCACCAGACTCGTATGCATGTCACAGCGGCTTCGCGGACACGGCGTTCGGGGCTTTGCAAAGCCACGAGCACGGCAGGGAGAACGTCTGAAAGTCCAACCAGTGCTGGGTAGCGTAATGCGCTTCAAGGAACGCGGCGGCATGGTGAAGCGCGGCGGTGCGTAAGTGGTCGACATCGCTCCCCTTCGCCGATTGAGAGGGCTTAGCCAGATTCCAGCGAGGAAACCGAGTGACTCATCTCCGAGGTTGACGAAGAGCACTCGGAGAAGGTGCAGAGACAATACAGGCAGGGAGGCGGAGGAATTGCTGAGAATGTAGACAGCGCGGAGGAGCTGGACGTATCGAACCCCACGCGTGTCGTTGCCGTGCAGGTCAGCGGGCGGTCCGGCCATATAGTGAGCCAGTCCAGGTGTACACCAACGGGACGAGGTATCATCGGCATCATGGCCAAGACGGACACCTGAAGGCGTTGCAGAGTGGTTGGCTGCTGGGCTTTAGGACGACCGCCGTCGCCACACTCAGGTCATGCAGGAACTGTCGTTGAGACGATGTAAGCAACCAACTGAAACCGCGGTCCGTGTACTTACCGCTGTCAAGTCGTTCACTCCCCGCATAAACTCGCCCATTCCCTCCAAGGTCTCCAAGCCAGTTGCTCGGAGGATGGCATGTGCTGCATCGATCTGATGCTCCCCAGAGAGACGCGAAAGCAACGCTCGAGCTGTAAGGTAAGCGAGGGCACGTGCGTGAGCATTCGCGTCTTGTAGCTTTCCCAGCAGGAGTCCCAACAGATGCGAGTAGTTGTTCGACGCCAGTATGTTGTCTGTAACGCTCTTGCGTCAGGCCAGTTCAATGAAGTATTCCGGATGAAGCACATACCGGCCATCTTTGCAGTGACGGCAAGGTTCGCTTTCGCCAACTTCTCCGTGCCCTTGTAGCCTTCGTCTTCATTGATCTCCTCGCCAGCCTTGCCGCCGCCCTGTTGTGCTCCCACCTCAGCGCATCGACACATCCGCCTAGAAGCTCGTAACGGGCGAGGCCGTTCTCGCCTTCTGCACCCTCTATCACCTCCCATGCCATGTTGCCGTCTTCTGGCGCGACTTGGAGGTCAACAGGCACGGGAAGAAGACATCGTACACTGCGCGTTCTGCCAGCATGATTTGCGGTACAAGCGGGATAGAAGTGGGTGGCAACGAAGCGAGGTGCAGGCGCATGAGGGAGCGCGAGTGGTTAGCCCTAGGGGCGTGCAGAGCGGAGGAGAGCGAGGAGATATAGGAGAGGGATCTTCCAGCAGGGCGGGAAGGAGCACTGCATGCCTAGAATAGAGGGCTTCGATGACGGACGGAGCGGTGTCGAGGACGCGGCTACGCAAGACATCCTTGGCAGCATCCCTGTCGGCGGATGCAGTCGACTCGCTTGCGAGCTTGTCGCAAAGCTCTCTCACTGCAACAGCACGCACGTTGGCGTCTGCACTCAGAGATGCAATGACCATGTCTGCATCTGCCTTTCCGGCTTTCGCATGGCCAGGAGTGATCTGGGCATACTGCGGTCAGGACTGCCGAGACGATTCTCGAAGGACAATCTTACCATCGCCAGAGACAGAACAATCTGCTCAACAGCCTCTCGCTTGTCCTCTTCCTTCATGGCCTCCTCGCATACGCTTTCGACGATGCGTGGGTGATGCAGCTGGAAGATAGAGAGCGCCCTTCGGGCGTTGACGACACCATTCATAGAGGGATCTTCCACAGAAACGAGATTCTGGAGTAGCGTTGATGCCGTTTGTAGAGCGAGGGTTCAGGGAGCGAGGGATAGGAGAGAAGGGATACAAGGGCATCGTAGCACCGCTCCTTCTCTAGCTTTGAGATGAGAGCTGCAATCCAAGGGCAAATCAGCTTTTCCGAGCCGACATACGTCAGGGATTCTCTGAGCTCTGTGTCGATGTCCCTGAGTGAACAGGTGAATTTTCGGCACTGCTTTTGTGAAAGAGACGAGCACCCACGCTTTCTTCAACATCGCAGTCACTAGAGCACGTGGCAGTTTTTCCAACTCATCTTGCGGACCGCATAGACAGGCTAATGTGCGCACGAGCTGTTTAGCTGATATTCTTTCCGCACATGATGCGATGGCATTGAGGATGGTCTTCAACGCTTTTGAGTGAGATTGCACTTCTGAGATAGTGCGGCAAGGACAAGGAGGCTCGACAGCTGTGATGAACCTGAGACTTTGAAGCAGGCAGTACAGGCCTCGTGACGACTTACTGCAGACTCCTGCAACAGGTATACATTCGCCTTTAGTGCCTCACTTGGCTCGACTTGCAATATGTCAAAGACGCCGCCAACAAGAATGCAGTGGTCCCTTCATTTAGATCTTGGCTCCTTGCGATGAAGTCAAGCAGTACACCAGTGTGGAAGATCATCAAAGCCTTGTGCGCCCCTGCCCCACCGTTTCTGAGTTTGCTGGGGAGTAGATTGCGATGAATCGCGCCAAGTCGGGGTTCTTGAGCATCTCAGCGACGAGTCCGGAACGAGGAAGAGGCTTTGCTGTGGACTTATAAGCCTGCAAGAAGCGGAATGTAGACGTATCGCTAGGATGGGCATTAATGACAGGCTCGAAGAGGGGAGACCGGGTGGAGTACGTACTCGATGTGTAGAATAGACACATTTTCTCGAAGTGAGGAGACTCATGGTACGGCAAAAATAGAGCGAGAATATCGTCAACGTTGAACTCGTTAATCCTACACAGACCAGCATGTCAGTGCACAGGAGGAGGACACATCGAGGTTATGTACCTGAATCTCCGCACAAGCCATTCTACGACCCTTCCAGTAGGAGCCTCCAAGAGATATTGCCCAAGGAGCGGCAGAAATGAGGTAATTTGCTTGTTCAGTTCTGCATTCGCATCCGCAGGTAGTAGCGTCCTGTCCGTGCCTTTGGCAGTGTCCGAAACAAGCCTTGCTCGAAGTGCTTGAAGGACGGGTCCAGCGCTTCAACTGTGCAAATCCATTGGTCCCAAGAGCGAAGATGGCATCAAGGTCGTGCTGTTGCGCCTCTTTCGCAGAGAAGAGGTAAGACTCGGTCGGCCTCCGACGAGATGTGTTGAGGAGGGCAGCATTCAGAGATGCGCCCTGTGCTAGCTGTGCCGCAAGACTAGACGCCATTTGTATGTAGCAGGCGACAGAGGGCGACGGCGTACTTAGCAAGCGGAGAGGTCGCTCGGGGTGGCTGAGACGGACTGCAGAATTGACGCGGAGGGAAAAATCATAATGTGCGATGAATCTGATCCGAGATGCCAGATCACAGCATCGGCGATCAAATCGCGCACCCCCACGTGATCTCCACGCACAGTGTTTCAGGCGACGTGTCCATTGCTCGCAGCCACCGCGCTTCACTCAGCCTTTGCAACCTCCCAACTCGCCGCCAGCTCCCGGCTTAATGTCCTGCACTCTACCATGATGTTATCATTATATAGGCTCTGTCTTTTTGTGACCCTTTTGCTCTCGACACTCTCGGAGAATGTGCTGCATCCGTTCTGGCGATCGACTATGGCGCAGACTGGATCAAAGCCTCGCTGATGAAGCCCGGAGTCCCTTTCGATGTTCTGCTTAACAAAGACTCGAACGGAAAATGCAGTCTACTGTAGGCTGGAAACAAACGACAGCTGTTGGGTCCGACGCCGCTGCAATTGTAAGTTGTGCAAGCTTGTCACGCGTACTGAGCTGACATTGCTTCAGGCAGGACGGTATCCCCAAGATTCATTCCCCTTGCTCAAATTCCTTCAGGCAGCGCCGTACGACTCTTCTGCGGCTCCTTCTACAAGTCATTCCACCGCAGACTTGGTCGAGACGGATCGGGGCACAGTTGCTCTCCGTCGCTCGGACGGCACCGAGTGGTCCGTCGAGGAGCTTATTGGCATGCAGCTGTCGTACGTGAAACAACTGGCAGAGGACTTCTCTGGAGAGAAGGTCTACGACGTGGTGGTCACTGTTCCCCCGTACTACACCATGTTCGAGCGGGATGCAGTAGCAGACGCGATCGAGATTGCTGGCATGCGTACCCTCGCACTTGTCAACGACGGTACTGCTGTAGCAGTCAACTACGCCATGACACGGACGTTCTCCCAGCCAGAGTATCATGTCGTCTACGATGCGGGTGCTTCGTCCATTCGCGCACTGTAGTCGGTTTCTCGAACGTTGCCAGCGATCCGAAGGCGAAGAGCCTTACCAGGACAGCATCCAGATTACGGTCGAGGTGTTGGATTTGACCGCACGGTGGCGGAACCGAGTTGGACAGACGTCTGCGGGAGATTATGATCAGCGACTTCAACCACAAGTACAAGAAGGATATCCGGCAGGATAAACGCGGGATGGCAAGCTCTGGAAGGAGGCTGGTCGCGTGAAGGCGGTCTTGAGCGCGAATACAGATGCGACGGCGTCGGTAAGGATTTCGTCGCTCATTGTCTCTGTGTTCATAGTAGCACAGGTGGAGAGTTTGGCTTGGGACATCGACTACCGCTCCAAGATCACCCGCGCAGACTTCGAGATTGCATGCAGAGACCTTAAGGGCGAGTTCTCTCGTCCCATCTTTGACGCGCTAGCTAGTGCCGGTATGCACTGGTATGTAACATCGCTCAAGTGAGGATCCTACGCTCACACCCTCTCTAGGACGACATCTCCTCTGTGATTCTCACCGGTGGTGCCTCGAGGACTCCCATGATTCAGTCAGCCGTGAAAGCCGCGGTCGGAGAGTGGGTGCTCACAAACCATCTCATCTTTGTTAACGATACTGACGCGCTCCTAGGAACAAGATTGCTCTGAACGTCAACGCCGACGAAGCCGCCGTTCTCGGTGCCGCTCTCCACGGCGCGTCGCTGAGCAAGCAGTTCAAGACAAAGGACATCCGCGTGACGGACATGAACCCGTACGACATCCAGACGTCGTACACCGCAGAGAACAAGAAGGTGCCGAACGGGAAGCCGCGCACAATCAACACACTGGTCTTCCCCGCAGGCACCAAGACGGGTACGAAGAAGACCTTGACGCTCAAGCGCGCGGATGACTTCCCATTGAAGCTGGCGTATAAGGGTGCTCCCGCCCCGTGAGTTTCCTTCCACTATCGCTGAAGAGTGGCTGGTGATAGTTTTGAGGCAGAGGCTTCCCGACGGACCTACTCGTAGCAAAGATCGGCGGAGTGGCGGAGGCAATCAAGAACCTGACGGAGTTGGGTGCTACGGACCCGGTTGTAAAGGCTACGCTGAGGTTCTCCGACTCGGGCTTTGCGAGCGTCACCGATGCAATAGCCTACGGCGAAATAAAGGATGGCTCGCTAACCGGTGCGTTACGGATTGCTTGCGCCAAGTTGGTCGTCTCACGTCCGCCTCAGGCAAACTCAAGGGTCTTTCTCAGGCAAATCGGAAGAGGTGGTCGACGGCGATGCGGCAGAAGGCGATCAAGCGGCCTTCGCTGCGCCATTGCCTTCGACGTCCGCAGCCGTATCGGAGCAGAAGACGGAGGATACAATCGCGCTTGATGTGCAAGTGGACTTCCCGTCGCTCCAACCGCTTTCCGTGGCGGCAAAGCGACAGTCTCGTGCACGGTATGTGGTCAAACAGCCTGTCGATTCGCGTGGAACTCACCTCGATGCTCTCATAGGCTTACGGTCATTGACAACGAAGAGGCAGGAAAGCGGCACAGGGAGGAAGCCCGGAACAGCCTAGAGGCTTATATCTACAAACTACGTGACCTCCTTGACGAAAACAACCCAGACACACCGTTCGTCAAGTGCTCTCAAGAAGCTGAGCGCAAGAGGATTGCCGAAAACCTGAAGGAGACGGCTGTTTGGATTTCCGACCATGGTGATGATGCTGATACGAAGGAACTCGTCGCGAAGCGCAGTGCATTAGAGTGAGCCTCCCCTCTTTGTCGTCAGCCCACAGGGCCCTCATTACGTTGGCGATGACTCAGGAGCTTGGAACGGCCCATCTTCGTCCGCTACGAAGAGATCAAGGAGTTTCCTCACGCGCTGAACATGAGTCAGTTGATGAATTGGCAAACACGACTGTTCCTAGGGGAGGCCAAGCAGGCACTGATTACCGCCGAGGAAGGTGGGACACCGGCGAAGTATACGGTGAGCGAGATCGAGGGTCTGCAGAAGGCTCTCGAAGACCACGAACGATGGCTCAACGAGTGGGTGGAGAAGCAAAAGAAGGTGGCGATGAATGAGGATCCCGTCATTCTGACGAGCGAGATGAGGGCACGGGCGAAGACTCTGGACAACGTGCTGCAGAAGCTGAGGAACAAGAAGATGCCTAAGGTGCCGAAGAAAACAAATACCACGAGCGCAAGCGCGGACGCCACAGGGACTCAGCAGACGGAGTCGACGGGGGCGGGTGGATCGTCGCGTAGCTCTTCGTCCGCTTCAGCGTCGCATCCTTCCAGCGAGAAGCACGATGAGCTGTGAAGAGTCAGTTTGCAGGACCCTTACATGTATACGTAATTATTTTGGTGCGCCGTAGAATTCCATTCGCTTCATATGGACGTCTTGACTGCCAGAATGCCTCAAATGAGAATTTTCAATCGGTCTGACGAGCAAAGAAACATCACGAAGTCCTGCATTCTCTCCGGCGGTCTATGAACGACCTGTAAGTGCGTTACACTGCCATCAAACCGTGAGTTACTTGAATATCATAACGAACCAAGTACTGAGTACTATCATTACAGGACAAGTACGAGCACCCGTTGTCGACTGGAAGAAAATGCTCTCGTTCACTAGTGCCCTGGTACTTGAGATTGAATGCCCGTCACGCGTCACTGCTCGCCCTCCACCGCTATTCAACCGTTGGCTTGGCAGAATAGGAACCGTCCGCTTCAGCTGTACCCTTGTCTACTATTACGAGCCGGGGGAATATGTCTAGTATCCCGCGGGCATGCCATGGCTGCAGGATCAAGCGGACCCGATCACATAACTCCACGGCTATACCAGTGTCTTGCAGACCGAGGACGACGTTGTTTGGCATTGTTAAAATGACTCCGACCTCGGTCAGCGAATCGAACGTCGACGCTCCAGCAAGTTCGTGGATTGGTGCCAAATCCGTGTCATCGAAGTCATCATCCAACCACGTCGAGTGGGTGAACTTGTCTGTCTCTGATGTAAACCGCAAGTGGAGGTCGATGACCCTCATATGACTGCTTGAAATCTGGCAAAGTATGCCATAGAGTATCTCGACGATTCTTCTGCATGTATTCTTCAGCGCGACGACCATGGTCAAGCATACTTGTACCAAGTTGGGGTGATGGCTGAGCGGAGGTACGGCTGTATCATGATTATAAGCATCGGATTGAAGCGAGCTGCCTGACACTGCCGGGTGGCCACACGTACCTTCTCCGAAATTCTGTAAGTAGAGCCACTTCAACGCTGAGCCGAGCGTCCGCAAGAGTACTAGTACTTCAGCGTTAGGAAGTCTGCTGCCTGTACGTCGGATATCGATAACATGAAATAGTCGACAGCAGTGCACATAGGCGTGGACGAGAGCCAAGGAACGAGCAAAGACAAAAACGATGGAGCTAACCCATCGATTGAAAGGCGGCGGAGTCGTGGGGTACCTGACCGAGCGAGCATATCTGTACTGGGCGGAATGCTAGGACTTGCATTAACGAGCCTGCCTCCAGCGAGATGCAGGTCGCGAAGTCTGGGCAACGAGCAAATAATGCGGCGAAAGTCGGCGAAAGACTTAAGCTCGAAGTTGTCCAGCCACAAGTGTTGCACCGCCGTGAATTGCGACATGAAGGTGACGAAGCTGTCGTGGTACGGCGGATGCAAACAATTCCGTAATGAAAGGCATTGTAGATGCGGCATAGAGCGGCCGAGCACAAGGGGACTGCATGGACAAATGCTCGCCGTGTACGCGGACTCGGAGACGGGGCTTCATCGTCGACGTGGATCTCCAGCATGCGGGTGGAGGACAAGTAACGACTTGATCGCGGACTCTGGATAGCAAACCGTGCGAGGGAGTCGTAGGCTTCGGCATCCGCGAGAAAAACGCGGAAGTAGAGCAAGGCCTGGCTGCGATGATGCCACGCACGACACACCAGTGCACAATTGTAGAGGTCCCGTCGGTCGGGTTGAATCCACTCTACGACACGATCGGTGAGCTCCAGTGGGATACAATCGGCGATGGTGTGAGGAAGTGGTCGGAGAATGGTTCTTCTCATGTGTCGGGTTTGGTTAGTGTAGCCCCAGTAGTAATCATGCCAATCCACTGCGCCGGTGGACGTATGAAGCTGTTCATGGCCACCATTCGAAAGAGGTTTTGCCTCGACGGAAGGAGAAACATCCCAACGATGGGATGCAACGTACGTGCATACTGGGCAATACACGTATTCCGGAGAATTGACGTCTCGGTCCATGGATGGAGACTCAGGCTGCTGTTCTTCGTTTGATTCGACGTCCATGACAGCGATAGCTTGCGCCGCTGACATCCGAGCTAGAGAAGTTATACTGTAATGCATGTTAGGCGATGCGCCGATACTGATACTGATACTACTGCGGCGGTACTTACTGCGATACAGTCAATGTAAGAGGGTTGTGTAGACCACCGAGACTATTACTAGCTTGGACGTGCCAGTGGGTGGCTGAGGGTCATCGACATCCCCGACTCCGACCGGAGGGAGGGCTTTGTCGTGTCACAGCTAAGTACAGCTAATTCCCAGGAGTCGATAATAGCGCTTGCGCCGCTACCTGGCCGCTATTACGATCGTAAGTACGTGCATCCACACAAGTCAGCCGGCGTGAGTATTTGAGTACCTGAGTGAGCATGCGGCTCGACCAGGCTTCGGCCTTTACCGACCTTTCAAAGACTCAATAGTAGTACTCAGATGCTAAACTTCAAGTTGCCAACGGTATAAGATGCACGCACATTACACGTCTCTCAATTGGCTCGTCCCAGCACCGTACAACTTGAAAACTATCATCAACAACAGGTATCAACCACTGGGGCCACTGGCACTATTGAGTCACTTCAGAAGAACTCGTCGAAGGAGTCGTCAGCCCGAGCGTAGTACACCGCCCGAGGCCCTGGCCTGCTGCCTGTCTGCCCTGGTTTCCAATCCCCCCCGTGGCGCTGACAGCGTGTTTCACCTCGCCATTCTTGTCTTTGAAAGCACGAGCGAACAGAGCGTCGAGTACATCGCGTGCGTACAGCGCGCGGACCTTCTTGCCGCCGTGCTCGCCTCGACCGCCCTGCTTGACAGCGTGCCCGTCGGAGTGTTTGCTCTTGCCCTTGCCTTCGTGCTTGTCCTTTGGACCGTGCTGGTGATCACCGCCGTCCTTGCGATGACCGCTGTGTCCGTGTTCCCCTTGCTTGGGTTCGCTCGCAACCGCAGCGGGAGCCTGAGCAGGCTGTGCGTCCCCGGTGGCGTCTTGAAGGACGCGAGCAAACAGCTCCTCAAGGACATCACGCTCGTACAACGGGCGAGTGCTGTACCTGCGCTGGTGGCGGTGGTGGTGTTGTTCGTCCTTCTCACCTACTGTGTGCTTCCGTTCCTCCTTTTCTTCGTGCTTCTCGGCGTGCTTCCCCTCGCCCGCTTGGCCTTGGGGGCCACGGGCAAACAGGGTGTCGAGGTCGTCGCGTCCATAGAGACCGGCGGTGGTAAGGTCACGGGCATCGCTAAGAATGGGATGTGACGTTAGTGCAGAATCGACAAGCACCAAGTTGAGCGGACGCACGGATACGCGGGATACGCGAGAGCCGGGGCCGCAGAGACGGCAGCGAGGATAAACGCGAAAAGGGTGGCAGAGCGCATGGCTAGGTGTATGTGAAGATGAAGGAGTTGTAGTGAATAGGCAAATGAAAGTCGTGTGTCGTTAATAAATCAAGCAAGGCTGGTGTGAATGATCAATAACCGTCCAGCAGAGTCTCTAGCAAGGAATACTCACTAGCCAGTACCGTTGCTATCGTGAACTCCGAAGTGAGAAGAGGGAAGAGCTGAGGTTTTGGTGCACGGACGCGTCGCCTTTATACGTTTTCGCCTTGGGGATCGCACGACATTTTGCCGATGACCTTAGGTTCGCGAGAAGGGAAGCATCATGGGCGAAATCAGACTACAGTGTGGTTCGCTCCTCCGCAGCTACGAGGATCCAGGAATTTTCTATACGGGGCCACGTATTCAACGGCGAACACAGGTCGGGGAATACTTACAGACGATGAGAATTTCGCCGATGCCTTAAGTACGAGGACGCCAGCCGAGTGATGCAAGCAATCATTTCAACTCACGATGGGTTTGAGGGGCCTGCGCGTACGTCCACTGTCACCGGACTGCGAGACTCGGCCTAGCACATCACCGGAAAGCTCACCGTCCACGCATCTTGTTGGCCGAACCCTCTTGCTCCAGCCTGCCTGAGCCTAGCACAGCATAAACATCATGACAATTGACCGCGAACGCAACGTTTCATAATTACCAGCGTATTTCTACTGGAGATTTGTCACGACCGAAAGGCCGTGCGTGCTATGATGAAAGCAACATACCCCTACGCAGAACATAGGTGCTGCATGGTTGACGTCTAGTCGTCGGAGGGCTCGAGTACGTGTCCTGAAGTCATCGAAGAACTGGGTTCGACGCTTACTAGGGTAGTTCCCGCTAGGTCCTGTAGCACATACTAAAGGGTCGTCGGCCGGTCTTGCGGTGCATGCTCGTCACATAGGCTGGTGAAAGCTCATCAGCAGTATGCAGTGCTATTGCGTATATAGCAAAGACAGGCGCAGTTAGGTGGATACGGGAAGCTCGCTTTCGCCATTGGGCAGCTTCTACACATGGAAACCAACATACATCTTTGACGACTGAACAGACAATTCGTTCGAGGGACATCTTGATATCCATGCCAAGGCTGCCGAAAGGGAAGAACTCGGACTCGGCGAGTGGCCGATCACTGGAAACCAGATTTCCTTTGTCCTTTTGTACGTAAATCTGTGAGGCCATCAGCCTTCATCTGCGCTGTACTGCAAAACCTCAGAGGCTCGATCTTGAGCATTTTGCCATGGACCCGTCCTCGGACTCGCTGCTGGCGAGCATGAACGCATTGGCCACATTGCGTCTTAGACCACTTTTATAGATCCTGGTCCTCACAGGCAGTGTACGCAGCAGCACCTTGTATCTGAGATTGCTGGACCCACATTGGGTCGTTCGGCGGCACCATTGTCTAGAAATAAAGTCATCATCCGAAAGCGGTGATTGGCGTGCACTTACCTCGAGTGTAAACGAGAGTTCCAGTTTTGCTTGCGTGCCCCAGTACGATGCGTCAGACCATCTCTCCTGGGCAAGTGTACTACTTTTCAAGGTGGAAATTGTCTCATCTATGGCACGATTGCGTGTTCTCTCAGCTGTTAGCAGCCTGAGCAGAGTCCTTGGGTCTAAGGCCTGCGCACGGGTGGACTCTTGGGGATCGTCAAGGAGACACTTGCTAGTTGCACGGTCGTGACAGCCGTCATTGAGGACATATATATGCCACTGGAGACTAGCATGACACTCACTAATGATTTGCGAGATTGATAGCAGCAGAATGCACAGCGTGCTCAATCTGCGCATCAACATCGTACTCCTCCTCTGGGACTGTATCCATTGCGTCACAGTCGTACTCGCCGTCGTCACTCTCTTCGCCAAACTCTTTACGCCAGACCGCATGCCATTTAGCGGCCTCATATGTATCCTGCATGTCCATGTCCACAACTGGCGGCGGAGACTGGAAAGACCGCTTGGGCATCGCTGGAACGGGGCAGGCGGCGAGTGAGCGTGGAAGGAGGAATGTAGAGTTGTCAGAACACTAACTTACTTTTAGATGATAGTGAACCACTCCGAGGATGAGTTGTTCACGTTTACAGCAAGACACTGTGACCGCCGCCGCTATTGCAAGGCTACGTTAGGGCGGGAGTTTCGCGGACACCGCAGCGGAGCAACTTGACCAGTGGGACGAGGGTAGAGATAGTAGACTAGGGCCGGTGTATTCCAGTGTCAGGCAAAATGAGTGGTGAGCTGTGAATGGCGTGTTTGCCGTTGGGTGAGAACAACTGGCCGCGGAGAAGAACCTCAGGTGCGCTGCTCTGACACTGACAGTGACTGACACGCGTGGCCGCCGTGGATGAACGTCTCACGTGCATGACGCGCTTGTGGCGTCGCCGCGTCCGAGTCGGACAGTGCATGGCTAAGGCCTGAGCGAGGCTTGGCTGAGGCTCGTCCGATCCGAGTTGTCTCATAGCCACGTAGCTTGAATCGTTTATCTCTCACTTGTGTCACACAGAATGCAAAAGCTGGGTGGCAGGATAATCATACCCGAGTTGAAGCCCTAGAGTTACAGAATACACGAACTACAAACCCACACCATATATACATCCCGGCGCCGGGACCGGACGCTAGCTTAAGCGGGACATTAAACCATGGTCAAGCCGTATGGGACACCGTAATTCCCAGCTCCTGCATCAGGATGGTTGTTGCTTTCTCTCCGACGACCAGAGCAGTAGAGTAGTGTTCTACGGGTCGCCACACTTAGCTGCAATATTCGGGTTCACCTGGGAAGCGAGACTCACCGCACAAACATTGCTAGGCACGATAGACATATCTGAGGATCTAGTTAGCCCGATGCTATAGTGTACAGCAACAAGTCCATCGTACCTGCTACCTTCAAGCCAGTGACACCGTACACGTTCAATCGAGAGTCTACTACGCCGCCTTGACCGCGAGGTTTCATCGCGCAGGTTCCTAGCTGGATGGCCAATGATATGTCCATGAACATCGAGTGAGTGAGCGCAACGAGACCTACCGAGTGCCAGGACGTCTGTACCGCACGGCGGGAATATTCATCAATAGCCTGGTCGTCTTCGCTGGTGTATTGCAAAAGAGGCGCGTCCATGGCCACAGGCCCTCCATCAGAACTACAGCTTGCCTGGCTACCTTCAGGAAATTGCGGATGGCTGGGCAGATATTCGCCGCAGTATAGTGGCATGCGGCGCGCGAATTCGCGACTATGCTTGTATCCCCATCTCAGAAGAACGAGATCCTCAACCCTGTGGTCAGCATTAGGCCGATGATACTCTTGAACCGAAATGCGGAGCACTCAACCGATGTAGGAATCTTGGATCGAAGTCAGGAGCAGCAGACACGTCGTTTGCGGATGTGATGTGGACGTAGCCGGTGGACATTGGATATTGCACGTAGTAGCCTATACTGGCGTACTTTCGCTTGGGAACTGTCGAAGGGTCACCAACGTATCTGTGATGGTGTTAAAGAGCAAGGCGTCCGGTAGGCAATCTGGAGACACTCACTCCGATACAGCACCGCACCAAATCACAGGCTTGTCTGGCACGTCCTTGAAGTAGGTCTCCCACCTCTCGCGGAATTGGGGGCCGATGAGTTCGAGCTCATCCGGAAATGGCCGCAGTTTACCGGCAGCATCGATACCACTGGATCATTCAGAATGTTGAGATCACACTTCATCTCGTATGAAAACTCACTTATGAGCCATCAATCCTGAGCCGTCCTTGGTCCACTGTGCGCTCCAATCTGAAAGGATTAACAGATTCAGTGCTAGGGGGTTGACCTGTGACAACACACGTACTCTCGACTTCCTCGGGATCGTTTCTAACAATGCCATCGAGAGTTTCCGCCTCGTCCTTCACGAGGTACGGCGCAAAAATGACTTGATGGTCTAGAACGGACGATGTGAGGACACAAGGATATGCTAGATGCCTCACGGCGCACACCTTGATAATTTTCGCCGACGCCGGGCAAGTCAACCAAGGGCTCTATCTCGAGCTTCTTCAGCAGCGCCGGAGCTCCGATGCCGGAACGTTCCAATATCGCAGGGGTCCCAAAGGCGCCGGCTGACAGAAGTACCAGCCTCTTGGCTTTGGCGATGCGGGTCCCCTGCTTCTCGTCAGGCTGGAACCGCGCATTGGGCGTGTATTCAACGCCGACAGCTCGCGTTCCTCTGTATCGTCCGTCAACAGTCAGTGGTACTAGAAGATAAATTCATGCTCACTCAAAGATGACTCGCTTCACGAGGTAACCGGTGAGTATCTCGAGCTTGGGATAGGTTCGGTTGTAGATGTAGTAGTGGGGCACGTCGGACCGTCGTCCATCGTCCGCGCTTATGTATCTATTGATCGATCAGCCCAATGTTCACACCGGAGCCGACGTGACCACGAACTTCTGCCACCTCTAAACGGATGATCAGCGAAACCCCTTCTCAACTCTCTTCTAAACATCCATGTACTTACCCCATATGCATTGCACTTGAATAGACCGTTGGGATCATCCATCAGAGAGCGCTTCGCATCGTAGCGCGCAGCGACTTCGAGGAACTGCTGCCCGATGTTCGTAAAGAGACCGCCGTATGATACCTTGAGAGGGCCCGAGTAACCGTGGGTCTCCGCGGACCCTTCCGCTTGGTAGGTCTCTGACTGCTCTACGTGAAACAGGAGATCACAATAGACAGGGTATCACATGAGTGCACCTTCTTGAGAAGCGGAATGAGGTCCTTCGAACCCCAGCCCGGGTTACCGTACGTGGTTTCCCAGTCGTCGAAGTCGGACGCCGCAGGCCGCGCATACACCGTGACTAGCCGAACAGCATTAGCATGGCAGTCATTGCTGGACAGTAATAACCGCATACATACAGTTCACGCTCGAGCCGCCTCCCAGGCACTGGCCGCACGGTACGACGACTCCTCGGCCCCCGAGTTCCTCTGTCTTTCGGCCTTCGTAGACCCTGACAGTCTTACTTCCCGGAAGCAAGTGGCTCAGATAACGGGCGGGTTGAGTATGGGCTGGATCTTCTTGTGTCGGTGGGCCTGCTTCCAGCACAAGGATGCTCAGAGTCGGGTCGGCCTCTGCAAGTCTACTAGCAATTACTAGCCCGCTGGTACCGCCTACGAAGAGACGTCAACACGAAGGAGACACTGAACGATATGAGATGCTCACCTCCAGCGATGATGATATCGACTTCGGAAGAAGGTGAGTTCGACATGATAGTACAGGACCACAGTGAAGTCAGTCTTTGGACGCGTCTTCTCGAAGCCAATCATTCCCACTTTTATATGGGCTCGTCGATACCTGAAAGGCGAGAGATGATTGCAGCGCAGCGCTTAGCTGGGAACCGATCTCCGCACTATGCATGACGATACAAGCTTCGTGATGACAGCGGGGAAACTTCTTCTGATCCGTCCACGGAACAGGAGACCATCTCATAGGGCTGAGACTGAGCAATACCCGGCCGCGACAACGCCACCATTGCAAGTTACCCCTGGGTGCCTCCGAACTATCGGACTGCCACTGAGTGAATAGTGTAGTGGACAGCGGGAAGTGTTTTTGACACGAACCTATGGGCTACCGCTCACAACGTTACGATGTTACCGGACTCGCATTCAATTGGCGTGCGCCAAATCCTAGCAGCGTCTTCGTCTCGTGTTCGTCACACCTATGCCGCGGCGGTCTGGGAAGTCGGAAGCACCGCCGCCACATGGGACAGACACTAGCGAGAGGTACCTCCAAGAGGGCTCGAGTAACTTACCGATGCTTCCGCAGCAACAGACGATGAGAACTCATCCATATGAACACGCTTAGCACGAGGGTCTTCACAATAGAACGTGGGGTAAGCAGCAACGCTATCAGATAAATTCATCAAGTGGTGTACCCCGACTCAGATGTGACACAGTCCTAGCGACGCGCACGACGCGGCTGGGGGAATTTGACAGGAACCTCCAACATGGCCCGCTTCGATGCTGCAGCAGAATCTGGCAGGCCAAGCCTTTTGAGATCTTTATGGTCAAGCTTACGGACAGTGCAGCCTGTCAGAGAATATCAGACGCTGTACTGCTCACGGATGCACACTAGTCCACGTACCGAGCGCCTTGAAAAGTGGATTGACCCTGAGGTAGCAGTCAGAAGGTTGGAAGGTCAAACCGGAAAACACGGAAGGCGTACTTAGAGACTGGCATTTTGAGATCGTGGGCAACAAGCTCCGTGTCGGTCGCGAAATCATCGACGCGCAAGCATAGAGCAAGCATATAGGTCATAAGCATCGTCTCCGTTTGGCTCGTTACTTTAATTCTGCACGAATGTTTATGTATTAGAACACATGAACGCAATAGCCGCATTAAGGATGCTCACTTGTTTGTGTCTCTCTCGCTCTCAGTGAACCGAGACACCAACCCCTCAATAACAGTTTGGGGCACGCTTGTGAGCTTCTTCTGCAACGCCTCTTTGTTGTCGACAGACCGCGCCACCATCTTGAACGCCATCATGGCAGATATGTACATAACTATCTTCCTGTATGGAGGGTTAATGGAGGCGTAGACCATTCACCACATTGACACTGACATGTCTGTTTTTCTGAGCTTCGGCGCCTGGAAAAGTTTGTAGACATGTTGATTGACCCAGTTTGAGTGACGGAAAGGCAACAATGCTTTCCGTTCCTGGTCGCTCGAGGCGGACCTGAACGGTGTTACCGATAGCGCATTGAACTCGGTCTCCGGGATATGTCGTGTAATGCGTAAACGCCTTCTGGTCGATCTGCATCCGCGTGATGCGGGGGTATGAGCCGGTTGCTGTCCGCGGCATCCTTCGCTTCCTCTGTAGGTTTAGAGTCAATATATGCAGGTAACTGTTGCGTGATGACAAGCCGCTGATGCCAGTGAAGATCCCTAGTTATGTCGACGCAAGACTGCGATAGGCTGAGCAGCCACGATCGACGACATTCACGATGGTCAGGTTTTCTGACGACGATCTAGACATCGGAGTGTATACACTACATGCATGTAGAGCAAACTCCCGAGCGAGTTCCCGAGTGACCACCGTCGTCAGAAACGGTCTCATCGAAGTGGCTCCAGACGATGTCTGAACACCTCCGCTGACGAATACAGTCGGCGCACACCTAGTGATGAGTAGACCTCGTCATGCAATGCATAGAAGGCTGCAGTGGCGTCCCAATGGACTAGTGAAGGACTCAAATGTGGATAGCCACTCTCGAGGAGGACCAAGGGCGAATGAAATGCACCGAAGGTGGCGTGACGCAGGATACACTTGTGTGTCTCTTCAAAGAAGATCCTCCTGTAGGATGAACACGTACCCAGTGTAGGCAAGCTGCTGGTGTTCTCCATGATAGTCTCCTGCAGGTGGCCGGTCACACCTTCAAAGCATCGATGTCCACCCTGTTCCGCTCTTGCGCGCGAATGGCTGCTTTCGCTTTTTGGTACCAAACGTTTCGCCAAGCTTGTTGCGCAACTGAGCGCGTTCATCATTGGTCACCTCTATAGGAGCAAGGTTTTTGAGCGCTTTCACTTGCTGGTTCATGACATGGAGGGTGCGGACGGAAGACGGTCGTATTCGTTCGTTTGTTGTGCACAGCAACCAGATAACTGAAAAGGGAAGCAATCTAGTGAGAGGACCGACTTTGTACACATATCAGTTGACACATACCTGCAGCCCACCGAGGCTTGTCTGCTTTCCCCGATGTGGCGAACTCTATAGTCTCGGTCTCTCCAGCCACGATGGTGTCCTGAGACGCGAATGGCTCTGCTCCATCGACCTGCTTGTCTCGTCGCCAACATCGGAACGATGTGTTCCGAGGGGGTTGGAGGGCAGGAAAACCGGCTGTCCGACGCTATGAGCTTCACGCGCTCCGGAGCACACAGGACTAATAGTACCTAGCACCGGACCCAGCTGCGCCGAGGGCTGAGAAGATGTGTGAAGAAGGACTTTCCAGCGTCGTCGGTGTCGCGTTTGCGTTTTCTCGAATGGGAGGCAGAGGCCATGGTGCGCGTCAGAGTGAGAGCGTGATTGGCCAAGCCACTTTGCTTCCGCCACCAAGTTCTGGCCGACCGGCGACCGTGAGTAGTCCTGCCCGACTGTGTCTACCTGCTCAAGCTACTAAAACGCACTCAGGTCTATTGCTTCTTGCATGCTCGCCCAGCTCTGGTCGTAACTTATTCATCTGTATACTCACATCTTTTTCGCCGGGCTGCTGCAGGACACCTTGTGCTGTGTCCTGACAAATCGGGAAATGGCAGGCATCCGACCTCCCTCTTCGCGAAACGTATCATATACCCCGTCCCTCGCAAACCGCAGCAGAGGCGGAATGCGTGCGGCCAGCTCTCGCAATATCTCTGAGGTACCAGAACAGAGCGTGAAGGCCGAAGCTGTGGACCATGCCGATGGCGCGACTCCCGGCGTCAAGCCCGAGGGGGACTCATCTGTGAAGACCGACATCGACGATCTCTACAACTTCGAAATGGACGAACCGTCGACCTCGCGGAGCTCGTCCTCAGACCTCAAGCAGGAGACCGCTGCCCTCAAGCTCGAGGACGACCGGCCGTCTGCTACACCGCCGTCTCCTCGAGGGGCAAGCCCAAGAGCGAACCCCAGCTCATCGGCCACCTCCCCCGCGCAGAGAGGAGCTCTGCGTGCCTTCGTCCAGCTCGCGCAAAATCACTACCAGTATGGCACGCTTGGAGGTCGAGGGAAGCTCTGGAGAGTATGACATGCGAATGTCAGTACGAGCATGGGTGGACGACTCGGATGATGCCTGTGGCTCGGATGTATTAATCGACTCACGCAAGTCGAGTGTCTTCCTGACGACTGTCGATGTCGTTCATACTGCCAGAATCAACGGTAGGCACACTGGCTGCCCGACGTTTCCACTGATACTCAATGGCAGTGCAGATTTCAGCGCAGGCAGTACGCGCCTATCGAGATCGTGCAGACAGAGATGAAGGGGTTTGGCCTCCGTGCTGGGGAGGATCTGCCTAAGTATGCATTTGTATTCGTGCTCTGTGACGGGGAACTCAGGTCTCGGGATAGGGATACCTTCATCTACGAATACTTGGGTGACGTGGTCAGCCAGCCGACCTTCCTCAAACGCATGCGACATACTCAGAAGAGGGTATTCGACATTTCTACTTTATGATGCTCCAGAAGGATGAGGTACGTCAGACCCGCGGTCATTCGTGGCCTATGTTGACTCCTATCACCAACAGTTCATTGACGCCACTAAGCGAGGTGGTATTGGCCGTTTGCCAACCATAGTTGTAACCGAACTGCTATGTAGCGAAATGGACAGTAGACCGGCATGTACGCATGGGTATCTTTGCCAACAGGTACATCAAGAAGAACGAAGAGCTTACATTCAACTACAACGTCGACCGATACGGGTGAGTACTACTGCATATGGATCATTGCCATCTCTGTCGAAGTAAGGACTCATTGGGCCTCCCTGGTCGTCCTCAGCCACGACGCACAACCATGCTACTGTGGAGAGCCGAATTGCGTCGGCTTCATCGGTGGCAAGACCCAGACTGACATTGCTGCTATGGATGATCTCTACCTCGATGGTACGCACATCGATATGGGACTCAAACTTCTCCATGAGCTGACTGCGCTTTAGCGCTCGGTATTTCCGAAGAGGTTGCGGTCTTGGGCCTGAAGGGCAGCAAGAAGAGGAAGAGCAAGAAACTCGATGAGGACTTCATTGTGCGTGCTCACGAATGTCTCACGTCCTATTGGACCCTGACGGTACCCGTCGTTTCGTCAGCCTACGCTCAAGCCACTTATCGAGAAAGACATACCCAAAGTCATCCAGCCCTGCGGCAAACACAGAGTCGCAAGGTCCTCATCAAGTTACTGACACGTATCAAGGTCGGTGCATTATCAGTCGTCACCACGTTGTACGCGCCTGACCATGGTCGTATGCGCAGATGACGGAGGACCAGCCCGCGCTCCGGCAGCTCATGCGTCTCCGTGGCTTCAGCGTCATGACCAACATCCTCGAAGACTACAGCACCGATGTGGAGGTGTCCGTCTCGGTGAGTACTGTCCGGCGACGACGTACTGGCATGGAATTGACGGATCGCAGGCAATCGAGTGCATGATGACTTGGCCGCTCATCCAGCGGAACAAAGTCGAGGACTCGAAGGTGAACGTCCCCGTCCAGACATGTGCCCAGTCCGAAGACCAAGGACTTGCACAGCTTGCTCAAAAGGTTGGCAAGGCCATCTCTCGGTTGACCCCATGTGTCTGATGTCTGCGGGCGAGTAGCTGCTTGCACAATGGGACACTCTAGAGTACGCGTACCGGATACCGAAGCGGTTGAAGGGGGTGAGGACCATATCCCCGCTGTCCTCGCGCGATGCTGATGTATTGCTCTCCCTTGCTCAGGAGGGCGACGACGACGATGCGCCCGCGCCATCATCCAGCTTTTCATCCAGACCCGTCGACCCCCGACCACAGAAGCGCGCGCGCCCCGACACCATCTTCGTCTTCGAGAACGAGGCCTCGAAGCTCGACTTCAAGCTCCGCGCGCCCGCGCCGCCGCCGCCCAAGGACCCCGCGATGGAGGCGGAGCCCCCAAGCCCGCCGCGCCCGTCAACTCATACCGCCTCGCGCAGCAGCGCGAGCGCGACGTAGCCGCGATCATCGCGAAGGCGTCCGCGGCGGCGGAGGCGGCGCTCGCCGCCGCCGCCGCCACGTCGCTGCCGACGGCCGAGAAGGACACGAAGGAGGAGGACGAGCGCAAGCGGCGCGAGGCGAAGGAGGCGCGGCGGAAGAAGCGGAAGCAGCTCGCGCAGGAGGACAAGGAGGCGAACAAGGAGGCGAACAAGGAGAAGCGGCTCCTCAAGCTCGTCGGCGCGGTCGTCGTGAAGTGCATGTCGAAGCACCGCGACCAGTTCGCGCACGACCAGTTCAAGACGCACGCGAAGGAGGTGAGCCCCTGCGTCCCCCTCCCCCGCCGTGCGACACGTACTGACCCGCACGCAGCTGACGCACATCATCGTCGAGAAGGAGAAGAGGTCCGCGTCGTACCGCGAGGGCCGCCTCGACGCGCTCTCGGACGAGAAGGCGGGCAAGATCAAGAAGTTCGCGAAGGAGTACATCGCGAAGATCCTCCGCAAGGCGGACAAGAAGCGGCGCGAGAGCGGCGGCGGCGGTGCGGGGCCCGCCTCCGCGTCCCCGTCGTCCCCGTCCATGCTGTCCCCGTCCGTGTCCGGCGAGGGCGCGGACCTCGCGGCGGCCGTCGCGGACGTGATGGACCTCGACGGGCCGGACGACGCGGACGAGAACATGGAGATGGACATGGACGCGTCGCCGCTGGCCGACTCGGAGACGCCGCCGTCCGACGCGGGCGGCACGCCCGCGCAGACGCCGCCGGCGCTGGTGGGCGACCCGCGCCTGCGGCATCGGAGGGAGGAGTGCGGGTGGGACCCGGACGGCGAGAAGATGGCGGGGCGCGTGCGGCCCGTCGTCGTTAGTGCGGTGTCCGTGTCGTAGCACGAGCAGCGGGCTGGCGCGGGGTGCGGTTCCGTGTGTATCCTTTGGGTCCGGGTCCGGGTCCGAGCAGAGACGGTTGTGCTGGCTGGTCTGTCTGTCTAGTGTGTCGCGTTGTCGATGCTAGCGTTGCTCGTGTTTGTGCTATGCTACGTTAGTGCCGTACGCATCGAGGGTAATTAATACTGCAAGAAGTCAGCGTACATTGTATACTTATTCGCGGTGTCCCCACTGGTATCTGGCCGCACATCAAAGCGAGGGAGCAGTGTACAGAGCGATGTCATTAGGATCCAATAACCAGTACAAGTGACACTTCTATTTTGCTACAGAATGCTTACTTCCCTTCCACCCCGTGCGCGCATGCGGGGATCCGCCACCCGCGCCCCGGACCGTCGGAATGACAGACACGAGCAGAAAGCAGAGGCAGGCGCGCGCCTAGATCGCGCCGTCCTTCTTCGCGGCGAACGCGAGGAGGTCGCAGACGCGCTTGGAGTAGCCCCACTCGTTGTCGTACCAGGCGATGAGCTTGACGAAGGTCGGGCTGAGCTGGATGCCCGCGTCCGCGTCGAAGATGGACGAGTGCTCGTTGCCGGTGAAGTCCGTCGAGACGACCTTCTCGTCCGTGTACGCGAGGATGCCCTTCATCGGCCCGTTCGCGGCCGCCTGGATCGCCTTCTTGATCTCCTCGTACGAGGCGGGCTTCTCGAGGCGCACGACGAGGTCGACGACGGACACGTCGATCGTCGGCACGCGGAAGGAGAGGCCGCTGGGGGTGGGGTGAGATGGGTGGGTGAGCGGAACGAGGGCGGACTCACGTAAGCTTGCCGTTGAGCGAGGGGATGACCTTGCCGACGGCCTTGGCGGCGCCGGTCGAGGAGGGGATGATGTTGTTGCCGACGGCACGGCCGCCGCGCCAGTCCTTGTTGGAGGGGCCGTCGACGGTCTTCTGGGTGGCGGTGGTGGAGTGGATGGTGGACATGAGGCCCTCTGCGATGCCGAAGTTGTCGTGGATGACCTTGGCGAGGGGCGCGAGGCAGTTGGTGGTGCAGCTGGCGTTGGAGATGACGGTGTACTTGGAGTCGTAGGCGTCGAGGTTGACGCCGCAGACGAACATGGGCGCGTCGGCGGAGGGCGCGGAGATGACGACCTTCTTGGCGCCGCCCTTGAGGTGGAGGGACGCCTTGTCGACGGTGGTGAAGACGCCGGTGGACTCGACGATGTACTCTGCGCCGACGGAGCCCCAGGCGATGTCGGCGGGCCCCTTCTCGGAGAAGACGTGGATGGGCTTGCCCTCGACGAAGAGCTTGCCGTCCTTGGCCTCGACGGAGCCCTTGAAGCGGCCGTGGACGGAGTCGTACTTGAACATGTAGACCATGTACTCAAGGTCGATGAAGGGGCTGGGAAGACGCCATGAGGCGGTTGAGCGGCGGTTACGCGCGATCAGACTCACTCGTTCACAGCGACGACATCGATGTCTCCGTGGAGGAGAGCATTACGGAGCACGATACGGCCGATACGACCTGCGGACTATCAGTCCCAGTATTCATTGTACTTGGACAAGCAAGGCGTACCGAAACTGTAGAGCGACGCGTCGAGTCATGTCAGCGCGATCAGGGCGCGCAAAGACGCGCATACACTCACCCGTTGATTCCGACCTTGACCTGCAATGCGATGTGCGTGAGCAGAGCGCGCTGGGCCGGAGTGGAGGTACTTACGGGCATGGCAGATGTGGATGTGGATGGGTGGGTGTGAGGAGGTGTGAGTGGTGAGGATGGGGAGAGGAGTGGGCGCTTTATAGGAGGAGATTATCGCCCATCATGATTGGCTCGGTGCAGCGCCATTGGCCAGGGCGGGGATGGACGCTCGGCCCGTCTCTCGAACGCTCTTCGCGTCATCGACTCTGCTCAGCCGCATCCCGTCGCGCTCTCGCTCGCTGCACGCGCCAGACACGCCTGGCCGCCGCCAGTCACCGCGGTCCCCGCTCGTCCCCTTCCCCATGTGTCTCTTCGCTGGGCAGCAGCACGGCAGACGCGAACGTGCGCGTCTCGCGGTCTGACTCACGCCACGCCCGCGATCGACGCTCACGATCGTCCCCAGAACGGCCATCTGCCCAAAATCATCGTCTCACTTTTCCCAACCCTCGCTCCTCGTCGGCCGCAAGTCGTCCCAGCGACCCAGCGGCCATATGCATAAGCACCCAGGGGCCACTTACTTGACTCGCCCAAGACACGTCCGCTCGCATCGCCCTCGGATCATCGCTGCGCTCGCTGCTGACGAGAGCGTACATCTGGACATTGCCCTCCTGTCAGCCACCGACTCTTCGCCGTACCACTGGCGCGTTCTCGCGTCAGCGACCAGCCCCGCCCATATCGACCCTCTGCGTACGAGGCGGTGCACGCCTCATGAGCAGGTGCCAGGTAAGCAATACAACTCGGAGCCCAACGCACATGCGTTTGGACGGCCCGACCCAGCAGTACTGCCGCTCATTACAGTAAGGCCCTGAACGGTTCTGTGACCACTTCCGCCCAGCTCCCGGTGTATCTAGCTTCGTGATGTCTACTCACAGCGGGCTGTCACTTACTCTAGGATGGCCTGGCGGCTGCCTTCTCCGTCCATATCATCAGATGTATCAGTTGGCCATCCACGCCCAATTCGCATGCTCGTCCAGGCCGACCCCGACCGCCCCTGGGGCGTCGACGACGTCTTGACGGACCATGTTACGCCCTCATGTGTTCGCTGTCGATGGTATAGCAGGCGAGGGCCAATCAGGTGTGGGCAGGAGGCAGTCTGGGGCGGTCCTCGAAGCCGCCGCGACAACTTGGAGGGTGCGTTCTCTTCGCTCTCGCCCAATCACAGCAAGATCGATCAGCAACTCTCTTTGCTGTGGCGCGCACTCTAACTCTGTGCTCTTCGTTGTCTGGGCTGTGCGTATTCACGATCTTGCTGGACTGGGCTCTGCTTAGGCAACGATGGCCGAGAGCCAGGCATCTTCAACGTTCACGTTGTTGCCGCGATTTTCGCGCAGTGGCGAGGATCTGCGATGCCAGTGCTAGATGCCTCCATTCTCTCCGACACGCTCTATTCAGAACTACATCAGGCCCCCGCACTGTAACATGTTGCATATACTATCCTTTCGGTCCGTCCGGCAGCGTTAATACGACTCAATGCACGACTGTGACTGACAGGTCTGTCATAGCACCACTATACAGTCCATATGCGCAGCGGCCAAACGGCTGTGCCTCCGAAACGTCTTCATGGGGCCGGTAACGTATACAGTGATGGTTATTTGCACAACATGAGACGAGACCCCGTCGGGACGACGTTCATAGAGTCGGACCGCCAATAGCACCGACGTCGTCAATGGGGTGTAGCTGGCCTATGCCCGCGACGACTGCGGCCAAGCGGGGCGCCATTATGGAGCGAGCAGGGGAGCTCCGAACGTATGTAAGTACTGTTTGTGCAATCGCGCGGGGTCGGACGATATATGACTCAATCTGCAAAGTCGGTCTTCAAGCTTCAGGCTTCTGTCATGGGGGATGCTGGATTGTCTGTACGCCGAGGACGGAACGGAGGAACAGAGTGTGCCCGCGCAGTGCTGTGCTCGTCACGGTACGCTCAGAATCCGCTGTACACCTTGTTGGAACCGTACATACTGTACTTATAGTTCAGGTTTAAGCGAGCAGGCCTGGTCTTGAGATGTGCCGAGTCATCTGAGCCCTTCCAGTCAAGCAGGCTCGATCCTCTCTGGTAGCCGGCTCGCACTAAGTACCAGTGGAACCAGACGTGCTACTACATGGGCGCCGAAGCGAAATTGGGACCAACGTCGGTCAGTTAGAGACTTGTCCTGTGCAGCAGCGGTGCTTCTGACTTCCCGGATGTTGCGGTACAGGCGAGACGAAGACCTGAATCAATGCAGTATCCCATCGCGACCACTAATAGCACAATGCTGCACGTCGCGAGTCTTCGCTCGTAGGCCCGTCTCAACAATCACGTTTCAATACTGCACTGACTCAGTTGTGGCTCGGCAGCTCGGGTGCAGCAGGGGTGGCCTGCAATGTCCGTGCTGTAGCGGGCCATTCCTCGGCTCGAGCCCTGGGCGACTGTGTAGCGCACACGATCATGAGACGCTTCCGCGAAAAGGTCTGCATCGTGTACCACCACACGATACAGACCGGGCCTCAGCCGTCCCCAATCGGCGCTGCGACGTGTTGACGAGTTCATTCGGAAGCCGGGACGATCAGCTTCGAGAAGACGTGTCCGACTCGGAGGACTGCCTTCGGCGTTGTGGTCCTGCACTGTCTCGCCTTCGTCCGAAGTGGACATCGTCGTCGCTGAGGTGAGCTTCGCGTGTCGTCTAGTGCCTCCGTGTCGTTGATGTCTGTCCGAAGGCCGGGTACCCAGCGCGCTCCTCGTGCTGGAAGCAGGCCCGCATACATACGAGCTTGGAATGAATGTAGGACATGAGCCCGTACCACTCGTCGTGACCCATACTAACATCCATATGTTTTGCATAACGGTAAGTACCTGCGTCTCAGAAAGGGCGATATGTAACCGTGACGAGATATACGTGACTGCTATACGGCAGCCTGAGGTTGTCGAAGGCATTAGTAGTGTTCACTCGTTAACCTGACACTTGTATTATCTAAGCCATCGTACAGCGTGCAAAGGATAGATGCATCCATTAGCAGCTTGCGAGATACGTCGTACAACTCAGTACAGAGTCTGAATGCGAGTCAGCGTATGTACCGATCGGCAGATGCCGACAGCTGTGGCCTCCAAAGGGACGTGACGCGTGACGAACCAGACGTTCGCGCATCTGGTTCGCGCTGAAGCCGATCTGCAACTTGCTCCGGGTTTGTGATCATCGACAGCCCAATATTGGCCTGCTTCATTACGGTCTTATGTCCGGTAAACTTGTCTTTCTCGGCGACAGGCATCTTCGGCGAGTAATTTCTTTAGCGATGGACAGTCTGCGGGGCGGTGAGGGCGGTGAGGGCTCACGCTGGTGTCAGAACGTCGGTGCGTTGACGCATTGAACAAGTTGTACACAATTCTGACGGATCGCCATTATACCACCAGTGATCCAACTACTCCTGAGCATGCCTTATGTGTCGAGTTGTACAGGACCTGTAACAGGATGTATATCGGTTGACGGTTTCACGATGTGCTGTCCGGTAGAAGACTTCACCGGTTCACCTGTGGGCGCCGATGCTCAAGCTCAAGAGCGCCGAATTTCTATTCATAGATGCGCGTTCTGTCTTGTGGTAAAGTTCTGTCTTGTGGTCAACTCAGTCAAACACCCGAGACCCGAACTAACACCAGTCGTATAGTGGTACAGCAACCAAGGATTGGTCTAAGACATGTCGGCTTGCACCGTCTTCGAGAGGGCACGCCCAAGTATCAAGAGAAGCCTTCAGCAACAGAGGTAGCCTGCGACCTGCGGAGAGCATGAATGGTGAGTACTCGTTCGAGAAGCATGTCCATCGAAACATAGCGATATGTTGACGCTGCTGCATAGATCCCGTTATCTTCCGGCGCTGGGTCGACATCAGAGACGCGACTTTGAGTGCAAGTGTCCAGCAGACATGGTCTCGTCAGTGGTACATAGGGCATGACGAGACGGCAGTGACCACCGTCTGGCCCTGGGCCTGAACGCGATTGGCTGCCATTGTAGGTGCTAAGCAATCATGTGAACTGGACAATGATGGACGTTGACGTTCATCTCATCCGAGGGAATGTGCAACACATTGATATGCACAACTTCTGTCTCGAAGTGTGGCTCCTTCTCCTGTGATGTCGCTGATCGACAGATCATACACGTAGGCAGGGAGCTATCGCGGGTTTCGGAGTTCGTCGACGTCGTCGACAGCACCGGCGTGGGCGGGAGCAGGTGGCCAATCTGGAGCTGCACCGCGCGAACGTCGTTCTCGGCAGTGAGTGAACTTTTACATAGCGATGACGGCTTGGATCTCGATATGCTAATGCGATCACTTGACGTCGTAGAATGCTCTTACCTTGGCTCTTCCTTCTGGCAGCCGGGGCAGTAGTCACCTGGCTCTGTATTGCTCTTATGACAGGACAGACGAGATCCCGTGTCGTCCGGCAACCCCTTTTTGCGGGACCGAGACTCTGTACACACTATCACGAGGTGTACCACTACGCATCTTCTCCACGGTTTAGCAAGCTATGTTATCAGCAAAATGCAGATAGGTTTGAAACCTCGTCTACCTACCAGAACTATTTTGACGGATTCGGGTCAACATGACAGAATGGACGTCTATGATAATGGATGACAGCCCTAGGAAGGTCTATTCCGCAAAGTTCACTAACTAGGCCTCTTCCAGGTGGGCGGTACGCGCTCAGGGACCTCGATGTACCTATCTTGAGTCGGATGAAAGTTGGGAATCGAAACACTACATGAGGTAGGTGATACTATCGGTTTTAACGACACGGCTTGAACAGTGGAATCTACGTAGGCCGGAGCAGGACCCCCGACTACAACAAAAGAGGTATGTCCTTATTTCGGCAGAGCCCTGGAGCGATGATGGCTTCAATGTTTGTGGAAACCCCTAAGCACGGTTTTGCTATCCGTGACTTCGATGTCCGTGTATAGTGGAGTCTAGCGGATAATCTCCACCAGATCTCCACAAAATATGTTGGCCTTTACTGTGCCCAGACAACGGTTGTGTCACGTTCCCATCAACAGACTCATTTCGGAGGACCGGATTGCTCCTCGGGCGAAATCCCCAAGTCGGAATGGTCACTTCGTGCTTCTTCCTTTGCGTTCGGGGGTCATGCTAGCCTGCGTTTAGTATGTGTCCAAGATGGTTCCTAGGTCTTCGTCGATTCGTATATAAGGTCATCCCTCGAGGCCTCATCGCCCATTTCCTCGGCTGCGTTGACTCCCGTCTTCCAGTTCATCATATATAGCGCACTATGGCCGCCTCTTCCATTCTCGAAGCCGACATTATTCTTGCTGGTGGTGAGTCTGGCATACCCGTTTCTGCATGGACCTAGCTCAAGTACTATGTAGGTGGGACAGCGGCCTGCGTCATTGCGGGACGGCTTGCGGCCGCGGATCCGTCTCTCCGTATTCTCATGATAGAGGCGGGACCTCCTACTCTCGAGGATGACGCCCATGTGCAACCCGCTCGTTACATGAGCCACCTCTTGCCTGAGAGCGTGACGGTCAAGTTCAACGTTGGCAAGCAAAGTGCCGATCTAGGTGGTCGTGCTCCAATTGTCCCTTGTGGGCAGTGTATCGGCGGGGGCTCGAGTGTCAACTGTGAGTTACACGCCTCAAACCGTTGGGTCATTGTACCTGACGCATACAGTCACCATGTATGCGCGACCCTCGCCGTCTGACTATGACGCCTGGGAGGACGTATATGGGAACAAAGGATGGGGGTCTCGGATATGATGCCTCTTCTGCAGAAGGTTCGTTCAGTCACCTAGGGGCGTATCTGCTTCTCACGACGTTTGCAGTTGGAGACGTACCAAGTGGCACCTGAGCAGCCTACACATGGTTATCAAGGGCCCATCAAGATCTCGCGCGGCGGGATCTACTCCAATGTCGGTCAAGACTTCCTCAACGTCGCCGCGCAGTATGACAAGGCCCGGGGTACTACTGAAGACCCAAACGACATGATAGATATCAATGCATACGGGGTATGTCAAGTAGTAGTCTGTTGAGAGCACTTGGTACTGAACATTTACGTCATAGCGATGGCAGAAGTGCGTTGGCGATTGCGCCGTTCATCCCATACGGTCTCTGACAAGTCCTTGTATAGGTACATCGATCAGGAGAAGGGCCGTCGCTCCGACGTGCCTCACAACTATATTTACAATCGACAGCTAGACAACCTAGAGATCCTGACCGGGTACCAGGTCAAGCGTGTTATCATCGAGTAGGTCTTACGTACCGTTCACGTATAGCCTGCTGACCGCTTTTTGTACAGGGACGGTCGGGCTACGGGCGTAGAATTTGTTCCCAACGCTCGCTTCGGTGGCGACAGCTCTCGAGGGGTGCGTGTCGCAAAGGCAAGCCGGCTCGTCGTGGTCTCCGCAGGTACTTTCGGCTCCCCCCCTATCCTAGAACGGTCGGGTATCGGCGCGCGTCACATCTTGGAGCCGTTGGGAATCCACGTGGTCGCTGACTTGCCCGGCGTTGGAGAGAACTATCAAGGTAGGTTCCCAATCCTCACTGCACGGAATGCATAGCCTTAGGGTCTCACGATCTGACTAGACCATAACGTGGTCTTCGTCCCGTATTTGGCTGATGATGAGGCGGAGACTTTGGACGCTATCTTCGACAGCGACAAAGAGGAGATCGAGAGTAAGTGCCTCGTACTCTCATTACAGGTTGCGTATTTGACAAACTGGGACAGAATGGACTGCACAGTGGCTCGCGGATGGTTCTGGCAAGATGGCATCAAAGTAAAGAACCTCATTTGTCTAATACAGGTCGACTGACGAACACCCTTGTAGTGGTATCGACGCTGGTGTCAAGATGAGGCCCTCCGCCGAAGAGCTTGAACTCATCGGTCCGGAGTTCGTTGGCCATTGGCAAAAGGTGTTCGCGAATGCACCTGACAAACCCGTGTTGTGGCTTGGTTCGGTTTGCGCGTAAGCCTTGTTCTCAGAACCGATGTACTGCGGGCACTCAAGGCGGTTTGCAGCTTCGTCGGCGATCGCAGTACGCTGCCACCTGGGAAGTATCACAGTCTGGCCTTCTTCTCGCAGGTGCCAGCATCCATCGGCCACCTGCATATCACCTCTGCCGAAGATGTGGACGCCGCGCCGGACTTCGATCCCAAGTTCCTGAGCAAGTGCGTTCCTAGTCCCGGGTTTGCTGTTGGGTGCTCGAGCTGATATCCGCGTTGACAGGCCCGAGGACGTCGCCGTGCTCCGATGGGGCTACAAGCATGGGCGAGAGATCGCCCGTCGGATGGCTCACTACCGCGGGGAGCACGTACCGGGTCACCCACTTTACCCCGAGGGCAGTACGGCGGCGTGCAGTGGCGACGCGAAACCGGTAGCACTCTCGGAGTCCAAGATTGTGTACAGCGAAGCGGACGACAAGGCGATCGATGAGTACCTACGGAAGGTCGCCGCCACTACATGGCACAGTGTACGTGCTAACACCGTGTTGTACCACTCCGCTGGGCTGATGATGTCTGCGCAGCTCGGCACATGCGCTATGAAGCCTCGCGAGCAGAATGGAGTCGTCGACTCCCGATTGAACGTATACGGCGTGTCAAGCCTGAAGGTTATAGGTGCGCAAGATTTGCCCGCTGAGCCGCGTCTCGTGTCGTGTCTCGTGTGTACTGAGGACGTTTGTGATAGACATGTCATTGCGCCGTCGAACGTCTGCGCGGTAAGTCAGCTTGAAAAGGTGCTTTTTCCCGTGCATATCTGACATGACATATCAGAACACCAACTCGACTGCTATCGCGATTGGCGAGAAAGCGGCGAACATCATCCTCAAGGAACTCGGTACCGCGGCTTGACGTTTAACATGTATGTAGTTTGCCTGAGTATGTACACTAGGTAGTGTAAGTTGTGTATTTGTATGTGTAATACTCATCTATTCTACCCTGTATACGGTCTCAATACAGAATTCCTGACTCGCTTGGCCGACTTGACAGCTACTGGGTGAGAGACTAGTAGAAATGAGGCCCGGGCTCGCCTTGTCCGAGGCTACAACAGACATGCTGACATCGTATCGCTTTCGCCTCTGAGACATACACGAAAATGGGTAACTTGACCTTGCATGTACAGACGGGCATGGGCAAGTGCGATATCATAGGACGGCGCATAATGAATTTGGAAGCAGCAGTGTAAGGACAGTATAGAGCTTGTCTAAGAGACCATGTAAAGACAGTAAGGAGTTGGCAGCGAAAATGAACCCAGTAACGACAGTAAGGACTCGGAGTTGGACAGTGAAATAGAACCGGTAATGACAGTGGGGAGTTGGACGACGAGACAGAGCCCAGTAAAGACAGTGAGGGACTTTCCAAGGAACCAGAAGACGAGACCGTGTATCAAGCGAAGCGTGAACCGCGTAAGGACCGATGAGAGTTGAATGGCATGAGATGCATGCCGGGACAGTCTAGAGTCGAATTGTGTAAGGACAGGTGCGAGTTGGTCGAAGGCGAAACCGAGTAAGACTGCACGTAGTTGGAGGCCTGAGACATTCGAACCGAGCTGGTAAGGACAGACGCAAGTTGGCTGAGGCTTGAGACCGAGTAAAGACAGGCTGGAGTTCGCCAGAGGAGACCGCGTAGCGACAGACAGGAGTTGGACCAGACGCAATCAGGGAGATCGAGGAGTCGCCGAGATACAAGTACATCGAAGGCCGGTCGCGGAGTATATTCCCCAGTCAGGAGGATCGTCCTCGCTCGCACTTGAGGAGCACCGCTGGCTGACGGACCGAAGGTCAGGACGACGGGCTGGCGGACGACGAGAAGATCGCAGACAGGAGTTTTGATGCGACCGCCTTCTAAGAAGGCAGGGACAGGACCAGGAAGAGAGAGACAGAGACGACGCTGATGATAGACCGCAGCAGAGACGAGTCCCCAGTTCGGAGGATCAGCCTCGCTCGCACTTGGGAGATATCCGGAGTCTGGTCGACAGTTCGAGGACCGGGAGGGACACTGGCGGACGACGAGGGGATCGCGAAGAGGAGTTTTGGGGCTGCAGTCTTCCCGCGAGGATGCCGAAGAGAGATCAAGACAAGAGATAGAGTACAGTGACAGTGTCGACGGAGGGCCGTGAGGGTATGTTCCCCAATCCGGAGGGTTGGCCTCGCTCGCGCTTGAAGAGTCCCGGCCTGAGGTCCTGGGAGTGACAGACCAACCAGGGGGAGCAGGCGAACGACGAGGGACCACAGAGAGGAGTTTTGAGACTACCGGCTTCCAGGAATACAGAAAGAAAGAGAGACGAAGAGACTGAGAGACTGGTGGAGACGACGCTGATGAAGAACCGCATGAGGTATAATCCCCAGACTGGAGGGTCGTCCTCGCTCGCGCTTGGGTGGTACTGAGTACTGGCTGACAACTCCAAGACCAGGACAAGAACCGGCGAACGACGAGGAGATCGCAGTAAGGAGTTTTGATGTGGACTTCCCGCGGGAAGAAAGAAACCGAGGCGAAAAGAGAAGAGACCAGAGACAGAGACAACGCTGATGAAGAACTGCACGAGAGGAGTCCCCAGTCCGGAGGGTCGCCCTCGCTCGCACTTGAGGAGCATCCGAGTCCTGGCTGACAGATCAGGACCAGGAAGGGATGCCGGCGGACGACGAGGAGATCGCGAAAGGAGTTTTGGTGATGCAGTCTTCCCGCGAGAATGACAGAGAAGAATCGAGACGAGAGGCGGAGCACAGACGGTGTCGATGGCCGTGGGGGTATCGCCCCCAATCCGGAGGGCCGCCCTTGCTCGCGTTTGAAGAGCCTTGCATCCTGGAGGGAGATCGGCAACCAAGAGGGGGCTGACGAACGACAAGGGGACCGCAGAGAGGAGTTTTGAGCCGGCCATCGACTAGAAGTACAGGAAGGAAGACCGAAACGCTGGAAGAGACAGTAACAGCGCTGATGAAGAACCGCCCGAGGTAGTCCCCAGACCGGAGGGTCGTCCTCGCGCGCGCTTGAGCAGTACCGGGTGCTGGCTGCAGATCGAGGACCAGGACGGGGACCGGCGAACGACGAGGAGATCGCGGAAAGGATTTTGTGGCGGCCTCCCCGCGAGAAGGAGAAACCGGGACAAGAGAGAAGAGACGAGAGACGAGACGATGCCAGACGGGAATAAATTATGAATAAGTTAAGAGAGCTGACCAGTAATCCGTGCCTCGAGCGCGCTTTGGAGCCATCCTGGATCGCGGACCACGCGTATGAACTTGGTCCAGGGGCTGGCGAACGACGAGTCCGGAAAACGGCGTTTTGGTGTGGGGTGGTCATCCTTGCTCGCACATTGAGAGCCACATCGGTCGACGTACACGAAACCGACGCGGCTGGCGGACGACAAGGAGAGCCCACGGGGCAGCGAGAACGTGCGCAAGGAATAAGCCTAGCCGCGACTGGGGGTGTCGCTCCGTCGAGCCGTACTATCTTGCTGTATGTCGGCGCATACGCTAGAGTAGAGAACCCGCTCTCTGAGAGTGTGCTGCAGTCACGACTAAGCAGAGATACTCACCGCCACTGACATGAAAGTCGTCGCTGTGAGTGGAACAGACCTCGCTTCCGTGTGGTCCGACGGGAGATGGTGGTGGAAGGAGGTGAGGAATGTAGCGGGAGAAAGGTCCGCTTTTATGCTCGTGCGGGGAGGCGGACATGGCTGACGATACGTAGGACGGTGAGTAGAGGCTGACCAGGCAATGACCTCGGGCTGACGGGGGCTGAATTCAGAACGGATGAGGGCTGACCTGAGGCTGGCTGTAGGCTCACTCGAAGGCAACCTGGGTGGGTCGCGACCATCGGTGGCTGACTGCGTCCGACCGTCGATCTGGCGGGCCGATTATGGGACGGCGGTGATGGAGAGTCGTGAGCAATGGCAACTTAAAACCGTCGCCACCTTGAGTAGTCGATGTTGGAAAACATGGTATCTCCTTGTCAAAATATGACCGAGACACCCACCTTGAGTCGTCCTGCTTAGCTCCTGGGCTCAGCTTCAGTTCCGGGGATGCAATTTGACTTGCGCATGATTGGAGCGAGTAGGTGGTAATACAACACTTGGACTTCTGATATACAACAGCGATAGAACGTGCCTTCTACAACCGATCCCACAAGGACTGTCGTTATATGCGTTTGCCCTTGGAAGCCGCCTCTCGCTTCTTCGCCTCAAGCTCGGAAGCCTTGGCTATTATAGCAAGATAGCAATGAGTGCGTACCGCCACACAGTAGGGAAAGGTTCACGGACCTTCGGTCTCAGCCTTACGCTTTGCCTGAGCAGCCTCACGCTCGGCGCGGATCTTGGCCAGACGAGCGAGGTCCGACTTGGCTTCCTCAGTCTTGCCTTGCTCGTGCAACTATTGTCCATGACGGTGAGGTCAGTCTTATGAGAAGACTGCAAGCCTGACTTGCCTTCCAGTATCGCTCCTTAGCTTCCTTCTTCTCCTTCTCATCCCTGAAGTTTGTGTAAGGCGCATCATTTGGCATCGTCGCTGAACGCCACATACCTCTCACGCCTAGTGAGCTCTCGCGATGAACCAAGGTCCGCGATGTTCAGCTTCTTCCCAGCAGCAATGTTAGGATTGGCCAGGATGGGTTCTTGGTCGCTGCCCTCATCCTCATCCCCTCCTGCTTCTGCGCCTTCTTCTTCTTGAGCTCGCGGCGCTCAGCACGAGTGAGCTCTTGTTGTGGCTGTGTGGAGGAAGGGGCTTCGTCAGACTCCTCTTCAGACGACTCCTCTTTCTCTTCCTCGGACCCTTCCTCGCTGTCTTCGTCGATGTCCTTGTCTCGTCTGGCCCTAGCAAGGAGCGATGTAAGCACAAAGGCGATTCGCCCCAAGGGTGCCCACCATTTGTCTTTGGATACGGCTGTCCCGTTCTCGTCGAGCTCGAGATGTTTGCTACCCGACGGCAAGCACGATCAGTGATCAGCGACAGAAAGAGAAAGATCGACCACGGCGGGGCCTGACCTGAAGCTGCACACCGCCCGCCACCATCGTCAGCACAAAATCCCGACCAACGATCGAGCACACCATACCTACGACCACCTCCCCGCTTGACCTTGTAACCGCCACGAGCCATTGTAGTAGATAGTGCGTAGAAGAGAGAAGAGACTTTGAAAGGCCGCTGCCTCGCGCGCGATCATCATCCTACGCGCGCGCTCACCGTGACTGGAATGCACTCACGTGCCACCACCCACCGAATCCGGACCGCTGGCGGTAAGTCCGCCGTCCACACTCGAGCCTACATCGTCGCCCAAGTCCTCTGCCTCGCCGTCTACCCGCATGACCACCATCCCTGCGCGTCTGGCGCGCCCTGCAGCGCGGTCCGCTAGCCCCCAGGAGGCCCGCAAACGGGTCATCCAGCTGTATCGCGACTGGTATCGCGGGGTCCGTTTCTACCCTGCCTTGTTACTGACCTGATCGTTCAATACTTACATCGCATACAAGGCACCCGAGATCATCCCCCTCTATGCCATCCCCGTCAGCGCGCAGTACTTCCGACACTGCATCCGCCGCAAGTTTGAGGAGAACCGCTACGTGACGGACCCTCGCGTCATCGACGTGCTCTTGCTCAAGGGCCGGCAAGAGTATCAGGAGACGATGAATCTTTGGAAGCAGACGGACCATGTCATGGGCATCCTCCTCGAGGATAGGAAACGCCCGCAACGGACGTTCCTGCAGAAGTTCTACGAAGGTGCGTGGGTGGCGAGCGATGCGCTAAGTGGTGTGCTCATCAAGAATGTAGGGAGAGACGAGGATGCTGTATTGCCCGCTGCCACTGGTCTGCTCAAGTAGAGAGAATCGGATTGCATTTGCTCTTGCGTGTGCTTTGGGCCCCAGCCCACTCGCTTTGAGTGTTCAGTTCCGCCTGTCGCAAGGACTGATAGTCCATTCCGAATTACAGACATGGTTACTTCGGAGTCTTGTTGGGTATGTGCCATCCATGTGAGTGTTATGCATTCCAGCAAGGACGTCGTGGACCATCATCTGGGTGCTTGCGCCCAAGGCAACCTGGCATCGGGCTAGTCACGAACCATCGAAATGGGCCTTATCTCGCCAAAGTGAGTGGGCGGGAGACTGATAGCTGCTGTAGCTGTTACGATGGTGATTGAATGGTCTTAACGTTCCGTACCCGTACCATTCAATGTAAGTATCCAGCACATACTCAGTCGAAGCTAAGCGCCAAGTAGTGGATGGTGGGAGCCCTATTTGCTCAAACGCAGATCGCACCAGCGAACTGAGGGTATACGGCCAAGCGACGGGGAGTGAACGGGTACGACGGTTCATTCTCTGGATTTTGATAACTTATCGTTGATGTTGCATGACACAGGTGACAAGACAGCCGACTCTGAATAAGTAGGACTTGCACAGCGCGGTGTAATTTATAAGCCCAGTCCCGTGCAAGAAGACAGTCATAGCCTAATATTGACGGCACGACGAGGAGAATGAATTTGGAAGCAGCATAGGATCCTCGAGAATGGGACGCACCCGCAGTGGACATTCTTTCAGAAGTCCTAAGAGAAGGCGTGTGTCGTAAAGGATGTGCCAGATGGTGTACTCGTGAAGCAGGGTGCTCTGTTCCCTGTGGCCACTGGCCTGCAAGTAGAGAGAGTTGAATCGCATGGATCCTGCTGCGTGTGCCCGTCGAAGTCGTTCCCACCTCCTTCGAGTGCGCAGAACCTTCAGACACAGACCAAATGTACATTCTACATACATACAGGTTGTTTCAGTGCATTGTGGTGTCCATGTGCATAAATGTGCACCGCAGCGAAGAGATCATGATGGAAGCTTGCCGAGTCACGAAAGAAAATCAATGGGGTCGTCGTCGCTATCTGCGACGAGTACAGGTGGTGGAAACATCGACAGCCGTGGCTGGTAGAGAAATTCATCAGAAACGCGTCCGCCAACTCAGCGATCGAACTTACCTTCGGTTTCGGTTTGTACTTGATGCCCGCCTTCGGGATAGCGTTGCGAGAGGCGGAAGGAAAGTTCTCCTTCAACGTCTTGCCCCGTCTGCGGAGAAACGTAGACACGATCAGCATACATTGTACAGATTGATTCAGTAGGTTACGCACTGTTTCGGCTCCGCCGACGCCTGCGATGAGGGTGCCTTCTTCGCACGACTAGTGGATTTGAACTTGGGCTTGGCAGAGAGTTCTTCCTGTATAGGTCCGGGGTGGTCAACCCTCTCCTGAACAGAAATTGGGACGTCTGCCAGAGCCTCGCTGTTCAACTTTGCTGAACGCTTCGTGCGCTTTCGCGGAGGCGGAGGCTGCTCGTCCTCGTCGGGCTCATCCTCTGGTGGGGCAACCGTGGCTGGTTTGTCTCTTTCACGCTTCCTGGACGTCCCTATAGGCTTCTCCTGAACCTGCTCCGGCTCCGCCGCCTCTTTGCGGGCTGATGACACAGCTTTGCGATCTTTGCGTGAGGGTTGAGGCTTGTTGAGGGTAGATGCATCCCTGCGACCATCCGTCTTGCTTGCAGACTGAGAAACATCTTCTGTCCGATCAAGTGAGGTCTTGACCGCTTTCGTCTTCGAGGGTAGTTCGTCCATGTCGGAATCAACAAACGGCTCCGGAAGTGCAGGGACTTTCCGTTTGGAAACGTTGGGTTTCGTCGAGCCTTTAACGGTCCGGCTAGATGATGCGATAGGCTGTACATCTTCAGTGTCGTGCTCCTCATGCTCAATCGCCTTTGCTTTCGATCGTTTGGACGTGTTGGGTGGCTTGTCAATTGTAACAGGCACCGCCTCCTGCACATCCGAAGTTGGTGCCGAGCGAACAGGCTTCGATGGTACCTTCGCAGTGAATTTGGCTATTGAATTTGTGAGTATTTCCTGTGCAAGCCGAGTGCATCGCCGCATCTTACCTTCAGCGGTAACATCTGCATTCTTCGCAGCCTTTGCCTTTGCCATCTTCATGACCTGATACAGCGGCACATCATCTTCGCTATCACTATCCTCGCCGATGGTCTCAAGGGGTGCTTTTTGGGCAGACGATTTGGTTGCAAAATTGTCCGAAGCCACTGCCTTCGCGCGTTTCGGAGGCACGATGGGCTCGTCATCCGAATCCTCTTCAGTCGGTTCGGGCTGGCGGCGAGAACGCTTGTTGCTCGCGCGTTTGGGTGGGGGCACAGAGTCGATGACTATACCATGCATAAGTTGATGTATGCGGCAGATCGCTGCAATCGCACCTTCGTCCTCAGCCTGCTGTGCTTTCTTTGTGGTCTTCGTGGTTTTAGCAGCCCTCCTGGCAGGCGCTCGCTTCGCAGCCTTCTTGGGCGGGGGCGGATCCTCTATACTCGAGAATTGGGTGAACATTAGTTCGCACATCTGTGAGCGTCACGTACCTTGCTCTTCAGCCTCGCTATCCTCTTTAGCCTTGCGTTTCGCTACCTTCGCCGAAGGTTTTGTCGTACGGGAAGGGCCTGTGATATATGTGGTCATATGAACCCGCATACAATCAGTGAGTGTGCCATACCTGCAACAGGCTCCGCGTCCTCGACCTCTGAGTCTATAGCATTCTGCACTTTCGCCTTCCCAGCTATGCTCTTCCTCTTCGTTGGTGCCTGGCTTTTGCGACGGCTTGATGCTGCCTTAGCCTTGCCCTTCGCAGCAGCCGGGGGCGCAGGCTCCTTATCCACCTTCTCCTGAGCCGCACTGGCTGCTAGGGACTTCCGCCTCTCAATCTTCGGGGCTTCCGAGTTCTTTGGTGGGGGCGCGAACGACTTCCGACTCTTCCTCCGCTTCGAGGGCGATTCGCCATCGACTCCACGCGATAGCAGGACGTCGAGCAGCGCATTATGTGTGGCAGGTTTGAACACCCTGACTCGGAGGTATAACGCGTCAACGCGCGTCAAACACATCGAGCACGACGAACTCACCCTCCTCTGTTCCGATATTTCGACTGCAGTCGCTCGACACGCTTTGCGCGGCTCTCCTCGACCGAGAAATCCTGGACGTCTGGCATGGGCGAACGAGCGTGACGGATGTGGCTGGGAGAACGCGGGGACGTCACAGACGTCACTCCGTCACATTGCCTCCGAGTCCGAGCGCTTAAATCGTGCGTCTCCCTTTATGGCAACCACTGTGGTCATCGTTGGTCTCGCGGCCGCCGCGGCGTATGTCGGGCTCGCTGCTGGCTGGCTTCGTCTCCCTGCGTATACCGATGCCGGTTCTTCAGGAGCATCTGCTGGCTATGTGCTGGAGTGTATGGTCACACATCGCCGGCTGTTCCCCAAGGTGTCTTCACACAGCTTCGCGTACCGGACTCTCTGGCTGTTTGTCTCCCTGAATGACCTGGAGTCTCATTCGCTCGACCTCGGTCGCGGTTGGGTGTTCGGGTATGGCGGCATATTTGGCCGACTTATCGGCCTTCGCTCCTCTGCCTACCTACACAACTCCCTATCGAAAACTCGTCATATTCGAGAGAAGCTATCGGAGCTCCTCGATAGTGAGGGATATAGCCAATGTGGCATCGGAAATGCATGGATGTTAACTATGCCGAGCTTCATTGGCTATGAGGGGATCAACCCGTTGACTCTCTACTACTGTTATGACACGGAAGCACATCTCTTCTCGATCGTGCTGGAGGTAAGGCTGCCCATCCATCGAAAGCCAATGCTAAAGTCTATGGTGAAACGTCACCAAACAGGTCCACAACACCTTTGGAGAGAGACATGCGTATATCTTAGACACGAAGAAGGGTGAGAAGCTTGTGTCTTCCGCCGAAGAGTGAGTTTTCATGCAATAATCTACACGCGGTCCACATACCTGAGTAGGCCCCGTCTTCGCTGGAATATCTCGAGGGACTTCCATGTCTCTCCGTTCAACGATCGACTAGGAGATTATATCATAACGCTATCCGAACCGTCTCACCCTCCTCCGGACATCAGTGGTGAGGATATTCGCAACGCCCCATATCCTTTGCCCTACGTTAGCATCTATGTGTCGAGTCCGTCGCAACCGTCAGACTCGCCAAAGATGACTGCAACTCTACGTGCCACCGAGTCAAAACCGCTTACCGCTCCAAACCTCTTACATTATCTTGCTCGCCAGCCTTTCGCCCTTCTGTCGTCCCTCCTGCGCATACTCTACGAGGCTTGGACTTTGCACTACGTCAAGCGGCTCGATGTGTATGGCAGGCCTGATCCGAAGCCGATCGGGGAAGCGTGGGGTGGGCACGAGCCCGTAGCAGCAGAAGGAGCTGCTACTCCTCTGAAATCTAGTCGTGGTATCGGGTGGCAAAGTGCAACTTGGTTCGAGCAGTACACTCGTTCCCGTCTGGAAGACTTCCTTCAGCGCCGAGCGGAGGATATTGGCATCTTCATAACCCTTGTAACCGGCAATCCCGACGAGCCAGATATAGTCTTCGCGCCAAAAACCACCCTTCCTGCCATCCCGAAGGAGGAGAACCTGACCATCTGGTACCTCTCTCCACTGTTCTTCAGTACCCTGTTCGTCGCACCGTCCATCGAGCATGCTCTACTTTTAGGCTATCACACCGAACGGATCTTCATCCCTTCTTCGGAGACCCTGTTCTATGCGGTCTTCCGCTCTGGCGCGACTCGGGGCCTCTCACTCGCGAAGGACATGGCCAACGGTCCTTCGATCGTGCAGCGTATACGCTCGTACATGCTACCGAAGGAGTTGCTCGCCGATGTCCCGGCACCTCCGACCCACCCTCTCGACCCACCCTCAGCCGCACCGTTGCGCTGGCTCCAAAACCTCGTATACATCACGACGTTCTTCATACAGTCGTTCGTCGAGAAATGGCTGTATCGAACGACACGCGCGAGGTTCGTCCCGGGGCAGGAGCCGTGGCTGAGATGGGACCGGGCATTAGAAGCACGCACCGGCAAGGCTCCAGGAACATCCTAGCGGACGAAGTAGTCGTGCAGAGCCGCATATTGGTCTCGCTTGGGTTGGTCGGACGACCCCGCGGGTGAGCGGGTCGGAAGGCGTTCCCTTGCAGGGCTTGCAGCCCACTGGACGCAGATCCTGCTTTGCGGTGGTAGCCCTTGGTTTACCGGGATGCGGTGAATGGGATCAGGGCTTCCCCTCATCTTGAGAGTCTTGCTACAGTGAGGCAGGTACCAGGCAGGTACCGTACTAGCAGATGATGCTCTGGCGGCTTTCTTGGGATAGTACTACATACGATTACGAAGGCTTCAATTACTTACGCCGCCGAGCTTACTCAGGAAAACAGGAGCAGTCGGTGCCCTCCCAAACAGTATGTACAATGAACGTTCTCGAGCGCTAACCACGTCTGTCACATGGCACGTGATTGTGGTCACACAGCGTACCCTCAGGTGTAGCCTGCCAGTGCTGTTTCTTCGAGTCATACTGTACATACTTCTCGACTTGATATGCAAGTGTGTACAACAGGCTCGCGGAAGTTTGCTGAGCTGTGCATTGCGTACAAGACCACGCAGGCGTTGGGAGGGAAAATGCGGCCGGCAAACGCCGAGGCGCGAGAGCCCATTGTTCTCCAAAGCAGTAGCTTTTGTCCTGCACGTCCGTCTACAACAATGCCACCACACGCATCGTCCCTCCCGACCGAGCACAATACCATTTTGCTGGCGCCCACACAGCCGAAGACGGTACATAATGCGCCTGCCCTTTCTCCCCGACTTTCTCCATTGCATTCCACTACCTACCGCCTTTCATTTCAGGTTCACGGGCCGCGCCTCGTGCTAATAGCTGAAGAGCTTCACGGTCTCTCGCCAGCCTAGCCAGCTTCACGCCGCTTCCTCAACTCGTGCGGGCACACACCAGACGCCACCTACGCCTTTCTGCTCGTCTTTCCCGTCCCTCGTACACCAAACCATTCCTTGCTTGACCCACATCCACGACTACACTCATGGCGCCCTCCAAGACTCGTGGTTGTGCGTTTTCCCATCTGTCTATGAGGTTGAACCGTGTAGACTGATGATACGTGCGACAGACATCTTCATCGGCTTGAATGCCGTCCGCGTGTTGAGCATCATCGCGCTGCTCCTGCTTTTCGCTAGTAGCATCGTTACTCTCGTGCAAGACATCAAAGCCGTCAACGCTTTCATCGCTGAAGGAAGCCACCAGGACATCCTCGTGTCATCTGGAAACTCAACAGAGACGGTGGATTGCTCTGACATGGATTATGTCCCGTACGTGCCTCCGCTCTTGACACATTGCCCACGTCTCATTCCAGTGCAGAGGTAGCACGGTGCCGAACCAGCCCGCAGGGGCTTTCTGGGCCGTCCTCAACCGCCTGCTGATCATCTTCCAAGTCATCGTTCTCGTCATGTCCGAGGTTGGCTGGCCTGCTACTTTCTTCAGCCGTTTCTTCCCGATACTGGGCGACGACTTTGGGCTCGGCGCCCTTGGTGTCATCCAGTGCCTGTGCGTTATCTCTTTCCCCGCTCTCGTCCGCCACACGCTGACTTCCGTCTGTGGCACAGGCTAGGCGCTGCCGTCCTCTCGCACCACGTCGACGAGTTCTCGCTCGTTTCTGCGTTCTTCCTCTTCTCCATCGGCTGCCTGAACATTCTGCTCGGCCTCATCTTCCGCGAGAAGGCGAAGCCCCGGCGCGCGATCAAGGCTTGGAAAGAGACGGACGAGGTCCTCCCGCGCACGTCCCTACGCTCGGGCCCGAGGCCATTCCTTACCTCCACCAGCACCGGCTCGACGAACCCCGTAGCGCCGTGGGACGAGAAGGGTGCTGACGCTGCCCGGAGTGGCACACTCTTGAGCCAGAGGAGCGGGATGGGCTTTGGGAGGCAGGGAGAGAAGGCTGCTCTCGCTCGAGGTGAGTCGTTCAGTCTGCAGTATATTCGTTGGCTGATGGCCTTGCAGGGCACACTGTGACCACGCCCGAAGCGACCTTGCCCCAGTATGTCCCCCGGGCAACCGCCACACTGAGCCCCGCCCCGACGTACGTCTCGCGTACTGTCAGGTACGCCGCTCCTGAGCCCGAGCCCGAGGCGGATGAAGACGGTCGGCGCAGCTCTGGTGTCAGCTACGCAAGCGCGGAAGGCACCCCGCGCGCAGTCTGAGACTGCGCGGCACGAACATACATCCATCGCAGGCACGCAACATACGACATACAACGAACTACGTGTCGACGGGACCACGCTCACTACTAAGCTAGATTCTGTTAATTGCTTGCTGGGGTTCCGTCCGAGCTTGGATCTTGGACGGCCCGCATACGCGGATGGGTGGTGATTGGACTTTCTTGGTGCTCGCATCTTTGGATTCTCTGGAGCTGAACACTGTATACTTACGCCGATCTTTGTCTCGACTGACCTAATGTAGCTCTAAACCGTCCTGTGTACATTATGCCATTCTGCTTTCACTAGTTTTCGCCGCAATTCTCATCTCGTCGGTGCCACATATCAGGTGCGTGCTGTGTTCTCTGCGACTTACTAATGATCATTTCATTCAGTTGCCTGCCTACGCAGAAGCGAATGTCCGTGCAGTTTCATTCGGCTGGCTTCGCCCCAGTCTGGGATTGCGGACATGCCAGCACCGTCAGCCACAGACGCATCGCGGTCGGTCTGGGTCGGCGTGACCGCGTCAGTTGCAGCCAGCCCACAGTCAGCCCAAGGTCACTGCCCGGTCAGCCTCTACTCACCGTCCTGCGCATCGTCAGCCGTGTCCGCCTCCCCGCACGAGCATAAAAGCGGACCTTTCTCCCGCTACATTCCTCACCTCCTTCCACCACCATCTCCCGTCGGACCACACGGAAGCGAGGTCTGTTCCACTCACAGCGACGACCTTCATGTCAGTGGCGGTGAGTATCTCCTGCTTAGTCGTGACTGCAGCACACTCTCAGAGAGCGGGTTCTCTACTCTAGCGTATGCGCCGACATACAGCAAGATAGTACGGCTCGACGGAGCGACACCCCCAGTCGCGGCTAGGTCTTATTCCTTGCGCACGTTCTCGCTGCCCCGTGGGCTCTCCTTGTCGTCCGCCAGCCGCGTCGGTTTCGTGTACGTCGACCGATGTGGCTCTCAATGTGCGAGCAAGGATGACCACCCCACACCAAAACGCCGTTTTCCGGTCTCGTCGTTCGCCAGCCCCTGGACCAAGTTCATACGCGTGGTCCGCGATCCAGGATGGCTCCAAAGCGCGCTCGAGGCACGGATTACTGGTCAGCTCTCTTAACTTATTCATAATTTATTCCCGTCTGGCATCGTCTCGTCTCTCGTCTCTTCTCTCTTGTCCCGGTTTCTCCTTCTCGCGGGGAGGCCGCCACAAAATTCCTTTCCGCGATCTCCTCGTCGTTCGCCGGTCCCCGTCCTGGTCCTCGATCTGCCAGCCAGCACCCGGTACTGCTCAAGCGCGCGCGAGGACGACCCTCCGGTCTGGGGACTACCTCGGGCGGTTCTTCATCAGCGCTGTTACTGTCTCTTCCAGCGTTTCGGTCTTCCTTCCTGTACTTCTAGTCGATGGCCGGCTCAAAACTCCTCTCTGCGGTCCCCTTGTCGTTCGTCAGCCCCCTCTTGGTTGCCGATCTCCCTCCAGGATGCAAGGCTCTTCAAACGCGAGCAAGGGCGGCCCTCCGGATTGGGGGCGATACCCCCACGGCCATCGACACCGTCTGTGCTCCGCCTCTCGTCTCGATTCTTCTCTGTCATTCTCGCGGGAAGACTGCATCACCAAAACTCCTTTCCGCGATCTCCTCGTCGTCCGCCGGCATCCCTTCCTGGTCCTTGATCTGTCAGCCAGGACTCGGATGCTCCTCAAGTGCGAGCGAGGGCGACCCTCCGGACTGGGGACTCCTCTCGTGCAGTTCTTCATCAGCGTTGTCTCTGTCTCTGGTCTCTTCTCTTTTCGCCTCGGTTTCTTTCTTCCCGCGGGAAGTCCACATCAAAACTCCTTACTGCGATCTCCTCGTCGTTCGCCGGTTCTTGTCCTGGTCTTGGAGTTGTCAGCCAGTACTCAGTACCACCCAAGCGCGAGCGAGGACGACCCTCCAGTCTGGGGATTATACCTCATGCGGTTCTTCATCAGCGTCGTGTCCACCAGTCTCTCAGTCTCTTCGTCTCTCTTTCTTTCTGTATTCCTGGAAGCCGGTAGTCTCAAAACTCCTCTCTGTGGTCCCCTCGTCGTTCGCCTGCTCCCCCTGGTTGGTCTGTCACTCCCAGGACCTCAGGCCGGGACTCTTCAAGCGCGAGCGAGGCCAACCCTCCGGATTGGGGAACATACCCTCACGGCCCTCCGTCGACACTGTCACTGTACTCTATCTCTTGTCTTGATCTCTCTTCGGCATCCTCGCGGGAAGACTGCAGCCCCAAAACTCCTCTTCGCGATCCCCTCGTCGTCCGCCAGTGTCCCTCCCGGTCCTCGAACTGTCGACCAGACTCCGGATATCTCCCAAGTGCGAGCGAGGCTGATCCTCCGAACTGGGGACTCGTCTCTGCTGCGGTCTATCATCAGCGTCGTCTCTGTCTCTCTCTTCCTGGTCCTGTCCCTGCCTTCTTAGAAGGCGGTCGCATCAAAACTCCTGTCTGCGATCTTCTCGTCGTCCGCCAGCCCGTCGTCCTGACCTTCGGTCCGTCAGCCAGCGGTGCTCCTCAAGTGCGAGCGAGGACGATCCTCCTGACTGGGGAATATACTCCGCGACCGGCCTTCGATGTACTTGTATCTCGGCGACTCCTCGATCTCCCTGATTGCGTCTGGTCCAACTCCTGTCTGTCGCTACGCGGTCTCCTCTGGCGAACTCCAGCCTGTCTTTACTCGGTCTCAAGCCTCAGCCAACTTGCGTCTGTCCTTACCCAGCTCGGTTCGAATGTCTCAGGCCTCCCAACTACGTGCAGTCCTTACTCGGTTTCGCCTTCGACCAACTCGCACCTGTCCTTACACAATTCGACTCTAGACTGTCCCGGCATGCATCTCATGCCATCCAACTCTCATCGGTCCTTACGCGGTTCACGCTTCGCTTGATACACGGTCTCGTCTTCTGGTCTCCTTGGGAAAGTCCCTCACTGTCTTTACTGGGCTCTGTCTCGTCGTCCAACTCCCCACTGTCTTTACCGGGTTCTATTTCACTGTCCAACTCCGAGTCCTTACTGTCGTTACTGGGTTCATTTTCGCTGCCCAACTCCCCACTGTCTTTACATGGTCTCTTAGACAAGCTCTATACTGTCCTTACACTGCTCGCCTCCGAATTCATTATGTGCCCTCCTATGATATCGCACTTGCCCGTGCCCTGTGTGTATATGCAAGCCCAAGATACCCGTGTCATGCACGGCTCAGACGTGGAAGCGATACGATATTAGCATGTCCAAAGAACACCTATCACAACAATAGCATTGATTCCCATACAAGCCATGACCAACATGCTCGGCCAGGTAGTACAAGCATTCACCTACAGCATGTAGCCAAACAAATCCAAGTTTCAGCTCTGCGGATCCAGCCGTGGCCGACGCCTATGCTCCTTGAAGTACTTCAAACGCCGCATATGCATAGCGATGTGCTTGTCCGTCGGCATCAGCCGCTCGCCCACCCACTCGCCCATCCACCGCTTCAGCCGCGCATACTGGCTCGACCCGTCGCGGAAGTGCTCAAACAGCGGTGCGTCCATCCCGACCTCCGCCCAGTACAGGAGCGCGGTTGCGAGAGTGTTCTTCGAGGGCTTGATGTCGAGCGCGCGCATCCACGCGAGGGCGAGCGGGATCTGCGGGATCTGCGACTCGGAGGCGAGGAGGTCGATGTAGGTGCGGAAGGCGACGTCATTTAGGAGGATCTGCGGGTAGGGGAGGGCAACGCGCGCTGCGGAGGCAGACTGAGCTTCCGGGGAAGGGGCGGTGGGCGGCGCTGTGCGATGTAGCACAGTACGCAGAAGGCTCGTCATCGGGAAGGACCCTTGGAAGTCTCCAGTGGGCCGGAGAGCCTCGGCGGGGCTTTGTACCTCCTTCAGCGCCGGCCAGTTGCTGAATATGATGTCCTGCGCGAGATGCAAGGCCACTGCACCGGCGCGCTCACCGTTCCACAGCCCTGACGAACCCCTTGTCGCTTCAGCATTCATGGTCGTCTCCAGCTGAGAGAAACAGGAGTTGCGTGCCAGCTCATCGGAGTCGGTGTCGTCCTTCTTTTCTCGGTGGACAAAGCGGCCCAAGCCGAGCTCCGCCAGGGCACGCGGAACGAAGGGTTGCACTTGCTCGCCAGACGCGCAGTCTTCAGCAGGATGACGACGGTGTAGAGGTCCGGCCGGACATCGAACATCGTGTCCATGTTATCCCACAACACGAATATGGCATCCGTGAAGCCTATGCGCCGCAGCGACACCATGAAGATGTTGACCGTCTGCGTGTCGATCAATGACAACGGGGTCCCCTCGCGCTCTTCCGAGCTAGCCTGGAGCTCCGTTGCGTCGAAGAGCAAGTCCAAGGCTCGCATAGGTTGGCCAGCGAGCGTGAGCGCCTGCGCCCCGACAGTGAGTGTCAGCTTCGTCATCCGCGGTTGGTATTGACGCATCTTGTCCCAGACCTCCAGTGCATTCGTATGGTCGCGACGCCGGAGAAATCCGAGGATCGCGATGACATGCAAGTGTTCGTCTAGACGTAGTTGAGGTTGTACATGGACAGCGCGGTCGTACACCTGTCGTAGATACTCGGACGACGTGGTGAGATCTCTGCTAGCAACCATGACAGTACTCTTCCATACGCTTGCTGTCTTCAACAGCGGAGTAATGTCGCCGAGCGGTTTGCCACGCAGGTCTTGCTTGTGCGCTCCGGAGGTCGTAGGTAGATTGCCATCAGCAGTGGTACCAACATGGTAGACGTTAGGGTCGGGTTCGCCCTCGGCAATGTCAGACTCTGGCGGCATCGCATCGCTGTCGGTATCAATGGCATCTCGCAGATACGCATGAAGCGCCTCTAAAGACTCGAGAGATGAGAGGAACCGGCTTTCTACACTCACTAAGAGTGGCACATTAGGACCAAGGCGGAGCAGGCCATCCGGAGAGATCTTCTCTCCGTTCATCTCCGCCGTACGCAAGCGCACGAGGCGTAATATTGTCCGCGCCCTTCGCTCCCAGCCCGCCGTCGTATACAGTAGCATTAGCCGTGCTAGGTGCTGCATAGTGGGAGAGAAGCCTTGAGCCTTCATCTTCCGCGACACAATAAGACCTGTCGTAGGCAGGGCAGAAGGACTGCCAAGGAGGGCGTCGTAGGTGCTCTGGTTCAGCTGATGACCGTCCGAACTCTGAATGACATGTCGAACGATCGGGAAGACTTGGCTCGATAGCGAAGCATATGCGATGAGCTGTAACAAGAGTTGGAAGTGGAAGTCCTGGAGCTCCGTCTCGTACTCCCTCTCGAGGAATGAGTCCACGAGACGCTGGAGGGGAACTAGCAGGTCGTGCTCGGCGAGCCAGCAGGACATCAAGATCAGAACAGCTGGTCGAAGGTGGACAGGTACGACGGGGAGGTGGAAGAAGGCTAGCACAAGTGCTTTCCACGCGTCTGACTGGCGTTCGACCTTGTAGCACAGGGCATATAGGACAACCCAAGTCGGAGGCTGCGGACGCCCGCTCGTGTCTTGCCTTCGCAGGACGTCGACTTCGGGGATGGTGATACCTCTCTTGGCAAGATGACGGCTGAAGGCATCCCAGTCCCGCGCGAGGATTGCGGGCTTCCACAGCATGAACTCGTGGACGTCTATGCCGGAACGAGACAGCATAGGTGAGGGCACCATGGCCTTCGGGTTCCGCACGATGCTGTTGAGCAGCTTGAAATCGGATCATTGCTCTTCCTGCCGTAGTACCTGGAGATACGGTAGACTTTTCGGACGAGCAGCGCATGGGTGCTTGGTTGCGGAGGCGACGGAGGAGGGCTGTGGTCGAGACGAGACGTGTCAGAGGCTTCGTCGGTTTGCGACGGAGTACCTGCAGCCACATTCATCTGTACTCGGGTGTGAGGCGCATAAAAAGACAGGTATTCCGACTGAGACATACTGGACAAACAACATGCGCCGCGTGGATGTGCACGACGGGGACGGGAGACGTTGTGCGACGACGAGCTCGCCGGTACTTACGAGGCTTGGGAGACGACTTTGCTGCCGCCACCTGGCCACGTGAGCGCGAACTCAGACTCAACTCCGCCGAGCGCTCGGGCAGGACAGCCACTTCCCGCCTTGCTCGCCTTTGATCTCAACGGTGGTGTCGACGTGGTGGGTTGGTGAAACAAACATGCCTCGTATTTTGTTCGTGAGTGGTTTTCATCCCGCTACGCGTGCGCGCGACCTCGCCTTTGAGTTTGAGCGGTGAGTGTCATGTTGTGTGTACTGTGGTCGGTTCTAATGCATGACGCGGTCACCAGCTATGGGCCACTCATTCGATGCGACGTCCCCGCACCGCGGAACCCGCGTGCCAACTCGAATCCGTGAGTACTCTCCTAGAAGCTTCACCCCCTTTTACTCTAGTCGAGTGGCCCGAACTCCGTTTGTCCGCATTGCGTGCGCCGTCCCGTGCGAGAGCTGGCCCTGCTCTGCCCGCCGCTCCCGCCCGTCGTACCGAACCCGCGAACGAATACTCTGGACCGCGGAGCCTCGTCTCACACGAAGCGCAATCCATACGGTCGCTCGATGTCCCGCGTCATTTCGCTCGAATTCGTCGTCGCTCAACATGCCCTTCGAATCATCCTGCAGTTACGCCTTCGTCGAATTCAGAAGCCAGCGTGATGCCGAAGATGCCTATTATGACATGTAGGTCCGTCAATCTCTACACTGGACATACTGCTCACGGTGGAAATGCAGGCACGGAAGGAGTTTCGAAGGGGCGCGCCTGAGCATCCAAGTGAGTCTAATTTGACTGTCGTTTGTCGAGGGCTCTCCGCCTGATGGCCATTCCTCTTTTCAGTGGGCGAAGAATCCTCCGTCTTCCGTTTGGCGCTACGACAGGCGGTCCCCTCCCGCCCGCCGCGATCGTGAACGTTCTCGTAGTCCCCGCCGTCGCGATGACAGGGAAAGAGACCGTGACCGTGACCGGGGGGAACGCGACAGGGACAGGGACCTCCGTGACAAGGACAGGGATTTCGATGATAGGGACAGGAGGAGACGCAGCCGGTCGCCAGAACGTCGTCGGAGCCTGACTCCAGACAAAAGAAGAGATGACAGGGCGCGGACGCCTCCTCCGGTCGACGAACCGCTGAAGGCTGATGACAAGGCTCAGACACCTCCGTATGATCAGTGAACTGTTTTTCTTCCTCGATGTTAAAAGGCCACTGCCCGCTCGTGGGGCATATCCTTGATGTTTCTGTTTTTTTTCTGAATGTCTTCTGTACATACACGGTGTATGTAACGGACAGTCACCACAAAATCATGATTATGTTCACCTAAATAACAAGTTACCACACCACTGTTCATCGTTGTATCCAGAAATGCACACTGTTATTAGTCGCCAGTATCGTCGCTCAGCTGCATTTCGGTGCCAGAGAGTGGGCTGAGCCCAAGTTGAGAAGGGTTGAGAGCGTCAGGAGTTTGACTTTGCGTCCTAGAGCGCCCGCTTATAGGGGACGCGTGTCCGAGTCGCGTAAGTGGCGCCTGCAGGCACGAGTCGCGTACCACCATGCAAGCCACTCCGACCGTGCAGCCTGAGACCCGAGTGCCGAGCGTCGACGACCTACGGGTATGTACCGGAGTGAACTGGAAGTCCAGGAGTATTGACGATAGGCTGAGCAGGTCAAACTATGCTTCATCTGCCGTGAGGAGGAGCGCTACGATAGTGAGCGGCATGTTCATACATCGCTTGTCCCTGCGCTGACTATCCTCGACATTGACCAGGCCCTGAAGACCCTCCCAGAGCGTGGACACACCCATGCTCATGTACTCTCGTGGCTCATGAAGCGTGTTGCTCCAGTGGATAAAGCAGCGCAGCAAGACCCGGCGCGAGCGCGCAATGCTTTGAAGTGCCCACAATGCGGTGCCTCTTACGAGCTCGAGAGCGACAATCCCCACCCTCGCGTCTTGCGAATACTGGATCATACGAATGCACTCATGTCGATTGGTGGGAAGGTGGTTATGATTGGAGGGCTTGCGACGGTGGTGGTGTCCTTTGGGTTCGGTATGTCCTAGCTCTCTCTCGCACGGTGATATGCTCAAGCGAGTCACGGTGTACAGGGCTCTACCTCGTATGTACCACATATGGCGCGCATGCATTGCAGTCGATGGTCGGGAGGGAGATGTACGTTCTGATGCATTAATGCTCGTGTTGCAAGGAAAAGGCTGACCACTCCCACCCAGGTATGACATCTTGCTCACCGACGAACCTGACAATTGGCCGTGGCACGCCTTCATCAACCTCCCTATGATACCTATCAGCCTAATCCTGTCTCGCTCTCCCTCCTTTTCGGCATTTCCTCTGTTGCCACTGATCATCTCATGGCCGTCATCGCATCCCGTTCTCTCCGCTGCAGCCAGAATAGGTGCATCAAGTTGGAGCTTCTTCGGCGGGCGAATCGACGATGTCCCCTATGGGCCCATCTTCGGGTGGCCACCCTCTCCAATGATGGCCTCATTGCTATTCCCGCTCGTTGGGAGGCTATACCGTGAGCAATACACGAAGGTGAAGCATGCCATTATAGGCACGCAGCCCGCGCAGCGCGGACCTTTGCGCAACGTCGTCTGGGACCTCGGCGGCGACGGCCCCATGCCGTTCCGCGCGCGGATAGGCCTGGCGGTCGACCCGGCACAGCAGCAACAACAGCGACAACAGCAGCAACAAGACCAGGACCAACAAGGAGCCCCCGCTCCGGCGCAGGGTGCCGCGGGTCAAGACCAACAAGGAAACGGCCAGGCTGATGAGCCAGGCGCTGCGGCAGAGCGGACTCTCCGCATCACCAACGCGTCTCTGGGTCGCTTCATCGGCGGCGCGCTGTTGATGCCCACGATCGCTAGCTATATGGGTTCTGTGCTGTACAGACTCTCGAAGTTCTCGCCAACGCTACGGACGTTCCTCGCCATCCGCCCGCCGTTGACGGGCCATCGGCGGGTGCCGCTTCTCGGCCATGGCTGGAGAGCCAAGGCTTCGTGGAGATGAGCTTCCTGAAGAAGGTCGGCATGAGTCTGCATGTCGCTCTTAGCCTGGTCTGCGGCGGTACGAGAGTGTGGTACGAAAGCGACCCTGTCTGGTAAGTCCGAACATCTGTGTTTGTGTGCTTCCAATATTGACGTTTCGCAGGTGGAGGAACTCGATTGGTCTCGGCCTCTTCATTGTCGTAAGTGGCTCGCTACTGTGCATCTGTCAAGCGTTGATCCATCGGTAATCATCTGGCAGGCGAAGGATTGCATGAAGCTGCTCCACCTCTATCTCGCAAAGCGGGACCTCGAGACTCGGCGAGTGAAGAGCCGGTCATTTGTAGGAGTAGATCTCAAAGAGCTCGACCTCATACATCCGCCCACTCCTGACGGTCATGTGCCTGTTACACCGTAGCTGCGTGTAAGCTTGTGTTTTGGTTGTTCGTTCGTTAGGTCTCCGGTTTTGTTGCACACGCTATCCATTGTACTACAGTTGACCATCTCCGCTCATATGATCCACTGCCTCAGCTATCGCACGCAATCGCTTGTAAAGGTTTCTATCCGCTGCGTTTCGTCTGAGAGGCATCGACGAGAACACATGCGTCCTGCACGATCGTGCTTATTCAGGGCGCGGCTGGCTTAGCCAACCTTTCGTCGCCTTTCCGCAGTGCTGATTGAGGCCTTAAGGAGGATCATTGCCTCACCAAGCAACGGCATCGTACCTACACTGTGACTCTATGTAGGTTACTGGGACATTCTGAAATTGTGGGGTTTACTATGTACTGAATTTCAAAGAGAGGCGAACATCATTTGGTAGTACAATATCCCCTTTTCCGCCCTTGTCCGTGCTCTTCGACGTGGGTCATCTGCTCTGTGGCGTTATCCTGTGATGCTAGACGTAACGACGGGTTGAGAATCGTAGCAAAGGGATTGAGAGCTCGAGCCCATTCCGCCGGATTGGATGATAGTGCGCTGGTCGACGTCGATTATAAATCACAGATGAACAGATGGTAGTTGGTCCCTGGATCTGTGAAGACAATGCACGTCGCGCGCAATGAATGCACGACTGAGGAGGTTCGTGAGGAGAGAGTTGGCGTATCTGTGAGAAGACGGTTAAGTCGTCATTGGGCAGGGTAATTGACCATAGTGACATTCGCCTTACAATTTGCTCATCACGAGTGCTCTGCAAATACGTCAATGAACGAATACGCCACCATTACTTCGCGGACTCACGGAAAAATAAAATACGCTTTATCCTCAGAGCAATGAGCATGTAAAAATACGATCACTGAACGAACAAAAAGCCGACTAGTGATACATACAGGATAGATCTGGCTAAGCAGGAGATCGAGTGTGGCCATACTAGCTGTTTCCACTCAGTCAGATGAAGTAAGGTTCGGTAGTGCATCACTCAGGCTGACCTGTCGCAGTTCCCGTCTCGACAGTCAGTCGAATAACCTTATTCATCATCCTATCGGTGTCGGTGTCATATGGTGTCTTGTGGTTCAACATCTATTTGGGCCATCCACGTTATTATGGCCACGGCCGGGGTCGATTATTTGGCAAAGACAATATACCAGTATTGTCATTGCGATAGCAATCAAAAGGTCCGCGAGGATATTTCCCGCTAACCAAGTCTGAGTCAAGTAAGACACACAGACCTCCGCTATTATGGATAGTGTCTTACCGCAATGGGACCTTTATACTGTGGGACCTGAGAAATGGAGGCTCCGCGTATGTGTATCTTCAACGATGAATTGGTGTTCATTGTGCTGTCCGGCTTCAGCAGTGGCCCCGGCGTACCTCGATGCCAAATGCTAACCCTCCTCCAATTTGGGTAATGGCTAGCTGCCGGCAGTTTAGTGTTGAGTTGAGCCATTAATGAAATCTTGGTGCGACGTACCGCGATGATCACGAGCAGTAACAAACGCGACTTGCTGAAGCGATAAATGCGCCACGCGTAAAAGAGTTGTACCACGAATGCTACGATAGCGCTCATCATGGGCACACTGAACCAGTAATTGCACATATCCCCTAGAGCACCCAGGTCCCCATAGTTGTACACAAAAACATGGAACAGCGATGCTATCAGCAAGCTCGACTGTACCCACTCAAAGACAAGTGTCCCGTAAACTGTGATTACCGTCCAGAAGATCAGTTAATGCGTTTCGAACAATAGAACAATCAAAGAGTAGTAGACACTCCCCAAGGTATTGCAGCCAGAGTCTGTCTCCGGGGTAATATGAATGATACGTGTCTGCCAGTGGTAGGGGTCAGTCCGGTTAGATTGTGCCTGTGCCTCGATGGACCAACGCACATGTTTGATACGTAAGTATTCCCAAGAGAGCGACGTTGAAACATACGCTCAACAACTACATGATGTGCGATCACTGACGTTAGTTTACGGGGACGGAACTTCGTAGTACACCCATGAACTCGCCATGGTGCCGATACTGCACACCCTTCGTCAGTGATTTGTCGTCGAAAGAAATTGTTCATATAAGCACGTACAATTCATTCAAGTTCACCGCGGTGAACGACATGTGGATACAGTATGTGACAGTGACGTGAGCGAGTGTGCTATACACGAGCAGGCAGGTTCTGCTAAGATTTTTTGAAGAGAGGAAAATAGCTGGCCTCGTGACAGGTGAGGAATGAACGGCCGCTGCGCGGTCTTCAAGGGGACGCAATAGAGGGGAGAGGGCTTGCGTAACGAGAGCAGAGGTTAGTTGTAAGGCAGAAGCCTCGCTGTCGTTTGAATTGGTGTATCCTTATATGCGGAACGGCTTGAACTTCGACGGAAGGCACTGTCCGGCATCAATTATGATATGCGGCACTTAGTTTGTCTACCCACGTGTGCACGAAATTGTACACAGAAGAGTCAGTGTGGTTCAGCAGTTCGATAGCAAGTGGGATCATCGGAACAATGTGGTTGCCGCCAGTGAGACAGGCGACGACGGGACGTATCTGGTGACACTACCTGAGCTCAATAGCATCAGTGAATACATCATCCTTGACGAATCGTATGCCCACATATCAATTACGTAGTTGACCCCCGGGAGGGCCTCGTCGTCGACGAGCCCTGCGCAGACCTTCTCGTGGTCCGGGGGGTGAGTAGTCCCTATGGGATGAAACCAACATGCGCTATAAGGTCTGTTCATCGCTGTTCAGCGATACAGCCGGGATGAAGATTTGCTTCATCCGGGGTCACAGAACCCAATCCATCCCTAAAAGTCGAGCTAAACCGAGACGTCCATGCCCTGACTTACCCAGGCAGTGCCAGAGCACCGACAGAGAGACTATACATGCTCCCATTCGAGCCCACAGCTCCCCTACGCTGCAGACAGCGACCACTGAGCTGCGCACAGCGTCCAAGGGCGCCTGACCACGCATTGAGACGCCCACCGAGACGCCCATGATACCCCTTTCCTCGGCGACCCTCGGGTCGCTGCCCAGACGGGCGCCACTTAGCAAATACCACCAAACACAACGCCACCTCAACCCAAAGTCAGCCTCGATGGAATGATGGATCCCTCCGAGACGATGAAATGACATTCCGTCCCAATACCTGCCGCTCTTTCTACCAGCATAGAATGAATGTGTTCCTTCACACCCCCACACTCCCTGTACCCTGAGCGCTTCCCCATAAATAATTACGTTAGGCCGCTTGAACCGTATCAAATGCCGTCACTGGCATCAGGACTTCAAAATGTAAACGCTCGTCGTTCTTCCGTCTGTATAAATTGAACCTCACCTGTATGCCCAACAAGCGCGACACACCATGCCGCCCACAACAAGGCTGGCGACAGCATCCAAGCGGGAGGCCCAACACCACCAAGAAACTCCTGTGGCCAAATTACGCCAATTCAGAGCATGGTCACCTTCTTCTTATCCATTCTCACCATCCACGCCGTTCCCCCCATCTCTCCCCACACTGCAACTCTCAATGCCCGAGTCCATCGCAGTTACTATCCAAGTGGAGGGGACCCCAGAGAGGAACGGAACCGTCTTAACGTGGGTAGTGGAAGAGCGCCCGGTCTGTCAGGTCGAAAGAGGACTGCCCATCATCCTCGTCGCCGGAGACCTACGGACCGGTGTCGGCCGGGTCGAGAACGCGACGGACATCCAACGTCATTGGATCACGTGGCTCCTCACGGGCGGCCCAACGGCATGCGCGATCCGGGTCCCAACCTCATGGTCCAGACTCACACGTGACGAGAGTCATATCCACACCCAACTCTATACCTTTCTACCGCATAACCCGCCGCCCCACCGCCTCCTCGCGCACGACCCCGTATTATGCGACAGCGCTGAAAGCCCGTATGAGTTCGACTCCGAGGACGACCGCCCATGAAACACGGCGGAAGGAGGTGTATGAAATGACGGGCCATTGTGAACCCTACCGGCCGATAAAGCGCGGTAGACACGGAGAGACAGACGCACGCGGGGCGACCCAAATATAGAAATCGATCAGAGTTGACTAATGTACAGTACTCCCCCGAACGATCTGACACACACAATGCGCCACACATCATGAGGCGCCTATGAACATCCCGACATCGCAAAACTCTGCCGTCGACGAGGGAAGCAGCAACCTGCCCAGCATAACTATACTCAGATAAGATGAAGCACTCAGTCCAAGAAGGACCGGTAAGACCCTGAAGATGCTGGGTGAAAGAATTATTAGGATCACCCGGTATGTCTTGTCACTACCATACTAGCCGAGCTGCCATAGTGCCAGGACGCTGAAAGACAGCGCCAAAGCGGAGCCCAGGCAAAGGCTGTGATAGAAGATGTCCCAATGCGAACAGGAACCACGCAACGAATAAGGCACTACACGGCCGTATCCTCACACGCCCAGCCGTGTTACATACGTTCACACTAAGTAAACTCTGATAGAGTTAACACTACCAGGTACGGGATAGATGGACACCGCGTCTCACGAGGCCGTCACCACCATGCAGCACGACAGCGCAACACAAGTTCCGACTCTAACGACACGAAAGAGGACACTCTCTGTGCACAAGCGAAGCCCATGCACGAGGAGGAAATCGGACGTCCCGAAAGGCTGAAAAACCGACGTCATAGATGGAGTCCGGTGACAGGTACCGCCAAGCGCACTAGCTGTCCGGAAGAGACCGCGGAGACGACGGCCCAAACCACACAACCAAGCAAGTAGCGCGTTCTAAGAAGCCGATCAAACGATCAAACGAACAAAATACAGACGCCGCGGAGATCGCAGACCCGTCAAAATCGAGCGGAGCGACTAGCACCACTCTGGACTGGACGCACCGAAACAGGACATAATCCCCTCACCCGCCTAGGTAGAGAACGCGCGATCCCACGCAAGCCGAATATATCTCGTACAAAACCCACGACGCGAACGTCGCCGAGGCACCAACGAGCTGCGTCACCATGCAAGCCTCCACCGGTGCGGAAATACGACATCTATCCATAAAGAGCGGACCCTGGACTAGACGAAGCGCGACTGAAAGCGAAAGAACACTCCCGGCCCGCAAACAGAGATGGACCGACACGCAAGTGACAGAGATTTACTGCGCTGTATGAGTGAAGGAAAGATCAGTAGAACACACTCCGGGCGGGTAGGGACACCCACAGAATGTATTCCAGTCGACTGACATCGCTCCAGTTCCCTGCAGACAATGAACATACCGGGCGGAGACCTAGCTAATGTGGCCTTCCCCTCCTACGCCCTCAGGGAAGCAAGACACCCGGAAACGATGCCGGCACTGAGCCCCCGTGAAACAGAGCGCCACCACCAACCTCCCGCCTACCGCACGGGAACGACTCATCGCGCCCGCCAGGAACGAAAACAACGTAAACGAGAGCGCTGACACGAACGTCAAACGGACCCGACCAAAGAACCATGGTAGGTTAGCGACGCACCGTCCTAACTCCTACGAGACGAGAAGACGACAAACCAATAGTCTGACAACCGCGAGAATGGAGCCCTAGATGGGCATTCCCTCACCATCACAGCATCCTGACAACTGCGAGAACGGCATGCGCCATGAGCCCGCCATGAGGATAAAAGGGACCCTGGGGCTACGCTCACAGCCATCCCAGAATCCTCAGATATCTGACAACTCCTGTCGACTTTCTGCCATCATGCACCAGCCTTCCCGCCCCGTCTCCCCAACCTTGACTCCTAACAATGGGACTGCTAATGCGACCGACGATTGTAAAACCCTACCTGATCCCTACATCGAACGTCTGCGCGCCGCCTCCCTCGTCAAGTCCCCCAACAGACGCGTCAACGCCGAGCCCCTCTCCTCTGGCGCCCCCAACCCCTGGGACTCCCCCAGAGTCGCCTCGCCGCCGAGCCTTACGGGTGTCTCCTACGCAGGTATGGCGTCCCGTCCTGCGACGCCTCCGGCTCTCCTCGCACTGAAGAAGGCGAACGCGAAGGCCGCTGCACCGACGAAACATAGCGACGCGGCCGAACGCGAGGGGCCCGCCACAGCGGAGTCTACCCAGATGCAACCGGAGGTCATAGACGTCGACGCCACGACCACTGAGGTGACAATAAAAGGTACGCATACCGCGCCCCCCTTTTTTGCGCATGCCGTCTGAGACTCAACTGACGTACCTTCGAAGAGGAGGAAGACCTCGAACTGAACGCTCTGGCCTTACGACGCACCCGCTCTGACAAGCAACAGATAGTGGCAAAGGTAAAGAACAAAAAGCAACGATCGAAAAAGAGCGCGAAGGCCGCAGGCAAAGCACCGGCGAGTGTAGGGAAGGGGCTGCCAAGCTCGGTGGTGCCAGCCGCTGCAGTCGTCCAGACGCCTGACCCTCCCCAGCGCTCGACTAGCGACATGCGCAAGCGGCGCCGGGTCTCCACGGACGTTGACGGGGACTATGCGGGGACCGGAGCGACGACTCGCACCCAAGACGCACCCTTGACGACTGACCCCGAAAAGCAGACTCGGTACGTGGTTGACATCGGGGAAATGATGGGCTTCCCGCGCTACGAGGCGTCCCCGGGCCTCGACGACGACCGCGACGACCCACCGGCGACCACCACCTCCGACGTCGACATGCGGGACCCTGAAATCTATGGGCGGCCCATCAGTTTTGACTATGAGTCCGGCGCGACGAGACGTGACGACGACCGGCCGAGCTTTCCTTACGCTCGTCGAGCGTCGGACGGATCCTACTCGACACGCATCATCTACCCGGACGACTCCCGTCGCGAGCACCAATACCTAAGTCGTACCACGGCCCTCCACGAGGGCGACGTTGAAGGTGTGTAGCTACAAATGCGTAACTCTACCCAAATCCTCATCCCACGGACAGATCTATACGAGAATGCGAGCGCCTTTGCATACCCGCCGGCACCTGAGCAAGCGGGTCCGTCGAGGATCGAGACGTCCAGTGAGCCTCCCCGGCGCAGGGCAGGCCCGCGTAGCACCACACCTGAAGACGTCGATATGAGTGCGTACATAGCTGTACGACAGGGCGACGCGAACTCACCCACACTCTACGCATTAGGCCGACAGATGCTGGAAATCGAGGCAGCCAGTAGGGCGCCGCGCTCCGTGTCTAGCCGACCCATTCCCCTCTCACCCGCACCCGCCCCGCCTGCCCAGACACGAGAGGAAGAAGACGCTCGCTTCGGGCCCCGCAGGCCGCGCTCACCCTCGGTACTCCACCCGCACCCCGTCCATTACGCCCCGGGCCCGTTCCCGAACTTCCCTGCTCCCGCAGGACCCATACAGCCCTCGCGCCAGCACCAGGAGCGTCACAACCAATCACGATGACGCGCACGCCTCCCGAAGGCTGGCCGCGCATCCAGGGCGCGGATTTTGACCTGGCATACCGGAACGTGGCGCCCTCGCAAGCAGACGAATGGCGGAAGGCGACGGACCACCACGTCTTCATCCACTTCCCGGGGCGCGGAGCGCACGACAAAGGGAACTTCGGTAGACTCTGTACTGCGGACAACATCCTACGTATCTCCCTCGCTATACCGACTGCTAGCATCACCCAACCTATCGCCGCCGTGCCGCCTACGAAGCCCAACTCCAGCCCAACGTACTACCGCGTCGGGAACCTAACCATTGAACAACGGGACCGCTTGCTACGCGAGGGATGGGTCTCTACCGCCGAGGGAACTTTCGGCGTCGTCTCATCTGACTCTGTCCCACCCACCTTCCTAGCCTCCTTCCGGCACCCTGAACGGCTGTGCGTACCGCCGACGGTAGATGGACTGAAGGAGAGCTTCCAGAAGGGGATGATGAGTCCAGACCTCTACCAATACGTTCGCGCACTCCTAACCATCGACATCCGTACGGGCGGAAGATGGCGTCACCTCACGATAGGGAGGCGCATCGCTGCATCATAGACTCGGTCCGGGTCAAGTTGATCTCCATCCGGGACTCGCGCGACGACGAGGAAGAACCGATCGCGTTCCTCTACATGGAATCGCCGACCGCCGACGCTACCGAATGGCTCTGCTTCCGCGAACGCATACGCGGCTTCACGTTCGGCAGCCCGTATGCTGGCCCTCCCGAGTTGGTCACCCGCGTCTTCTACTGCTTATTCTGTCATTCTATAGACCATCCCACGCATGCATGCACGGTCCCGACGACCCCCGGATGGAATGGGCCCTCCCTTGCGGACGTCCGTGAAGCCCTAGCAACCGATCGCCGGTCGCAGAACCAGGACCAACAAGGCCGAGGAGGCAGAGGCGGACGCGGTGGCAGAGGCGGCCGTGGACGAGGAAACGGCCGTGGTCGTCGCGGTGGTAGCGCCAACTAACGAGCAGCAACGCGCAAGTTTGCTCGGCGTCCTGAGCCATCCCCCGAGTCTACGCACCGCTGCCGATATACCTATGACTCTCTGATCATGTACGCATACAATGAACGATATAGCTCCCCTCGATGACCCGCGCCTCTTGCCCTTACAATGGTACCTCCGTTAAATCTTGTATTCTCCACCGAAATATATATATGCTTACCACGGTTAACCTCGTACCGTTCCTGTGAGACCAACGCGTACCCTCTCTACCTGACCCTTCCAAAACGCACACAGAGAACCCGGGCCCAAATCTACTGACCGTTCTCGGGACAGGAAAGCTTGGACTTCTCTGCTGAGCGATGCTACTGCTACCAACGGGTACTCTTAGACTTACCCAGGCCGAGAGGCCGAGCTGCCTAGGCAGCATGTCACCTGAGGGAGCCAGGAGCGCTCCCCGCCCCTAGTGGATCGTTGTAGCTAGGACGCGTACACCAACGGCGACAAACTACACATTAAATACTCCGACGGATGACTACACGACAACCGGCACCACTCTCCTCTGCCCAAGAGAGGCCAACGTGTCCCCCGCCCGCGCTGAAATCAATGACCGGGTAGAGGAACCCAGCGACGGGGCTGCTCTCAGTGGTATGTGCACACCGACCAACAGTGCCCAGGGAAACACAGAGAGCCGAGTACCAAACAACCCTGGAAGGGATGCTCCGATAGTAGAGCATCCCGTACGGGCGGGACGAATTGTCCCGTCCGGGAAAAAGACGAAAGCTAGTCTACATATCGGAAGCCTCAACCTCAACGGTAGAGGTTCCCTGAACGGCCCTAGAGACCAGAAATGGAATGCCGTGAACCAGCTCCTCCGAGAGGAGAAACTGGGAGTCCTCTGCCTCCAAGAGACGCACCTGGATGAAACACACATAAATACGATACAGAGTCTCTATGGGAGACGAATCCGGATTTGGAACTCGGGCTCAGAGTCCACGACATCCTCCCAAGGGTGGCAGTAGTCCTAAACCGAGAGATAGTCGACATTTCGAATGTCGTCTTCAAGGAAATAATTCCTGGCCGGGCGGTAACCCTGACCATGCACTGGCACGCCGAGCGATCGATCACGATCCTCAATGTATATGCCCCTAACTCAATGACTGATAATGCAGCCTTTTGGCGTCGCCTTCTAAGCATGGCTGAGAAAGACCGGTTCAACAAACCTGACGTCATGACCGGAGACTTCAACCTCGTCGAGGAAGCCATTGACAGGCTGCCAGCAAAAGAAGACTACGCACCCGCGGTCGACGCCTTAAGAGACCTCATCAGGTACTTTGACCTATACGATGGGTGGAGACTATCAGAACCGAACAAGAAAGACTACTCATATCCGCAACGAGGCAGCGTATCGTGTTCTAGAATTGACCGCATATATGCGGCGGAATCCCTAGTCCGCACCTCGCATACATGGGACATCAAGACCACGGCTGTACAAACAGACCACCGGCTCATCAGCACCAAACTCAACACCGCTAACACCCCCTTCATAGGCAAGGGTAGATGGTCGATGCCTACACATCTTATTGAGGATAACGAATTCATGGATGAGATGAGGACCCTAGGCAAAAGCGTGATGAAGGAAATGAGGACAGCCTGCAACAACGAAGCAGCCCTACACAGCTCACCCATCCAACGGCTTCATCGACTGTTCAAGGAGGAAGTCCGGAAACGCGCTAGAGAACGCTTAAAAAAGAAATCCCCGAGATTGCAGACCGAACTGAAGAGACTACGCGACCATGTTCAAGAGATAGAAAGCCGGAACACATACCAATCATCGAGCGAGCTACAAAACGACTCGGCCGTCCTCCATAACCGGATTTGCGACCTTGAAAAGAAGCGACACGCTCTCTCAAAGCTCACGACCACCGCAAGATACGTCCTTAATGCCGAGCGGGTGACGAAATACTGGTCGGAAGTCAACCGCGAGAAGAAGCCGAGAGATATCATATACAACCTACGGATTCCAGAAACGACCCCACCACAATTTGTGAACAGGTCTGACAAAATGGCGAAACTAGCAAGGGACTACCACGAGCGCGCTCAGTCTGTCGACATACCTGGCTTCTCAGCGGACCTTCAAGCCGCGGAAATTAGGCGGATCCTGGCCGGGGTTAGACAGACACTAGACGGTGGGGATCTAACCGTCCTGCAAACCGGAATCTATAAAGATGAGGTCAAAAGAGCGCTCAAGAAATCACAATCTGGACGCGCACCGGGCCTGGATGGGATCCCGTACGAGTTTTGGAAGTCCCTTATGAGTGACAGCACGGAAGGAGAGGCCTTCAATAGCCTTGACTACTTAACGCTGGTATATGAAGACATCGAGGGCCAAGGACTGTCCCCTGGTGACGGCTTCGCGGATGGGTGGCTATGCCCAATATATAAGAAAGGTGATAGACGGGAAATTGCGAACTACAGACCTATTACGCTCCTGAACTCAGACTACAAAGTCTACACCCGAGCCCTGACGTCGAGGCTGGGAGAGGTCGCAACCAAGCTCATACACCCTGACCAGGCGGGCTTCGTGCCGGGACGTCATATTGAGGACCAAACACAGACCTGCCGAGTCCTGGTCGACTATGCTGAAGCTACCGAAGAAGATGGTATTATAGTCGCCTTAGACCAAGAAAAAGCATATGACAAGATAGATCATGCGTACCTGTGGAAGACCTTGGAAGCCTTTGGCCTACCTGCGAGTTTCATTAAGAAAGTCCGCGAGCTATACTCGACGGCGAAAACGAGAGTCATAGTGAACGGAGAGACCAGTGCGTTCTTCGACGTCGTACGAGGAGTGAGACAGGGCGACCCTCTCTCATGCCTATTATTCGACATAGCAATCGAGCCACTAGCAATTTTGCTACGCACCTCTAGCCTAAAAGGCTTCCAAATCCCAGGTGCGGCCGATAGACTGATTACGAAGCTATTTGCGGACGATACGTCCACCTTCCTATCGAAACACGATAGCTGGACCGACCTATGGGATATCCTGAGCCGCTGGTGCATGGCTTCAAGAGCCAAATTCAATGACGGGAAGACCGAGGTAGTACCGGTGGGCTCACCTGAATACAGACAGTCCGTAGTCTCCACACGCCGACTGAACCCTGACCTGGTCTCGTCAGGGACCATTCCCCTGAACGTGCATGTAGCCACGGAGGGCGAACCAGTCCGAATCCTAGGCGCCTGGATCGGAAACAATGTAGAACAGACTGCAGTGTGGACCCCGGCACTCACGAAAATCAGACAATTCCTGAAGCGATGGGGACAATGCAGACCCTCAATGATAGGACGAAGACACATCATTCAGATGGGCCCAGGAGGAATCTCTCAGTACCTTGCGGTTGTTCAGGGTATGCCAAAATCAGTCGAAGCAGAACTGAAGAAGATTATACGCACATTTATATGGAACTCGGAGGGAATACCACCAGTTAATACGGCCACCTTGTACCTCCCGGTCCGTGAGGGGGGCTTAGGCCTGCTGGATATAGAGGCACGAAACGATGCAATCGATCTAATGTGGGTAAAACGTTACCTAACCCTGACGAATGACAGACCTGTCTGGGCTTTCGCTATGGACGCTATTATTAATAAGCACGCGAAGAAGGATACTGGAGTAATCAGGCCAAAGGCGCAAATAAACACTTACCTGCAGAGCTGGGACCCGTCGTTGAGCGCACGCTCCGGCCTACCACTATACATACGGCGAATGTTGAGTGCGGGGAAACGCTTAGGCGTACACCTTGAAGCAATAAAGGTTGACACGTCCCTAAAGAGGGAACTGCCGGCCTGGTACCACATCGGTGCGACCAAAGCACTCCGTAGAATAAATAACACAAAAATTAGTGATTGTCTACGGGAGACCCACGGAGTGATAGTAATCTCGGACTTACTTGAGGCTACCCGGTCGACCTGCGGGGACCAGCCTACCACACGATATACGGAGTGGGAGGACAATGACTGCGCCTGTCCAGAATGCCAGTCCTCCCGGCAAAAAGGATGCACTCACCCCGCTACTTGCAGGCTTGCAGCCTTCCGAATCCTTAGCGAAATCCTACCTAAGTGGAACCCCCTGATCCCGGACGTCACAGACGGGCTTACCCTGACTAGGCGACGAATGGAGCGAAATGAAGAAGCGGCCTTGGACAAAGGCGATGTACTCGTATTCAACCCGTCGGTCACGTCCAGAGGGGGCATATCGGAGACCTTCCGTGTCTTCGTCCACCCAAGTACTCTCACAGAACCCCCGGCGATCAGGCGACGCCCCGGAATCGCAGTCCCGGAGGAGTCCACAACGGTGATGCTTTTCCGGCCCACAGAGAACCCTGATGCGCCGGACCCTGTCTCCCGCGCCGACCGGAGCACCTATGCGGCTTATTTCGGCCCCAATGACGAGCGGAACATACTGGTCACCCCGACTGCAGACCCGAACACCGACGTGACCGAGCCGGGGGCCCTTTTGGCTGCAATGTGTGCTGCCGAGCGAACACCTCTGGACGCACCACTAAATTTCCTGAGCACGGACAGCGTGTTGCCCACGCTAATTTTCGACAAGACACCGCTGTGGGAGGAGAAGGGCTGGATCGGCGCCCCCCTTGCGAAATACCTGAGGCCGTTTATTAACCACCTCCGCCGGAGATGCGCACCCACCACCTTTGGCAGAATAACCGGAGAGGATGAGAGGCAAACCCTGGAGAAAGCGCGTCAGGACGCCTCGATGGCTCGACCGCAAACCTTCCATAAGGCTAACCCACCGGCACGAGTGATCGACCCACACTTCGAACTAACAGGAGCCAAACTAAGCTCTCTGACCCAAGCTATCGCCTACCGCGGAATCCTGGAGCGCCGCGATACACCGAATCGAAGACAAACCGAAGAGAATTTAGCCACAGCCCAGGCGCATATGAAGACCTCGCAAACGAGATGCTCTATCTGGATGAGCGCCAGGCACAAGGACTTCAGCCGAGCCTTCGCTGTTTTCCTCTGGAAATTAATGCACGGCGGCCTGAAGTGCGGGGCTTACTGGAGCAAGATACAAGGATACGAAGAGCGAGCGATGTGCAGCCACTGTGGAGCAGTTGAGTCAATCCAGCACATCCTCTTCGAGTGTAACGCAACGGGGCAGTCCCTGATATGGTCCCTAGCGCGTACCATTTGGGAAAAGAAAGGGATGGAATGGCCCTCATTGTCTCTTGCCGATGTCCTCACGCTAGGACTAACCGCATGGCCGAGCCAAAAGGGACGCGTTCGCCCGGGTGCCACAAGACTGTGGCGGGTGCTGATATCTGAGGCCGTCCACACCATCTGGAAGCTGAGATGCGACAGAGTGGTAGGACATGCGGAGGACGAGCAATGGGAGCACAATAAAACGTTTGTCTGGAATAAGCTACAGTACACGCTCAATAACAGACTAGCGCTCGACGTTGAATCTGTGCAACGAAAGTACGGGGGCTCTGCCCTCAAACGTGACCTTGTCCTGGCGACATGGAACAAGGTTTTACGGGATGAACCTGCCCTCCCAAGAGACTGGACAATGTATAGGGGTTTTTTAGTGGGTAGAACACCGGCTTTACGAGTAGACCTCGAACCGGATTGACGAGCCCCACACTGATTGTTGAATCGTGCGTAATTAGCATTTTTCACCCTGGATTGGCGAATATGGGGAAACTCATACGCAGGCTGGGCGACCCGGAATGACCCATTGTCATTTGCGGGCGCCCTCGAAGGCCCTCCAAAAAAAAAAAAAAAAAAAAAAAAAAAAATTACGTAGTTGAAGGAGATCAGGGACAAGCTGCAGGATAGCACCGCCCGAGCAATGAATCAACGCTCAGAGATCACGGCGAGACGCGCAAGGCTCGCTCACCCTACAGATTACGACGCCTCGAGGCGCGACTCTACATTCCCACCTCCCCACGCGAACGGGTCCTAGCTGAGATGACCGCGACTCTGGCTATCGGTAGTAGTCCCTAGCCTGCGTTGAAGCTTGGAAGCTTGATGCCTGAAGGTCGTTCAGTAGTGAGTGTCATGAAATGAATTGGAGACGCGTCTTGCTGTCGCAACGGGTGGTTGATCCGCTCAGAACTCGGAGGAGTCGTGCTTACCGATTTTTCACATACGCGTGGGACAGCGGTGAGATTCGTGACGAATGCAGATGGATACATTCTACTGTAGTGCTACAAAACCTCTGAGTGTGATGATGACAGCAATCCGTGTCGACGAGAGCAATGATACAATACGGAAGACAGTTAGTCAACCTCCAACACCGTCCCGCGCTGTACACTACCCCAGCCTATGCATGGCGTAAGCGAGCTGCAGGTAAAGCGGGCAACCACGGGATTGAACTTACCAACAAGCCGCCAATGCTTCTCAATACGGCGCGACAGGGCGACCTTCTCCCCCACCTCGGTACACGCTGGAGACGTCAGCTGGATCTTCGCTAGATCCGCCTTGACGCTCAAGACACGCCCACCGGTCGACGTGGACCCGATGTTGATGAGCAACAGCTCGTTCTTGACGAGCTTCGACACCTTTGTCTGCTTCTTGTCTTCCGTCTTGACACCGAGCAAGCGGCGGAGCAAGAACAGACTGATTTCGAGTTCTATGAGCCACGCCAGATGAGAGCGCAGTCCGGTATCAGTCCAACTCGCGCTACATACCGCTGTAGATCTGAGGGAGCTTGCCGACAGCACCGAGCACTTGACCGACGAGACGGTCGGCTCGGCACAACGTGGGATCGATACGGGTACCGACACCGATGAGACCGCCGGGTACAGCGAACTGCAGGTGGTTGCTCTCTGCATGCAGCGATACGATACGGCTGAAGATAGGTTTGCACTTATTGCGGCCCTGCGCGTCCTTCGTGACGATGCCCGGCCGGATCTCGACCTCCATACCTAAGCGCAGAGTGCCGGTGAGGATGGAACCACCGGCAACGCCGCCCTTGAGCTCGTCGACCTCTGCTCCGGGCTTGTTGACGTCGAAGGAACGGATGACGATCAGCTTGGGGTCGGCGGTGAAGTCGCGGACCGGGATGGGTATGCGCTTGACGATGTACTCGTTCACGGCGTCGATGTTGTACTTCAATTGAGCAGAGATGGGCACAATCGGTGATGATTCCGCGACGGTCCCTGCATTCTGACGTGAGATGAACCCAGAACAAGTCCGCACAAACCCACCTTTGACGAAAGCAGCGATGCTCTTCTGGTGCTCTAGTGCCTGGGACTCCTTGATGAGATCGACCTTGTTCTGCAATATGATGATGTTTTCGAGCTTCATGATCTCAACTGCGGCCAAATGCTCCGACGTCTGTGGTTGGGGACATGTCTCATTGCCAGCAATGAGCAGCAGCGCGGCGTCCATCACAGCAGCGCCGTTCAACATGGTAGCCATCAGAATGTCGTGTCCGGGACAGTCGACGAAGGAGACATGACGGATGAGCTTCATGCGGTGCCCGCATCCTGGTCGCTCGCAAAGTGGGTTGTCCTCTTTATCCGAGCGGTATGACCGGTAGCAGCCTGGACGCGGGCAAGCCTCATTCTCGCATTTGTAGATCTAGAGGAATTGCATTGAGTCTGGTGGCGGGTGCAAGATGATGATACCCTCACTTTCGCATTTGCATATCCGAGTTTAATGGTGATATTGCGAACTAATTCGTTCTTGAATCGTACAGTCATGACACCTGATATCGCTTTCACGACGGTGGATTTTCCGTGCGCGACATGTCCGATTGTTCCTGCGCAAACGTTAGTCAGACTGCGAAGGGCATTCCATGCTCGACAGGCGCACCCAGGTTGATGGTAGCCTATGTGTTTAATTAGCAAAGCACAAGGGCGATGTACGTGCGGCAAACCTGTTTTGAGATGACCTCCGGAGAGAGCGGGGTCAATTTCGACGGATCGATGTCCACCTGCGGGAAGGTCTCCTCGTCGTCGCTCTCCTCGCCCTCGCTGTCGGAGCCGTCGTGCTTCTGCAGTGTTTCGTCCCCGGGCATGATTGCGTGTCAGCTGCGTTTGTACTTGACTGCGAAAGAGCTAGATGCTGAGGTCGACTCGGGCGAGGGTCGAGAGTGATCGCACTGCAGAAAGTCGGTGATCTCGATTCGAGTCAACCGGTCACACACACGCAGTCACGGACTGCTGTCACGCACAGGGCGCTTAGTGGATCATCCCAACCTTGTCCCAACCTCTCCCCGGGCCAGCCGTTCGTTTCAAGCACCTTGTGCGGTTCGCCGCCAACTATGACTCTACAATGACTAGGCTACTCAGACAAGCTCACAGCTCCGGTCTTCAGATCCTTCGTCCGTCAGGCCGCTAAGGAGGGGGATCATTGGCCACGCCTGGACTCGGGTGACCGTTCACCGGGACCACCGGATGGCTGAGGCCCTCGAACCGCATCCGGCAGCCGGTATGTGCACTCCGTGTGAACTGAAAGGCTCACGGAGTGCCCTGGCGTGCCATCCAGTGGGCCACGGGCTCGGATCTGCGCATCCGAGTCTGTGGCACGCCGCCGCACACGACAGGGCAGCCTTTCGATCACAGACGGTGTTCTAGACAAACAATATTTCCAGGATCCAGACCCGAGGACGCGGAAACTGGCCAGGGCTGTGCCAGGTTGTGCCTGCAAGCGTCCGTCCGGCGCGGTAAAGGATGTGCTCGGCTACAATCCGCCATGGCGGAAGCAACCACCATGCCTTCCATTTTGGGACGTGTTAACCCGGATATGGTAACTGCGCCACAATGTCGCACCAGCGGATGTGCGGATGTGCAGCAGCGAGTCCATCCGCCCATCCGCAACGTAATGTCCGTGTCCCGCCTCATGATGGTTGGGGAATCCACGGAACTCCATGTCCTGGCGTATATAAGTGCCACGGAATCACCATGGAGGTTCACCTACTTCTGCACTTCACGTTCTCGCACTTTGAAATCTTGCGCATTCATTGACTTCTCACTCGCATACTCTCCTTGGCAACATGTCCGCTGCAAAGTCGTTCCGCACCAAGGGTGCAGACGTCAAGTACCCTGATGCTTCCTACTTTGCTTTGGGGAACAGTCGGTCAAGCACACCGGACGCGAACACCCCTTCGGAGTCTCGGGTCTCGACACCGTACTCTACGGAGGACGCACACCTGTTGACCCCTGGGCCCAAGCCACGGCGCTTTAAATTTTCTTCGAAGACAGTTCCCTTGTCTCTCAAGGTGAGTCAACTTATAAGTTTTCGCACCGACCTCTAACTGACTTTCGACCACAGCCCTCGAAGACAGCCATGAAGGACAGTGCTGGGCACACGCGCCTTCAGGCCAAGTGGCTCGACTTGAGCAAGGAGCAACGTAGAGACTCCGAGTCTTCGTCCGCTGGCAGTAGCTCGTCTGGCGATGCCCCGGACAACGCTGCCGTCGTCCTCGGCCCTGCGGATGATCGCAAAGACTCGGACATCTCTCAGGTGTCGGGAGACCGGAGACCTTCAGACGCCTCCTCTGGATCGGATGGCTCGCTCTTCATCTACTCCCGCCGCCCGTCTGGCCTCGATGCATTCCGGGTAGACGATGCGCAACCCCCGCATGTGGAGACGATCGACGAGGGAGTTGACCTCCCCTACGCCGCCGACGAGGAATCCATTGCACCCCGTCCCGTCGTCTCCAGGGACTTCGCTCGCCTCCAGATTCCCCGGCCCACTCTTGCACGTCAGGGGAGCAGTGATCGTTGGGCCGACAGACTGAGGCGCTCTTCCGGTACCTTGGCGCGGTCACCTTCCTCCCAGTCATTGTCTGCGTTGCCCTCGCCGCGCTCTTCCATGGGCTCGTTCATCCCAGCTCGTAGCTCGCTGGCTTCGCCCTCCACCCCCAACCTCGTATCTAGGCCGAGCGAGGAGACTCCATTCGTCAATTCTTGGACGGCCCGCCCATCGAGTAGGCTGGGTAGGAGCATGCAGGATGACATCGATTTCGCTCGCATTCGCTCGCCTGCGTTGTCGCCTCGCATCCCGCTCACTGAGCGCCGCGACTTCCGCCCCACTCCTCCTGAGGCGCCCATTCGCCCGACGCTCAGTCACTCCAGCAGCTCATCTTCGTCGCGTTCAAGCTCTAGCTCCGAAAGCGACGATGATGATGACCTTGGCCTCGGCCCTGCGCCAGAGGTACCCCCTGCGCTTGAGTATGTCGACCCGGAGATTGAGTGCATTGCGCCCAACGCCTCGACGGGTACACTCCCGCTAGCGGAAGCACAGGCGCTGGAGTCGGCCGTCACGCATCCGTGGGTCGAGCCTCCATTCAACATCGTGCAGCGCCAGCAGCCGAAAATCCGCCGGTTCCAGGCGACGTTCAAGGTCGTTGCCAGCCTGGGCGTTGTTTCCAGTCTGCTCATCGGTTACGGCCTTGGCGTGAAGCTCGTCACTGTTGGGCCGTGGAGCTTTGGCATGTACGGCCTCATCCTCATTCTCGGTACGTCCTACTAGCCGTATCTCAAACTCACACTGACACCGCTGCCAGATTTTATTACGCAGACCATCGCCGCATCTTACAACCGTCGGCGGGTCAACAAGCTGACCGCGAAGTCACCTCTTGTGAAGGGTGTCGCGGAGCGCTTGGCGGCGAAGGACCAGTTGCCCACCCATGAACCCGCTCCTCTTCCCGAGTGTAGCATCGCAGTCGTCGGATATCGTGAAGATGAGGAGGCTTGGATCGCGGTACGTATGTTATATTCCTCAGGTGTGCCTGTTCTTACACTCCTGCAGTGCTTGAAGTCGCTTCACGCGCAAGAGTACCCGATCAAGCACATCATCGGCGTCGTCGATGGAAACGACGGCCCTGACATGGACATGGCGAACGCGTTTGGCAAGGCCTTCCCTGAGGAGGAGCGCCTCATCGTCCACTTGCCCGTGTTGCTCTCCGTCATGTACAAAGAGAAGTACTGGGAGCACATCAACAGCCTCGGTCACAAGCCTCTCACTCGTTGGGAGTTCTTCAAGATGTGGCTCACCCAGGATCACCGCCCTGGTCAGGACGAGGCACACGAGGTCGCCTGGAACTACATGTTGAACTACGTCCACAAGAAGGCAGAGGAGGAAAACTGGAAGAAGTGGAAGGCCATCTGCTTCTCAGAGTACGTCCTGCCGTGTATGATCTCCGCCACCGACTAACGTGTGAGCGCAGGCCCCACGGTCACAAGCGTCACGCCATGTTCACCGCTTTCGTCGTCGGCGCATACGCTCTCGGAACCAAGGACGCGATGCTCACTACCGACAGTGACACGTATGTTCACCCCGATGCCGTGAAGAACATGATGGCCCTCCTGTTCAGCGATGAGAGGCTTGCCGGCGTCACCGGCGACGTGCGGATCTGGAACAAGGGGGATTCGTTCCTCGCGCTCATGTCTTCCATCCGTTACTGGTTTGCGTTCAATGTCGAGCGCGCATGCCAGAGCGCATTCGGTTGTGTCGGCTGTTTGTCTGGTCCTGTAAGTCATTCTCACTATCGCACCCTGTGACTCGCTGACATGTCGCGCTCAGCTTGGTCTCTATAAGACGTCGGATTTGATTTCCGTGCTTGGTCCCTGGATTCTCCAGTCGTTCCTCGGGAAGGAGACCACCTTCGGCGATGACCGCCATCTGTCCAACCGTATTTTGTCGCTCGGACACAAGACGGGCTATACCCATCTCGCAATGTGCGAGTCCGATACGCCCGCTGGTTATGTCCGCTGGGTCAAGCAGCAGACGCGTTGGTCGAAGTCATTCTTCCGAGAGGCATTCTGGTTCCCGAAGAGCTTCGCATTCCACAAATTCTGGCTGACCGTCGAGACGAGCAAGCAGTTCTTGTACCCGTTCGTCTTGACGGCAACAGTTATGCGTATGCTCTACAACCCCACGAGCTGGATTCGCCCCCTCATCTGGCTCGCGACGATGTTTGGTGTGGCTGTCATCAAGTCGATCTATGGCGTCATCTGCTTGCGCGATCCACGTCAATTCCTGTTCGGTATATACGGCTTCATGGTGGGTGCAACCTACATGTCTACTTCCTTCCTAGTGCTGACATAATTGCAGTACTTCTTCGGATTGCTGCCGTCGAAGCTGTTTGCTTGCTTCACGGTGCACATCACCAACTGGGGTACCTCCGCTCGCTCTAAATCTGAGTTCGCGCGTCCCGAGTCCTTCATTTCCCGTTCGACGCACGTTGGCCACCTCGTCGTTTGGTACTTGATGCTCTCCCTTGGTCTCGCCTACCTGCTCGTCACCGTCTTCCACCAGCCGTACTTCTGGTTTGTAGGCTCGATAGGCGTTGCCCTTTCTGGGCAAGCCTACTCCGACGTCATCACCGGCGAGACCAAGTACGCGTATTACGTCCTTCGTAAGAAGTATCACGCTTGGCGAGCGAGCAAGACCACGGCCACGGACGAGGAGCGGATCGCGGGCAAGCCGATGCGTGGCGCATTCAGAAAGATGCGCCGCGGTAAGCGGTCAAGCAAGAAGTCCAAGGCTGCGCTTGAGGCGCCCGCAGTCGCCGCTGACGAGGAACCCGTCGCCGTCGTCTTCGAAACGTCCACGCCATCCGTCGAGTCGGACAACGCACATATCAACCTTCACGCGGAGTTGCCCGTCGTCGACACACGCTATGCAGAGGTTGACCCCCTTTCCCCTGTACCTGCCTCCGCTGCCTCGCCATCCATCGTCATCGAGCCAGCCGAAGAGCAGGATCCGGCCGACATGCCACCACCTCCGTTTGGCGACTACAGAAAGGCATCGGATGCCACGACAGCCACCGCTGTATCTTACGACCCCGTGCGTACGCCATCCGATTCTACCGACAACCTTGGTAGTTTGGGGTATCACCCTGCGTCCCTTGTGGTGCCCTCCAAGCGCCGAAACGGACAGGTCAGCAAGGTCTTCAACATCGCGTCGGAACTATCGAAGAAGTTGGGTTCTCTTGGTTCCATCGAGGAGACATCACTGTCGATGACGAAGGGAGGTGACATAGAGAAGCAGGGCAACGAACTCGATACGATCGAAGCGTTGCCGATGACGCCGGGTGCGATGACTGTTTTCTAACCGTATGTACTGTACACTATCCTTTGTTACGCCTACGATAAATCATTCATTCTCCAAAACACTACGGTGATTTGTGAACGAACGCTTGACTGGCCATACCGCTCAGTCTGATGGCACTTGTCTGATGCTAGTAATTCATTGATAGTCGAACAGTTTGGTATATGAAGGCGTCAAGTAAACATGATGCATCTTCGCCGACCGAGCTTGTATGGTATGATAGATTCAGAGGACATTGGGCAACGTCTTGTTGGCACAAAAGCTTTTCACGACGACGGTCATCGACGCTAGCCTCGGCGTTTCATGCCTAGCTCCTTCATGATGATTGTTACTGCCTTCTCTCCTATGACCACGGCAGTGGAGTAAGTATTCTGAAACAAACGAGTGCTTGTCAGGCCTCCGGACGAGCTCAAAGTTTAGGGGAAACTTACAGATGAAACGTTGGACGGTGCAATGGACATGTCTTCGACGTGCAAGAGGTTAGTTCACTTCAACGTCTGAGCAGCGAACACCGTTCGACTGACCGGCGACTTTGAGCCCCAACACTCCGTACACGTTCAGAGAAGAGTCTACGACACCGTCCTGTTCGCGTGGTTTCATGGCGCATGTCCCCAGCTAAGAGACAGCGACAGATTCGGATTTAGTTCTCTAATCGAAGAACAAGCGGCAATGACTGAGTGGACATACATTATGCCATGCTGTCGCCACGACGTTCCGCGTATAATCATCTATCGCTCCATCATCTTCTTTCGTGTATTGGATGTTTGCCTGCGCTATGGATGCAGGTTTGGCGTCGCCACTGCACGCCGCCTGGCTACCCTCCGAAAACGCAGGATGAGCGGGGACGTATTCGCCGCGATATGAAGGCATCCTGCGCGCAATTTCTCGCCCGAACTTGTAGCCCCAGCGCATTAGCGCAATGTCGGAAGGCCTGAGACGATCGTCAGTGCACTGTTGTAGTCATCGGTTATTTACTGGGTGTCGGGATAGACTTACTTGCTCATGTACTTGGGGTCGAAGTCTTGCGGTGCATTCACATCCTCAGCAGAGGTGATGTGCACGTGTCCGACGGACTCCGGGTAATCCAGGAAGTAGGTTAAACTGGAATATTTTCTCGCTGGGACACTAGACGGATCCCCAACAAACCTATGAACAGTGAGCAGGGCGACAAGGGGTCTCGGCTCAGCGGAAGCGGGACCAGGACGCTTACATGCTGAGAGTGCCCACCCACATGACGGGCTTGTCTGGGGCGTCCGCAAATACTCGCTGCCACTGCTCGGTGAACTCGGGGCCGATGGTCTCAAGATCTTCTACAGAAGGCCGCAATTTAATGCCGGCGTCGATACCGCTGCTTCCCATTAGCAAAGGGGCGACGTTGCTATGATGGATAGGAACTTACTTATGAGCCATGAGACCAGAGCCATCCTTGAGCCACTGAGCGGACCATCCTAGGGATCCCCGGATGCTAGTCAGTGATGAAGCATACCTTCGTTGTGGTGTGTAGTGACGTACTTTCGATCTCCTCTTTGTCGTTGCGGACGATTCCGTCAAGCGTCTCTGCGTCATCGTCTACAAGATACGGCGCGAAGATCACATTGTGGTCTATACGAACGGGCGAGCCGGCGCCCATCAGACCAATCAGATACCAGATCGTGCCGATCTCGAGAACTACATCACCTTGGAAGTTCTCTCCGACGCCAGGAAGATCGACGACAACGTCGATCCCCAGCGGCTGCAGCCGACGACGATCGCCGACGCCTGAGCGCTCAAGTATGGCAGGCGATCCAAACGTGCCTGAAGATAGAACGACCAGCTTGCGAGCTCTGGCGACCCGCGGTGCTTGCTCTTCCTCCGGGCGGAAGCGTGCATTTGGCAGAAATTCCACGCCGGCGGCTCGTTCACCTCTGTGAAGATTGAACCACGTGTGAGTTGGACGGGATAGATGGTATATATGAGGGCGCACTCGAATATTACTCGTTTCACATGATAGCCAGTCAAGATCTCCAGGTTGTCCAGCTGACGGTTGTAGATGTAGTTGTGCGGTACGTCGGAGCGGCGTCCCTTCTCTTTGTCAATATACCTACGAGGAATTTATCAGACATGGCGTCTAAACGAGACGTTATGTGTGACGTACTTTTGCCACCGCTACATATGACCGTGCGTGAGGGCCAAGTTCACAAAGTAGATTTGATTACACTCACACCATACGCATTGATTCCAATCATGTCACTGGGATCGTCCGTGGTTCCTCTGCTCTTGTCATACTGCGCGGCGACCTCGAGAAATTGTTTGCCCGCGCTGGTGAAGACGCCGCCGTAGGAGATCTTCAGCGGACCATCGTATCCGTGCGTTGGCTTGTCTGGCGCTACTTGGTAGGTCTCCATCTATAGGCCACGTATTTAAGTCATGAGGTCTTTGCTGAGAGGTTGTCTGACCTTCTGTAGAAGAGGGATAAGCTCGCGGGAGCTCCATCCCTCGTTTCCGTACATTGTCTCCCAGTCATCGTAGTCAGACGGGGATGGGCGTGTGTACATGGTGACTACCACCGAAGATGGCAATGGTCAACATCGGATTGGCCACGTTGTAGGATAGTACTCACAGTTGACACTGGACCCTCCTCCGAGGCACTGTCCACAGGGTACGATGGGTGCACGTCCACCGAGATCGGCGCTTTCCTTGCCCACGTTGAACTTGACCGTCGTGCTCCCCGGTAGAAGATGACTGAGGTAACGAGCTGGTTGTACATGCGCCAAATCCTCGAGGGTAGGCGGGCCAGCCTCTAGAATGAGGATGCGCAGAGATGGGTCGGCTGCGGCAAGGCGACCCGCAATAACACAACCAGTCGTACCACCTGATTGAGGAGGGTCATCAGGTCCATGGCGAGCACGATGATGGACACGGTCTTACCTCCGGCTATGATAATGTCAGCTTCCACTGGAGGGAAGACGGTCATGATGGTTTCCGTTAACCTCAGGTGAGATATGTGGATCTATGGCAGTGGCACTGAAGGTTTTAAAGCAGTCGTTGGAGAGAGACGCCATCGAGACACCTGGTGGGGACTCAAAGCGAGTGATTTACGTCAGACGTCAACCACGAAGCATTCTCCCATAAGGCTTCCCTTCGACCTAGAGCAGAAACGAGGACGTCCACGGGAAGTGTCTTGATATCATGAGAATTTGCAGGAAGCCAAGAAGGTGTCCATATAGGATGCGTCGGGTGAAATATGCAGGTGCGATGACAGCAGACGGTGCTTCTTCAGGTGTGCTAGATTCACACTCGTTCAACGATGCGCCTGCAAGTGTATTGCGTCCAATCACAACTCCAGACCGAGCTATCGCCCACGGTCAACGAAGGGACCGTCTGATATGCTGCGCTGGGACAAGACACTGTGCTGGTATATCCGGCTATCATCACTGTGAGAAAGCATATGGGACAGTATAGGAAAGAGCGCATATAGGGAGGGGACATGCTCACAACTCGTGATCTCCAACGAGGGTCCGCATCTGCTATCAATCCAAGATACCGCCATAGATGGACGAGGTTTCTTTGAACGTAGCGAGTAGTGGCCAGACGTCAGCAAGATAATGGGTGCTTAAGGTCTGAATGTAGTCTGGATGGCGAGCAATCAAACAAGCCATCGATACCTTGGTCATGCCGAAAAATCAAGCATTTATACGTGGATGGACGTAGATTCTCTGTGTACTATGCATGGGGAGCACCCGAGAATAGATGGCGGACTTGCGACTCAGAGTTGGTGGCACTGTGGTGGCAGTGGCACGTAGGTCCAGATTACTTAAGCTACTTCCCAACGTGGAGCGGCCCGGCGTTCCGGGCCCTACTCGCCCTCCCCGAGTACTACAGTACTTGAAGTCAGCGAGGCCTGTGTCGATGTTGTACATACCTCTCACGGCCATCTTCAGAGGATACGTTCTAAATGTATGGTATTAGCACATAATATCGAGGCCCATGATATACTGTAGTGTCCAAATGGTGTACACGCATGCCAACTTGAAACCGACATTTCCCATCTGTGCCCCTCAAATTTCAAAGAGGATAATTTCTACACTTCAGCATTGGACTTCGGCTTGTTCAGCACTCGATAGGATACGAATCGAGGATAGGCTATTATACAGCAAGTAATCCGTTGTCAAGTCCCCGGAGGGCGCTTCAGCCACGGCCATGAATACCAGTTGCTCAATTATCTCTCTGCCCGTTGCAAACTTGAATGAGCATCAGCCTTAGCCGGGAATACCAGCTTATCAGGAGGATTTGGAAAAAAGGAGAGACAACATTGTGCTCGCTCACCTTGAGACTTTGTTACCCGCATCTGGAAGGTCCGTGCGCAGGAAGGGCAATGGGAAAAACTATCCGTTACAGTATCTAGCAACTCCTGGTTTCGATCCAGGGACTTCAGGGTTTTGCAGTGAGAGAAGAGAGCGGCGGTGTGGCGTGGCGTGGCGTGGCGTGGCGAGTCGCGGACTCGCGGGCGACAAGGCGTCGGTGACAGGCTATGACGATGCGACGAGAGTGCCCGCACGTACGCGCGCCGCCAGTGCCCGCACGTCCCTATGCGCGCTGCCAGTCCCTACGCGCGTCGCCATCATTCAAAACGGCCAAGCGCGGCCTCTCGCGCGAGGGCATGCGTGTGCACAGACGAGAAGGGGGTGTTGAACGCGGGACTGCGGGATGGGCACGCGTGGCGGGAGGGCGGGCGGGAAAAGGCGCCCGTGGACGGTCGTGTAGTCACGTGTACGCCGCCGCGCACCGTGGCTCGCGGACGGCGCGCGGAGGGCGACGGGAGACCTGCGCGAGGTGGCGGTGTGTGGTCCGAATCTGACGAGACGGCGGAGTGTGTGAGACGGGGGTGCAGTCGCGCATCGTGCTGCTGGCGGGCGGGGCGCGAGGACGTGAGACTGACGGGAAGGCGAACGAAGAGACGCCAGGTATGGGAGGGAGTGGACGGTCGAAGACGGCGTGAGAGGCAGGGAGAGTGGCATATGTGGGTGTGGGGAGGGCGACGGGAGACGGGAGACGTGCGCGACGTGTGGTGGCTGACGAGAACGGGGATGCGGTTGCGCCTCGGGCCTGCTGGTGGACGGGGTGCGGACGACGTGGCGAGGAGGAACGGGGTGCGGCGCAGGACGCGCAGGAAGGAAGACGTGGCGGGCGGTCGCCATCGGTGCCATTTCAGGAGACGGACCGGATTAGGCAGGGTTGTGGCGCGGATGACAGGAGGCGCGTGTGGACGGCCGGATTTGGACGTGAGGGGTGTGGCGGGGACGTGACGGGGGGAGAAGATGGTTGTGCAGACAGATATGGGTGAAAAGTCGGGATAGGCGCTCCGCGTGCCTTGCAGTCGATATCGGACCATCGTAGCGCTTAGATTGGTTCGCCTTGCTCGGCTTCGTGTCTGAGACTTTATAGCTCAAAGGTTTGCAACCGAAGAACAGTATGTACGTTCCCAAGTTGTCAAAACGTTGGAGCTTCCGATACTTCAAGTTCCTGACTCACGGTGGTTTGATCAGTCATAATGCTGACACTTATACTGCCGCGAAGCCCTCAAATGGGACGAGCTGAGTCACACGTATTCATCTCATAGTCCATTGACCATTGTGTGTGCCGAAGTACCTACCACGGCCGTGCTTCATATTGACTTTTCTTCCTCACGACTCGGAGTCCAGGCGCAACTTCTTCTCCTTCGAAGTTGCCATTCAGCCGCAATCGGCGCTACCAGGATTTCACCACTTGGTTCATGTACACATTATGCACACCTCTGCGACTGCATGATGTCCGCAAATCGAGAGCGATGTCCAGCCGAGCCACTTTCTGTGCATGTATTTTTCGCGCCACTGCCAGTGCTGGACGGAGCGTTCACGTTCAATGCTCAGTCTCGATCATGATCGACGAATTTGACTGCTGTCACTCCGCCGTCAAAATCGGGCTGTTCCTGCCTCGGACGTCAGTACCCGGATATTGCTGTCGGACACCCGCCCGCTGGAGTTCCAACAGATGCGATGGGCTGCGACAGCCAGCGATATCGACAATGCTGAATATAATACGGTTTCGCATGCTTGAGGACGAAGCGGTTGGATACTAGTGCCTGATTGCCAACGGGCGGGTTGTGCGGACCTCCTATTTCAAGTGGTTTACCATGACTGGATGTCATGCCGCCACAAGCCTAAGCTGCCTTCATATACCTCATTGCATCGTAGCCTCGTGACTGCTGTAATTGATTGCACGAACAGGGCTGGGTGGGTTGGTTCGGTGACAAGTAGTACATACCCATCCGACTCTCGAGCTCCGATACAAGTCGTGAAGTGCGGCTGCTTTCAGCTTCTGCTCCCATCATTGATCAGGGCAGTGCGTCTTGCAGCTCAGAACTGCGTGATATCCTCGGGTTTGTTCAGCAGCCTGCCCTCCATCCCGCCCTCTACCATGATGACTTGGCCAGAGACGTGCCCAGACACAGCGGTCGAGGCTACGAAGACGACTTGGGATGCTACGTCCTCCGGAGTAGCAACTTTCTTGAGTGGCGTGCTGTTGGAAACCTCTCAGTCATGTGGCAGGTATGGACTATAGGTAAGCAGACGGCTTACGTCGCCAGTGCACGATAGATGACCTCTGGTTGTTTGAGGGCATGTTCGGCCATCGGCGTTTTGACCCAACCTGCAGTCATTTAGAAGTCAACGTCAACGATACGAAGCGACAATCATGTACTCACCCGGAGCGATGCAATTGACCCGCCCACGTGGGGCGATCTTAACAATTTCATTCTTGAGCGACATCGTGAAGCCGTACATCATAGCTGGAAAGACATTATCAGCGTTCAAGTTCTCAATCACCGCGGGAACCAACGAGCAACACGCACCGCTTTTGGTCGCGGAGTAGTCGGCATGGCCGATCTCGCCATATTTCCCTGCAGTACTACCTATGATGACGATGGACGCCTTTTCCTTCTGCTCGTCCGTCGCGTGGGCCAGTCGTTTCAGGTATTCCCTGACGACCAGGAAGGTGGACGTCATGTTGGACGCGAAGGTCGATTCCCACTGCGTGAGCGACATCTCGGCGATGGGCACGTCCGCCGGCGGGTAATATCCATGGTTTGCGATCAGCACCTGTACCGGGCCGAACGGGCTGTCTTTGAGCGTGTTGAACATGCGCAGGACGTCGTCCTCCCTGCTGAGGTTCGCTTGGGCTGTCTGAATGCGAGTATGACCGAACTCGCGGTGGAGAGGTTCGAGGGTCGCCGCCGTGCTGTTGTAGTGAGCGGTCACATTTGCTCCGCATTCTATGGGGCAGAAAGGACAGATGAGGAGCGTCTCGCCCGCTGCGTGGACTGTGACTGACTGAGGAAGAGGCGGGCGGTCACTAAGCCTATGCCGCCGCTAGCACCTATCACTGTTTGTCAGTCTCGTCATAGTCGTAAGAAAAGAAATCGACGAGATGAGAATGCTGACCTGTTACGAGGACATGGACGCCATTGAGTTGCAAGTCCATTGCTCAATGATGTTCCCGATAGATCTGGATCTGGATGGGCGCCTGTCATAAGTTGCAGTGACCTAGACCTTCCGTGTCGCAGCGGGGACGATGTGTACTCACACTGGCTCTGTCTTTGTCGTCGACTGTCGCTTGCTCGTCACTTCTCGTTGGCTGTGAAAACGCAGACACTGTGCGAGGATAAGAGACTCATCGGATCTAGGCACGCTTTTTTGACTCGAACGGACCTGCGGCTGCCCGCATACAGTTCTGGGATCTCACGGAGCCTCTCAGCAGCACAGGGATAGCCTGCTGGCAAACCTGCAATGACAGGAATCCGAATGTGCAGGAAGGACCATTGGAAGGTGACATTGGCAGTCTAGTCATACGTGCCACAGCTCGTATGTCCCTGGCCGACATTCGCGTGAACTTCTCCGAGGAGGGGTCGGAGAGGGTGATCTAGTACAAGGCGAGTATCTCCATAATATGTACACAAGCAGACATCAACTCAGGAGGCTGTGTGGAGGAAAGACTCCTCGCAGACGGTGAAATAGTGGAACACTTCGTGGTACGTGCACAGATATGGGTATCCGCGCATGCCTAACTTTGTACAAGGAGAATGGAGCATCGACCCTTCTGTGGACCATCCATCGTCCCAAACGAGGCTGGTATATCCGGCTGCGAACGCCGTCTTTCCCTCCCGATGTGTTCATTGTCCTACCCCGTCCGTAGGCCTCGCCGTACTACCTGGACTCTGCGCTGGGCCGAAATCCTCCGCCCCCCTCTCTCACCATATTGTCCGTCTTCAATTCTGCGCACAAGGAGCCCAGGAAACTGCTGAGAAAGACGCGCACAAGACGCAGTATATAACCACGTACGAGTACCTTCCCTCCTCAACCACAATCATCCACTTGTCCACTCACTTCGTTCGTGCCCACCTTGTGCACATCCGCCCCTGCACTGACATGCTGATTGACAAGGGCGGTGTTCAGCCGGGCTGCTTGAGGTGCATGTATCCTTCATGCTACCTACTGGACGACGCCGTCGTCATGATCGACGATTTCGACCGCTGTCGAAATCGGTCTACGTATGGCATGCGCCCGTGGGCCTAAATATCTCTGTCGGACTTTCACCGTCCTGAAGGTCCATCCCTAAGTGCATGCGATGCGAACAATGCTGGCGAGTCGGTAAACGGCATGATCTGATACAGCTACACGGTGTTACATTTTTTTTCTATTCCTCCTCGTCGTTCAGTCCGCAAACATGCCGCCCTGATTCGTATGCCCCTGCTGGCCACCCTGCACCTCCCTCCCAACACGTGCGCCTTTCCTGCGCAACGCAACCAAATCGCTCTGCCAACCACGGAACTTGGAGAGGAGCGTCTCGCTCTCCGCGCTGGTGCCGCTCGCGTCGGCGTCGTTCTCTATGGTCGAGATGGCACGAGCGAGGGAGTGGTCAAGGCCGTCGAGTGCGTCATCGAGGACGAAGGGATTGGATAGTGTCTGGCCGACGGGCGGGTTGTGTGCGCCTCCTGTGCCAGGTACTGATTCGTGAGGAGCGGCGCGTGGGTCGGATTTCGGGTAGACCTATTGGGCAACGCAGCTGTGAGTGTACCCGACGTGACGAGTGGTAGGCGGCGACGCACCTGGCCAGGGTTTTCGCGTGAAGGCGAGGGAGGAATGTTCTTTTCAAAGGACTGTCCAGGGAATTTTGCGTCGGCTATCCGAGGTCAGTCAGCGGATGCGCGGTGTATGCCGGGTGGAGGCTCATGTCCAGGGAACGGTGCTCACCGTCACCGAGAGACATGATTGCGGGAGGTATTGATTTGAATGCAGCAGGCTAATGTGAGGGAAGAGGATGGATGGTCGTGAAAGAGAGCAGTGTGGACGCGAGTGTGGATGGAGACCTGAGGGCGGCTCAGGAGCAGGGTGGCTTATGACGTAGGCACGTCGATCGACCTGCCCGTCATTGAATATTTGAATATTGATATTGAACGTTGAAATATTGAAGCTGAAGTTCGCAAGTCATGCTAAACCCGAGTATGCTCAGCTGAAATATTGGGCACAACGCAATAGTATTTGCGAGGGTGCGAAGGTTGTCGGTCAACAAGGATGCAAGACGAGATCCTCATAGTACTTATAAGAGATGGTGCAATAATTCCCTTGCTCGCCAGAGCAAGGCACTCTCCGAAGATGTTGGCCCCCTTTGTCATTAATCAAGATCGCTGCAAAGGGCTCAGTAGGCCTGGCTAGGAGACTTCCTGCCTCGATAGGCTTGTGTGGGCTGATTGCCAGTACAGAATCATTCGATAATGAGGCTCAGAACTGGTGACCCGGGCAGGGGACGAAGGGCCGAAGCAGGCTGGACGCTCGCACGAGGCTCGCAAGGGGCAGGCCGGAGCGCTGGTCGAGGTCCTTGGTTAACAATTGCATTACGTAAGCACGCGACTGCGTTGATCATTCTCAAGGCAGGGCTGGCCTCAGAGCCTGACCACCCTTCCCCCGCCCTCCTACAGCCTCCTGCGTCCCCGTCTGCTCTGCTCTACACACCCTGCACGTCTTCCAAGTCTCTTGCCGCCAGCGCGCCCTTCCCATCGCCTACAGCATCTCCAAACGCGTCTGCATACGGCACCCTCGCCCGTACTTGCTAGCTGCAAGCAGTCCGAGCACAGCGAGCCGCTCTGTCTGACGAGTTCGCCCGATCGCGCACGGACACAGATACGATCCTCGGAACGCCCTGACATGGGCTGTTAAACGCTGTGCTCACCGCAATGTCGACCCCCGACCTCCACTCTCTGGCTGATTCGTTCGCTGCGGGCGAGGACTTTGACGGCTCGCTCGCCTCCACCCTCACCCTCCCTGGCTCGGCGCCGTCCATGTCTGCCACCACGCTCGCGGCTGCATCGCGCTCGCAGGACGCGCGTGACTTCAGGTCGCGCGCATCGACGTCCGCATCGCGCGAGCCCTCCCCGCCCACCGCCGGTCCAAGTTCAAGTCAAAGTCTCTCTCCGCGCACCACGATCAAGCCGCAAGATTTGTTCAGCTCTACGACCGCACGCCTAGATGACGACCTCCCTCTTGACATCCCTCTCCCGCAAGAGCCTGCCGATCTGTTCATAGCTCGTAAGCACGCGCCCCGCTCTTGGGCAACGAGATCTGATTCCCCACTCCCTTCGCAGCTGATGGAAGCTATCTTGAGACCTCGTCCGGCTCCGCCGCGCACGATCTGAAGAAAACCTATGACAAGTACCTCCGCGTGGGCAAAGACGTCCGCTCGCCATTCGCTATCACTGCCTTCATCAACCAGCATGGGAAACAGATGTACCGTGTAGGGTGCGTACTCTCCTGCTTGCATGTGAACAGAAGGAAGCTGAGCAGCCACCCGTAGGCTCCGACAACTAGAGGCACCCGGTGTACTCGCCGCAGGTGCAGAGCACCGGAACACGTCCCTCCTTACCTCGCCTAGCAACAGCTTCCAATCTTCCCACCCATACCCCCGCAAACTAAGCGTCGCTCGCGCATGAGCGTTCACTCATTCCTACCTTCAGCGGTCTTCAAGAACGGCGGCCCGTCTAACATCCCACCTGCCCTTCCGACTGATGGGAGCCGCTCCCCGCCGGTCCGCAAGCTTCGGAAGACACGATCCATTCCGAACGCGATCGGCGCGAGGACAGATGCATCAACGGGCGAGGATCCGCCTCCGACGCCCACCGGCCGCCCCCATGCGCATAGCGTGTCGAGCGCAGATGCGTTCCGCTCGTCGCTCTCAGTGTCAGATGCTTCTACAAAGACCCTGCCGAGAGACATCTTCGCGGATGTCATGTGCTGGAACAACATACCGGTTTCCCCTATGGGATCTGGCTCCGCGTGGATGTCTACAAGGAGTCTCCCTCAGGATCACGGCGCGACGTTGAATGGCGAATCATCTGTACCTGACATCATCATTCAACCCTTCGGTCCCGGTGTAACGTTCGATTCCCCGAGCTGGCGCTCCTCGACTCAATTCATACAACCTGTACTGCGCGAGATGCAGTCATTCGAATCCGGATTGACAGCCCGTGCTGATCCTGCCCCCAAGACTCTCCAGAACGGAGGGTCACGCGTCCATCTACCAACGGACGGCCCACCGATGCCCGACTCGGCGTCCGCTATCCACGTCGATCCCTCCTCTTCCTCATCCACATCAACCCCTACCCATCGGCGCGACTCGACGATCCTCGAGGAGACGAATATGCACTCGCGGTACTCCACCGAGGTCTTCGACATCCTTCAGAACTCGCGCGGGCTGCCCGCGCTGGACCGCCTCTCGTCCACGTCGCAGGAAACGACGATCAAGCTCTCGCTCAAGGCGGAGGAGAGCGCTGCGCCGCGGGACGACCCGCGTTTTGTCATCTGGGGCGAGGTCGAGCCGGAGGACTCCGAAGAGGTGTCTGTATCCGCGAGTCAGGCGACAGATGCGTCCGCGTCCTCGGGGCGCTCGGGCATCTCGAGGCGGAGGAGCACGAAGGGGAAGAGCATCTCGAAGCCAGAGGAGGTCCTCAGCCCGCCGGTCTCGCCGAAGGAGGGCCCGATGAAGATGCTCCTTGCGGCGACGATAGAACGTTGGATCGCGCAGATCACGAGCGAGCTGAACTACGACGAGCTCATTGTGTTCCTGCTGACCTACCGAACCTACGTGTCCGCGCTGGATCTCGGTCATCTGCTGATCTGTAGGTTCCACTGGGCTCTCGGCGAGCCGACTAGTCAGCGCGACGAGATCGCGCGCCGGGTCGTGCGCGTGAGGACGTTCATTGCCATACGGCAGTGGGTGGTGGCGTTCTTTGACGCGGACTTCCTACCCAATCGTGATCTGCGGCTGTTGTATGCCAACTGGCTGAACACGTTAAGGAGGGACCCAATACTGGATAGATACAAGGATGCCTTGGTGAGTTTTGAACCTTGTTTGTTGCGCACACGGTGGCTAACGCAATATTTCGCTCGAAGAAAATCGTCCGGCAAGTGCGCAAGGTATTCCGCGAATGTGCGGATCGTTACTTCCGCCGAGGTACAAGACAGGCTGGCCGCACGTCAGAGTACCGCCATCGCGTACCCGACTTCGGCGCCCAGAAGGACGTCCCTGGCGGCCAACTTGGTGCGGACGACCCCGACCTAGACCTGGACTTCGAGAACAGTTACTCTGTCGCTGAACGTGGCAGTGCGAACACGTCGCCGAAGTCCAAAGAACCTGGCCCGGTAGATCTGCTGTCGCTGCGGCAGCCATTACACCTCGCTTTGTTCCAGTATGGAAGGAAGAGCAGTGTTGGGCCTCCGGCGGCTGGTGCGCCTCACCCCATCTTGATGCCCCTTCCGCACAGTCCATTCTCGCGAGCGTTCGTCAATACGATCGGGCGACTCGGGCGGTGGAAGCGAGTCTTAAACCACCGCAATCATGGGCGGTCAGCTGTCAATGCTTGCCTGGACGTCTCTGCCTTCGACGTAGAGGCCAGTGAGACAGGCGACCTTCTCCTGGTGCGTGGTGGTGTCGAGCAGTACCTCAAGATGGTCGAATCCCAGATGTCCGAAGTCGGCATCATCAGCCAGGGTCAGCAGTCTGTAGGCACTGGCACCACAGCCAGTGCTGGTACCAGCCGGAATGTTAGCCCGGCGAGCTACCGTGCGCCCTTCCATCCGCCTGGTCTTGGTTTCCAACGGAGGTCGATGGATTCAGAACATCGGCCATCAGTTGCATCAGACCCGCGCTCGAGTTCTGATTCGAGCACAACTGCAGATCAACTCGAAGTGCCCTCTCCGTCCGACGCGAGCGACACGACACCGCGCTACTCATCCTTCTCCTCTGCATACACTGACACCCTCGACTCTCCGCGGACACCTCAGCCTCCCTACGGCATACCTTCATTTGCCGCTCGACAGCTAGACATCGTCTCAATTGACGACCTCGACCTTGATGACCTTTCCTCCGACGAGAACTTCTCGCAGCATGTAGGCATGAAGAAGCCTTCGCGTCGACTGCCTACGCGGCGAGACTTTGAATTTGTCCGGCACTCGACCGACAGCGTCTCCTCCATGGGCATCCAAGCGCGAGAGTCAGTGCTCTCCAGCACGTCGTATATGTCCGGCGCATCAAGCACATCTGCCAGCCCCGAAGCAGAGGCAGAGAACATGGGTGGGCCGATTCAGGCATGGCAGATGAGTGCACTGGTCGACTCGCTCACTGATGATGGAGAAGACGGCGATGTCGAGGCGGCGCTCCGTCGGTTGGAAGGCCAGATCAACGAAGAGAAGCAGCGCGCGAAGCAAAGCAAGGTCGATCGCTGGGTGCGCTCAATTCAGGAGCGTCAGTTGGGGGGCACTCAGCTCCCGCCTGAGCCGGAGCCACTGAGCGACTCGGACGATGAAGACTACGGCCAGGTCTCACAACGGCGTCCCGTCGATTATCCTCGGGAGCGAGACTCGCCCTCTCGCGCTTCAACAACGCGTTTGAGTGATGGCAGCTCGTTGGGCTCGCCAGTGCCGTTCGCGCCACCAGGGCTCACTCCTGATGAGGCGACGACGCCCTCTGCAGAAGAGGCTCCCGAGCTCCCCGCTCCTGAACACATCGCTGACGGACACTCGGACACTGCTAAGCCACATGTCGAGGACGCTGTACCGCTGGAGATCCTGTGGTCGCGCGTTGACCACTCCACTCCAGCCCAGAACGCAACTCATTCGTCCATCAATGGCTCCCCACCCGTCCCTCATCCTTCCGCCACCGCGCTCCCGGCACCCGGCTCACCCACCGCACTGATGTACCCGGCGCATGTGAAGCGCCACCAGTCGTTCGTGCTCGGCTACCGCAGCGAGACGTTGATGCAGCACTTCTGCATGATCGACCGGGAGCTGTTCCTCGCGCTCCGGTTCGAGGAGCTCATCGCACCTTCGCTCGCGGCGCACGACCCACAGGCTAACTTCAACATCCTTGACTGGTCTCAGTTCCTGCGGGAGCGTGCGCGGTTGAAGGCGGAGGGACGCGTGGGGGCGCAGACGGGCACGCTGACGGTCGTCCGCGGACGGTTCAACCTCATCGCGAACTTTGTCCTGAGTGAGATCGTGCTGACGCACCCGAGCGAGCGGATGCGGGTTTACACGAAGTTCATTCGGCTAGCCTGGGTAAGCTCTGATCACACTGATCACTATCTGCTCGTCGAAACTGACCGCCACGCAGAAAGCGTACGAGCTCAAGAACTACAACGCGCTCGTGGCATTCATCGCAGGGCTACGCTCGTCGTGGGTGTCCAAGGCGATCGCGCAGTGTCACGATAGGCTGCGGGCGAAGGATGAACGAATCCTTCATGACCTGACAAGCTGGACGTCACGGCAGGGACACTTCATGTACATCCGGCAGACGGTCGAAGCCCTTACGGAGGCGAAACCTCTCGAGCAGGGGCAGGACATGCCGCAGAGCGACGCGCAGAGTGCTCGTGGGCGCGCGATGAGCGACGCCAAGGGTGGGCCAGTCGCCGCGCCCGCGTGCGTACCTTTCTTCGGTGGGTACATCTTCGTCGTGTCAATTGGCCTCGTAGCTAACGTCCTCTCGACAGGCGTGTACCTCTCGCAGTTGGAGCGCTATACCCCGCTGCCGGACCTGATCGATCCAACGGCGCCGCACACACCAGTGTCGATCGACCCACTGACGAACACGTTCGAGGCGCCGTCCCACCCCGAGGTGTTCTCCACGCTATCGCCCCTCCCGCCTTCAATCCAGCTCGAACCGCTGATCAGCGTACACAAGCAACGGCTCGTTGCAGGTGTCGTGCGTAGCTTTGTCGCGGCGCAGCACCTCGCGAGCCGCGTGGCGTACCCGCTGGACAAGAAGATCTTCCAGCGATGCTTGAAGTTGCGTGGGCTCGACGCGGAGGTGCTGGAGCGTGCGCTGGCGCTGTATGCACCGCAGGGTGCGGGCGCGGCTCAGAGCCAGGGCGGACACGGCGTGCGGTCAAGCGTGGCGCGGTAGTCTCAGGACTCCCTGTCGCGCTGCCCACGATTCGCGTGTCACTTGCTGTCGATCATGCCTCTCACGATCTCCGTTTTGTTCATGATGCCATGCTTCTGCTCCGTTCTCAGTCAATGTTGTACTGCTGCTGCTGCTCTCGCCCGCCCTCAGATTCCTCCGATCATCACCCATACATGATACACTCATCCGCATGTTATCACAGTTTGACGTATCCAGGTCACATGTCCTCTTCTTTCGCTGCATTTAGGTTTAGGTGGTATAGGTGTATAGGTGGTGTGGTTCAGGCTCGTGTGTAGGGGGGCCAATGCGTCCCGGCGGATATGATGATAGAATTCAAAGGATGTGCCTTTTTCTTCGGGTGTTTTGGGGAGCTACAATGCATGCGAGCTTGTCCGGTATCCGCTCACGGACAGCTGTGATCGATTGATCGTTGACAGAGTCACGAGTACTAGTGCACGACATGCCAGTACTTGTGTACGGTATGTACGGTAAGAAAAGGGCGAACGCGCCAGAACGCGCCGACGCGGGATGATTGAGGACGCGTGACGTCACGCGTCGCCCCTCTCGCCGATGTCGATGCGAACTGGGGGAGTGTTTGCCAGAATGCGAGTTACTACCCAAGTGCCGCCACCTCACTGGCGCACCCTCACGAAGTAGGGCGCCGCGACGCAGATTGGTGAATATAGGTCGGGGCAGCGTCCAACAACCTGCTATCCTAACGGATATTCTGCATGGAAGCGGCGGTGACGATTGGGCCAAGCTTCGCGCCCGGGTGCCTCGCGTTGTCGAGCTTGTATTGCTGAGTCGAGCCTACGAGGACGGGTGGCGAGTGTCAGAGTGTGTCAGAGACCAGCATGACAATCATAGAGTCAACAGTACCTTGTGACTTCGGCCTTCGCAAAGCTGCCACTTTGAGTTACATAGATTTACTGCGGCCTTGACTGTGGCTGCCTCAGTACTCGGAGTACAATAACGACGCCTCCGGATCCAGACCAGGGGCTGTTGACCTCTTCTCTTGGAAAATCCGCATTCTGAAGCATGCATCTGATGGTATAGTACAGTACACTGTGTACAACTTCGTGCTCTACCGCCACTTTCTCTTTGCCTCACCCTTGCTACGACCCTGACAGTGTCTAGAGTTTCGACGGCGCAATGAAGGAGACGCCCTTCTCGATGCTGACCACCAACTCCGGCACGGCTGCCTCGACGAGGGCCTTCTCCGAGTCCGTCAGCTTGCCCAGCGACAGGATCTTCGTGACACCTTCGGGCTGCATTTATTGTCAGTGCCGGAACACATCCCGGACACAGGTCAAAACCCACCCCGAGCTCGACAGGAGCGGAGAAGTAGTCGATATCCTTGCCGACCTCCTTCTTGATCGTCTCGCCGCCAGACTTGTCAGAGCTCAGGTGCACGAACGTCGGCGCGACGATGCCCTTCTCGCCCTTGAGCGCCCTCAGGACTTTCTCCGCGAACTCGGCACCGGCGTACGCCATCGAGAGCGTCGCGGAGCCCGCGCCGTCCTTCGCCTTCACGACTTCGTCCCCACCGAACTGGACGCGTGTCGTGAGCGCCTGGAGATCGGATGACGCGTAGTTAGACGGGAGGGCGTGAGACGATTGCGAGAACAGCGGGACGATCTATGTTTGGACATTAGTCCCGGTACCGTACAAGTGCGGGGACTGCGGGGACGCACGGTAACGCCGCTGTGACCGCCGACAACGGGCACGTTGATGGATGACGCCAGGGAGAGGTCGCCCAGGACTTCAGCGATGAACGTCTGTGCACGGACGACATCCAGGGTCGTCACACCGAAGATCCTGATGGGACGGCGATCAGACAGTGCGGACCGATTGGCGCAAACAAGCTTACTTCTTGGGGTCGAACACGCCGTGCTTCTTGAAGACCTCGACGACGATGGGAACGGTGGAGTTGACGGGGTTAGAAATCACGAGCACAGCGGCCTTCGGGGCGGAGGTCGCGATTCCTGTGGCAAGATCGCGCACGATGCCCGCATTGATCTAACGCCAATGAGCGCAGGTTTCATTAGTAGCATGCACATGCGTACCTTGAACAGATCATCTCTGCGGTCCGAACAGCGCTGTGAGCGAATGCTCCGGGTTATGCTGATGGTACTGACCTCGTCATCTATCGCGCCACTTTAGTTGGGCGGTATCGTACGAGAGCGAAGAGTACTCACCCCAGGCTTGCGCGGCACACCAGCGGGGATCACGACGATATCAGCGCCAGTCAGCGCCTTCTTGAGGCCGTCGTCGGGGGGCAGGTAGCCAACAACCTTTGCGGGGGTGGAGATGTGCGAGAGATCGGCAGCCACACCGGGCGTGTTGACGATATCGTAGAGCGCGAGCTACATAATGCTGTCAAAGACGCGTCAGCACGAGCTGCGATGGGACCGACCTCCTTCACGAGGGGGTTGTTCTTGAGGAGAAGGGAGAGGGGTTGGCCGATCCCGCCTGATGAGGAGTAAGTGCGATGTAGAGTAGGCCGCGCGAAGCGACGACTGTACCAGCGGCGCCGAGTACAACAGCCTTGAAAGACATCGTATGGTCGAGATCCTACGCGGTTGGTTGAACGGTGAAGGTGAGGATGAGCAAGTCGCGAGAGGATGTCGAAGTCGCGAAGCCTTTAAGGACCGTGCCAAGCGCTCATAACGATCACGGGGCCCCGCCAGTCCGGGGCAGCGCGCGCTCCGACTCTCTCAGTCCGACTCTCTGCTCACCATGGCTCCTCGCGACAAGGTCCCCGCCGATGCCTCCGCAAAGCAGCGTCCCGCCGCGGCGAAGCGGGCGAAACAGTCTGGCAGCATAGCTCGTCACCTTGCTTTTGTGTTCCTCGCTGCTGCACTGGCTGGTATTGCGACGTATGTCTCTCGCCGCGGCAGACACGGAGGCGCGACGCGTCGGTATCAGGCCGTTACCTCCGTCCCTGAATCATATGCGTCTGCACGGAGCCAGGGCTGGTATACACTGTTGACGAGCGTCGGCCGAACGCGGACTGCTTGCTCGTCAAGAGGGACCGGATTGCTGCGACAGGAACCCTCGGTGCGTTGTCTTGTGATTCCTCTCGGGCGGAGAGAGCTGGAGCCGCGTCTTGAGTCGTCGGGAAGACGCGGGACGTGGTCCTGGCTCATATGCTAACCTGCATTAAGAGTCAGTACAGGCGGAATGGGACATCTACCAGACCGAGCTCATTCATAAATTCTATGGTGGTGAGCCAAAAGCGAAGAAGCCGCTCCAGGTCATCCGGCCTCCTTCAGGTAGCATCATTGTACCTGGTCTGGCAGGTGCGTTCTTAATGACTGGTCTTAGTACAATAGCCTGCCTGTGTGCTATTTGCGAATTACCTCTGAATCGGTAGGTGTGGCGGGGAGACTGACATGCGAATTTCAGATGCCCATGCTCACCTCATGTTGTATGGCGCGAAAATGCAGCTCAACCTCGAAGGAGCTGAAAGTATCGACGGTAAGTTTCTTATTCAGCAAATACACGCATTTCGCACGCCTTCTAGCTAGGCCGGAGGTGTATCCGTGTCTTTGTCTCAGATTGTGTTCAGCGAGAACGCTGGTCGGTCGGGTTCCTCCGAGTCTGAACTGCGTCATGACCGCTTAGCCCTGCTGACCCTGACCTGTGATGTACAGACTGCTGGATTATTCGCAGACTCATCGAGGTTGGCCTCCCTGCTGCTGCTACATGAGCGTGTATTGCTCAAGTATACATTCTCCTCCCGTTATACATGTGCCGGCAGCTCCTCATCGATGAGCTACCTACATGTCCCGCGATCAGCGCAGCAGCTCTGGACTTCTGTTGAACTTGCTCGCGGAGTCATCTACGACATGGCGTCATGAAGTTTCGTGCTCGGTCTTCTGAGCTCGCAAACACACGATATGATTGTGCCTTGTGAGACGATGGCTGTTGAATTTACGGCTTGTGAATTGTTGAGATGAGGCTGAATTCTGACTATGCACTCTCGATTCAGAGGTTTTGGATCGCGTTGAAAGCTACGTCACCAGGGATCTTGCCACACCTGGCAGCGAAATACGGTGGGTGGAAGGCTTCGGATGGGATCAGACCCGATGGAAAAATTGGAGAGGCGGGTTTCCTAGCAAGGTATGCAGACCCACACTTCGACTCGCCCCGTCGATAAACGATGACACCCGCAGAGCGACCTTGCATCTCGCCCTGCTCTAGCTGGCATCCCAATAGCGCTGTCCCGCGTTGACGTGCACGCGCTATGGGTGTCTGCGCGTGCGCTGGAACTCGCTGAGGCTAGTCTGCCGGGTGGACGGTGGCCCGGCTCCGGCGAGATTGAGGGTGGGGAGGTCATGAAAGATGAGAAGGGGGAGCCCACAGGTGCGTGACGGTTGCTATCCACCTCAAACTGCGTAGCGTTAATGAGCACGATATGACTCATCATGATAAATTGGGATCTTGGGTCAATGTCTGGCGTAGGTGTCCTGGTGGACTCAGCAATGGGACTGATACCTGTCCCGCCCCCGTCAGAGGCCCAGATGACAAAACAGCTAGAACGAGCGGTTTCAGACGCTCTTGCTGTCGGACTGACCAGCGTCCATGACGCGGCTGTGAGCGGACAGATGCTTGATGTATTCAAAAAGTCAGTACATCCCAACGGTTGTCTGCAAACGGCGACAGCTGATATGGATTTTGAAGAATGGCAGATGACGGGCGATTGCCCGTGAGTTGTGCCATCTTGCTCTTTGACCCGATGCGCTCGGTGAGTCTCACGAATGACATCACAGATACGGATCTACGCCATGGCCAATGAAGAATCCTCCGAGTACTGGGGAGGGCGGTTCAAACGGCTCGAAGATTACGGAAGGGATGGCAGACTAAACCTCCGCAGTGTCAAGCTGTTCACAGACGGTATGCTTCGCTGGACAGCACGCCCACCTTGGAACAGCAATTTAATTGATGGAGGCCACCTAGGTGCACTTGGCTCATGGGGCGCTGCGCTGCTCGAGCCGTACTCTGATAACCCATCGACAAGCGGTCTCATGCGGAGCTCGGAGGAGGTCTGAAGCAGACGGTGGCCAAATTCTGGGAAGATGGATGGGGAGTGGTCAGTCACGATGCTTCTGTGCTTCACTGGACTCCCTGCGATCATGCGCTGCATATGTCTGCCAGAACATACATTGCATTGGTGACCGCGCGAACAAGGCAGTCCTGGACATTTTTGAGAGCCTTCTACAAGGCAATGAGTCTGCGCCGCAGCGACGACCGCGCATTGAACATGCGCAGATCATGCGCCGTGAAGATTGAAGAGGGCTGGACAGCTCGGTGGTGAGTTGTTCACCTTGCTCAGGGCGGATTGGGAGGAGCTGATGCTGGACGCTGAAGTGATCACTAGCGTGCAGCCCACCCACGCGTCAGTTCTGTGCCATTAATGTCGTGTATCGCTGGCTGATTTATTGCAGGACGAGCGACATGTGGTATGCAGAGTCCCGTTTGGTGCGTCGGCGCCCAGCGTAATCCCCCGTAGTAGTCGGTGTCCACTGACATGCCTCGGTGTCTGTGCCTACCATTTCGACAGGGTCCGACAGGATACTCGGCGCCTACGCGTATCAGACATTGCTACAGTACGCTCTGAGCTACCTTATTTCCGTGATCAAGTCGGCCGCTCAGATATTGCATTCATTGCCTAGGTCATCACCGAACAAGGTACTGCCTTTGGGCTCTGACTTCCCCGTTGAGGGCATCAATCCGCTTCTAGGTTTCTACGCCGCAGTGTCACGGTTGGATGTCAGGGGTGAGAGCCCCCACGGCTCTGGCGGATGGTGAGTAGCCTTTCATGATTTAGTTTGATCAGGCCTCCGGCAACTATCGTCCTTTGACATGACGTTGAATGACAGGTTTCCGTCGGAGCGCCTCACACGTGCACAGGCCCTCAAGGGGATGACATACGATGCTGCGTTCGCATCGTTCGCCGAAGAGGACCTTGGTTCGCTGAGCGCGGGCAAGAGGGCCGACTATGTCGTCCTCGATACCAACATCATGAACGAGGAGGGTGCATTCGCGGATATCTTGACTGCCCAAGTGCGAGCGACAGTTGTAGACGGACAAATATTGTACGGGGGAATCTAGACGGCCGGACGGCCATCGCGCTCATAGAATCCGAATGCTGTTTGTATACATCCTCCCAATTGTACTCTTACAAGGCACTGTGCAATGAATGAGCCCGGTGAGATGGTATGATACGTCCGAACGAGTAGGTGAGAAGTAGACTCCATAAAATAAGCGTAAGCGAATGAGTGTATGCCGAATGCCCGAGAAGCGGATGAGGTTGGGAAGAGAAATGATATGTACAAGTCATCGGCGTGCCCCCCGTGTCATGCGTACGCAGAGCTCTCCAGGCCGGCCTTGCTGACGCGTCGCATCGGCTGCAATGTGCCTCGTTGACAGGTGCCCGTCGTGCGTGCCGATAGCGCCCCGAGGCGTCCTTGATCTCCATCTCCTGGCCCAAGTCACCAATGGCGGCGGTATCACCTGCTATCGGCACGGGCACGACGTTGAACGACTGCTCGCGCGAAAACAGGGGCGGCAGGCTCTCGCGAATGTGCTGGGGCGCCGACCGCCCAACGCGACCTGGTAGTTCGCGCCCGTGCCGAGGTGCCTGCGGGCTCCTCGCTCGGCACCTCCGCGCTTGTAGGCGTCATCTTGACGACGCCGACGGACTTGCCGCCGAGCTCTTGCTCCTCGAAGGTCATCAGCTCTGAGACGAAGCCGATGTTGGGCGAGATGCCCTTCCGCCGCTCGAGCACGAAGGCGTAGGCTTTCGATAGTGTCCAGTGGTTCGCGTGGATGAGGTAGGCCATGACCGCCGTTACGGAGCGCGACTTGCCCGCCTTGCAATGTACATAGGTGGGGGCGGAATGCAACCGGGCGTCATCTAACATTTCGTGAGAATCCGTTCAACGCGTGCGAGGCTCAATGGACCTCACCTAAAAGCTCGCACACCTCACGGACGCCACGCGTGATGTTATCTTCCTCGACCGTATCTCGCATGGGTATTCGCACATAACGCTCGAACCGCTCGCGCAGGAGGAGCCCGTGGTCGTCGTCGCACTCAAAAGCAAGGTTCAATATCCGCTTCACACCAAAGAGAGGAGCTCCTCTACGTGCTCCTCAGCAGTCAATCTGGGCCCAAGAACAAGAAATTCGGAAGGATGGTGGATACGGTGAAGACAGGATATGGGTCTTCCTCCGTCGTTGGTGGTTGTGATGAATCGGGGCGTGCGGTCATGGGCGACGGTGGCATAGGCGTGCCGGGACTATGTGTGCCGCCGCTACTGTGGCTAAGGAAGGAGAGGGTGGTGGTAAGTGTTCGAACGAGCCGTTTAAACCCGAAGACAAAAGGCGCGCCGACCCTGGTGGAGAATGATTGGAGAATGAGAGGTTCAGATGCGAGGGTGAGCGCGAGCGCGAACGAAGCGAAGTGGTATCGAAGCCGTGCAATGGTGGCGCGGATAATGTAGCGGCCTTCACGGGCTGGGTGCGGACCTGAAGTCGGGGCATGCCTGCGTTAAGTCGCTCGGCGGAGCTTGTGTCGATTTTGCCCAGTTGCGGGATGCTCGGTCTCCGTGGTGGGGGTGGACGGGTGAAACCGTCTGTGAGGGCGGAGGTGAGGGTGTTGATAATCCCCAGCGACATGCCAGGAGTGGATGGCGGAGGGCATGAGGGTGCGGGAGAGACAGGTGCTTGCTCGGCTTGGGGGAGACTTCTAGAGCGACTGGCGGATGAAACGTCCAGCTGGAACAGACCCTGCTCTTTTTACCAGACATCGCTGGTCCTCGAAATAGATTTCATCTAGGCGATCCTCCGTAGTGATGAGTTGTCGCAGGTAGGTGTGGCGGCGCGCAGCCACGAGCCCACCCTCCAGATAGTCAGCACTGCCATGATGAGAAGGGGTTCCACAATGGGGAGAAGAGCCCAAGCGGTCGCCATCGAGTTGTGTCTGTCTTTCTCGTCCATGGTCTCGTCATAGACGATGACTCTCCATCCCAATCTCCGCTATTCATCATGTCATCCCATATGTGCTGGCCTTCCTCTGTCGTGATGTATTGACGCAAGGCGTCGAGGTCTGAGAACCCACCATTTGGTTTGCGACATCGCTTGAGAATAAGTGATGGAATAGCGATGTTGATGCTGCGTTCGAGGCGGCTGGCCATGTAAGAGGCGACCGGTCTCGTGTCTACAAGCAGTGGGCGGTCGGAGCCGACAGACGTGCGACAAGACAGCGGGGTCGAGCCCGCGTGCCGGTTGCTGCTTGCGGGACTGCTCGATGGCTGATAGTCTCCACTTGTCGCTGTCAAGGTAAATTGCGCTGAGCGGCGTCGCCCTCGGCTCGGAGACCGGGGTGAAGTAGACACTGGCAGGACTGGCACTGCCGCTCGGGCTCGGGGAGCGACGGTCAGACGCGTCTGACCAGGCGGTGTAAGGGGAGGACTGGCGGGTGTGTGCGACGGAGGGTGATGCACTCTGCATGGATGACGACGAGGAGCGCAGCGGGCGGAGCCGGAGATTCTTCTGTACGCTGCGACGGAGGCGGTCCAGGGCTGCAAGATCCTTGGCGAACTCGTCAGAGGTCGTGTCAGAGTCGGTCTCGAGGTGCGCGGGGTATCCTATGGGTGATTCGGACGAGTCTGAGGAGGGCGAGGACGGCGAGGACGGCGAGGAGAGCTGGAGAAGCTCGTCGTCGAGGTCAGACGCGGGGTGGTACTCGACGGGTGTTTCGAGCTCAATTACAGTGTTAGAGTGGGGCCGTGATACCTCCAGAGTGAGATTCGCAGGGCGGCCCTTCTTGGGGGCAGCCATGGCTGGACGGGCGAGCCCGAGGGCTGTGCAAGAGAGCAGTGTGGCGGATGGTCGCGGAGACAGGGCTGATGGACAGAGCAGGCGAGCAGGACGATGCGACACGATGCGGGACAGGCTCAGTGTGATGGCGGCAAGCACCGGGCGCTACTTTAGTGCACTGAATGCGCACTGCATCGCCAGCGCGGCCATTATCTATTTATTTACTTTCTGCCGCCAACGCTTGTCCGTGTCTCGCCACCGCGCGTCGCCTGCTCAACGCGTTTGCATTTTCCGTCACGCCTGCAAAAAGCCGCCAAAAGCCCCCCGCCCGCCATGTACCAGTCCGCCAACTACCGCAGAGCCCAGCCCGCGCACGATGCGCCCTCCGACAGGTATCGTGCACAGGCCACCCAGCTCCAGGAGCTCTTTCCCGCGTGGTCCAACGAAGGTCATCCCCGCGCGCCCGGCCTCTGACGTATGACTCACCCCCTTCTCTCCCTACAGACCTGCAGTCCGTCCTCGAAGAGGTCCCGGCAACGTCGAGCTAGCGGCCGCCAGGATCAGCGAAGGTGCGTCCGTCGGCGTGCGTGCAACGTCTTGTCTTTATGCAGCGCCCTCAGGCCACGCCGAGCAATGGGGCTCCGTCACACGCAAGAAAGACAAGAAGCCTGGTCCTCCGCACACCCAGTCAAAGGACGCATCTGCTCCCCGAGAGCGTGGCGACTCGCGCGGTGGCAGAGGCGGACGTGGCGCAAGGGGTGGTCCTGGCAGGGGTGGTGCCGCGCGCGGCGCGTTCGCTCGTGGTGGTCACCAGGAAGTCAACGGCCACCGGGCAAGCCTTCACAGTCCGGCAACGCTGCTGCGCCGAAGCATGCTGAGGAGCCTGTTGCCGCGAGCGCCGGATGGCCCGACACACCTGTCAACGGCGCTGAGACATTCACGGAGGACACCTCAGAGGTTCCGCCAGCACAGACGAACGGAACCACAGAGCAGTTCACCGAGACACCCGTTGCACCTCAATCAGGATGGGGTTCCAGCACTCCCTCGACATGGGGAGGAACGAACGGGTGGGCTTCTCCTGCTGCACCGGTGCAGCGCGTTGCAACCCCTAAGGTCGCGAAGACACCCGCAACCTCAAAGATGTCGTGGGCGCAAATCGCACGGTATGTGACGTCGTGCTCCTCATCCTTAGCCTCGCTATACTGATCATCACTGAGCAGTGCCCAGGAAAAGCCGGCGCCTACCTCTGCTGCACCTGCCCCCGTCGCACCTCCTCAATCAATCTCTGCGCCTGCTCCGCCACCCCCAGCGGTTGAACCCCTGCGAGAGCCAACCCCGCCACACGTGGAACTGCCGGCAGAGCCTCAGCAACAAGGCTGGGAAGAGCCGACAACCGTGCAGGCGCCGACATGGGACGACGAGCCGCGAGTCAAGCCTGTAGCAGAGTCGTGGGGTAAGGACCCTACGCCTGTGCTCGAGGAGCCGCAGATCGTCGAGCCTGAGCCGGAGTCAACTGCAGCACCTCCAGCGGTCTTTGAGAGGGAACCTGCCACTGTCTCGTTCGAGGCTCAGCTCGCGCCTGCTGCTGCAGAGCCTGTGGCGATCCCGACGAAACCTCTTACGCCGGCCGCGCACACGCGGCCTGGTGCTGCGGTTCACCGGGGGAGTGCGAAATTCAAGACGACAGACCAGGCTGTCGTCATGCCCAGTTCAAGCTTCGGAACTGGCATCGAGAAGGTCGGGATGCAGTTCGGTAGCTTGAGCCTCGGCGGCGACGACATAGATGCTCCCGATGGGTATGCCCCCTTCCGTCGGTCCTGCAAGCCTTAAAATCTGACATCACTTTCAGCACTGAACCGCCGGCGACTGAGCCCTCCCAGTACCCGCCTCGGCTCCTGCACCTGCTCGGGCACCTGAGCCCCCCCTCGCAAGCGTACAGAGCCTCAGACCGTACATGCGCCGGTGCAACAGCAAGAACCTCTGGCTCCTCAAGTCACATCTCCCCCTACTCCCGCACCAGTGCTGCAAGCCAGACACTGTTCCAACAAACTCTGCCTCCGCAGACCCAGACCCAGCCCCAGGTCGTCAGCCCGCCTCAACACACACTCCCCTCATCGCTCTCCCAATCCGCCATCCCCACTCAGCAGCCTTCCATCCCTTCCGCAACCCCCGCCTCCGCCTCGATGTCGCAGTTCTCGCAACACGCGCAGAGCCTGCCCCAACAATCTCTGTCGAACCACCAGCTGCCGCAGAGCCAATCGCAGAACCAGCTCCACTCGCAGCAGCACCACCAGTACTCGCAGCACGGCCTCCCCACGCACCTCGACCCCGCGCAGAGCCAAGCACAGCACTCGCCGTCTGTGCCTCACGCGAATCAGCCGCAAGGCATCAGCGCTGCGCCTTCGTACTTCCGCCAGCCGAGGCCCCGTACTTCCACGCTCCCACCCCGCCTGCCGGCCAGTCACAGGACAGCCCGTACGGTGCGTTCGGCCAGCTTGGCCAGCAGCACCAGGCCAAGGCTCCCACCTCGGTGGCTTCTCGGGCAACGAGTATGGCTACAACGACAACCAGAGGGTACGTTGTTTTGTTGAATTGATGGTTACCTCATGACCCAATTATTCTTTGTAGCAGCAGGGCTTCTACGACTCGTATTCAGCCCAGAGCGGCTTTGGCAACCGGAACGTCCTGGGCAGCCACGACGAGATCAAGGGCCTGCCCGGGTCCAGCAACAGCCTCACGGCGCTCCTGGTCTCCCGCCCGTCAACTCCCAGTCGTCTCAGCAGATCCCGCCTTCGTCGCAGGGAGCGACCCAGGGTCAAGCCGGTCCCGGCCAAGGCCCCCCGCAGAGCTACCCTCCACCGTTGCCTTACTACTACGGCTACCCCAGAACCAGTACTACGGCTCGCCCTACAACTCGGGCTACACCGTCCCGCAGCCGTTCGTCAAGTACCCGACCGTCTTCCAGGGCCCGCCCGGGCCTCAGTCGCCCCCTCGCCGCGACGAAGCAGCCTCCGAGCGCTGTCCAGCCGCAGTCGCCATATGGCCAGAGCTTGTACGGGCAGCAGCACCCAGCCAACGCTACGAGACATCGGCTACTCCCACCACTCGCAGCACTCGCACGGGCAGAGCGTCGGGAGCGGCTTGCCCACGAACGACTACGGCAAGCACCAGTCGCTGTACGGCGCAGGGCAGGGCATGCAGGGCTTCATGGGTCTCGGACAGTCCACCGGCCCTTCGTCGGGCCCGCCCCTCGGCCAGCGCGCGGGTGCGTCCCCGGACAACGCGTACAAGCCGTACGGCAACAACGCGGGCATGAAAGACGTCGGCGCCGGCGTCGGTGTCGGTATGGGCCAGGGCGGCGTCGGGCAGGGTCCCGGGCGTGGTGGCGTGCAGCAGCCGTCGCAGGGCGGGTTCTACGGCGCGCAGAGGTTCGGCGCGAGCGCGTCGGGCGTGCCGCAGAGTCAGCAGGCGCAGCACCCCAGGGCCAGGGCCCGCAGGCGCACCTCGGCTACCCGCAGGGGGCTCTGACGCGAGCTTCTACTCGTACCAGCCCCGCCAGCAGCAAGGCTACTGGCAGTGAGGAAGCGAAGTAGTGGTCCGCCTGAAGGGCCTCCCCGACTGAACGTTTCGATTTCGAGCTCGTCTGTTTCTTGCCCCCTCCTCCATTTGTCTGAATCTCTGAACCACGTCCCGGCTCTCTGTGAATCATGTTCTTGTCACCATCTTGCTCTGAGTCCTCATGGCTTTTGCGATTGCTCAACAGTAGTGTCCATATTCCTGTTCTCTGTCTACCGTACATACAATCTCATCTCCGTCTGTTCTATCTCTTCCCCGTCGACGTTGTGTATGTGTATGGATCTACCGGCTGTTGGCTGGAGACTCGCCTATGCCATAGTGCAAGCGCTGCAGATGAAGCGAGATTGCACGTAAAGATACACGGAGACGACAGACATTGGAACATGCGCATGTACGAGGACCTCTGTGTGGGTGGTCGGCGCGTCTTTTTGCAAGGCGTATGGCGACAAATGATAGTAAGTACGTTGATGGAAACGAACATGGAACCACGTAAGTCAGCCAGCACGTAAGGCAGAGGGCCGTCTCATGTCTTCCCGAAAAACGCGGTGATTTTGGAGGATGGATCAGTCGGTTTTCCCTGCTGCTTTCTGGACATCGCGACCTGATGACGGAAGTCGCACATCAGTTACAAACTCAGGTCCACACGCGTCGGTCACGTCTGTGCTCCCCTTACCTTGGGTGACTTTGCTGTGGTGCGCGCGCGCTGTCCCTCATTCAACGTGGATCATTAGCTACCGACAATTACGCGCTTACCTTTGACGGTGTGGACGGTGGTGTGTGTTTGTCATCTGCCTCTTGCTTCACTTTCGACTTCTAGCGGGGGCAGCCAGTCCCTCGGTACGCGGCGTGTATGACAGCACTAAACGGACGCCTCACCTTGTCTGGTGTAGGACTGGGGCCGTCGACGTATCCGATCTCGGAGTCATCCTCCCATGTGTTCAGCTTATTCGCCGATGGCCTCGTGTCCACCGAAGGCTCGCGCTTGGTTTGGTCCGTCGACGAAGAGGGCCGTGGGGGTGATGTACTTCGCTTCCGCTTGGTGGCCTTAGTCGGCTGCGAGGATGTGGATGCAGCCTGCTTCGCGAACATGGCTTGGATGCCGTCTTTCCGATCGGCGATGGGCTGTATGAACGTCGGCGATTCCGTCCCGACTTTGCCGACTTCCTTTGGGACTCGGTAACTGCCAGGCTTGAGTACAACGATTCGATCGAGTGGTCTGCTTTGCTTGGGCTCACCATGCCAGAGGAGCTTCGGCGTCGTGATACGGCTCGACTAGTTTCGTGAGCTCAGACGTCCACTTCTGCGGGGACGTGTCGAGCCACTGGGTGAGTGCCTCCATGGACGACAGGATGACTGGCTGGCGGTCGTGCAGCCATTGGAAGTCTTTATTCGCGTCGGTCGTCACGATCGTAAATGTCCAGAGAGACTCGCTCTCCCCTAGCATGCGATCAAGGAACTGAAGTACGCGTCCTGAGAGCCTACTGTACCTTCAAGTTGCACACGGTCATACAGGCCTGCGAGGAGCATGAGTTTCCCGTCCTTGCGCTTCGTGAAGTGGGGCAGGCGCTCCTTCCCCTTCTTCAGCCATTCGTAGTAGCTTATACCGCTGAGCGTACCCGCACTCGAGCGAGCAAGGTAAGCTTACCCCTCACAGACGACGGCACAGCGTCTCTTGCCCTTGATGCTCTGCCACATACCTCCGCCTTCCACCAGGTTTTCCCTCCGCGCGTTTGTCGTGTTTAGTGTCTTGTCTTCGTGCTTGCTCCAGTGCGGCACAAGACCCCAGCGCATGGTCTGGAGGACGAGGTCGTCCGGCGAGCTGTCCTCGCCTGGCTCACGTCTGCGGAGCACTGGGGCCTGAGAGCGCGGCGCAATGTTATGCCTTTGCGGTGTGAACAGCTACGACCGACGAGGAGGGTTGCGGGGCGCGCACCTCGGCTGGAACTGATCCTGGCCTACCCATTCACCGACGTGGACGTTGTAGCCGTGCATCTCCTGGATGTCTGCGTGCTGCGCGGTGGTAAGTAATCAGAAGACAATGCAAGGCAGCTTACCGGCAGCCCGAGCGAATATCTGCCGCACATGGTGGGCGTGGCGGGACGAAGGGGCGGGCGGCTAATGTGGCTGACGGGAGGGGGATTGGATCGGCGCTTGAAGGTCGATCTGCAACGACGACGAGGGCGGCTCATCCGCCCACGCTGGTCATGGACGCAGGAGCCCGCAGACTCCTCGAGTCCGTCACCCACGAAACCCTCCATGCCCACAACTTCGCCCGCTCCTCCACCCAGGCCTCCGGCGTCCTCACCGACGTCCTCCACCGCTATCTCGAGCTGCTGACGACATCATGCGCAAAGTACGCCGAACACGCGGGGCGGCTCTCCCTCACCCTCCGCGACGCGGTCTCCGCGCTCGATGAGCTCGGCCTCGAGGTGGACGAGCTGCAGGAGTATGCCGCGGGCGAGGGCAGGGATATGGCGCGCTATGCCGTGCATTCGCAGAGACGGATCGAGGACCTCGCGGAGTTCAAGGGTCAGTCCCGTCGTCCTCTTCCTGCCGCTCGTTTTCATCCCCTTTGTCCCAGCCTCTCTGGCGGTTGGCCTACGAGAGGACCGCGACGATGCGATCCCGCTGGTGTACGCTCGCGTGCCGACGCCGTCACTCGAGGAAGAGGGGGAAGATGGGAGTGCCAGCGAGGTCGAGGACGACTTGCGAGAGGAAGACAACGACGACGAGGACGAACCCTTCCCCATCGATATGGACGGCCACATCTCCGAACTGGAGCCCTTCGCAAAAGCACGAGAAGCCCCGAAGAGTATGCAGCCGCTAGCATCACCCCCGCTCCCATTGTCGCCAATATCGAATCCATCCACACCGCCGAGGAAGCGACCACGCACATCAAGCTGGCGCCCGCCGTCCTATGTCCCTGACCACCTTCCGCCCTTCCCTACCACATCGCCACGACGTTCTCCGTCGTCTCTACCTCAGGATGCACCTGTTGTGTCCGATCCTGTAAAGGTCGAACGCCCTCCCACACCACCTCCGCCCCAGATTGCCACCACGACATCCTCTGCTGATTATCTGACACCTACACCTTATGCGCAGTCTTCATTAGCTGCAACGACCGGCCCGTGGCATCTCCCGTCTGCCCCTCCATATACATCAGACTCGGGCGCACAATCACTTTCTCGCGCTGCGATCCCGCCAGTCCAACCGGCTCTCCTAGGCGCATACCACCACGTTCTCACGCATCCGCCCCCACCAAACGTCGCATCGGTCAACCCCGCGCGCTACAAAGTCGCGCTCGCGTTCGTCGCGCAGGCCGAGCTGAACCCGCGCTGGGATCCGCCGACGTCTGTGTTCGGAAGTTCGGCGCCCAATGCGCCGCGCGTCGCAGCGATAGGGCCATCGTTCCCAATACCGATCTCGAAGTTGCCACCGACGCCGACGGACGGCAAGGATGAGGCGGAGAAGGACAAGAAGCCTAACCTACCACCTGCGCCACCGAGACCGGTGGCGACGTCTGAGCGGGTCACGCCCCTACTCAGCCAACAACCGTCGCGGATACCTGATTTGGCACGACAGGTTCTACCGGTGAGTCTGACGTTTCTTGGCAGGCTGTACGTTGTTGACGTAGTGTGCTTTCAGGGCTCGGTGTATGGTCGTGCAACACGGTTGACGCATCCACCTATTCTCCAACGCGGCTCACAAAGGCTCACATATGGGCCCGGCGTCAACGCACCATGGAACACGAACGCGCCGACACCGCCCGCCGCGCCCTTGATGAACGCAAAGGGCAAAGACACAGGGGTGAACGGTGTCACCAAGGCTGGGGAGACATCTGTCAAGACGCTCTCCGACGCACGTCTCTACGCGACGTGGGACTATGAACAGAAGCGGTTCCACGAGCCACTCGTGCCTCGACGAGGGAGGATAGGCAGTATGCAGAGTGTCGGTGCGCCGGCGCCCCCGGTGCGACAGAGGAGCGAGAGCGGGCCACTGGGGTAGCGTCCATTCAGGTAGGCTGGGCGATGGTTGATGGTGGTGGTAATGTGAGGCTCGGACGGACAGAGAGTTATTTGTGTTATTGTGATGTCTTTTGCAGTTGCTCTGTGTCGCATACATAGCTGGTAGGAATCACCGCGTATTACTTGTGCAATGCATAGTCCGTCGCTGGCCGTGTCTCGCGGCAACGACAGTACTTATTAAAGTTATTTCTGGAGCTGTCTTGGTATGACGAACAGTCGATCGAGGGAGACAGTGATAGTCTCTATGGCACCCGACGGCCCGTCGCAGGCGCCCTGGCACCCACCCAAAAGCATGCGGGCTGAGGGTCCTGCTCGTCTCTCTGTCCCTCCTCCTTCCGCCCTCTCGTCCCCCATCTCCTCGTTCTGCCCCTCCGGTAGGGTTGCTCGCTGTCGGCGTTCCGTTCTTTTGCTCTTTGGCCTCCGTATTCTTGCTGCTCCTGTACATCTCCGTGCGCGATGCCTTCCTTCCTGAGCTTTGTTTTCCTGCTGGCCACTCTGCTCGCGAGCCGAGGCATGTCTCTGCGTGCTTCTCAATTTAGTGTGAGCTGACGGAGTGTGTGTTTGTAGTATATGCCCTTGAAATTCTCGTCGGGGGATCGGTCGGGAACGTCTCTGCCACCGACTTCCTGACCATCACCGACTCTTCCGTCGCGAATACGGTGCGTACGGACAGTCGACTGCATACTTTCGACGACGACTCATCCACCGCGCTTGACCAGTGCACCTCCGAATGTGCACCGGCCAAGAGCGCCATCGCCGTGAGTTCCTCCACACTCCGTTCTTCCCCGCGTGATTCTTAGACCCGGTGCGCTCTGCAGGCCTGCACAGACGACACCTGCCTCTGTAACACCACGACGATCCAGGACGTCGCCACCTGCGAGCAGTGCATGTTCAACGCGCTCATCGCCGGCGACCTCCAGATGACCGACCCGAGGGAGGGCTCCCAGGTCGCCCTCACAGGTGCGCACGTCCCCGTCTCCATGCCGTCCAGTCGTTGAGTCAAGTCGTGCGAATTAGCTTACGGCGCTGCGTGCGGTACTGCCCTCGACACGACGATCGCTGCGAGCCTGACCACGCTCACTCTCCCGCCCGACTGGGATGGCCCGTTCGGCCAGGGCCTCTCCCCCGTTGCTACCGGGTTCGTAGTGGCCATAGCAGCCACCATGGCAGGCACTTCCATCTGGATTCTCTGCTCGATGTAGGAGACTTGATGAGTGGTGCAGAGTGTTTCTCGTAGATGATCACTGTGGTGCTTTTGTAACTGTTGATGACGGTGGCTTGTATTGATTTGGATGGTGGACGAGAAAGTATGCTTGACTTGAGTTTGAGCCTGCAGGACTGATTGTGTGGTTCACATCAATGTCCGAGACGAACACAATTCTTCCACGACGACTGCTCGGTCTATCCGTCATGAAGGGGAAGTAGTACATAGATGCAGTGACACATCATTCGTACATGCACAACGGGAGGGGTACTGCTACGATGGTGAATGCTTCAACAACAATAAACGTGTGGACGAGACACAACAGATAAACGACCGAGATTAACAACGTATGCACACACACAAAACCTTCGACAGCAGAGCATGATGAGACGGGGTGCCGGCGCGTGGGCCATGGAGGGCGGCTCACCAATGACCAATTTACGCGCCCCTCGGAGCCTCCTTCCAGGAGATGGCCTGCTCCTCGCCCATGGCGCTCACGATGGTGATAAGCAGATCCTTGCCCTCCTCGAAGTTGCTGGTGATCTCCTTGCCGAGAGCGTCCTCCGGGACTTTGACATCATCCTTGGCGTTGCCGTCCGCGGACATGAGGTTCAGGAAGTCGTCGTCAATGTTGACCTGTGTGATGTGTGAGCACAGTCATAACAATCTAGATCGGAGACGACGTACGAGCTGGTACTCGTTACGGTAGACGTTAGGGACGTCCATGTTGTGGGTGGAGGGGCAGATATCTTCCTGTTTACGGGAGTAATGTAAATTGAAGCAAATAAAATTGCCGCACACTGATCGAACTCACGAGCTTCTTCTGGGTGAAGATCTGTCACAACGAAGTCAGCGCGACCGAAAAAGCAGGCTCGAAACCGCGGATACATACATCAATGGCGACCAGGTGGACCTTGGCGTGACCGTGCTTGCCAGTCTTCGAGGTGGACATCTCGACGATCTTGCAGGGACGGCCTGCACACAGTCGGTGAAACCCCGATCAGACGCTCTCGTGCATGCGGTGCGCACCTTTTATGACGACGTGCCCGTTCTTGCGGAGGGCCGAGCATTGCATGGGGAACGTGAGGGAAGCCCCCGCGCTCGCCTGTACATCAGAGTGCATCGTCAGTCAGTCTCGCCGTCTCCCCCTCCCTCCGCGCGCGCGGGCGATCGCCGACGAACCTGCTCGAAGTTGTGCTGGTGCTGTTCATCGTCGGACATGGTGGGGTCGTGGGCGCGAGAGGGGAGAAAACGAAGGAGGGCGGGGTCTAAGTGCGCGCGGGCGAGGTGGACGGGACGAGGAGGTCGGGGAGGTCGCGAAGAGCACCCTTCCTCTCGAAAAATGTCCTCCTCCATCGATTTCGATCTCCGACACAATCCGGGGATCGCCGCCACCTCTCCCCTCGCGACCATACTAGGAAGGCGGCGCCGCTCGGTTATGTAAGCATACCTCATACGACCTGCGCAACATCGCTTCCGCCTTCTCGACGACCATGCATCCATTCGGCGGCACCCCCATCTGCCCCCGATGCACAAGGCGGTCTATGCTGCAGAACAGGTGGGGCACCAGTCTATATTGTGTACGACTTTCTAAGCACGCATCACAGATTATGGGACCTGGCCGCAGGGTAGGTCGCCGCGCGTTCCGTTCGCTCCAGTCCCATGCTAAATCAGCGGTTTCCGTTAGCTCTACCACAAGGTACATCTATGGATGCTCATATGCTAAGGTGGTCTACTCACTAGCATCCTTTCAGCCCTGCTTGGCTTGCACATCCTGCGCAAGCGCCTTGATTCCTACAGCCTCTAGAACACGACCAGGAGGTGAGTAGTCCGCGCTCCGTAAAGCGACACCGGAATCTGATGCACTCCCGCGCAGCCCTACTGGTAGGTATGTCGCGCACCGCTAAACCCAAAGGCTAACAAGGCTCTCGCAGCAAGAACTGTCACATGAAGCTCTTCGGAACGCGCACCCTCGGAATGCAGAACCTCCCCAATCGCGACGAGGTCCCACTCACCTCCCCACCCATCTCACCCACCCGCGGTGGATTCTCGCCCACGCGCCCCGGCTTCTCGCCTACGCGCGCTGCGTCCCCGCCCGCGCGCTCCCCCGTCGCTCCTCCCCTGCCCGCCCGGCGGCACGCCACTGGGGGAGGGTCCCTCAGCGACCGCTCTGCCTTCCCTACGCCGTCCTCAGTCCCGCCCGTTCTCAGGCCTACCAGAGCCCTCAGCCCCACCCGCACGCCCACGTACCGCTCGCCCGCGCTCGAAGGCGTCGTGGACGTCGACGAAGAGGATACCCAGACGGCGCAGGATGGCGTTGGGGCGGAGGAACGGCAGGCAAGCTACGCAGGCTCGACGGCGACGCACACGGGTCGTGGCCAGGGCGGGCTCCCGCGCACGGTGCCCCTCAGCCCCGTCCGGAACCGCTTCGGGGGGAGTATCTCCAGCGTCGCAAATGGGTCATGCCCGATATCGACGGTGAGCCCGCAAGCATCGGTGTCGCATCGCCTGCGGGGAGAGCTCGATCTCCCGATACGGTGCCCCGGATGACAGGCACGGTCCCCCTCGTGCCGACGAGCACAGGGACGCGCTACGGGATGGCGCTCGGCGGCCGGATGGCACCGACGATGACCGGGGCAGGGGCGGGGACAGGGCGGCCGTGGGGGCTCGGGGGGAGCAACCCGCTCTGCGGCAAGTGCGGCAAGACGGTGTACTTCGCGGAGCAGGTGCGGGCGATCGGGAAGACGTACCATAAGGGCTGCCTGCGGTGCTCGGAGTGCAACACCCACCTGGACTCGACGCGCCTCACGGAGCGCGACGGGAACCCGTATTGCATCGGTGCTACTCGAAGGTGCGTGCCTATTGGGTGTATCGATAGTGGATAGGGTTGTGCTGACGCTGTGCTGCGTGACTTAGCTGTATGGCCCGCAGGGGAGTGGGTATGCCTTGCTGGGCAAGGCGGGCGGGTAAGAGCTCCTTCATCAGGACGGACCCTTTCATGTAGCCGTGCCCGAACTACCTTCGTTCTTCTGTGTTTCTGATCGCTTCAGAGTACACTCTTCCTATTTGCTGTAGAAGCCTCGCCCAGCGCTCTGTATTCACTAGTGCTCCTACGCTAAGTACGTATGTTATCTTATTAGCTATCTACGCCCCGTCGCTTCTGTGTGTCCGCTGTGGGAGGGCAGATAGTTCCGCTCGTCGCCGCTACGACTCGCGCTGAGTCTGCGATCGGTTGCCTTAGTTCGAGGGGACTCAACGAAGCTCAACGGGCGTTGACATCGAGTGGGTGCTCATGTGACTTTGACGTACAACCTTCCTCTTAAGGAAGGCACCTTCCGAATCCGGAGCGACTGTAAATACTGTCTCTCTCTCCGTCGTCTCCATTTCGTACTCCGCCGCGGCTTCTGTGTGTCATTGTGTGTGTCTCGCTCTCATGTATTAAGGCGGCCACACGGCCTGTCTGTATTGAAACCTCTTTGCTCCTCTTTCCGGTGCGAACTTATCGCACTCAAGACTCAGCGCTCAAGCTCAAGCGTTGTAGAGCCCAACTCCGTCGCGCGACGCGTGAGTGACCAGTCGGATGTGCACGACGACTCTTATCAACGAGACGATGCGTATCGATTCCTTGCGTGATGTGCAGGCGGCCCAGCTATGTAAGTTACTTCGATTGACTTCGATCTCCCCTTCTCCGAGCCTCCTTACCCGTTACAGCCTACCTCAGGAACGCCCTGCAACTAGGATCGCATAGCCGCCACACGCCACATGCACGTTCTCTCCCACACGGCCTACATGCGGGTGGGGGTTGTACCTAGCGCAGAACTTCCGAAGACGCGGTCGACGCTGCTCAAACCTACCGACCGAAACGTGCGGTGGCCCATGGAGACAAGACGGGTATGTTCACCCGCTGTCGCTGTCAGACACCGACGTCCGACAGCAGACAATATCAACCTCCGATCCCGACCCGAGGCGGATTCCTCGGCGCCAATTCAGACTAGACGTGGACGATTAGGCGGCCCTCCGCGACGCGCCACTCCGCGCGGCGCCGTCTACGTCGAGGTCGCGCTGGCGCTTCAGTACGAGGGCTTGCTCGGCAGAGGTGGTTGAGAGACGGAGGACTCCCGATTGCGCGTCGGGAGGTCGAGGTCGAGGTCGAGAGAGTAGAGGGCGGGATGGAGAGGAGCAGGCGGCGGGCTCGACATCGAGGGTTGCGGTGGGATGTGGAGTGCGTCTGCGGGGATGTTAGGATGAGGGCTGAGGGAGAGCGAGGGAGGCAGGGAGGTAAGTTCGACTCACTAACTCGGGACCGCGAGAAAGATTTGCAGGCCTTCTGTGAGCGCGTTCTTGGACCACGACAGCTCTGGGGGCCTGCCTATCGAGACGATATCGGCGGGGGCGCCTGCACAGCGCTCGCTGTGCCGGCGTCCTGCACGTCACCGCTGCCTTCTTGAGTATCCCCTTGGGTTTGTTGACGTTGGGCGCCCGCGAGCTCCTCGACGAGCTTCTTCGTGGGCGCGCGGGGCGCGGAGGCGAGCGCGGGGTGCCCGGGGGAAAGAGGGACGCGGGATCTGCACAGTGCGCGGGCTTAGGGGCCCTTGGCCTTGATGTTGGGCGTCCCGATCTGGCGGGCGAGGGGGACGGCGTAGGACGCTTCGATGCGCTGGAAGGCGAGTTCTGGGCGAAGTGAGTGCGAGCGCGGCGTGCGGTAGGGCCGGGGTACGGGGCATGAGGCTTACCGATGAGAAAGGTCTTGAAGGCTGGTCTTTGAGGGCGCGGGGCTTGAGGGAGGAGTGGTAGATGCAGTCGAAGACGACGGAGGGTTTGCCAGCTGGCGGGCGGTTGACGTCAGATGCAAGGCTACGTACGGTGGGGATGCGAGTGCGAGTGCTACTCCGGGCAACGCATGCGCGGGCGGCCATCAGGCGTGTTCGCGAGGGAACACACCGGCCAGGCATCTAGTGTGCGGATGGAGTGGGAGTGGGACCGACCTTTGTCTGTGTCCTGGCGCGGCTCGGAGACGACGACGGGGACGAACCAGCCCTGTGCGTTGTCGGCGTCGAGGACGTCCTCGCCGAGCATGGCTCTCTGGATGGCATCTCGGAGCCGTCTGGCGGGGGAGGGACGTTGGGGTCGTAGGCGATGTTGACGAATACCTTGACCCCCTTGGGGATAGGCAGCGTGTGGGAGACGTCGAGCGGCTGGAGCGGAGAGGCAGATTGGGGGCTGCGCGGCTGGGGAGGAGTGACTCTGCATGCGGTGGTCTCGAGCGCGGTGTTTTGGCGCAGAAGCCCGGGGACGGCGCAAGGGAGACGCTGATTTTGTCCATTGTCCGAGGGGCGGCCGCTCGCACTGGGATGGAGATAGCGAGGCGGTGGGAGAGAGGACGCGGCTGGAAGTTGAGTGGAAGGAGAGAGATGACGCGCTCCGGACTCGGACATGATCTTGACAGTCCCCGGCGCCAAATGACTCGATCACTTCTCTCTGCACATTTAAAAGAGCACGCCGCTCACTCCCTCTCAGCACCCCAGACGCTACTACTCTCCCACTCACAGCCTACCCTCGCCCGCCATGTTCAAGTCCTCCAAGATCGTCACGCCCGTCCCTGAGGACAGCGAGAAGATGCAGAAGTACATCCAGGATCGCCGTGTCATTGGCGTATGTACATCCCTCCGAACCATGTCCCTAGCGAGTCTAACCGCCGCCCGCCACCCCCAGTACGATCCGCTCGTGCAGCCCTCGCTCCTCCGCCACGAGATCAAGCTCAGCCCAGAGTCCCAGAGGACGATCGCCTCCGCCCGCTACGCCGCCGCCAAAATCCTCGCAGGCCAGGACGACCGCGTGCTCGTCATCGTCGGCCCCTGCTCCATCCACTCGCCCTCCCAGGCCATCGAGTATGCCACCCTCCTCAAGTCCAAAATGCCAGAGTGGAGCAACCTGCACATCATCATGCGGGCGTACTTGTGCGTGCATCCCGTGCTGAGGCTCGCTGTTCCGGATGTGTCCCTTCCGTGTCGTGCATTGGATGCTGTCTCGCTGGGCTTATCCCGTCATGGCCGGCCTGTCTTGGAAGGCATGGTGGGACCATCCGGGACACTGTCCTAAGCAGCTAACACAATGTCCTGACACTTACCTCCCACAGCGAAGTAAGTAACAGACAAGCATAACAATGGCGCCCATACTCACCTCCCCCAGAAACCCCGCACGACCGTCGGCTGGAAGGGTCTCATCAACGACCCCGACATCGACGGCTCCTTCCAGATCAACAAGGGCCTCCGCCTCGCCCGCCAGCTCCTCTGCGACCTCACCCACATGGGTGTCCCCGTCGGCTCCGAGCTCCTCGACACCATCTCGCCCCAGTTCATCTCCGACCTCATCTCCTGGGGTGCCATCGGTGCGCGCACCACCGAGTCCCAGCTCCATCGTGAGCTCGCGTCCGGTGTCTCCTTCCCGATCGGCTTCAAGAATGGTACGGATGGCAGCGTGAGTGCTCGAGTGCTCGACGGGCTGTAACGCGTACTGACGACGGGTGTGTGCAGGTGACGGTTGCGGTGGACGCGATGCGCTCGAGCTCGAACCCCCACGCGTTCATGGGTGTCACCGAGCAGGGTCTCGCGGCCATCGTCAAGACGTCCGGTAACCAGGTATGTGGCGCGGCACGGGCTGCGAACGCGCCGCTCATGTCAAGCGCAGGACGTGCACGTCATCCTCCGTGGTGGCACCAAGGGCCCGAACTTCGCGGCCGAGCACGTCAAGGCAGCTGCTGCACAGATCGAGAAGGCGCGCCCCCAGTACCACCCGTCGATCATGGTTGACTGCTCCCGTGCGTTTCCCTCACCCACACTACTGACACACGCTGACCGCGCACGCAGACGGCAACTCGCAGAAGAACTACGAGAACCAGCCAAAGGTGATTGACGACATCTGCGAGCAGCTCGTCGCGGGCGAGAAGCACATCACGGGTGTGATGGTCGAGTCGCACATCAACGCGGGCAGGCAGGACGTGCCCCCCGAGGGCCCCGCCGCGCTCAAGCACGGCGTGTCCATCACGGACGCGTGCGTGGACTGGGCGTCCACCGTCGAGATGCTCGACAAGCTCAACCAGGTGCGTGTGCCGGCGGGTGTGCGGCGAGGAGCGTGCGCTGACGTGAGCGGACTTGGACAGGCGGTGAAGCAGCGGCGCATGAACTACATCGAGGCGGGCCTCAAGAAGCCTGCCGCGTTCCAGCGCGTCATGAACTCATAATTGCCGCACACGCGATACAATCTAACCCGCGAAGGAGTAGGAGGGCCCGCCTGTGTAGTGTCTGTAATTCTGTCTGCCACCCCCACTGTAGTATCCGCATCGCCTCCCTCGCACGCACATTCAGATTGTTGTACTTGTCTCCGCTGCTGTCTGCTGTCGCCACATCATTAATAGACTCCGCTGTACATCTAGTCCGGCCGTGCGTGACGTTGGAGGATCATCCCCACGAGAACCTCGAGGACGGGTCAGACGCCGCTGTCTGCGTTGGCGGATTACGCCTCGAGGCGAAGGACACTGATGCGCGATTGATATTCACTCGCGGTTGGCGCAGGGCCCGAGGACGAGGTGCATTTTGATTAATGGCGGGGACGATCTGGAGTGCAGCTGCATGGGGCAGCGCTCTTCGCCCGTGCGGCTCGGCGATCGCTCGTACGAAGGCTTCTCTGCTTCTCGCGTTGTCGACTCGGACGCGTGGCGCGCATAATTGCGCAGAGTCCATCAGAAATTCCTGGTAGCAGTATGGAGTAGAGCAGCGATACAGAGCGACGCTTTGCAGTGGCGCATGGGGCAATGACTGAGCTGAAGCCACTCTCGCGACGGACGTCAACGTGCAGAAGCAGAAGCAGCTGCCTGCCATAAATGGGTTGAATGGGCCCAGTCCATCAAATATATAGAGCATATGTATAGTGCACATCTCCGCGGATAGCGATAGCAAATACATACTAGTATAACTAATCGATTGAGACAGACAGGAGAGATACAGAGAGAGCGAGTCGCGGACGGAGAGAGGAGAACATTGACACAGGGTGAGATTTCCATCGATACATGTCCTGATTTTTACCTTTGCTTTACCGTACCGGGTCCGGGGCCAGTGACAGTTACAGGTGTGTACTACTCTATAGGGGTGCTGATCAGTTCCTTTTTCGACGCGACTGTCAACGTCGGCGTCGGCGTCGCCAAGAAGGGGATTGCGAGGGGGAGAAGGGGAACGTGTCGCGTAGGGCAACGTGCCCGCCCGTCCAGGGGCGGTGGTTTTGTTCAGAAACTAGCACCGCGCGTGTCAGCCGAAGCTTGCGCGGAGGAGATGCGAGCCACTCACGCTCAGCAAGAAGTCCAGTTCCTCAGTCCGTTCCAACTAGGTTTTGGGAGCCACGCGCGTGCCTCATCGGCGGCGCGCCGGGGACGCGATGGACAGGGATGCAACGGCCGCCGCGAGGCCCTGCACGCCTGTCGCCAAGGCGTGGGGGCGCGGGTGCGGGTTCGCGGGCTTGCTCTGCAGACTCGGAGGCACGCGAAGCTCCGCGCCGTCCATCTTCCAGATGCTGTTCTCGTGGATCGTCAGCGACGCCGTCGACGCGTTCCCGCTGGCACCGCCCAGCCGGCTCGAGTGCTGCTGCTGCTGTTGCGCGCGGTAGCCGTTCGTGTTGGCCCGCGCGCCACGGACGGCGATCGTGGGGTCGCGGTCGTCGTACTCGTCGGTGTCGAGCGAGAGCTCCGCGGAGGATGTGGACGTGCTCGGCGAGAGCGACGGCGAGTCCGAGTGCACGATGTCCACGAGGAAGCCGGGGAGCAGGCTCCCGCTCGCGGGCGCGGTCCGCGGCGGGAGGGCGGCGGCGAGCGGCGGGAGGGACGAGCGGTGCTGCGGGAGGGGACGGCTGCCGTGCGGGCGGGGACGGCTGTCGTGCGGGCCGTCGGACGTCTGGTAGATCGGCGTGGGGTTCGGGAGAGGCTCGTCGAAACGACTGTGGTGGGTGTAGCCTGCGGCGAAGGGAGCGCGCGGGGCGGCAGGGCCATGCTCGGAGTGCGCGGACCAGGGCGAGGTCGGCGAGACGGGCGAGTAGGCCGTGGGCGAGTCGGTGAAGGGGAAGGAGACGCCGCCAGTGGACCCGAGGCGCGGGAGCTGCAGGGCCTCGGGGACGTGCTTGCGGGTCTGCCCGACCTGCGTCGCGAGGACGTTCTCCAGGAGGGCGATGCGTTCGGCTTGTACGGCCGTGGAGATGCTGTCGCCATTGCCTTCCGCGTCTGTAGTAGAAGAACAGAAGCAACCGACGTAACGCTGTCAGCTCGAGGCAGAGATGCAACGCGAGTGGGATTACGCACATGGGAAGCAGGTCTGGCAGACCTTCCTGCGGCGCCAGTTGAGGTAGTTGCACTTGTGGCAGACCCAGTCCCCCGGCTGTTTTTCGGCCGCGCCCTTGTTCCCCGTGTTGACGATCGGCGGGAACTGCTCGTGGACGATGAGCACGAGAACAGAATACCCCGCAGAAAAAAGGTGTCGCTCACCGAGACGACCGCTGAGCCACTCGGGCGGATCTGTCCCTGCTCGGGGAGCGGCTCGTTGTCGGGCCAGTACATGATGCACGGCGAGAGCGGGTCGTTCGACACGTTCTGCACGCGCCCGCCGACGCTGATCGCGCGGCCGGACGGCGTGAGGAGCGGGTACGGGTTGGACGCCCGGGGGCCCATCGACATCGGCGCCATCGTGCCCATCGGCGGCATGCCGGCCCGGCCCCGGCGACGGCGGGAGGCCCAGGGGGGACGGCGGCATGAGGGGCGAGCCGTTGGAGAGCGCGCCGGGCGAGCTCTGCGTGCGCAGGCGGGCGGCGGGCGAGGCGGGCCCGTGCGAGAAGTCGGTGTATATGGAGGGCGTGGAGTAGCCGGCGGAGGCGGCGAAGCGCGGGGAGAGGCGGGCCATCGGGGGCGCGAGGTAGGAGGGCGTGGACATGATGCGGATGTGGTCTGCGGGCGAGCTGATGATGGGGTGGCGTTGGTGACCGCAACCTATACAAGTGTTGTTCCGCCTAAAAGAGAGTGGATTAGGGGATGGGTCAAAAATAGCGGCGACTGTACGTACCCGAAATTGTGTGCGGAACAATTAGCTTCAGCACAACTGCAGCTATCGACTTAGTGGCAACTCGGTGAGAAATTACCGGGAAACTTACATCCAATCACCGGCGCGGAAGTTGGTCTTTGGGTTGGGAGGATTGCTCGAGATGGTAAAGCCGGCGGGGGACGACCAGCCGTCGTAGGAGCCCGTGGCCATGTTGTGATGCTCCGGCATGTCGTCTGTCCAAGAGTGCGCGCTGCGAGACGCGAGAATCGGCTGGCGCGGAGAAGGAGCGATTATGCTGGCGAAATAATCCTCAAAGGAGAGTGCGGCGTCAAGCTGGGCGCAAGAAAATGAGAAAAAAACTGCAGGGAGCCACAAACAGGCGGTACGCACAAGGACGTCAGATGGCAGATAGGGTGGGTAGTCTGGAGGCGATAAAAGGCTTGAACGGCGCGCGACGAAGGGCTGGTGAGAGCAAGATTAGAGTGAGCGGTAAGGTAGGAAGGAGGATCGTGGACGGAGGAAAGAGGAGGGTCGGGCTCGGGGATGGGGTCGACAGCCCCTGAGCGGGAGGAATGGCCGCCGGCCGTGTTTGTTCAGGAGTATCTCCTGCACCGACCAGCGCCCGTTCGTACCCGTGCCTGAACTTTTCACCAGAGGCGTGACGTCAACCGCACAGGGCAGTCCCGCGCTCGACGCGGTCGACGAGCACGCAACAAGCGGCAGAGGAGGCTCACCTGGTCAGCGAGGCCCGGCGAGGAGACGGGCGCGTCGGGGACGCGGGGTGGGGCGTGGCGGAGGGGCGGTGGCGGGGCGGGCGGCGGGGGGCAGAGGCGCTGCGGTGCAAGATGAGATCGATCGGCGAGCCAACTGGGCAGCACGGCGCGGTGGATGCGTTCGCCGCACAATCGCTCGTCGCCGCTCCCTCGGGCCCCGGCTCGCCCTTCCAGCCAGCCCGGCCACCCAGCCCCGGCAACGCTCCCCACTTCCCCGACTCCGAGTCGCCCTCCCAGCACGTGCACATCCGCCGGCGACGACCCCAGGCAACCCCGCGCACATGGCGCGACGATCTCGTAGTGCATTTCGGGTGTAGGGCGGCGCGAGAGGCGGCCAGGAGACAGGGGGATGAGTTGTCGGGCCCCATATCCGAGACCGTGTTATATGAATCCGAGTCCAGCAGCCACACAAAGTGGTCGATGCCAGTGGTCGATGCCATGTGTATCTGGACGCTTCTCCGCTCGTTGACGCCGTGGCAGGCCAGCGAATGATGGGCGATCGTCGAGGTGCAGTTACCGTCCAAGTTCCTTCCTCTCTTGCGCCGCGCGCCATCTCATCAGCTTCCCTGTCCACTCACCCACACGCAACGTCCACCGCCTACTTGAGGTTAATTAGGGCTGCTCTGCCGCCCGTTCGCCCGTTCGTCGGCAGGTGGCGTCAGATCCTGATCGTCCCATCAGATCCTTGCCCAATATAGACATCGCTCGAGCTCATCCATGTCCTGCGCGTTGCGGGCTGTCCGCCCGCTGACTCCTCTGTCCTGTACCCTCATGTAGCGGACCGGTCATAATTGTTCTCCATTTTATAAGGGTACAGTCATCGACGGCTCCTTGAGACACCCAAATCTTATTCCAGTGCTTCGGGCGAGTATCAAGTTCCGTCTGCGAGAGGTAGATCTATTGATACCATATGATAGCTACTCATGTACTCTATACACCTACAAAGATCGTGTGTTATCAGTTGCGTCCAGTGCTGGATCGACAGAAATCGGTGCGAAATTCTGTTATCAAGGCTCTGAACGGTCCTTGAGACGCGGTCACATCACACAGCGCTTACCCGATATGGAATGATCTAATCTAATCCCCCATCGCTGAGCCTTGATCACCGTCCTCATCTCCCGACATGTCCTCCTCCTCATCGCTCTGCTGAACCACCTTCTTGGGCCTCGAAATGGCTCTCTCAATGCCACTGACCTTTGTAGAGACTAGACGATACGGTCAGACGCTCAGTCTCGAACAACTTGACTAGTATTGATCTACCTAGACGATACGGTCAGACACTTCGTAGGTAGTCAGTATCAGTGCTACATTATAGTGATGTGAGTCCTTACCTCAGTCTCGAACAACTCGACTGAGGAAAGAGAAGGGGAGAGGGTGAGACGGACGAACCACCCCCGGCGGTATGTCACGTGCCCGGTGGCGGAGATCCAACATGTTTAGCGGCCTCCCAGTGGACTTCGGCATAGCAGTCGAGAAACTGGCTGAGGTGCTGAATCGCGAGCGCGATGTCTGGGCAAGTGCCGATGGCGAGGTACATAAGGCAGCTGATGAGAGAGCGGTAGGGGAGACGCGCTGCACGCTCCTTGGCAGCAGGAGTCTTGGGAGCGTGCTGAAAGCGAGAGAGACGTAGGCCAGCTTCCATGGGCGTAGAGACCGGAGCGCAGTCAGGGCCGTCCAGGCGGAACTGCTTGACAATTTTGTCAATGAGGGCAGTCTGCGAGACGGCAACCGTCCGACGAGTGCGGTTGCGATCGATCTGAATGCCAACACAGAACCGAGCCTCACCAAGGTCAGCGATCTTCTAGACATGACACAAATCGTCTTTAAACTCCTCCTTAGCGGCAGCCGAGCTAGCCGTCAGGAGGAAGTTGTCGACGTGCACGCCCGTGAGGACAGTCCCCCGCTCTGTCTTGTGATAGTACACGCAGTACTCGCAGGGCAGGCGGGTGAAGCCGATGCTCAGCAGGTGCGCATTCATGGTATCGTTCCACGTGCAACTGCCCTGCTTGGTGCCGTAAATGCCACGTACCAGCTCCCAAACCCAACTCTTCTTGCCAGGCTCCTCAAAACCCGGAGGCTGCTCCATGTAGCAGTACTCCTCCTCAGGTAGGACGCCGTAAAGGAAGGCAGTTTTCACGTCCAACTGCTCAACTTCCCAGTCCAGAGACGCGGCAAGATGAAGGAGGGCGCGAAAGGACTCCATGCGCATTGTGGGTGAGGAGGTCCGATTATAATCTTGCCCGTATACCTGCTGAAAGCCCTTAGCGACCCAACGGGCCTTGAAACGCACCGGGTCGCCATTTTCGTTCCGCTTCAGCCTGTAAACGGGCTTGCCCTTCATGACGCGACGCCCCACCGGAACCTGCGAGCGAGGGATGAGGCGGTACACGCCCAGATCCTTGATGGATTGAAGCTCGTCCCGAAGGGCGGCCCGCCATTCATCTCGGAACGGGGACGCCTCGGCTTCCGCAAGAGAGGCGGGATCGCCCGGGTACTTGACATTGAGAGGCAAGACATCGTTGTTAGCCAACGCCACAAGCACAGACGCAAGGTGTTGAGCAGACTAGGTCACACGTAGTGGACCGCACTCTAACTTACCTGCTTGAAGGTGTTGCTGTTAAGCTTGAGGCACACAAGTAGTTCCGGTGTTGGAAGTACTGGAGAGAGAGCTACGCTACTGGTGGGTCTTATATACATCTGAGAGACGCTGACTAATACTACTGTATAGTCCATTCCCACGCATGACTTGCTCTATGCGGTAAGTGCGGATCTAGCACGTGCAGTGCGATCCGGCCCGTGGAACCCGGCGGCCCGGTGGGCGCCTATATGGTTCAACACTCCCCCTTGCTAAGTACGTCCCTGACATACGAAGCATATCCTGGCGCCATGGGCTGCCGTCCGTGGTTGCTCTAGGACTCTTCATCGTAGAATCGAAGTCCGAGCATGCCCCTGAACTTCTGGAACTTGACGCGGCCCAAGTTCTTGGTGAAGAGGTCTGCCGGATTATCGTCAGTGCCAATGAAGAAGACCTCGACCTGTCGTTCTTCAATTAGCTCCCTGATATAATGATAGCGTATGTCGATGTGTTTCGACCGCCTCTCAGTTACAGGGTTGGAGCCGATGAATATCGCTCCTTGATTATCCGAGCAGATAGGTAGTGGGCCAAGTGGATATCCAATCTCCGTGAGGAGCATCTTAATCCATACGACTTGGCGGCTGCAGTCGCTGAGCGACATGTATTCAGCCTCAGTTGAAGACAGTGCTACCGTCTTTTGCCGTCGAGACAGCCAACTGAACACTCCACCAGCTAACTTCATAAAGTAGCCACTCTGAGACCTCCGCATCTCCGGGTCGTTAGCCCAGTCGGAGTCTGTGCACGCCGAGACACCTTGTCCAGTTTTGCCGCTGTATACAAGCACATAGGACTTGGTTCCAATTAGATAGCGGCAGATATACAGCGCTTTATCCAAGTGGTCCTGTTCGCAGCATGTTGCGCGAGTTTTGTCACGGCGAAACAGATGTCAGGGCGAGTTCCAAGCATGATATATAGCAAGGAGCCAATGATAGTCTGATACCGGCTTCGAAGTGCAGGGTCAACTGTGCCGGTGTAAGGCTCAGGTTTATAACCCGCAGGGAGTGGAGTAGGCGCAGATTTAGCATTCTGCATGCCACAGCGCTCAAGCACTTTCTCAAGGTAGGCGGTTTGGTTGAGATGAATCTCGTCGCCTTTCCGAGTAATGCTCATTCGCAGGAACTCCTTGACGTCGCCAAGGTCGCGACACTCCCACTTCTTCATGAAGCAGTTCTTTAGAGCGGCCACTAGGGCCTTGTCTTTTCCGCAGAAAAGGGCATCATCCACATAGACGATGATGAGGACGAACCTCCCATCTTTTGTCTTGTAGATGAAGATTCCGGCGTCGGATACAAGGCGTACACAGCCAAGTTCCTTGAGGGACTCATTGAGGGTGCGCCACCATGCAAGCCCTGCCTGTTTAAGTCCATAGAGAGCACGCAGTAGCCAGAGGACTCTGTGCTCTTGGCCTGGGACTTTAAAGCCATCAGGCTGCTCCATGTAAATCTCCTCGTCGAGTTTACCATAGAGGTACGCATTACGGACATCGAGTCCGGAGATGTGCATGCCCTCAAGCGCAGCTAGTGCGAGTATTAGGCGCACGGTCTCAAAGCGTACGACGGGAGAGAAGACCTGATCATAGTCAAGGCCTTCAATCTGGGAGTAGCCTTTTGCGACTAGTCTAGCCTTTTTACGACCGTCAGTTTTGACGTCGAAGACCCAGCGGTTTTTGGTAACCCTACGTCCCTTAGGACGGTCTACCAACTCATAGACATTGTGTTTGCATAGGGCCTCTAACTCCTCGCGACACGCTAGTCTCCACTTCTCTTGCTCCTCTTTGGGTAGCTTGAGAATATCGCGGTATG